TTGTCCCATCCATTTGCCCTAAATGAGCACTGTCCCGGCAGCCAACCTGGCGAGGCCAAAATGCATTCCTGCGTAATCCTGGCCTTTCCTGAGCTTGAAGCTCACCATACTACTGCCCCCGGGCCCGCCTGCCCCGCCCTAGGCAACATCACGCTAATGCCAAATAACCCGGCCGTTTCAATCACGTTGGTTGGTCGCAAGGGGCCTGCCGCGTCTCCTTCTTCACCCGGTTCGCCTGACCCCGTGCTTGTGGAGCTTAGCGGGTCTGAATCGGCGCCGCTAAGGGTGTCAGTTCCGAAGAAAGTTTCCTTCAGCAACCTGAACTGCACGCCACGGTTTCACTCGGGCCTGGTAGGTGGCAACGAGCGGTGCGTTGACCCGTGGGTCACATTGTGCGTAGGGGTGTGTTTACGAGCGCAGCCTGCAGAATCTCGAAGATCCCATCCCTTTAACGAAGTTTAGGAAGAGGATCGTGATAGATGTGGTATGACGCCAACCCCTTTCGATTTAACATATTTGGCCAGGAGAGCATCGCCAGCGGCAATGGTGCGGCTGCCGCAGCGCCAGCAGAGCTATTTGCTGTGCCGCTACTTAATGAACCTTCACTGCCGCTGCTGAACTTGGTGGGTGCAATGAAGGTGCGTACCGGTAACTCATGCCAAGCAGCGTTAGGTCGGGAGTAGGTTAAAAGGGGGCTTTTGAATTGTCTGTCCTTGATGTGCTTTGGTAGGGCTGTCTTCAGGCACCTGCACTCAGGGCACCATGCTTAGGGTTCATGGCTCCGCCCTTGGCGCCCATGCACCATGACGCTGCATGCTTGACCGGCAGCGGCGTTGCGTAGCACGTGTCTGAGCGGAAACACTTACCACGTAAGCCCCAAACAAGTCTCTGCGCTTACGTCGGCTAGCTCGTTCGCGTGTGTAAAACTGCCGCGTGTGTGTGCACGCAGGTGGACTACATGCCCATCACCCACCGCCGCCGTCTGGTCCCCAACACCGATACCGGCTCTGCAACCGATAAGGGGCCAAGCCAAGATACACCATCTGCTGGCACGGGGGCAACGACGGCGGGCGTCGCCTATGAGTGCTTGTACGTCAGTAACTACACGCAGATGTACATAAGGTACCGGTATAACTCATACTTAATAGGGTGTTGCTTTGCAAATGGACTTGACAGGGGTACGTAGGGCAGTGCAACATGCGGGGCGCACTTATAGCAGCGCTGAGGGGCAACAGCATGTCTGCGCTCCCTTGCCCCAGCATTGTCGCGTATGTATAAGTCCCCCGTACCTTGCAATGATCAGTGCGCTTGTTGCGATGTCCATACAACAGGCCGCACTTGTTCGGGTGTGTGTGTACACGAGTACTTGGTACTGTAGCCGATGCATTCCACCACGCCCCTTCGGTCCAACTCCTGCCGCACCTTCTTCGCCGCCGCGCTTTTTGCGTGCAGGATCAGGAATTTGAAGCCTCACAGCGTCATACCCCTGGAGATTATAACGGTAAGTCGCTTTTAGCCCGGCATGGCGAGGTCAGGGAAGGAGGCAGGGCACTGTTTTGAACGAAAACACTGGAGGACAAAGTGAAAATTGGGCGTAGGGAAAGGAGGCAATGCTACAAGTGCAATACGGTTAGACAACCAGCTGTAGCCTCAGTCCCTTGACCTGCCTCCCACATCCGCTACCCACATCCCTAACCGGTACCTTTTCATTTCTCAGCAATGCTTACTAGGTTAAATTATAAGAAGGCAGTGCTTGGACGTGCGGCACGTATTAACGATTAACGAGTTGTAGCCTACGGCTGAGGGGGCGGTTTGGCCCCCTCCCCCTTAACCCCTTCCGCATCCGCTACCCTTGTCACTCCTCCTCACGTCCAGCCCGCGTCATCCACGTGCAGATGAAATACTGGTTTAATGGGCCTCCCCGGGCCGATGGTGCCGACGCTACGACAGCAGGAGTTGAAGACAACACGAGTTCTGGAGTGGGGTTTGGAGCAGGTGGCATCGATACCAGCGGCCCTTCTACTATGGCTTTCTCCGTGCATTGCTGCGAAGCTAGCCCGGGCCTAGGTAAGCGGTCGTGTGGACACAAGAGTGGCCTGGTAACTTGATTGGATTCAAGTAAACCCGGACTGCTTGCACGAGGCGCCACATACCTTGTATGGCATTATGATCGCCAACGCAGCGTGCCCCGAACCATGTTTCGGGCGGGAGCTAGCCGTCGGGCAGAAGCGGGTTGTCCGTATGAGTAGGATTGGCTGCACCTGTTAGTTCAAGTGCTCGCCCCCCTGACGGCTCGCATTCCAACCTCGCCACTACATTCCCTTGCAGCCGGCGGTTGCTCGTCTATATACCTTGGCACTCATGAGGGCCTGCGGGGCGTGAGGGGCGCCCGCTATTACCTGGAACTGGCCTTTGCGCCGGGCTCAGGCGCGCTCGTGTCCGCCAGCGGTAACACCAGCGGTGAGGCATTGGAGCGTCAGCAGCTGGAGGCCCCGGTTGAGGGGTGGCAGGTACCAGACGACACTCCGCTGCTTCAAGAAGTGGAGATAATTGTGGCCATCCAAACGGTGAATGGCAAGCTCATGGATCCGAGGCAGGACTACAGCTTCATGGATACGCCCATTCTACCCAATCCTGCCGACATTACTGCGGATACCGCAACTAAGCAATGCGCGGCTGCTAACCGTTCATGCCAGACGGCCGCCGTGCCGGGCCGCAATGCGACTGCCGGTGCTGCCAGCGGAGGAGCAGGATGCGCTACGGGCTATGGTGGCCGGAACATGGTTTTGCGAAGGCCCCTACCTAACACCCGGTAAGCGAAGACAACCGCGCAATGGGTGTGGCTGCAGGACGGGTCAGTGCTAGGCCTGCTAGCTTTGCGGCTCATTTATTTACGCTGCGGATTGCTGTAAGTGATTCCGCTTGCGAAAAGGGCTGCCTCAAGTTCATGTACGAAGGTGCTTATGTCTTGAAGCCAGCAGAATCGGGACTGGACTTGCACGATAGCGTTTGGCATTGGCGCGGGATCTGATGTGGTGCGATGTGGTGTGCAGTAGTACGGCTCGGCTTCAATTGTGACGTCTGAGCTGGGTCAGCTAGTTCGGTGTCTCTCTTTCCCGCTCCCTGCGCATGGCCCGTCACGCCTGCGTTACTGGCGTTGTGGTCCACTAACACCGCTTTGCGCGCTTTACGCGCCCCGTGGTCTTCCGTGCCCCGCACAGTATCGCCGCATACCTAAACCTGGGCAACCTCGTCTGGGGCAGCAACCCGAACCCCCTCCGCTCCCCTGGTTCCATTTTCACCCGAGAGGACATCGCAAGCCTATTTTCGATCGTGCTCGTCTGGGGCAGCCCCCCGACCGCCTCCGGCCGCCGGTCATTTACCTCGAACATCCCTGTTTCCGACATCAATGCTGCTCTGCCTAGAGGCAGCAGCTGCCAGAAGGCAACGGAGGGTAGACTGGTGGGTACATGCTACGCGAGTGGGTGGGGTTGGGATAGAGGCTCAGGGCCTTTACGAAGCTAATGGTGCTCCAGTGTTCCTTGGTTACGTTTGCATTGGGCAACAAAGGGCACGTCTCGCTCCCACAACTCGGACCCCAAGCAACCCGCCGCGCCCCGGTTCCCTGCAGAGTTGCATTGTTAGCGTGGCGTATTGCTGTCTAGCCAACACGTCGGTACCGCCAGTGGAACCCGACCCAGGACCCACCCCTGTTCCTGGAGGTAACGAGCGTAAGGGCAAGGCGGCGGCAATCGGTGGCGGTGTAGGCGGCGCCGCGGGTGCCATACTCTTCGCCGCGGTCGCGTTCTTTCTCGGGCGGCGGCACCATCCGCCGCAGCCGCAGCCGTCACCTGGCTCCCACCACCGTCGCCACCACCACGACCAAGCAGGCTGCCACTGGAGGTTAATTGAGGAGCGGTTCCCGGGCGTGGAACGCCGCTTGTCACGATACATGGGGCTGTTGATGCCGGGAGTATGGAGATTCGATACCGGCAGCACGGCAAGTCGGAGCAGCAACGGCGGCGGCGGAGGGTACGACGGAGGCTACGATGACGGGCAAGGATTGGTGCCGTACGAGTACATGGGGACGCACCAGCAGTACCCTTACCTGCCGCTGAGTCCAGCTCTAGCGAACCGTGTCAGCCCGTCTGAAGGTACGTACATGTGCGGTGCATTTGTGTTGCCCGGCGCAGCCCGGCACCGCAAAACGCCAAGGTGACGGGAGGTACCCTGTTTCGCCATAATTGTGGCGCCCCAAATGATGGGCACCACATCATGCATTACTGTGACGGCGTGTAGGTGTAGCGGCGAAAGCAGAGAGCGCATGCCTTTACGTAACAACATGCCGCAATAATAGCCGCTCAACCAGCCCAATTCGCCATGGCGGTACACTCCACGATCCGGTACCTTCCTGTCCGCCCCTCACAGCTGACGAGCTTCGTTACGTTCTCAACTCGCGCTGGTGGCGGGAAAATTTCCCTGCCAAGGGTGGCCCGCTGGGTCTGGGGTTGCTGCCCAAATGGCCCACCATGCCGGCTGAGGCCTTCATGTCGGCAGTCACCGCGCTGTCGCGACCCACCAGTCAGGAACTGCGGGCGCGGATGGCGAGCAAGGGAGCCGCAACCATGGCGGCGGGGACAGCTGCGGCAGTGGGAAAGGAGGAGGGTGCAGCAGGAGGACGAGGCGGCGAAGCAGAGCTGGAGGGAGCTGGAGGCGTAGGAGGGGGCATGAGGAGAAGCATGGATGGAGGACGAGGAGAGGGGGTAGCAGAACGTGTGGCGACGCTGGCGGCGGTGCCAGGACTGGACGACGACGACGTGAGGCTACGGGTCCTCTCGTAAGTTGTCTGTTGGGGTTGGAGTCAGGTTCTTGGGTGCTAGTTGTATCAAGTCTAGCACTACCAGCCCTCGCACCTGCTCTCACTCACACATTGCATGGTTTCATTGTCACTGCTCATCCTGGCCATTTTCACTGTTCCTTTGTCGCCTATCGCCCTCCAGCTGCAAGGCCAAGACATGGACTGGCCGCGTCGCAGAGACTTGGGAGCTGCTGCCTGAATACCCAGTGCAACTGCTACTGCCGCCGCTACAGCCCGAGCCTGCCGTATTGCAGCAGCAATTGCCGGACCAGCAGCAGCAAGCCCCATCGCCCCAAGCGGGAGAAAGCTACCTGGCGCCGCTGCGGGAGGCGGTGACAGGCGGCGACACGGCTGCAGCTGGGCCCCAGCCTCAAATACCGCCGCAATACATGCATTACTACCGGCAGCAAATGCGGGCGGTGACGACTGCCGTTCGGTCTCCTCTCCGCCTCAGCCCGCGGACATCGCTGGTACGGGGCTCGGCGGTGGCAGCCGCTGCCGCCGCAACTGGCGCCGCTGCTGGGTCAGGTGCCGCCGCGTTGCCGGGCATGAACCTGCCTGTGTCGCTGACGCTGGCGCCCATCGAGCTGGATGTGGACTACGAGACGGAGGTGGAGCCCTTCCTCGGGAGGCTGATTGGAGTGGGCGGCTTCGGCAGGGTGAGCTGGAAGGGGGTGCATGGCGGAGGTCCTGGGTGGCTTGGACATGGATGGAATGCGAGAGGCGGCTGCCCTTGGTTATCGGCAGTTGCCAGCTGGCTTGATAGCATCATCTTCATGGCGAACGGTAGTTTGTTCCGTTTTATGGTAACTCGGCTGCTTCCACAGGTGTACGAGGCCACGTTTCGAGGTCGCAAGGTGGCGGTTAAGACCGTTGTGATTGAGGACGAGAAGGAACGGCAGGCGCTCGCCAAGGAGGCCCAACTGACTGCTCGGTTCAGGTGAGGAAGATGAGCAATGCGGGCTTAGTGTGGTGTGCATATGCATGCGTGATGTGGCAAGGTGAAGGGAGTGGTGGACGCCACGTCTGCTGGCATGTAGGTATCTCTATGGTGTTAGTCCGACCGCCCATGCCTACACGCGTGCAGGAACTGTGAGCGGGTGGTTCAGCTGCTGGCTGCCTCCCTGGGCCTTGGTCCGGCCGGCAGCCAGACGCCGCAAGGGGGCTCCTCGAGCATCGGCGGGGCTGAGAGAACGTCGCAATCAAGGCGCGACAGCAGAGGCGAAGCGGGTGTAGATTCAACCGCCCCCGCTCCTCTCACCCCCGCACAACCCCCGGATGCCGCGGCTTCCCGTTCACCCTCTCCCTCGCCTCCGACGCCGCTGGACCAAAACGCCCCCGGCGGCACGCTCCCAGCCACCTTTGCCACCGCCGCCGGCCCCGAGACACCCGCCTCAAGTGTCGCCATTGACCTGGGGGGAGCGGCTATCGGTGCCGACGGCGGCCATCCCACCCACCACTCCACCCGGCCCCACCATGCTGGGGCGGCGGGCGGTGGTACGACAGAGGCAGCCGGCAATGCACCACCGCAACGTCAGGCTGCCGCTGCGGGAGGCTCTCGGCTGGCGCAGCAGCATGGTGTTGGCAAGCAGCAGCGGCATGCGGCTCTTATCATGGAGCTCTGCGAGGGGGGCAACCTGGGCGGTCGCATTAGCAACCTGCACATGAGGAGACTGGACTATCCGGAGGTGCTGCAGGTGGGGGGCGGTGGGGAGGAGAGGAGGAGAAGAGGGTTGCGGTGGTCGGTCATGTGGGGGAAGGGCATGAGCGTATGAGCGTACCCTGATGGGCATGGAGGGAGTGGGTGTGGGGGCGGAAGTGCAGATAGCGTTGGAATACGGATATCCATTGTAACGGTCATTCATTCATCCTCCGCAGCTGTCTCGTGACGTGGCGGAGGGTCTGGCGCTCATACACCGCTTCGGAGTGCTGCACAGGGGTAGGTTGCAGATGGCGAGGGCAGAGGGGGACAGGAGAGGGGAAGGGCGCGGATGGGAGTAGGAGCCGTCACTGTTCTCCATTCCTTGATGCGCAGGCATATGGTCTCGGCTCCATTGACCTAGCCCCATACTGTTCCTTTCCATCTTTCCCGCATCCCTTTTGCCAATGCGCCTATCCTATCCGCACATGGGTCTAGCCGTCTGATGCTTGCGCTTCCTGTCCTTCTCGTGTAACCCCTTGTCCGCTCCTCTTTTTCACCCTTCACCTCCCCCCTTCCTCACACCCTCACAGACCTCAAGCCGGGCAACGTACTGCTTGACAACAAGGGCAGAGCCAAGATCGCTGACTTTGGCATCTCACGACTCAGGGTGCGGAAGGGGGTTGGACGGACGTCTGGCTGAGCGGTACCGGGGATGTGACTGGTTGACTACTCAGCTCGGCTTTGGGTCGGCGCTCGTTTGCATGTTGGAGGTTGGAGGCGACCCCTTGCCAATGGCGGCAAGTCCGCGTATGCTTTCGTCATTCACCCTTCACACGGCAGGCCTAAACCCGTACCAACCAGGGGAAATCCCCACCCGTGCCTTTGCCCTCTTCACAGGACCCCTACCGCTCCTGTGTCAGTGTCACGCAGCAGGGAGGCACGGTGAGAGGAGCGCTGGGGCGGTATCGTGTATGGCGGTAGCCTGGGCATGTACGACGTGCGTTATGCAGTGCGCCTTGCAGTTGTCGTACGCATGTTTTCCTTGTATAAAGTAGGCCGCCTAATAACCAGAAGCCGGTTAAGGCCACTTGTCCCTTACCGGTATTGTGTGTCCTCTTCTCCCAACCGCTTGCGCTCTTGCCGGGTGCCCCTTGCCGGATCCCACCGCCCGCCAACCCACCGCAGCCCAACTACATGGCGCCGGTAAGCATGGGTGTAGGCTTAACCCTGCGAAACATCGTTAGGTATCCATCATGCCAGAGCTCCCCTGTCTTGTTGAATCAACTGCCATTGACGGGGGTTCCGACCTGTCGAAGTAGCTGGCACGTCGCACCAGCAGTGAATTGAGTCTTTGTCTGTGGGCTTTCCCTGGCTTTGACGCCTTCATTGGCGTCGTGTCCCCGCACCTCCTGCTGCCTCCTCTGAAGCGGCCTTCCTGCCCTCCGAACCTCCTTCGCATGTCACTACTGCTGCCTCCCGCTTTTACCACGAAAGGAACTGTTCAACGGCACGCGGGTGGATGAACGAGCTGACATCTACAGCCTGGGTGAGCGGGACTTGCTTCCATCGTCCATTGCAATCCGCAGCATAGATAAGTGGAAGGGCCCTGAAAGCCGTCATCCTGTCTTGGGAGCTCACAGGGCTTCCTCTCTCCCATGTCTCTTTCATTTACTTTCCTCCTTACCCGCCAACATGCAACGCTACCCTACGTCCCGCCTTCCCAGGCTGCATCATGTACGAGGCCCTCACTCGCCGGAGGCCTTTCGATGACGCCCCAGGCGGCGCGGGTGCAGCCGCTGACGCGGCGGACGCCGACAACGCCTTTGTTGGTCTTCCTGTGGGCGGGATGCTCCGGATCATCTTTGCGGTTGCGGTTTTGGGCCGCCGGCCGGAGGTGCCGAAGTGGGTCCCCGGGGGTCTCGCAGACCTTATCCAAACGTGCTGGGCAAAGGACCCACGGGCCAGACCCACGGCGGCACAGGTGAGGCTCCGAAAGAGGGAGAGGTGGTGGTGGATCTGGCCGTGTCGGTGCGAGTTGGCACTGCAGCACAGGATGGACGCGTGATGGACGCCACCGCTATGTTGGCATGGGGCTAGAACTACCGTAATCAACTTGGGCGCGCCGCTTCCTTGCTTCCCATGCCTCATACGGTCATACCCCGCTCTGGCCGCACTCACCTGCTTGCCGCTTCCAGGTCGTTGCACGTCTGGATGCGCTGATAGCGGCGGAGCGGGCCAGCCGTGTAGCCCGGGCGGCTGCTCGCGGTGGCAATCGACCCCGGATCAGCCTGGACAGCGGCGGCAGTCGACCCCGGATCAGTGTGGATAGCGGCAGTGGCGTCCCGGCGGCCACCACTTCGTCCGGCTCCTCGGGTGGGTGTTGGCGTGGGGATTGGGGGCACTGGGAATTAGGATGGCGGCCTCGCCGGGCTGATGGGGTATGTTGTGCTGAGTGGCCTCCGGAGACGTAAGGTGCCCCATGTAGCTACGCTATTATGGTGTTATACGTTGCCATGCCTTTGCTTCCTCGCCGCTGCCAGGTGCGAGCACAGGCCAACACGCTGCCAAGATGCCGCCACCCAGGCCGCCGGTGGCCTCCGCTTCCGGCCCCATGACGACACGGGTCGCACCCCTCCCGGTGGCGGCGTTGCAGCCGGCGGCGTCATTGCCACTGGCGCCATGTCAACCGTTGACACCTTCAGACACGCCTCAGCCGTCACCGCAGCCCTCCCCCTCGAAAGAAACGGAGGTAGCAGCGGCGGCGGCGCTGTCGCCATCGCCGCCACAGCAGCCCTCACCCCAGCGACTGGGCCCCCTTGTCCGCGCGGGGCAGCTGGGTCTTTCCTTGGCTCAGATGGCAGCAGCAGTTTTTGGCGTCACCACTGGCAGCAGCGGCACTCCAGCCGTTGTAGCTACGGAGGCCGAGGCGGCAACGCCGCCACCAACGCCGCAACCCTTGCCGCAGCTGTCGCGGTTGAATACCACTGAACCGCAAAGTGAGCGATGCACGCTTCCAGCCCTGGCGGAAGATTTGCCCTCTACCGTGTGGTCGACGCCGGTGGCGCAAACGCCACCGGCAGCGGCGGAGCTGCCGCCCGGTGCCCCCGCTCAAGCAATCGACGCTGATGCGGCACACCGCAACGCTTTTACCGCCGCTGTGGCTGCGGCAGCCCGAGGCCCGCGCGAGAGCACCAAAAGCGAGTCCAGCGGGTCTGGCGGCGACAACGGACGCGGGTCGACGGAGCCGGATGTTGAGGAGGAGTGGGATGCGGAGACAGGAGCTCCCAGGCGGCTGCGGAGGGACAACTTAAATGAGCGTTACTTTTCAGCACGAAGCCGCTGTGACCTTGCATCAGAGACTGGGGGCTGGGAATACGAGAGTACTGGTCAGGAAAGCTCCTCAGCGGCGGCACCCAGGGCTCGTCGAAAGGGAAGCCATGCGGAAAAGCCGCATGCGAGCGCCGTCACAACTGGGGTAGCGGGTACAGGTACGGGCGGCGGAACCCCCTCAACGGTTGCGCCGAGCGCTGACAATGGCCGCAAAGGCGGGGAAGCCCCCTGCGGCAGCGGCGGTGCCGTCAGTGCGACGCAGGCTACGGGTCGCAGCGGGCTTGGCGGAGAGGCTGGCGAAGAAGCCCCCGGCGGCAGTGCTATCGGCCTTAGCAGCCCCTTTGCTGCAGCAAGCAGCGGCGGCGAGGACCCCAGCCTAAAAACGAGTGGCGCGCCCGTTTGCGTGGAAATGGTAGCCGCAGGCCCCAGTCGGCGACAAGCCGTTCTCGACAGCAGCGGGGAGGACAGCGGCAGTAGCAGCGCCAGAGGGGTTCGAAGAGGACGTTCGGTGCCCGTGCCGATACCACTGGTGACTCCTGCTTCCCCAACAGCAGCGGCGGAGACCCAACGTGGTCGCAGCGAGGATGGCGGCATGCACGGTGCCGGCAATGCGTTTACTGCCCGCGGCGGCGGCGGAGGCGGCGGCTGTGGTGCGGGGCGCGGCGGGGAGCTACGTAGTCCAGCGATGTCTGCAACTGAGGCCGACATTGCGGTGGCAGCGGTGGGCCTGCCCAATCGCGTAGGCAGCGGTGGCAGCAGCAGCGGCGCCGGCAGGGAAGGTACCAATGATGGTAGCGGAGGTCCATCGAAGTGGTGGTCTTGGTCCCGCTGGCGCCGCAACCCCTCTTCCGGTCCTGAGGCGCAGTCCCCCACGCACCAACAGCAGCAAGGGCAGGAACAGCAGGGGCAGGTGCAGCGGCGGCCTTCCTTCCCCAACGTGCGTCGGCAGCCGTTGACGCGTACCCGTCCTGAAAGCGGCGCGGTTCGCTATAGCCAGGAGCATGATGTCTGCCTGCCCCCACCTCATGCCTACGTCGGCCCTGCGGGTCCAGACCATCCTCACTCCCAGCAGCAGCTGTGCACCAGTCAAGGCCTGCCGCAGCCGCTGCTGCCACCGCCTGCGGCGCTTACACACCAACAACCTCAACACCACGCCTTCGACCAACCCGGCTTCGACAGCTACCCGCAGAACCCAAGTCAGCTAGTAGCTTACGGACCGCCGTCAGCCTACCCGTGCCCGGTCGGCCCCTCCAGCACCACCGCCGCTGGGACTGCCCTCGGCAGCCTCACCTTAAGCGACAGCATGCGCTTCCCGCCCTCCTCCCAGTACCCCTCCTCCCTGCATCCGTCACTGATGCGACAACATGATGCCCAATACCCTCAGCGGCATTCGTTCCTGCCTAGTATTCAGGAGCAGCAGCCGCCACCGCACCGGCAGCTACCCAGCCCATGGATGTCACCCGTCAGCCACTCCGGCCGCGCCGCTAGTGCCGCGCTGTCGCCGTTGCAGTCACCCTATTTGCCGCCGTCCGCGACCAGCAACGCCGACGCCACCACCAGTGCCAACGTCATCGCTGCGGGCAGCCTCACCCCCTGGAGTGCCGGCGCGGCGCAACAACACGTGGACGCGGCGGAGGCGGCGCCTGCTGCCGGTGGCGGCTCTCCCGCGTGGGGTATGGGCGCTGTGGGTGGCGGCGGTGGGGCGGGAGCAGCAGCAGAGGTATGCGATACTGCTGCTGGCACCAGCGGGACAGGGAGTGCCAGCGGTAGTGGCGGAAGTGCACATTCCTGCCCCGGAGGCAGAGGAGGCAGCAGCGTTTTTGTTGGTGGTGGAATGGCGAGCAGTCGTGTCAGCATGGGCGACAGCGGCATGGGTGTTGCTCCTGGCGGCGGCGTGACGGCCGCGGAGCTGGGCGATCCGGTTGCATTTTGAATGACGAGGAAGAGGAAGAAAATGGGGAAGAGCAGTAAGGGCAGCGGCATCAGAGCGTGTTGTTTCCCATTGCCGAGAGCGATATCTCGTCCGCATTGTCAGGAATAAAATGTTGCTGTTGCAGACGTGATGCGTAAAATCGCGTCTTTTGGGTGAGGGCGCGGTTGAAGCTGGAAGCACAGGGGAACGGGAACAAAGATCGTGAGGCGGCGTCGATGGCCAGGGTACGGCGGCCTGGAGGTTTGGCTTCCTGGGGGTGATCAATGCGGCAGCGGCGACCACGATGAGGCGCCCAGGAAGGTGGTGGCGGTGGGGCCGAGGAGCGGTCTGGGCAGCCAAGCCAGATTGGCAGTGGCTGGGAAGGAGGCGGCATGCAGGGCAGCAGAGCAGTGGCGAGGAGTTCGGGCATTGTTGGGTTATTTGAACGTATGCAGGTTGGCTGTATCAGGTTCGCGTTTTTCAGTGTGTTGGGGTTTGGAAGCGGAGGAGGCAGCTCAATGGTAGGCGAACTTTGCATTTGCCTCTGGTACAGCAGAGCATATTGAAGGGCATTGAGGGTGGCGCCACCACCCTTGAGGCGTTTGCTGAGAGTGCGAGGGGGGCTCGAGAAAATGCAGGAGAGAACTTTGAGAACACATCGCATGTGGCAGTGTACTGAAACAAGGCATACCCACGACCAGCCCTGGTATCGGGCTTTTTGCATTCTTGGAACTTGATGGGGGGTTGAGGTTTAGGCTCGCAGCGTGTGTCGCACTTTTCTAGGAAAGGCCCGACAGGGTCTCCGTGCGCGGGGAAGACAGCCTGTCGACGATCGTAGCCGTGCAGGAATGTGAAAAGGATTGCCGGGATTTTTCCAATAAAACGTATGTTGGTTGCTACACCCCCGATCATTTGCGCAAATAGCCATCCTGTTATTTGTGATTAGCCATGTTGGTCGAACCCTTGCAATGCTTCTGCGTGGACTAAGTTCATTGAGCACTGTAGCGTCTGTGATTACGCACGTACTCGGACGGATGATTGCCGGTACGCCCATTTTGTCATGGTCTCTCGGTCTCGGTGGGTACATAACAGGAGAAAGACTACATGAACGCCTATTGCCGCGTTGTCTTATTCAATCTGCGTTGCTGGCCGCTTACATTGGTAGGGTTGTGCGAACTCAAATTGCCTGCTTTCGAGTTGTAGTGCACTGAGTGGTGCACGAGACCTGCGCGACATTAGGGGACGCCCTTGCAATTTAAACAGTAAACATTTCACTTGGTGGGTTATCGGGCAATCGCGTGGCCCATATATGTTAGGTGGCCGGTGAAGATAAAAAGGCCTTTCTGGGTTCCGACATAGTGCGGCCGAACAAATACTCCAGGTAAAGATCTTCCATGCCAGCAAGTAGCGAATGCAAACGCCTTGATAGCGCGCAGACGTACAGCGAGTGTGCTGTCGTACGACATGTACCACTCAGAGCCCATCAAAAGGAAGCAAGCCTTAATTCGAACCAATTATTATTACGCTTATGTAGGCATTTTCGTAACAGCTAACTGAGAGGACATTGCCTTTACTACGACGTAGACAACGCATTTCCCTCATCAAAATATTCTCAGACAGTGCGTTGGCTTTTAATCATCACAAATGTGTCAGTCACAGCCAACGATGTCGTCGGAGCATGTCGGCGAGGATATGGATTGCTGCTGGTACGCATGGGCCCAGCCGAAACGGGTTGTTGTCACTCCACTGGCTGACCCACCTGGGCAAGCATTCACTACAACGTTTCTACGTTGCTAGCCGTCGACCTGCTGGTCTCTGGGGAACGGATTTTGCAGCATCCTCACAGTAGTGTTATCGCAACCGACGCAACCACCATCGCGACCAACCCCTTACCGCTCTCTTTGAGTCATATGATGTTTTTATCTTTACATCTTTTATTTTCCAACAGTATGGGACACTCCCCGCTGCGCAGGATCTGCCTCGGGACGGATGGAATGTTATCGCGGCCTTGCATGTGCCCACGCAGCGTGCATCCCACCTGCCTTGCGCGATGGCAGCTTCAACAGGCTGGTCGTCAGGTAATTATACGGTCATCCGGGAGTTGTGTAGCGCGAACGTTTTAGGGAGGGATAATAAGTCGCATGCACCGACATTGATAGCTAACCGACAGACTTGCCAGGCCAGAAACTGCTTTACCAGTAGTTCAACCGTCGTGTTCCGTAAAGGCCTTACATAACCCCCTTAGTATCATAACCGACCCACTGCCCCTTTCCACTTACGACTTCAGGAGGAGCGCAGTTGCCGCTTTTGCAACGCCAGTCTTCCAGATTGGAAGTCTCAGCTAGCTCCTTCGCCTCCAGCTCCAGTTGATCCGGTTATGGTAGTCAGCCTGGGCGGCAAAGCGGTCAAGATCAGAGTCAAACCCGGTCCCGAAGGCATGGCTCACTTCAGGCAGCAAGTTCGCGAGCTGTTCAACATTCCCTCGGATGTCGAGTTCGAGTGTTCATTCAAATGCAAAGCCCCTTCTGGTAAGCCTCTGCTCTGCCAGGTTGCTTGTCGCTCCTGCTGCTTCATTTCCTGCCTCTGCAGTACTGTAGTTCTTTCTTGTACTTTTAAAGCCAACACAAATGAGCCGTGCGCCTGTTCTGTGTTCCTTGTCATGCCAAAATGTTCACAACCTCTGTTGCCGTGTTCTTGCACGTTTTACCTGCATTCCTCAGGCGATACAATCCAACTTGAGGGGCTCGCTTCCTACGACGCCGCCACGCACTGCGCTTCGCTTATGGCAGCTCAGCGTGCGGCTGCTGCCTCCCGTCGGCCACCTACACAACCCACGTCCGCACCCGCATCCGTACCAACGCCAATGTCCACATCAACGGCTGTGACCCAAGGGTCAGCGACCGCCGCTACGTCTGCCCCTGCTCCTTCATCTGCACCTGTTGCCAGCAGTGCCGCTGCTTTTGCTCACCACCAGCAGCAGCACTGCCAGCACCAACAACGCCGTATTCACAACAGCAGCGGCGGCGGCAGCAGCGTCAGTAGCAGCGCAAGTACAGACGGCGGCAACACTGTGATGTACGGCGACGGGCTCCAAGCAGAAGTGCCGCAACAGCAATCGCAACAGTACTACAACACAGCCTGCCATCAGTACAGCAACCACCACCAACAGCAACTGCTGCACACCGCCAACCACTTCCAGCATCACCAGCCAACTGCTCCTACTCATGCTCCTTCTCACGCCCTACCCTACCAGCTACAGCAACAGCAATACCAGCAACCCCCGCAGTATCCGCGGCAGCAGCAGCAGTCTTGCCACCACTTTCATGTATAGCGTCACGTGGTCTCAACAACTTTCCTCCCTTTAGAGGGCGTACATACTTGGAAGGATCCCTTTGAGGCTGAACAGAATGGCATCGGGGAAGGTGGTAGGCCAAAGGATCTTTCAATTCATTAATGTGTTATACCTACCTATATATAGTATACCTAAAGTGATTTTCTTCTCTAGTTGTACATTCAGATGCCATGCCTGAGCGCATCTTAAGCGTTAGTGCGGAGTATTCTGGTTGGTTGCCGTACAGGGTGCGCACATGGTGTCTTGGGGTTTGCCGTACATATGTCCTGTTGCTAGCATAAAGTTGACAGTTGATATGTCGCTTATTTGCTACAGTTTTCCAGTGCTTCTGCGCTAACGATCCGGATTTGCGTATAGGGTGCGCTCTGTGCTGTCTTTTACCATCCTGTATTGTAGACTTTGTAGTACTTGCGTGCCTATTGCCGTCATAGTGAATACCTTACAACTCTTACCCTGGGCAAAGAATTGCAACATGACGTTTTGGAAGTAGGACCCGTGGGACTGCCAACCGCTGAAACATGCGTGTATATTGGACTATGTACGATGTACGGATTACCCGATGATACGGCACCGCAAGGTACCGACATACCTTTAGCCTGGTTGAGCTTCGTCTAGTATAAATATCACATACTGTGGGCCCGCAGTGCGCTGTGCATTAAACGCAATTGTCAAGACGATGGCACTGCTGTCGTGACTCGTGAGGTGTTTTGTCACGAGGTCTAAGCGTGTTACGCTGAGTGGTTGAGGGCACCGTACCATTGCGGTATTCCGGGTACGTGTGCATTTGTGCGTGTCCTATCCCGCGTGGGCGCCTCTCAGCGCTACCCGGGGTGTATAAGGCATGACGTGGGGTACATGTTTGGTTATCCCATGCGTGTTTGTTTTGAAGAGAGACATCTCGAAATAGCATTCTACATATCAGGTGTTGGGTCGGGTATAGGGCCTGCTTCTGAGTCCTGAGTTGCGGCCTGTGTTGAGTGCACCGAATCCAGTTGTAACTTCTTTCCACGGTGCGTACGGCATCTCTCAGCGTCCGCTCCTTCAAGCCCCCTCTGTCCACTAGCTAGGTTAAGGGCACCGCCAATGCAACAGCTGCTGCAGCCGCTGCTACCGACGCCTCCCACCCCTTTCACTGCCGCCGCTTCCATTGCACGTCGGGTAGCTCCCAACACACGCCGCACATAACAGACTTAACAATACTACTCTTCAGCTACAATGCAACTCATATCATGCTAGTTTACCATAGGCAACCTATGTTCATCCTTACAAGACGGCTTTTCGATGCTCAAGACAACGCAAGAGGCAGACCCGCAGCTCCTGCCACAGACTTCACCTTGCAAAGCCTATCATACTGAGGAAGCCACCAACCCAACGCCCTCCCCCCCAAATGCAAGGAGCAGCAACCATACAACCGCAAAACAATCGCCTTTAAAAGTTCGCCTCCGATCGCCCCAACACTGTTTATACGGTATCAGCCCCTGCCTAACCCTACCTACAAGTGGAGTAGCATGGCCACAAGTCGGCCCCCGGGCCCCCCTGCATGGTGTGCAAGGGCCTGCACCCTGGGTCGCAGCAAGCTGGTCTAATCCGTTGCTATAGTGTTACTATGTAAGGCGGATATTCCAGGCAAACCCCAACCTTGCTCAGAAAAACCTTGCCAGACCCTACTGGCAAACCGCTGCGACCCAGCCGACCCTTTCCTAATTCCTCGTCCCCTTCGGCGGTTTTTTGCCCTCAGTTGGCCGCTACAGGCCAAAGCAGGCACGTAACTAACCCATTTGCATCGCTGCATCCATGCATGCGCACACACACAAACGTTATTTTAACACACAAACGGTACGTGCTGCCGTGAGGGCGCGACCCTCTTTGCCAGCCGCGTTCACCGTCGCAAGGCCCCAGCCGGGTGCTGCTGCGGCTGTTGGGGCGTGGTGAGCAGTCTGAGGGCCTCCGTGAGGTGCTTCACGGCGGTGGGGATGTCCTCAAAGGAAAGCGCTGACACCGCGTACCTCGCCTGCTTTTGGGCGTCAGTGAGCACCTGGCGGGGTGGGGCGGGGCGGGGCGGGGCGGGGCGGGGCGGGGCGGAACGGGGCGGGGCAGGGTGGGGCGGGAGGCGGCAGGGTATAGGGAACACGCAGTAACGGAGTGTGGGAGGTTGCTGGATTGCTGTCGCTAGGGGCGGCATGGGGTTCTCCGTATTGTTTACGGTAATAGCGGGACCAGGAAGGAGGACCAACTTGTTGCTGGAGGACGCAACCAGACGATGCAACTGGACCTCTATCCCCACCTGTAGCGGAGGCTTATATCCGGGGGGCAGTGCGGGTGTAGGTGCTGGCACGGCTGCTGCAGGTGCCGCCCCTGCCCAGCTGCCGTGCTGCGGTGCCGCCGCTGCCACAGCATGTACCGGGTGCTGCTGCTGATGCCCGTACGAGTACGGCTGCGAAGACGAGGCATGCTGCGAAGACGAGGCATGCTGCGATGGAGGCTGCGGCGGCGGTGGAGGTACAGGAGGAGCCGCTCCGTAACCCGTACCGCTGCCGTTCACGGTGGGGTAGGGCCCAGGTGCGGGTGCGGGCGCTGACGGCGGCGGTGGCGCGGCGGCATGAGGAGGGAGGGGTCCCGAGAAGGACATGGGCCCCGCAGCCGGGCCCGCAGGTGGCTGCGGCGGTAGCGGAGAGGAGGCCCGCGGCCCCGAATAGGACTTGGACCCAGCTGGAGCGTATCCGGTGGAGAAGGCCGCGTCCAAAAGCGTATCCGGCTGCGCTGGCGGCTGCGCTGCCGCCGCCACCGGACCGGCCGCCTGTTGCTGCGGCGGCAGCGGCGGCCCCAGCTGTGTTGCCTCTGCCGCCAGCTCCCTGCCATCCTCCGTTCGCACCAGGTAGGTAGGCGGCCAGGAGGCGTCGTTGATGAGCAGCACCGTCCCCGCCAGACCTCCTGCCCCGGCTGCTCCCAGACGCAGGTACACGGGCTCCCCCTCCGCCAGAGCGGGCACGGCTGCCTCATCAGGCAACTCCATCAGGCGGTCGCGCAGGGCTACCTTGTAGCTGCAGAGGCAGAGGCAGAGGGAGAGGGACGGTGTGCAAGAAGAACCAGAGTGAGGGGAAGGGTTACAGGGTTCGTGGGCAAAACACAGCGTATGGAGGAAGCGGCGCGAGGGAGGAGGGAAGAGAAGGGAATCGGTTCTAGCTGCTTCCCGTGTCAAACCTTGCACCTCATCCGTACCTGTAGCCGCCGTCGGGCCTGGGTACGACCATGCCCACAGTGCCTTGCTGGATCTGCAAGTGGGATAAGCGGGCACGTACATGCTTGGGTGGCGTGCTAATATACGCTTAGATGACCCTGATGCATGTGACCCAGCCGCACATGCAGGGGCGGTAAGGAAGGAGAAGCGAGGCACGAAGAAAGCAACACGAGGAGATGCCAGCCAACCTGTAGCCACTGGTGTCGGCCGCCAGTGCAACCAGGCATCCTAGGATGCGTCCCCGCGCAGGGCTTCAACCTCGTCATCCTCCGACCGATCCACCCGCGCCCACTTACCTCCTCATCACCGCCGCCCTCCAGCCCCTCCTCCGTACGAACCAGCAGCCGACAGCCCGGAGCAAACCGCGGCCCCATAGCACCGCGTGCCATCCCGCCTGCCACCGCCGCCGCCGCCGTCGCTGCCGCCCCCGCTGCCTCAACAGCATGGATTGCCGCTCCTGACGCCGCCACTGCTACTGCAGCCGAATCCGACCTGCCGTACGCCCAATCGCTGGATCCAGAAGCCGGCGGCAGATCCGTCAGATCACCTCCGGGCCCTCTTCCTGCAGCAGCAGCGGGGGCTCCATCAGCGGCGGCGGCAGGTTGAGGTGACGGCGGCGGCAGCGGCTGCCTGCCCTCCCGCAGCGCCTTCCTGATCTCCGCAGCCCGCCATGCGCAGTAGCGCTGCTTCTCAAACAGCTCCGAGTCCACCCCGCCGTCGAAGACGTTCAGGATCTGCGGAGGAGATAGAGGAGTTCGGGAGGTTAACGGTGTGGACAAGCAAACGCTTGTACGGCGACAGGAGAATTATACTGTATGAGAGGAGTGGGAGGGAAGGCTTGGAGCGGTTGCGGGTGTGGACCAGGGCCGTAGCATGAGCAGCGGCGCCAGTGGCAGCTGGTTATGTGAGAAGGGCATGGAGAGGGGCTGGCTGAGCTGTGAAAGGTGGATTGCGCACGTGGCGTTGGCATGACAGGTGAACACGCGTAATGTTGCAAGGCGGCAGTCTCACCTCGATAAACACCGACGCCGCATAAAAGGCCTTGGAGGTCCGTTCTGTGGCTTTCCCCGCCCGATCGACGCGATCCGCGTTGTCAAAAATGCGAAGGGCGAATCCAAGGCAGTGGATCCGATCCGCCGCCGGATCCAGCTCAAGCCGGGCCTTATCCTTTTCCAACTGACCCAGCGTTGCAGCCAGCAGCGAATTGATCTCCTTGGCCCGCTGGGGCAGCTTCATGGCCTGTGTGGTTGTGCCGAAGAGCGTGACACGTGAAGCAAAAGGGAGGAATAGCATGCGGATAAGCGCGAATGCGGGGCCAGCCGTAAGCGTCCTAACCGAAAACTTATGGGAGCAACTTTGCGTGGGATTGCCTGCGTCGTGGAGCAGGGAGCAAGTTGCACGTGGGGCCTTGCCACATCCGTTGTCCCGGACAACCATACCAGAGGTGCCGTCTATTCCCCTTTCACCCCGCTTGCTGTCCAAAGTGTCAGGGACCAAACAGTTGAGCCTGCCACCTGGAGCCCAAATCACGCTGAGTGTTCGTACCTGCTCCACAGCATACAGCCTACAGTAGTATGCGACCTTTGGATCCGCCTGCTGTATCTCTTGGGCTCTCTGTGGCCAAGCTCGCAGCAAGCATCAATGGAAAGGCCCCCGGCCAAGTCAGAGCGACGGACCCATGGAGGTGCCGGTAGGTGGCTTAAGTCATTTCATAGGTCCAGATCTTACCTGCATAAACGGCAGAATGAGCTTCTTTTGTTCCTCTAAATCAGCAGCCATCTTTGAGTGCGCCTTGGAACTTTACAGCGTCGCTTCAGCGCCACGCCTCAGCGCCCAGGGAAACTACACTGGCTAACTCAACTGTGTAACAATAGCAATTACGATGGTTTGACTTCCCGCTGCAGTCGAAGCCACTGTTGCGAATAGCTGTGCTCCACGCTAACTGCTCATGGACACCGCTCCGAAGACACGCTTTCACAGGTTTACTTCCAGGAAACGTTTGCGGGCCCATAGCGCTAAGTAGGTACGTGAACTGACTGCCTTCTACAGTGCATGCGCTAAAGGTTATAAGGGTACGGGCCCAGCCAACGAAGTTCAGGTTGAAACTTGCGAGCTGCAATTCCCACAAATGCAGACTATTCAGCGACACTTGAGCCCAGTTGGATCGAAAACGGCCACCCGGCAAGTAGCTTTTTCAGGCTGTCGTTTGCTTGCACGGAAATGTGTGGTGCGGAGCGGTAGCAACGGCGCTCCCCAGACCACGACAGGTAAGCGCAGCGGTATACCTAGCGCGCTGGAGGGTGTAGACAATTCGTGCATTGCCCCGGAGAAAGAGTTGTAAGCTACTACATTGCCGTTGTTTCCTCCCTTTCCCAGAGCAACAGTCCACCTCCTCCTCTACAACAACGGTGGACCTTGATAAAGAGCTCACGAAGTTTACGCGAAAGGCAGCCGGCACCTTTGCGCCGCGCTCGTCGACAAAGCAGGAGAACCCTGCGGTCAAGGGCAGCGTACTGTACAACGTCTTTGAATACCAGGCCTGGATTTGCCTTGTAGCCGGCGGCCTCCTCTCATTCAACCTCATCTGGCCCACAGACGAACCCAGTATTCCCCGCCTTCTGGGGTAAGGACGGGCGCTGTGGACGGGTACTTCCGAAGGCCGCTAGGGAGCATTTGTCTGAATGGGGCCTTCCGCATCTCTTATCCCCTTTCTCACCCACCTTTATCCTCCCCCTTCCCTCGCCCCTCCCGTCATCTCTCTCCTCACGTACTGATGGCCCCTTGTGGCGATTATTGGTGTATATGCACGCTAAACTCTCCACACCCTCGACCACCCTTGCTGACCACCCATCTCCCTTCCTTGACGCCTGCCCTCTCTCCCCGCCTCCTGCCTGCCTCACAGCATGTGGTCCATCTGGATGTTCACCATCCCCTCGCTGCGCGCCAAGGAGTGCACCGCCCGCGAGAAGGACGCACTCAACGTGCTGTTCCTGCTGGTGGGTAGGCTGGCTGGAGTAGCATGCTGCATGCAGCAGCCTGGACAATTGAGGTTCCCGTACTGACGCGTCGTGTTGTCGGGGTGTGCTTGTCCTCCTGGTAGCTGTTTGTCTAGGCTGAGTTTGCTGCTGGTGGGTAGGTTGGATTCGTGTGCAGGGTGTTGAGTATGGGTTTGCGATCTGGGAGATTCTTGATACCTTGGGCTCTGGTGATGTAGCAGCATACAGCATGCATTTGCCATGAGACGCGGCGTGTCGACAGGGCTTTCTCCTTAGCCTGACGGCTTCTCCCTTATGTCTTAACTACAACCCGACTCACCCCCGGTTGCCCTTCTTCGCCCTCCTTTGGAACGGCCGGAACCATGCAGGTACCCCTGGTGAACGTGGTACTTCCCTTCGTGTGGAAGAGCTTTCCCTTCATCTTCTCTTCCAATGTGGCGGCGCTGGGGTTGGTGTACTGGTGGAAGGGCGTGTGGAAGGAGGTGTACGGACTGCCCCTTGCATGGGATGGTGAGGCAGCAGCAGGGGCAACGGCAGCAGCTGGGGATGCTTCTGAGAGCGTCTCAGGAGATTCCAACGGCTCTGCTCAGGAGTGAGGCAGCAGCAGTGATGCCTGTTGAGAGCAAAATGCTTAGGTAAAGCGACGTTTGCACTATAGGGCGTCTTAGAGGCGGGGTGAGAATGGTACTGAGGTGTGGCGAGAGAAGAGCATTGTATATGGGCCGGCTATCGGTTAAAGCTAAGGTTTCATGGATGGCTGACATGGAGAACTGGTGAGTGAAAGCGAGGTCGTTGGGTCTAGGTGCATCTTGATCTGTTGTACGCATGTAGATACCGGCATGCATGCCATGTTAAGACAATTTTGAGGACCTTAGCAGGAGGTGTGTATCTTTTGGTTCACAGATGGCCTCACTATGCGCTTTGAGCTGAGGGAATATGGCAACGGGAGGGAGGAGAGGCATAGAAGAGAAGGCAAACCCGAGAGCCGTGTTTTTCATGTCTTGCGGTAAGCATGCATGTGCGGTCTGTCTTCGTTGCTGATGCAGGGGGGTTCCTGAATGCGAGGCATCAACGCCGTGCGCTTGTAGGGCAGCGCGAGCGGCGTCATACGTTGGATCCCATGCGGTTGCGTGCATATGCAGCGCAGGAAGGATAGGGGATGGGTCGTATAGGGAGTGTTTGACTCCCTGAGCAGATTTCTTTGGCACAACCCGCACAAGGTAGCCCGTACACTACATTTCGCGGGCGCCTGAGCAGTGCGACCACCCCATCAGCGTTAGGGAGGGGATTCGGTTTCCGTTGTCTGGTTTTGCGCTGGTTGCCACTGCCTTGGGGCAACCCGTGTAGTTTGTGGTTGCTTTTTCCTGTATCGTTGCGATTTGTACTAGCTTGCCTTCTCTTAAACCTGACAGTCGCCGACGAGTCAACGAGGTCATGTTAACAGTCCCTATGTAAAGATATCCAGGCACACGTACCACGCAAGTGGTAAGCAATATCATGATCAGGTCAACGACTTCACAGCAAAAACGGTTGCAAGCCGCTTGCTACCTCACCTATCATCCAAAAGCTTTACCCATATCAAGCCATCACCTAGGGTCAATAGTCGTGTCCTTTAACGTCATGTCCGAACCCCGCGCCCAGGCCTCCTTGCACTTTGCCCCCACGTGTCCTGAGCCTGTCCAGGTGTGGGCAGGGAGTTTATCGCATGGCACTGGTATGCCATACACCATGCACCTGCCAAAGGGACTACTCACTCAAGCCACACTCTTCCGGGCAATTTACATACGCAAAGAGGCCACAACCATAAGCAGACACTGTCAACAAGCTGTTTAAGTCAAAGGATGGCCTCTCAAGGAACTCGACCCCTGCAAGCCACGTCCAAGCATAAGACATACACATGGGAACACCTATTCGCCCCCAGCCTGCCCTAGCAGTGTGCAGTGCTGGTGCTGGCTGCTGGGTCCCAAAGCCGCTCTGCGCTGTGCAATGCCAGCAAAACCGACTTGAACACTGCCATCGTGCTAGAGACGCACACAATCCGCTGCGTCAATCCACCCACACCACCGAGCTATAGCCCCTAATCAAATTGCACACACGCATGTGAGCATCGCTGGCAATTACTGTGCGTCGTAATGACGAATGTGCAGCGCCCAACGCATCCCCCTCCACAGACCCCATTCCTTGCAAGCACAGCAGCCCCATGACAACCCCATGGGGAAACCCACAGCCCGCAACGCCGCAGTATGGGCCTAGCAAGTCAAATAATCAGATTGCACCACAACCCGTCAAAGGGAAGCTTAGCGTCAAGCCCTGCACTTAAGTATCCAGCCTGCCCCCCCCCCATTTGTCCGCTTCTCGTTACGCTAAGGTGGTCACAACAGAGCGCGTGACCGCTAAAGCCGGACCCGAAGGGCCGGCGCTATTAAGCATGTGTGGGTTCAAGCAAGACAAGGGCGTGGGGCCTACCTACGGCTGATTATGCTACTCATTCGCGCATTACCGGCAGCCATTGCGCAGCCAGAAGACCCCGTCTTGGCATGGCGTTGACTCGGTCTCAGCCGACTTGCAGAAAGAACCTGAAAATAGGCGCCATTATAAGCATTCATGGTGAAAGCCAGGTCGACAGTTGGTGACATAAACGCAGGAACAGGCCTTGGCAAGGAACAAAGACCCGAGCGCCGCTTGTAGGATTCTCCTGACGCATCCACCCTACTCATCACGTCACATTCTAAATTACAGCTGACATCACGCAGCTGCACAGTACGAACTAACACTATGACTTCGTTAAAAATCCAAACTACGTCACATGCACGGTTTGTGCGCATTGGGTTATCTTGTTAGGCGTCGAAACTGTTTCGCTAATCGCACACGCGTTTCAGTCTTCAATCTGCAGTAATGACGTTTGCCTTCATGGCCAGCCTCCAATCGCACTCAGGAGGACAACGCTAACGCAGCGCATTATGGACTTTTCGTTCCCCCAACCCCAACCCCATTGTACCCGACAACTATCCTCCCACCAAGTTACCACATCTTGCCAACATGCACCCCTTACATGATACCCGCACGGCCATAGCCAACTTGGATCGGTCATGCTCGGATTGATCACGAGAGATGCATCACCCCACTTCAGCTCCCCATTACAAGCGTGACGCTCACCCCTAAACACCCCTAAAGCCGCAACCAGTTCCATCACAGTTACGAACACTATCACAACTCCACGCTGCGACACGGTTGTAAGTACGGCTCTCTGCTTACAATTCGTATCGCGCATTCCAGCCATCACGCCAACCACCCTTTTCGCCCAAGACCTACCCAACCTCTTCCCCAAGCATGCAACTCAACCATTGTGGCTTACTCTGTTACCGGCCGAGACTGCTGGGGCCTGGCGTACGGCGGCCCATGGACGAAGTAAACGTTTCACGTGACGCCGTACGGCTTATGCCGGACTCAGGCGTTGCACGTCCGCTCGCAGGTCGGGTAGGAGCTGGACTAGCAGCCACGCTGCTGCTAGTGCTGCCGCCGACCCCAGCGCCACTGCCTCCGTTGAGGACACCGCCCTCGGATTGGGAGACTACGTTGGCGCGTGCGCGGCCAAGCTCCACCTTGCGCGCGCGGGAGGCAAACTCCAAGGAGCACTTGGTTTCGGAAACGTTTTCGGCCGCAGGCGACACGTTGACAATCATTACGCACTTGCTGTTGCCGCCCAGCGAATCCTCCAGAAGCCTAGTGAGCTGCATTCGGAAAGGCGGTTGGAAAGGAAAGATGCCGTCAGTGGCGTGCGATGCGTGAGGACATAGCTTTGGACATGAACCCCTGTGGCCAATGATCCGTGCGCGTTTCCTGATTTGCGCTCACAGTGCCAGCACATGCAGCACAGCTGCCCGCATTCACTACACGGCAGCAGCTTGAATGCAGGAATCCCCTACCTACCTTGGAGTTGCGGTAGGGGATGTGCGCGTTGCGCTGCTGCAGCGCCTGGATGACGTCCCCAAGCGCGCTCAGCGACTTGTTGATAGCCTGCGCCTCCTTCAGCCGGTCGCCCTGAGCGCCGGTGCGGCTCAGGCGCTCACTGCCCGCCAGGTCGATCAAATGCAGCTTGCCGCGCAGGGTGGTGCCTGGAAAGCAGGTGCCAGCATGCGATAGGATATCAGCAGTGTGCGAACAAGGAGAGGTTAAACAAAATGCAATCTGTTGCCCCTCGCTCGCACCTTACACCGGCGAGGTCGCCTATACCAATAACCCAAGTGATAGTTGCAATCAGCCTGCAGCCTTGCCGCACGACTCCACCTACCGTTCAACTTTGAGGTGCTGTTGACGTAGACGGAGAGCACCAGGTGCGAGCGGGAGCTGTGCTCATTCATGTTGGTGGCGTAGGTGGAGCGGTTGGACTTGCCGCGGCCAATCAGGGCCGTCACATCGGCCATGTCGCGCACCTCCTCCACCTTGAGGCCGGCGACGTACATCCCGTCGGGGCCCTGCAGGCCGAAATGACAAGAGGCGGGGTCAGGACGTGCACACAGGACAAACATTGGGGACGCTAAGGCGTGCACGCATGCAGCTCTCAACGGTTGAGGTTCCAAGCCTGAACGTGCCAATAGCTCCTAAAACCCCCGCTCTCATGACTGGTGTTAACGAAGGCTCCACCTTCGTAGCACGGTCGCTCATGGGCAGCTCACCTGCTTGACATCCAGCTTGTCCCCATCCTGCGCCCCCGACACAAGCAGGTCGTAGATCTGCTCGTTGTAGATTTCCAGAACCGAGGCGGAGAAGGTGGTGGTGAAGGCGCCCGTGCGATCCTCAGCGAGCTTAAAGAGGTCGGCCAGGGCGCGCAGGTTTACACCGGGATTGCCCTGTCACAAGGAAAAGGCACGACACGGCACGAAGAAGGTGAATACAACAGCCCGTCTTATGCAGTGTAGACCGGCGCATTCTACTTGCCTTACAAATGAATGCCCATGAATCGGAGGAGCCGTAAACGTGTATCTAAGTCAACGAAAACAGGTGCACCCAAAGAGCCATCACCACCCACCTCCGGTCCTTCCATGGTGAAAGTCTTGCCGCTGCCCGTCTGGCCGTACGCCATGATGGCCACATTGAAGCCGTCCAGCACCGACGTCACCAGCGCAGCCACCTCGTCGTACAGCTGCGTGGACAAGCATGGGCGTTTGCAAGCGAGGGAGGCACGGCTATGCAGGGGTATCATTTACCATGGCGCGAAGGGCTTAGCCCCATCAAACCGTGCGTTTCCAACCGCCTTTACGCTGGAAGCCCCCTTGAGGTCACGGGGACATGGATGCCGGGATCCCTTGCTTCCGACCCTGGTCCAACCCAGTGCTAGGTTTCCCAGTCCAGGCCGGCCCATACCTTGTCCTGCCCCTCATCAGGCGCCAGGACGCGGTCGAAGTCAAAGTCCTTCTCCGGCTTGTTGTCCACGGCAGCCACCCGCAGCGCCTCCTCGCCCATGACGCGCACTGGCATGCTGGACGCGTCACCATTCGCCACCGTGCGCTCCTTCTCCAGCAAGGGCCGCACGCGGCAAAGCACGCGGATGTTCCCCTTGAGCTCAAGCACCTGCATGACAAGGGACATGGCGCAAGGCTCAAAAGGGCTGGCATGCTGGCGATGCATTGGGACGTTGCGGCATTCCTTTCCAGCGCTTTCCACACTGGCAAAGAGAGTATGCTGGGTACGGATGGAAAGGAGCAAGTGCCCCAGACGTACCATGTTATGCAACTTCCTGCGCTTGTCGAATTCCACTCGCCATTTCTCCCGGAAGTGTGCGATCTGGCCAGCGGCCTCGAGTTCGCGGATCTTAGCAGCTTGGGCAGCCTGCAACAGCACAAGTGTGGTAATGAATCCCAAAACAAGCTGAATAGGAAGGGGCGAAAGGGCACGTGCAGGGTCCTCTCGCCGAGTTCAGCAGCAGCGTGCGAGAATGCCAAGGCGCTTACCTCCTGCCGCACCGTCTCCGCCTCCTCCCGCGCATCCTTCAGTTTGCTTTCCATGTCGTTAAGCTTAGCCCGCAGGTCGGATTGCGCTGATCGAACCCGCGAGATCTCCTTGTCGCGAGCCATGCGCGTCATCTGCGTGATGACCTTGTCCGATAAGATCTCCGCCTGGAAGGTGACCAGCTCCTCGAGGACGCCCTCCCGCAACATGTGCAGCTCATCTAGTTTGGCCTGTTGGAATGGGGGAGGGTATGGCGTGACCGCACACGAGTCAGTGACAACCGACAAACTTTCGGAACACCACGGGGCAATGGAACAGCAAAGATGAGCAAGGCATGTTTTGGAGGGCAGCATTTCGTTCAGATGGATATGGGCAAAGACCATACAGGACAGGCAAGAAACTCTGGGTAAGCTCTGTTGCTTTCCCACCTGAACCATCTGCAGTTGGTTCTTGTACTGCGCGGCGGCGTCCGACTTGACGGTCGCCATCTTCCCCTTCATCTCCTGCATGGACCGCGGCCGAAAGGTTTAGTGGTGTTGCCGGGGCACTGTCTATTGTTCGCGCGTAACCATGCAGCATGAAGAGAAAATGAAAATGGCCCTGGAATCGCATGTATCCGGTGCTCCGATCGCATGCTTCTGCAGAGGCCTGGTGGGCAACATACCCATTGTATAAACATTTCCACTCCGGCGTTCCGGTAACAACAGCAGCAGGACATGCTGGGTTCACAGGAGAGCTGGAGACGGATTGGTTGCCCATTGGAATGAACCGCACCTTCATTGCCGCTAGAGCGTCGCTCTTGGTCGTCTGCAGCTGTTGGATTTGGACCTGTTGGGATAGAAGGGAAGGGGCATTGCATATCTCATTGGACAGCCGCCATTGCCGCCCCCAAGCCACATGACAGGATACCTTCAGGAGGACACCATGCAGGGGTTAAGCGACTAAACTCAACCCATAAACCCTTCCTCGATGCCCCCACCGACTCTTTCCTTACCATACCCCACCATAACAGGCGCCTTCGCCCCTCGGCCAAACACACACCTGCTTCTGCCGCAGCTCCGCCTCCAACTCCGCGACTCGTCGGCTGTGCTGCTCCGAAAGCTCCCGGATCTGGTCTTGCAGCGCAGCGATGGCCTCCCCGCTGTCCGCACTGGATGCAAGGGCCGCCTGCTGCGCTCGAAAGCTGGCCTCTGAAGCAGCCACCTCAGAGCGGGCCTGGGAGAGCTGCTGCTGCAACGTTTCACGGGCCTGCGGAGAAGGCCGTATGCGACATGGAGGGTTGGTTTTCTACTTGTCCACGAAGGATGCATGTTGTGACGGGATGGGCCTTCCAAATTGCCCATGCAAACGGTGTGCGAGCTATGCGCGAAAACACCGAGCGTGGACCAGTCACCAGGCTCACCAGCATCGCTTCGTCCCGCTGCTTCATCACCAGCGCAAGCTCCTCCGCCGACCCTGCTGCTGATGCCCCAATTGATCCCTTGGTGCGCAACACCGCCGCTTCCCTGTCCTTCGCCTGCAACGTAGCCTGTCCCATGCGACGCGTGCCACATGCGACCGAGAGGTGAGTGAATAAAGAGGAAACAACTAACTGACCGTGTGATAAGGCGTCATCATGGTTTGTGGAAGAAGTCCATTGATAAGAGTGTTGCCAAGTGCACAACCTACAGGAGCTGCCTTATCATGGACCCGTACAGTCCAACTCATGCATCAATTGTACGTTAATGGTTACCGTCGTGTCTCCCATACTTACCCGCATCTCACTGAGCTGCTTCTGCAGCGCCTGAACCTCGGCGTTGCTAGCGGCTGAGCTCGATGAAAGCTCGTCCGAGTGACTTAGCCGTGCCTGTAGAGCGCGGGACCGCAAGCCCTTGTGTGTCAAACTGCGCTATATACCGGGTTTGCGAGGACCTTGTGTGTGCAGCAATTACCCTCCCGTTCATCGCAATGCCTTGCCGTCGTGCTCCTTTTCCCAAATCGCTACTCTCTTGGCTGGCTACGACCCCAGACCGCCCTTACCTTCAGCCGCGATGCCTCCTCCTCCAGCTCCTTAAGCTTGGCGTCCCGTACTGCCAGCTGACGCTGCAGCGTCGTCACCTGCTTTACCAGCTCGCTACAAATTGGATTCACAATGCACACAGAGGAGGGAGGCGATTGTGGGAGACTTCAAGAAAGCAACCATGGGATAGTCTACGCGAACAATGTTACCGGGGAAGGGGTGAGACCAGCTTCTAGGCTTCGAAGGTAGTGGGTGCGATGGGTCGCTGCGTCAATGCCCTACCTGTTAGATGCCCTCTCTTCGTCAGAGTCCGAGTCCGGACTCCGTGCCGAGGCGTCCTGCTGCTGACTCCGCAGTTCCTTAAGCTCCTCATGGAGCGCCCTAAGCTCATGCTGCAGCTCCGGTATAACCTGCGCATACAAAGGTGTGATTGGTAACGTGTGGCGTTCATGCATTAGGATGCGCACCTGAGAAGCTGCTGCATGTAAGCGGCAAAGCAAATACGGCGGCCGGACGAATAACCGCAGTCCAAGCCGTTATTAGGTAACATGCAGCAATCAGGCTACCACAGCGGCCTCATGACAATCCATTGTTGGCTCCTTACCTCAACATTGCCAGGGTACTGCAGGCCTGGCTCAGCCCGGAGCGCCTGGGCGGGGCAGATGGCAAGACAAGGCAAAGGCAGTTTACATGGAGGGTACATGGCGCCCTTGTGGACAGCCAGTTACTCCCCTAGCGGCACCGTGCCACATGGCATTCGCTTGGGTTCCAAACGCAGCAGCATTCAGCGACTCCGATGCTGCCTACCGGGTTTCAACTGCAAACTCCAAAGCAAACCCGGCAAACAACGCATGATTGTACCTGTAGTTGTTCATTGCTGCGGTTGAAGAGGTCGTTCAGGTACTGGTCATAGCCCTAGTCACAAGGGAGTCGAACGGGTACAAGTGTTAAATGCCAGTCATGCCACCAAGTTAATCGCAGATAAGTCTTGGGGTGCTGTGCATGGCTCCATGGAGTGCGGAGGGAGCAAGAGGGCACAGCACGTTCCTCATACAGGCAGAGGCGGGTTGAGTATTTGCAGTCTGCAGGGCTGGTATAAGCGTCGGGTTTCGGACGGAGAACCACTGCCCACCCGCTGTGGGCCCCATGTTCTTTACCTTGACATCAATCATTTGGCGGCGTCGGGCCTCCATCTCCTTCCCAAAGAGGTCGCGGTATCCATAGGAAGGCAAAGGGGCTCTGCCGTTCGCTTGGGTATGTCCGCGGGAGGACGAAGCCACCAGCAGCGGTTCCTCGTCGTCCTCCAGCAGCTCCTCCTCTTCTTCGTCATCTTCCAGTTCATACTCCTCGTCCGCCAGGCCCTGACACGTTATGCACATACGGTTAAAAACACCATGCAGCCAGCATCTGAAAGCTACTGCCCCGTCTATTTAAGTGTTCATGCGTTATATTGTGTCTCATTTATTGCATTACAGGACAAAACCACTCGCTAGTAGCCCTACCAGCTCTGCAAGAAAGGTCCGCTTCTTAGCTTCCTGAGCGGCGCCAGAGTGAACATAGCTCTTCTGCAAAGTCTGCTGTGCCAACGCTGGATCATATTCCTACAAAACAGGTAGTAAGATACTGCTTGAGTCACGCAGCCTTGACCTCATGCATCAAATTACGGACTGCTTCACAGAGCGCCTCCCATCGCCACCCCCCGACTCGCCAGCGGTTTCTTGAACTGTGGAGGCATAGCTGTGTCGGTCTACACGATGATCGATAACTTAAACGAGGTGTGCTTGTGGCCGTCTGTATGCCTACGGCTGAATTGAAAAATAAGCTGCCCTTAAGACGTGCTTTTGAGAAGTGGCATGTGCAAGATAGTATGTACCATGACAATAAGCAGCCTTTATAAATCTGTATGCTTGCGGTCTGTGTTTTTTGAGTTACCAGGTCCAGGCTTTCCTCAGTAATGCTTTCCAAAGCAGGAGCACCATTGCCTCGTCCTGACGTTGATGCAAAACTAGATAGTTAGGCTGCAACAGGTCGTACAGCCGTACGACCTGTTCCGGTCTCTTAGAAGGCGATTCCCCTGGCGACGACCGGATGCCTTTCCGACTACTTGTGAACAACTTTGTAGACAGGCTATTAATTACTTACGGTGCTACTTAAGTTAGCCTGTTCCTTTTTCGTCAATATTGAAAGCTTAAGTTACCATCTTAGTGACTACCTCCACGTCTGGCCTTTATTTGGCCCTACAAAATCATAAATACTTCCACATGAAGTGCTAACTCAAATGGTGGGCCAGCCCTGCTCTTGCTCTCGAAGTTCAATTGCCGCGGCCTTCCGGTTGTGTGACACAGACTTTGCGTTTACTATCTATGCAGTCTATCTTCTGGGAAATCCCGAATGCCCAAGGGGAGGCGCCATGCCCCCGCTCGGGTCATTCATTCACAGCGGTGGGCGAGCGCTTCTTGCTGTTCGGAGGATGCGGTCGCAAGGATGGTGCGTTCAGCTTATCGTTAGCTGGCTTTGAACGATTGCTAAGGTTTGCCCCGCCCTTCTGTTGTGCAGGCAAAGCTGCGGCTTTCAATGACCTATACGAGCTGGATACCAGCGACCCCGACGAGTACAAGTGGAAGGAGCTGACTGCAACCAACAGCCCCCCTCCCCGTGCACGCCATGCAGCTATCGCGGTATGTTGCCCGCGACTGGGATGTTGTGTCGCATGCACGTACAGGCATGAAGCGTGGCCAGCAGCGAACGGTTTACTGTCGGTGCTGAGGCATGAACGACCTTGGTGTTTTAAGGCATGCGCCCTTGTGGATCTGTCAAGTTTAGACAACACCTTCGCAACTTAAGGTTGCTATTATTGTCTGCCTGCTAAACTTTGTCCTTCCCTCAACCCCCCGCTGCACCCATGTCGTTCCGCGCCGTAGATTGATGACAAGCGTCTACTGGTCTTTGGTGGCCTCAACAAGCGCACACGCTATAACGATGTCTGGGTCTTCAACTATGAGGACAAGGCCTGGTCAGCGGTGGCGGTGGTTGGCAACCCGCCTGAGCCGCGTGCGCATTTCACAGCCACGCGCTTCGGCAACCGCGTCTTCATCTTTGGCGGATACGGCGGCAGCGGCCAGGTGTTCAATGAGATGTGGGTTCTCCACCTGGGCGAGGACGGCTTTCGCTGGGAGAACATCACCGAGGCCTTGGCTGGCACCGGTCCCAGCGCTCGTTTCGACCATTCCGCCTTCATCTACCCAGTTACGCCCAACTCAGCAACGTACGACAAGCTCCTCATCATGGGCGGTCGTGACCTTAACCAGATGTACCAGGACAGCCACATGCTGGATCTGAACCGCATGGCATGGGAGAACGACACGCAGCCGCCCACCCTGCCATACGAAATCTGCAACAACGTCTGCGATGGCATCGAGAGCGTGCCGTATCACAAGGTCTTCAGCTTTGGCGGGCGCAAGGGCATGATGCAGTACCTTAACACCGTTGAGGTTATGGACTGCGGCAGCCAGATGTGGTCGACGCCGCCTGTGGACCACGGCGTGCCGCCTGTGGGCCGGGAGGATACTGCATGGGTGTTTGACGTCAAAACGTGCTCGCTGCTAATCTTCGGTGGATGGGCCAACCGCTGGCTGGGCGACCTGCATAAGCTGAACGTCTCGCCCATCATCGGCCCGCCGTACGCCTGCACGGGCATTCAGCCGGAGATGGGCCCTGTGTTCGGTTCGACGGACCTTACGATCCGGGGCTTGCGCTTCCGTGACGGCAAGGTGCAGGTTAAGTTCGGGCTGAACGAGAAGAATGAGGTGATTGTCGACGGCACGTACGTGGACCCTGAGACCATTCGGGTGCAGACACCCAACTACGAGCAGTACGGCGCGCTCACGGTTGACGTCAAGGTGTCTATTAATGGCGAGGGCTGGACTGTTAATAAGGTTAAGTTCGCCTACTTTGCCAACACGGCCGCCCGCAACTGCATTGCTTACGGGCCTGGCCTGCTGGCGGAGACCTTCTCCAGCGTGGAGGTGCCGTTCGTTATCCAGGCGAAGGACACCCTCAACGACAAGCGGACCAGCGGCGGCGACATCTTCAAGGTCTTGGTGGTCTCAGCCGATGGCAAGTACGAGGGCGTTTCACGTGTGCGTGACCTCAACAACGGCCAGTACGAAGTCCACTACTTTGCGCCCACGCCCGGGCCCTACCTCATCCATGTCTCCTTCAACGAGCTCGGCACGGCGGACTTTGTGCCCATCCGCGGTTCGCCTTTCAATGTTCGCCTCGTGGATCCCTGGACCAAGCACCGTGTTATGGGTGCTACGCCCGCCAAGCGCAAGGGCGTCACCTTCTCAACCCTGGGCAACGAGCTGCTGCTGTACGGCGGCGACAAGTCCGGTGTGGCGGTCCTCAACACGGAGGGCGCTGAGTGGCGCTGGGCGCCTGCGGCGGTGTCGGGTACCCTGCCGCCAGACCGCCTGTTGCACTCGACCGTTGTGCTAAGCGACGGCGAGCTCGTCGTGTTTGGCGGCCTTGGCCTTGCCGACCAGAACGACCTGAACGACATTTTCTATCTGCGGAAGCAGGGCGAGGGCTGGGTGTGGAGCACGCCCGCGGAGAGCAAGCCGTACATCAGGTGTGACAGGGTTATAGCCAAAGCAAGTAACTAGTATTGCTTTAGAGGATTTCAGCATGGCATGCCTCCTGCTTTGGGTCATTTGTCCGTGTTCTATAGCCCAGACATACCTTCTTGGCCCATTCTTAAGGGTACGATTCAATGCCCATCGCACAGGCATCCCATTTGCACCAACCCCACGGAGGATGGCGATGCCGAAGAGGCTGCCAACGGGGATGAGGCTGCTGCCGGCGGTGAGCCAGCTAAAGAGGGCGGTGAGGCTGCTGCAGTGGGCGATGCTGCAGCTGCTGCTGGCGGCGAGGCGGGAGAGCGCCCTGCCAGCACGGAACCTGGTGCCACCCCAGCAGCGGGTGCTCCCTCGGAGCACGCAGCGGAGCTGCCAGTGTCAGCCCGCAACAACCATGTGGCCGTGGCGATAGACAAGGACCTGTACGTCATGATGGGCGACCATGACGGCGACGTCATGACGTGAGTAACGGGGTGGAAATCTTAAGACGTCACGTATGGTAATGCAATATGCCTACATGTAAGCCACGGTCAAGAGGGACTGGATTGCTGCCTATGCAAGCATAGGAGAATGGTTGCTTTACAGGTTTCGTGGCTATCTTGGCTATGGAGTTTTAAAGCTGACGTAATGTACCTACGTGCGTCACCCTTCCTGACATGCAGTGAGATGGCCATGGTTGATACCTCGGACCGTGCCTGCGCGAACTGGCTGGAGCCAATCCTGAAGGGCGACATTCCCGCGCCGCGCAAGGCGGCGGCGGCCAGCGCCTCTGGTAACCGCATTGTCCTCTTTGGTGGGCAGCTGCTTAACGACGAGGCGGAGAACGTGGTCACCGGCGAGCTGATCATCATGGAGGTCACCGGCCCCAACAGCATCCACTGCACCATTAACCCGCCCACTTCAGGCTCGCATGGCACGCCCGTGGCCCGCTACGGCGCGATCATGCAGGACTTTTCGCATGGCAAGCTCTTCCTCCATGGCGGCATGGACGTCGACGGCAAGCCGCTGAACGACGGTTGGCTGTTTGACGTTGCGTCGTACACCTGGGAGCGCGTGTACCTGGGCGCCTCAGAGTCCGTCCTGCCGAGCGGCAGCGTTGCGACGCTGTGGCACAACAGGATCGTGGTGCTGTCAGCAGCAATGGGTTCGCCCAAGTTTGACCTTGTGTACTCCCTGGACTTCATGGATGTGCGTGAGGGCATGGCTTTCACGCCCAAGATGCGCATTGCCACGGAGCTGTTGCTGAAGAGTCTGGAGGAGTGGGTCGACGCGCAGGCGCATGGCATGGAGCTGGCGCGCAGCCCTGAGAAGCTGATGAAGGACTTTGAGAACGGGCTTCGCAAGGTGATGGACGCGCTGTACCAGATCAAGAGTCAGCGCTCCTCTACGGACTTGCTGATCGATCAGCTGCATGAGGCGTTCTTGCAGCTGGCAAAGGACAAGGTGCCGGGTGTGAACAAGATGGAGAAGCGTCTGGAGGATGCCGCGCACAAGTGGGACGATATCAAGAAGGCGCAGCCACAGGTCAAGACGGATGTGGAGCCGATCCAGGTACGGTGCAACGGGCGAGTCGGCGAATACGTGTAGTCCTAAACGGGCGTCTGCTTAGCTGGTTGAGGCCAAAAGCGCGTGTATGCATCGCCCCAGGATGAACCCCCTAATCCCTGTAGGGCGCGTTATTTCTACAGTTTAGCAAATGCGATTTATGAGCGCCAACTACCTGGTCCCTACACGATTATGGCTTTTGCATAGTAACCCACATGATAACCCGCTCCCCGGTACCTGATAGCCATTCCCCTTGTCTTCCCTATAACAGGCCCAGAAGGGTGAGGACATTAAGAAGGAGATCGAGGTCTTTGCTGGCAAGGTGCGCAACTACCGCGCTGGCTTCAGGCGGAAGGCCTTCTTCACCTACAGCACCGGCTTTGACGGCGCCTACCCTGAGCTGGACATCGCGGCCCGGGAGCTGGCCGACCTGACGAAGGAGTGCGACCGGCTGGTGGAGCTGGCGAGCGTCTTTGAGTTCCCGCAAATTGTTGAGCCGGTGAAGATGGCTATTAAGGAGACCGTTGACGACCTCATCATGGTCAAGGACGTGTGGGACACCGCCGTCCTTTGCGAGCTGCAGTTCCAGGTGAGTTCGGGGAAGGCGCTCACTACGGCAAGCTGTACGACACTGCCTGGGGTGGAGCATTCCACCTATGAAGCTAGTAGCCTGCTGTTACCTCCGATACTGCCTATCCCACCACATGCAACCTTCGCGTGTACATAGGCTGCTGCGGTTGTTGTGCCAATAGACTGCCAATCATGCACATTGCCTCTAGCTTTACCGACAAAGCACCGAATGCTGACCCTTTTACCTTTACCAGGACTGGCGCCAAACCCTGTGGAGTGACATTCGTACGGACATTATGGAGGAGGGCGCTAAGCAGTTCGTCAAGGAGGTCAAGAGCCTGCACAAGAACGTCCGCGACCAGGATGTGTTCCGCGGCGTGGACCAGGCCGTCAAAAACTTCCTGGTCTCGGTGCCGCTGGTTGCAGACCTGCGCAGCCCCGCCATGCGCGACCGTCACTGGGAGCAGCTCATGTCGGCCACCAAGGTGCGTGGGAGGGCCTTCTCTTGTACCAAGTCCTGCCGCGGTCCTGCGGCGGGCTCAATGCTGCTGCTGGTGACAGCGGCATGGGGGGCTGCGGCGGCATGGGCACCGGTGGCGGTGGCGGCGTTTGGGGAGCCGGAGACAGTGGCTGCCTTGCGGCCGACGGAGCGGCTTGTATCTGTACTATGTATCGTGATCTTTCTCAACGTGTTGCGGCCGCATGGCTCCTGCGGGTAGGCCCTAACTCCTGCTCCTTTGCCCCCTTCCATAACAGGTGACGTTCAACGTGAAGGACCCCGCCTTCAAACTGAACGACTTGCTTGCATTGGAGCTGCACAAGTTCGAGGAGGAGGTCGGTGAAATCGTGGACCGCGCTCAGAAGGAGGAGAAGATGGAGATTTCGCTCAAGAAGCTGTGCGACACGTGGGCCCGTGTGGAGTTCCAATTCGCCCAGCACAAGGACTATCCCGTCTACACCATCAAGATGGCGGAGGAGGACTTTGAGGTGCGTTGGACTTCGTACTTGGGGGCCTGCAATGCTGTGTTATATCCACACTATGCCTGGCGCCGCTGTGTCTGGTTGCCGTAATTTGCGCAGCGGCGGCGGCTTTTGGGCCACTCCCAAATGGAGCTCCGCTGCATGCCAACAGCTGATTGTTCATTGGCCCCACCTCCTTTGCCCCCATGCAGGCTCTGGAGGATAACCAGGTGCAGGTGCAGGGCATGATTGCCAACCGCTACATGGCGACCTTCAAGGACGAGATTCTGGGCTGGCAGAAGAAGCTGAACGACGTTGCGGACGTTAACCAGATCATGGCTGAAATCCAGCGCACCTGGGCCTACCTGGAGTCACTGTTCATTCACAGCGAGGAGGTGAAGAAGGAGTTGCCGGAGGCTACCGTGCGCTTTGCCAACATTGACAAGGAAGTCAAGAAGGTAATTGCGGGGTCACGCTCTGGTCGTTAAGGCATGGTTTGGTCCTAGCCTCCTGGGGCATGATGGGGCGTACCAGTTGCATTGCAACATTGCGTACCTAGACACGTTTGTAACAGGAAGCCCGCCGTGTGTTTTGTCGTTGTGCGAGGTATACTGGATGGCTGATTGAGATGTACCCTTGCCACGCTCGTGCATGGCAGGTCCTGGCGGAGTTTAAGGAGATCAAGAACTGCGTGGCGTGCTGCCACCGGGACGGGCTCTATGCCAATTTGGAGACGCAGGAGCGCGAGTTGGAAATCTGCAAGAAGGCGCTGAATGACTACATGGAGTCCAAGCGCCGCGCCTTCCCGCGCTTCTACTTCGTTTCCGCCGCCGACCTGCTGGATATCCTGTCCAACGGCAACAACCCCGTGCGCGTGCAGATGCACATGAACAAGTGCTTCCAGGTCCGTTGCAAGAGGCGGTTGCATGCAGTTGCCGACTATGTGCCCTTTGCTGTTGTAGCTTTCCTCGCTTCTCTGCACAACGCCGTAGTTCCTGTGAGTCTTGCCGGTCGCTCAGATGGCCTCCTTTATTGTACGAACCTGGCGCCGAACACAGGCTATCGACAAGCTCCGCCTGGATTCGGAGGAGGTGGTGCCAGGCACCCGTCCCAAGGGTTTGGGCATGGAGTCCTGCGTGGGTATCGAATACGTGCCGTTCTCGTCGCCGCTGCCGCTGGAGAACAAGGTGCGCATGGCGGACTCTGGCACTGTTTGGCATCTGGATTGCTGCTTTCTCACACGGCTCTCCCTGTGCCCTGCCGACATGGTAGATTAGTCCGTTTCTCGCCCTCATTGTCCTTGTCTCGCCTTCATCTTGCCCTGGACTCTCACAGGTGGAGGAGTACATGAACGATATCATCGTCAAGATGCGCAACGAGCTGCGCATGGTGCTGAAGGCCTCGGTGGAGGACTACCCCAGCAAGCCCCGCGACAAGTGGCTGTTTGACTGGCCGTCGCAGATCATTCTGGTGGTCAACCAGATCTTCTGGTGCATGGAGGTGGAGCAGGCCTTTGTTGACATGGCGAAAGGCAACAAGGACGCCATGACGGTATACAACGAGTTCCAGGTGAGCAGCTTGCTGTAATGTACCCCCTGGCATATGCATGCATTGCTAAGCTAAGGTTGGGAATCCTTGCGTCCATTTTACAGAGGACAGACAGTGTCTGGAAACCATAGAGAGCGCTTCCTGGCTGACGGTGTCCTTGTTATGTCCTGCAGGTTAAGCAGCTCACAAAGCTGATTGAGGTGACGCGCACGGACCTGTCCAAGCCCGACCGCCAGAAGATCATGAACATGATCACCATCGATGCCCACTCCCGTGATATGGTGCTGGTGAGTATGGGTAGTTGGCTTTGCAGCTGGCATGCGACTTGTTCTCCTGGAGGTGTTGGATTAAATGGTAAACTGTGCACCGGACGCGCATGCCAGCAATGCAGGGTCGTAAGCCACTCGGTGACTAACGCTCCTCCCTCCTGTCCCCATCCTCTGTACAGGCTGTGATTGAAGCCAACGCGGACCAGCCGGACTGCTTCCAGTGGGTCAGCCAGCTGCGCTCCTACTGGGATAAGGACATCATGGACTGCCGCATTCGCATCTGCGATGCCTCGTTCCCGTACGGCTACGAGTACCTGGGCAACGGCCCGCGCCTGGTCATCACGCCCCTCACCGACCGCATCTATATCACGGCCACGCAGGTCGGAGCGGGGATTTGTAGCATAGGGACCTGACAACCAAGCACTTGGCAGCCGTAATGCATACATGCCGACGCAGTGTTGCCAGCCGAGTTCGTACGTTGCATACGTCTTTCAACGGTTTTCGTGTAACGTATATATTTCTAAAACACCTTGCGTACGCACCTTTCAACTCCGCAGGCATGCTGGCTGTCGCTGGGCACTGCCCCCGCTGGCCCTGCTGGAACCGGCAAGACGGAGACCACGAAGGATCTGTCCGCGCAGCTGGGCAAGTCCGTGTACGTCTTCAACTGCTCGCCCGAGATGGACTACCGCACCATGGGCGACATCTTCAAGGGCCTGGCTGCTTCCGGCTCTTGGGGCTGCTTCGACGAGTTCAACCGCCTGGTTCCGGAGGTGCTGTCCGTGTGCTCTGTGCAGTACAAGTGCGTCACGGACAGCCAGAAGCGCAAGACCATGCTGCCCGGCCGCGGTCTGGAGTACATCAAGGACGGCGTGAAGCACCCGGCCATTGAGAAGTGGACGTTCGTGGCGGCGGATGGTGTGGAGATGCCGCTGGAGGAGGGCACGTCGGCGTTCATTACCATGAACCCCGGCTACATTGGCCGTGCTGAGCTGCCTGAGTCGCTGAAGGTTGGTAAAGGGAACACTGGTTGCAATAGGACGGCTGCATTGCACTCTGGGGCGCTAGCTAACGTCACACGTTTCATAATGCCCTATCAGCCCTATGTGCAGCGATGCGCGGCATTAGCGCCAGTTACATAGTCTTTCCCTGCCGAACAACTTGTTTACGACCCCTTCACCCATGTTACCCTGCAGGCGCTCTTCCGCCCCATCACCGTGATGGTGCCCGACCGGCAGCTGATTATGGAGAACATGCTCATGGCGGAGGGTTTCGTGGAGGCTAAGATGCTGGCCAAGAAGTTCGCCTCGCTGTACTTCCTGCTGGAGGACCTGCTCAGCCCGCAGAAGCACTACGACTGGGGCCTGCGCGCCATCAAGTCGGTGCTGGTGGTGGCCGGCTCGCTGCTGCGTGCCGAGGCGGGTCAGGTGGAGGCGGACGTGCTGTTCCGTGCCCTGCGCGACTTCAACATCCCCAAGATTCTGGCGCAGGACATGGTCATCTTCACGGGTCTGCTGAACGACCTTTTCCCTGGTGCGTTGGGTCACGGACATGGGTGACATGAATGTGGGGTAAAAGTAATGGACTGCAACAACATGTGTTTAGTACCTTGAGTGCTTGACACCGCTGCTTACATGCTGTGAACCCAACCATTGACTGCTCCCGTTGTGCTTCCTTCATCAGGCATCAACCCGCCACGCAAGCGCGACTTGGAGTTCGAGGAGGTCATCGTGTCCACCATTAAGGAGATGGGCCTGACCGCGGAGGAGGACTTCGTGCTGCGTGTCGTACAGTTCTCGGAGCTGCTGGCGATTCGCCACTGCGTCTTCCTCATGGGGCCCACGGGCACGGGCCGCACCGAATGCTACCGTGTGCTGGCTAAGGCCATTACCAAGGGCTGCAACAACCCCGTGAACGACTACCTGAAGATGACCAACAAGAAGAAGGTAGTCATTCGTGACATCAACCCCAAGTCCATCTCCACCTACGAGCTGTACGGCCAAGTGAACCAGGTACGCCGGTCAAGCAATGCGAGGTCGGGCGGTCTGCACATTACGGTAGTCCGTGACAGATTAGTAGAGGACGATAGTACCATTTTTGGGGATCTTCCTGCACGCGGAATGCTGCTAGCAAGCTTGACTCTTAGCCACCATTCACAAGCTCGGTCACCATTTCTTTCGCTTGCAAAATAATCCGTCGGCCCCCCCTGCAACTTCACGCTTTCTGTCAGGCCACGCGCGAGTGGAAGGACGGCTTGCTGTCGTACTACATGCGCGAGCTGGCCAACATGCCCGGCGACGACCCCAAGTGGCTCATGCTGGACGGCGACCTGGATGCCAACTGGATCGAGTCTATGAACTCCGTCATGGATGACAACCGCCTGCTCACGCTGCCCTCCAACGAGCGCATCCGCGTGCTGCCGCACATGAAGCTGATCTTTGAGATTCGTGACCTGAAGTTCGCGACACCCGCCACCGCCACGCGTGCCGGCATTCTGTACATCTCGGAGGGCCAGCAGTGGCACAACATGGCCATGTCGTGGATCAACAGGTGGGACCAGAGCCAGGGGTCTGGTCCCACTTAATGCTAGCTTACCGGGTTCTGTATGTAAGGCTTGGGTACTGCAGGAATGGCCTTTGTCCCAGTGCGGCAACTCCCGGAGTGTTTCGCCTCAGGTCCGCTGCCCTCTAATCTGGTCCTACCTCCTCCCTTGGAACAGGGTGGTCAAGCCGTACGCTGAGCGCGCCAAGTGGAAGGACCCCACGCTGCCGTGCACGTGGCTGCGGGACATGTTTGAGAAGTACATCCCGCCCACGCTGCTGGAGATGAAGAAGAGCTACAGCCATATCACGCCGCTGGCGCAGATGAACTTCATAAGCACGCTGGTGAACATCATGGAGGGCGTGCTCAGACCCGAAAACCTCTCGAACAAGGCTGACCAAGCCATGTTCGAAATGTACTTCGTGTTTGCGATGATCTGGGCCTTTGGTGGAGGGCTGGTGGAGAAGGACGGCATTCCGTACAGGTGCGTTTGGGTATTTATCGCTAGGCGCGTGCCGGTCCCTGCTCCTCGGCTGCCTGCTTGCTGTTTGCTACCGCTGGGCTGTATACACCTCGTGCATGGCTCGCTTGCACTCGCCTCCCGCCTGCTGGATGAGGTCTTAATCCTGTTTTGTGCCACTTTTTTATCCGCAGGCGCAACTTCGACAAGTGGTTCAAGCAAACATGGACCACGGTCAAGATCCCGGGCAAGGGCACGGTGTACGACTACTTCGTTAACCCCAAGACGCAGAAGTTCCAGCCATGGGCTGAGCTGGTCACGGACATTGACTATGATGGGTCGCAGCCGATGTCCACCATGTTCGTTCCCACGGCCGAGACCAGCAGCTTGCGCTTCTTCCTGGACATGATGGTGGACCTGCGCAAGCCTATCATGTTTGTGGGCGGCGCCGGTGTGGGCAAGACGCAGCTGGTCAAGGGCAAGCTCAGCAGCCTGAGCGAGGACTTCATCTCCCTGTCCATAAGCTTCAACTACTTCACCGACGTGGTGTCGTTCCAAAAGGTGGGTGTGGAACTCGGTTGGGGCATGGGCTGCTCGGGCAATGGTCATGCTTTTACATGGTTAACAGCTAAGTTGGCAAGGCTCCCAGTACCTTGGCTGCCCCTGCTTCCAGTACCGAGTGCATAGCTTGGCCTCATACCCTCCCTTATTACCCACGCCCAATCTTTTCACAGGTGCTGGAGAGCCCACTGGAGAAGAAGGCCGGTATCAACTACGGCCCGCCTGGCACCAAGCAGCTCATCTACTTCGTGGACGACCTCAACATGCCCAAGCTGGACCTTTACGAGACGGCCATGCCCATCTCGCTGATCCGCCAGCACCTGGGCTGGGGCCACTGGTTTGACCGCTCCAAGCTGACGCCCAAGAACATCAACAACACGCAGTACGTGGCGTGCATGAACCCCACCGCCGGCTCCTTCATCATCAACCCGCGCCTGCAGCGCTTGTTCATGACGCTGGCGGTGGACTTCCCGGGCCAGGACTCGCTCATGAAGATTTACGGCACGTTCCTGCAGGTGAGGGTGGCTGGTTTGGTGACTGGGATGGTGGTTCATGTGGCTGTGTTTTGGGAAATGGCTGCGTCATGTAGTCATGTTAGGGAACTGCCTGTCCCGGTTGCATGTCGTGATTTGTGTTTTGAGCGCTCACCTCGCAACGTTTCCGCACCATGCAGGGTCACCTGAAGAAGTTCCGCGAGGAGATCCAGGACATGGGCACCAAGATCCTGCAGGCTGCACTGGCCCTGCACGACAAGGTGTCCCAGACCTTCCGCAAGACCGCCATCAACTTCCACTACGAGTTCACGGTGCGCCACCTGGCCAACGTCTTCCAGGGCCTGCTCATGTCCACGCCCGACGCCTTCAACTCGCCATCCAAGTGGGGCAAGCTCTGGCTGCACGAGTCAGAGCGCGTGTACGCGGACCGCCTGGTGTCCCTGTACGACCTGGACGCCTACAACAAGGCCGCCACCACCATCGCCAAGAAGTACTTTGCCGTCACGGACATCGACGACTACTACAAGAAGAAGGACCCCAAGCCCCTCATCTTCTGCCACTTTGCTCGTGGCCTGGCGGACAAGGCGTACGATGAGGTGTCGGACTACACCTCTCTGTTCAAGACGCTGACTGAGGCGCTGAACGAGTACAACGAGACCAACGCCGCCATGGACCTGGTGCTGTTCGAGGACGCCATGAAGCACGTGTGCCGCATCAGCCGCATCGTGTCAAACCCCTCGGGCCACGCACTGCTGGTGGGTGTCGGCGGCTCCGGCAAGCAGTCGCTGGCGCGCTTGGCGGCGCACATCTGCGGCTACATCACCACCATGATTGTCATCTCGGGCTCCTACTCGATGAACAACTTCAAGGAGGACATCCAGAAGATGTACCGGCGCGCGGGTGTGAAGGGCGAGGGCGTCATGTTCCTGTTCACCGACTCGCAAATCATTGACGAGCGTATGCTGGTGTACATCAACGACTTGCTGTCGTCGGGCGAGATTCCGGACCTGTTCCCGCAAGAGGACAAGGACGACATCGTCAACGCGCTGCGCTCTGAGACCAAGAGCCTTGGGCTGCTGGACACGGCTGAGAACTGCTGGAGCGTGTTCATCCAGAAGGTCAAGACCAACCTGCACATGGTGTTCACGGCGTCGCCAGTAGGCGAGAACTTCCGCGTGCGCTCGCAGGTTGGTTGGGCCATGTAGAGGAGGGAGGAAAGGAAAGTGGGCGGCTGGTTGATCTGCATGGGCTATAAGCCGTTGCTGGGTTAAGAGAGCAGGGTCGTATGGAGGGACTATACCCAAAACCATCCGTTATAACCCTTCTACCCGGCCTAGGTTCCGTAAAGCTCTTCTCATGCATTGCGCTCACTTCCGCACTCTTTTTCCCCCTCGCAGCGTTTCCTGGCCACCGTCACGTCCACCGTGATTGACTGGTTCCAGCCCTGGCCCGAGAGCTCCCTGTTCAGCGTGGCTAAGCGTTTCCTGGACGAGGTGGACCTGGGCGAGGATGCAGTGCGCAACGCCGTGGTGGAGTTCATGCCGTACAGCTTCCAGCTCGTGAACAAGGTACGTAGTGGCAGGCTGCCGTACAGCTGGGGCTAGGGCACCGCGCATAACCAACTTGGCAGGCGCTTTAAGACCGCTTTATTGTGCCTGCTCTCTTGTCTACGGCGGCTATTTGCTGTGCTGGGCCCGCCTGCTAAGCCTGCTTACGACTGTGCCCTGTAGGTGTCGATCAAGTTCCGTGAGGTTGAGCGCCGCTACAACTACACGACGCCCAAGACGTTCCTGGAGCTCATCAAGCTCTACAAGAACGTGCTGGCAGCCAAGCGCAAGAACAACCTGGACAACACGGAGCGCCTGGAGAACGGTCTGCAGAAGCTGCACAGGTGCGGTATTTGGGACGCTTGGCTGGGCTTCCGTTTGACCATGTTTTAGCTCTAATGGATGACCCTATGAAGCACGGGGTAGCGAGACTGCATGGGTAAACTCTCCTTCCCATGAAGGGTGTGCTGTACTTGGGGAAGAAGGGACCCAACTCTGATCTTCTGGGCTTACGTAGGGTACAAGCGGATGTGGATGTGCTGGTGGAGGAGGCCAAGGTAAAGGCAGTGGAGGTGGAGCGCAAGGTGGCATCCGCCAACATCTTTGCGGAGCAGGTCGGCGTTGAGAAGGAGAAGGTCAACGCGGAGAACGCCGCAGCACAGGTGAGACGGCCTGGGGCCTTACTCTTTGCATGTGTACCAGGTTTGGGAACCGCATGACGGGTAATACAGTGTACTAAACGCTATGCGCAAGATATCCTCTACTGTGAAAATCCTTACACGCCCCACCACCGTTGCCACCACACCTTGCATCGTCATTGTAACAGGTCGAGGCGGAGAAGTGCGCGGTGATCGCCAAGGAGGTGTCTGAGAAGCAGGCCAGTTGCGAGGCTGACCTGGCTGCCGCCGAGCCGCTGGTGGCTGAGGCCATGGCTGCGCTGGAGACGGTGACGAAGAAGGATCTGGGTGAGGCCAAGTCGCTGAAGAAGCCGCCCCCGGGTGTGGATGACATCACGGCGGTTGTGATCTGCCTGCTCGACAACAACCCCAAGGATAAGTCCTGGGCGGCGGCGCAGAAGATGATGAACAACGTGGATAAGTTCTTGGAGCGCGTCAAGTCCTTCAAGGGGGTCATTGACGCTGGGCAGGTGGGCGGTTGTGAGGCCAGCTTTGTTTGGGACGGACACGCTGCGGAGGAAGGGACTCCTCGACTATTGGCACACGCCATGCATGTTACCCTTCGTAACACCTTCTATTCGTGGTAACTGCTAAGCAGCGTACGTCGCCATGCATGTTACCCTTCGCAGGTTGCCCGCAAGACGGTGGATGCCTGCCGGCCCTACCTGCAACTGGAGTACTTCAATCGGGAGGCCATCGGCAAGAAGTCCGCAGCCGCCGCCGGTCTGTGCGAGTGGGCCATCAACATTATCAAGTACTACGATGTGGTGCAGGAGGTGGAGCCCAAGCGCCAGGAGCTGGCGGCCGCGAACGCTAAGCTCGAGGAGGCCAACCAGACGTGAGTTGGGGTTATGGTTTGGTGGTATGGGTAGTTACACGGTGGTACAAAAGATACCATGGGTAGTTGGCACGGTTCGAATGTCAGTATGCGATGTATGCAAGAACGGTCTCTATCCTTTGCTTACGCCTGGCTGTTTTGCATTCGCAGGCTGGTGGCCGTGCAGGAGAAGGTGGCGATGCTGAACGCCAAGGTGCAGGAGCTGGAGCAGCAGTTCAAGGAGGCTAACGACGACAAGGATGCCGCCATCCGCGAGGCGCAGCGCTGCCAGCGCAAGCTGGAGCTGGCCAACCGCCTGATTAACGCGCTGGCGTCTGAGGGCGAGCGCTGGGCGCTGACCGTGGAGCAGCTGCGCAAGAATTACGAGGTGCTGACTGGTAAGTCATGAGGGTGCGTAACAGGAGGAAGAAGGGGGTGTGAAAGGAACGCCAGGGGCACATGCGCACGGATTGGCAGGGCTTAGCATGTGTTCATGGGTTGAGAGGCGTCTCTTGGTTAGCATGCGGAGAACCGCAACGAGTTCTGCCGTGATTTCACTCATGCGCCAATCCTTCTCCTTGTTACATGCAGGCGATATGTTGCTCGCCGCCGCCTTCGTGTCGTACGCCGGTCCCTTCACCGCCAAGTTCCGTGCGTCCCTGATTGACGACTGGATCCTGTTCCTCCGCGAGCGTCATATGCCCATGACGGAGGGCATCAGCGACCCGCTGAAGGTGCGTTAGCTGTATAATCCGTTTCCCGCTTCACCTGTGCCTTGCCAAAGCGTTTAGGCTTAGTTCAGCACCCCGGGGGACTGTCCTCCATTCCAAGACCCCTTCCCGAGAGTGCTGTCACCGTTGCTGTTGCTGAGCGCTAACGCTTAACATTGTAACAACTTTCCAGGTGCTGGTTGATGACGCGCTGGTTGCTGGCTGGATCCGCGAGGGTCTGCCGTCCGACCCCACGTCAGTCCAGAACGGCACCATCCTGACCAACTCGGAGCGCTGGAGCCTCATGATGGACCCGCAGCTGCAGGGCATCCTGTGGATCAAGGAGCGTGAGAGCAAGAACAACCTGCAGGTATGGTGGAGCTGCAGGACTTGGTGGCTGTAGGCATGCTTGGCTGTCGGAGCCGCATGGGTGCATAATGGGGGTGAAAGGCGCGGCTACACGGCAAGGGTTCCGACGCACGCCCTCTCCACTGCGCTTCACACGCTGCAAGCCCTGACGTGACCTTCACCACCTCCCTTTGCTCTGCAGGTCACGCGCATGGGCGCCCCCAACATGCTCACCGTCATGGAGCGCGCCATCGAGGCGGGCCACAGCGTGCTGGTGGAGAACATGGGCGAGACCATTGATGCGGTGCTCAACCCCGTCATCACGCGCTCCACCTTCAAGAAGGGCCGCTCACTGTACGTGAAGCTGGGTGACAAGGAGTGCGAGTACAACAGGAACTTCCGCCTCTTCCTGCACACCAAGCTCTCCAACCCGCACTACCCGCCTGAGATTCAGGTACGGCAGCGGTGCCTCCTGGGGTCCCTTGTCCACCACTCAAATGGGCGGAGGCAAAGCATGCAGATGGCCTTCCTGACAGTGTCCTGCTATGCTGCGGTTCCGTCCTCTTGCTGCGTCTATACACGACTCCTCTTCTTCCCTTCCGCCACGTAGGCCGAGACGACACTCATCAACTTCACCGTGACGGAGGGCGGTCTGGAGGACCAGCTGCTGGCGCTGGTGGTGAACAAGGAGCGCCCCGACCTGGAGGAGACCAAGACGCAGCTCATCATCCAGAACACCGAGTTCACCATCAAGCTCAAGGAGCTGGAGGACGGGCTGCTGCTCAAGCTGTCCACTGCGGAGGGCGACATCACGGAGGATGTGGCGCTCATCGAGTCGCTGGAGGACGCCAAGCGGGTGTCCACGGAGATCAGCGAGAAGGTGCGTGTGGGGGCAGGGATGGTGTGTTCCTTGGTAGGGTAAGCTGCTAAGGAAAAGACACGGAGGGCTACAGATGCAAGCGGAGGCATTGCACGGGATTTAAGGTACCTCCCTTTTGCTCGTTGTCTGAACCCGCAGGTTAAGGAGTCCCGTGAGACGGAGTTGGCAATCAACGAGAACCGCAACAAGTACCGCACCGTGGCTGCCCGCGGCGCCATGCTGTTCTTCCTGCTCAACTCGCTCAACAAGATTCACGCCTTCTACCAGTTCTCCCTTAACGCCTTTGTCACCGTCTTCAGCCGTGGCCTGGACCTGGCCCCTGGCGGCCGGAAGCGCAAGGGAGCCATCAAGCGCACTCCCTCGCTGCGTGACCAGGTGAGCTTGGGTGCTGCCGCTGCACCTCTCGCTGGTGCGGCCCTCGCAAGTGTTGCATGCAACCGTTTCCTAGTACCTAAGATGCTTGCGTTCAGATGCTACCGGAAATGCTAATTTGTATGGTCAGGCGTGCCATCAGGGCTACCCAAGCCGTTAATATTCGTCCCCCTTGTCGGAGTCTTGAGTCTCTTACTTCATAGACACCTAAACCTCCCCACTCCCCTCTCCTCCCGCAGCCCATGGACCACCAGGCGCTCATGGAGAAGGCGCGGCGCAGCAGCGGTGCCAGTGAGCGGCGACCCAGCCAGGAGGGCCTGCCGCCGCCTGAGGCCTCGCAGACCTCGCTCGCGGAGTCACAGGGCGGCCGCAACAGCAGCCAGGTGGGCGACACGGACGACATGGAGGAGGAGGAGTCGTACACCATGCCACCGGAGGCGCTGGAGGAGCGGCTCATCTCGCTGCTGGAGACGTGCACCTACACGGTCTACAACTACACGCGACGCGGCCTCTTTGACCGCGACAAGCTCATTGTGCTGACCCTGCTCACGTTTACCATCTTGCTGAGGAGCCAGGCGGTGGATGCGTCGGAGTATGAGGCGCTGTGCCGCGGCATGCGGAACCCCTCGCCGCCGCCAATTACGGATGACCTCAGCCGGTGGGTGGTTGCGGGTTGTTTGGGTCTTAAGTGAAGGGGAAAAGCAGGATATCGGCGTTCGCTGGGCAGGGCTGCTGACCAGGTTACTAGGTATAGGCCCATGTCTGGGGTGCCCCTTAACTACGACTGCAGCCGCTGCACCTCACAATCACTTATCCTCATACCTTTCCTTCTGTTTCGCAGCTGGATGAACGAGTCGCAGTGGGCCGCGCTGGACGTGCTGACCGCGCTGCCGTGCTTTGCGCACCTGGCCAAGGACATGGAGAAGAACAGCGACGACTGGTTCAACTGGTGCCTCAACGAGGCGGCGGAGCGCGCCAACATGCCCGGCGACTGGGCCCGCCTGTCGGAGTTCCGCCAGCTGCTCATCATCCGCGCGCTGCGGCCCGACCGCATCACCAACGCGCTCCAGAACTTCTGCGAGCACATGATGGGCCCAGCGTATGTGAACCAGGTACGGCAGTGATCTTAGCGTTTTAGGGTTACGCTGTGGGAGCTTGGGGGGCATGCGCTGCATCATGTCGGGAGTTTAGGCACGACTTGGCTAGCTGTTTGCTTGCATGTTGTCGCAAGTCTCTCTCCAAGCTGTTTGTAACCCTGCCCTTGCCGCTCCCATGCTCCCGCTCCCAGGACGCCTTCTCGCCTGCCGCCATGATGGAGGAGTCCTCCTCCGCCACGCCCATCTTCTTCATCCTCTTCCCCGGCTACAGCCCCAGCAAGGAAATCGAGGTGTACGCCAACAAGTGCGACTTCCGCGTGGAGAATGGCAAGCTCTGCCTCATTTCCATGGGACAGGGCCAGGAGGCGCCTGCGGAGGCGGTGCTGGACAAGTACACGCGCGAGGGCGGCTGGGTGTTCCTGGACAACGTGCACCTCATGCAGGGCTGGATCCCCAAGCTGGAGCGCAAGCTGGAGATTGCGGCGGAGACGGCGCACCCCGACTTCCGCTGCTTCTTCTCGGCGGAGCCCATCAACGGCGCGCCACACGCCAATATCATCCCCGAGTCCATCCTGCAGACCTGCATCAAGATCTCCAACGAGCCGCCTTCGGACATGAAGTCCAACATGCGCCGCGCCTTTGCGGCCTACACGCCCGAGCAGTGCGACCGCCCGTCCACGCCCGCCAAGCGCGTGGCCTTCCGTTCCATCCTCTTTGGCCTGTGCTTCTACCACTCGCTGCTGCTCGGCCGCAAGAAGTTCGGCGTGGGTATCGGCACCGGTTCTGGCAGCGGTCTCGGCTTCTGCCGCGGCTACTCCTTCAACATGGGCGACCTCACCACCTGCGGTGATGTGCTGCACAACTACCTGGAGGCCTATGAGCAGATCCCCTGGAGGGACCTGCAGTACATGTTTGGCGAGGTGTTCTACGGCGGTCACATCACGGACGCCATGGACCGGCGCTGCTGCAACACCTACCTTGAGGTGCTCATCCGCCCCGAGATCCTGCCGCAGGGCACCCTGGAGGACCCCTCCACCTGGGAGGCTCCCACCCTGGAGCTTGCCCCCGGCTTCCGCGCCCCCGTGCCCACCGACTACACCATGCTCAAGGAGTACATCGAGACCAGCCTGCCGGCCGAGAGCCCCGTGGTGTACGGCATGCACCCCAACGCGGAGCTCTCGCTGCTCACCAGCCTGGGCGAGACGCTGTTCAAGACGGTGGTGGAGGTCACTGGCGGCGGTGGTGCTGCCGGCGCAGGCGCCGGTGGCGGCGAGAACACCGTGCGCCAGGCCCTTGAGGGCTACAAGGAGCGGCTGCCTGAGCCCTTCAACATGGTGGAGGTGGAGCTGAGGGTGAAGGACAAGACGCCGTTCGTGGTGGTGGCGCTGCAGGAGGCCACCCGCATGAACCTGCTGCTGCTGGAGATGAAGCGCAGCATGGAGGAGCTGCAGCTCGGCCTGGACGGTGCACTCAACATGTCGGACAACATGGAGAAGCTCGCAAAGGGCATTGCCTCCAACTCGGTTCCGGAGCTCTGGATGAGCTGCATGTCCACACGTGTACAGGAGGTGTACACGCTGTCGGCCTGGTACCAGGACGTGGTGCGGCGCTACGAGCAGTTGGCGGCCTGGACGGCTGGCGACATCATAACGCCGGTGACGGTTTGGCTGCCGGGTCTGTTCAACCCCAAGGCCTTCCTCACCGCCGTCATGCAGACCTACGCGCGCGCCAACAAGCTGCCTCTGGACGTCATGAAGTTCATGACGGAGGTCACGCGCATGACGTCGCCCGAGCAGGTGACGGAGCCGGCTCCGCTGGGCGTGTACGTCCACGGCTTGGTGCTGGAGGGCGCGCGCTGGGACCGCGACGACAACTGCCTGCGCGACTCGAAGCCCAACGAGCTGCACCCGGCTGTGCCGGTGCTGCAGGTCAAGCCAGTGACGGCCGACCAGTTCAACCTGGAGGGCTACTACGAGTGCCCCGTGTACACCAACATGCAGCGCGCGAACGTGTACTCGCCCATTGTCAGCAACTTCACGCTGAAGACGCAGGAGCCGGCCGCCAAGTGGGTGCTTGCGTCGGTGGCGTTGCTGCTGCAGGATGACTTGGCGGCGGCGTGAGCGGGGCTGGATAGCGTGAGCGTGATTGAAGGTTTCTATTACGGTTTTGATACACTGCCACTATTTTGGGCAGGGTATTTATTGGTGGGATGATGACAGAGGTAGAGGTGTTTGTAGTAGACGGTTAGTTTCATGCTTTTGTGACCAAGCTGACGGCTACCGACGTTTCCGTACGCTGCCTGTGTGGCCGATGTATGCTGTGAGCGTTTATCGTGACCGTGGTAACGCTGTATGTCTTTACTGACGTTCAGGTATTTTGGGTTGGACATACAAGACCTAGCCCACTGGACGTCCGCAAGTAATTTGCAAGAACATGCATGTTTGGCTGCGCTCGCTGTCGCACCGTTTCCTGTATCCCTCCTGTGCGGTTGTGTTGATGCATGGAAGCCTCAAGTCATATGTATTTTGTAATCACGTGTAGCTGTGTTTTGGCTTGGTGTCGAAGTGCTTGCGTTCTGACTCCCCCTGCACCCGGGCTGACTAATGGGACCCACGGTGGGGCATTCGTCACAGGAACAGCCAATGCTGCAGAGCAATGGAGATGTTTTGTAACGCTCATGCGATCGTATGACAGTTCGCTGCTTAGCTGCAATTAAACAGCAATGCCTTAGCAACAGCAAGCGCCGTTTCGTGCATGCTGAGCGCAGCAAACTATGATATTTGGCAGTGCCAAAGGTATGCATTTAGCATAGATATCGAACAAATACAAGGTCTCGATGCCTATTCAGCTCACAGGGCTGCATTACGTGGTGCTGTACGGGGGCATGTTGCGTCGGTGTATAGTTGGTTCAGTTTTAGCCATTCGTATAAACCTTTGCTGCACTACCACTACCACAATGACCACTGCAGGCACGCTAGCCTTTCGGGGCACTTTCTTTCACACACCCACGTACGGGCAGGTTGAGGCGCTGCGCGACACTGTGGTCGTTGTGCAACATGGAAGGATTGCGCGGATAGCAGAAGGCAACAAGGAAATTGCTCTTGTACACGAGTTTGGGCTTAGCGAAGTTCGTCGACTTAAGGCGAGTAGTTGAGATGCAGCCGAGGGCTGCGACACGGCGTCATTTCCATCGCTCGCTTACTCTTCGCTACGCAGGATACTCAGTTCTTCATCCCGGGCTTCATTGACACCCATGTGCACGCACCCCAGGTGAGGCGCTGGTGCATGCAGCCGACGGGTCGCCCCAAAAACAAAAGGATCCCAGGCCTGTTGGCTTGGATGTTACTAAAAATGGTCTGTCTCTACAGCTTTTTGGCATGACACCTCCTTGCTTCTTTGCCTCCGGCAGTAGCTGATTCATCGTCATTTCCGTCTCGCTGTGTTCCGCTCAGTACAAGTTCACGGGCACGGGAACAGATGTTCCGCTTATGGAATGGCTCAAGAAGTACACGTTCAAGGCCGAGGGCTCCTATAGAGACTTAGACGCGGCCCATCATCGCTACTCGCTGCTGCTCAAGCGCTTCTTGGCGAACGGCACCACCACCGCCATGTATTACGGGTCACTTCACTTAGAGCCTACTGTTGTGCTTGTGGATGCTATAGAACGGCTGGGCCAGCGAGCGGTGGTTGGCAAGGTGTGAGACTGAGATCGTGTTGTACAGCGCGGTCCAGTGCTCCGCGCCTGTCGTTGCATCTTGCATGGCTACCGGGACTGCAGACCGTTACGCCGTCAGCCCTGGGGTGCTAGTTGTACTTTGTTGCTTTTTCCTATTCCGGTCACGCCTTCCGTTGCCCATCTCCCGCCGCAGGTGAACATGGACCGCCACTCCCCCTCCGACTACATCGAGTCCACGTCCGAGGGTCTGCGCGACGCGGAAGCCTTCATCCGCTACACGCTACACAAGAAGTGTTCGCGCATCCAGCCATGCATCACGCCCAGGTTCATTCCCACCTGCACGCCAGAGCTCATGAAAGGTACGATGCCGTACAGCTCATGCCAGGCAGCTCGACAAGGGGCAGCGGCGAGGAAGGACTGTTTGCACCTCCTGCCCTATTTCTCCAAGCACCTCCCCCGCCCACCTCCATCCTCTCCCCACCACCCACCAGGCCTTGCCTCCCTGGCTCGGCAGTACGGCACGCACATCCAGTCCCACATCTCCGAGTGCTGCGGCGAGGTCAACTGCGTGCGCGAGCTGCACCCCGAGTTCGCCTCCGACACGGCGCTGTTCGAGCAGGCGGGGCTGCTCACGCCCCGCACCGTCATGGCGCACGGCACGCTGCTGTCGGACCAGGACCTGCGACACCTGGCAAGCAGGGGAACGGCGGTTAGCCACTGCCCGCTGTCGAACTTCTTCTTCGGAGATGCCTGTTTCCGGTGCGGTTGGTCGCGGTGGTGCTGATGTGTGACGGCGGTTCCTTTTTGACGAAGACCCTTGTGCTCCTTGTGCGTATGCCTTCCGACTTCCTACCAACTCGTCATCCGTCATTGCCTCTTTCCTAGATCCCGCTGCTCCCATGCCCGCCATTGACTTTTTTTATTTCACGCCATAACACACTATCGTGGCTCCACGGTTGTTACCCCTGGTCCCAACGATGGAAGGAGTATATGGCCACAACCTTCCCGTTCCCTTCCATCTCGTCCCCCCCAGGGTCAACCACGCGCTGTCGCTAGGCGTCAAGGTGGGTCTGGGCACTGACGTGGCTGGCGGCATCTCCCCCTCCATGCTGACCGCCCAGCGCATGGCCGTGGTCAACAGCCGCTGCCTGCGCGCGCACAAGCTGGCGCAGTCGGGCGGCACCACCGTCACCGCGGACATGGAGGTGGACGTGCTGGGCTGGAGGGAGGCGCTGTGGCTGGCGACGGTGGGGGGAGCGCAGGTGGGGGCGGGCTGGGTTGGGAGGTGGGGGCAGCTGGCACTTGCTCTCACCGGTACTCAAGCCGTCGGCCCTGTTCCTCCGACCTGACGTTGCTGCCGTACTTCCCTCTCCGCCTTCACCTCTTTTCCCTTCCCCTCCTTCCCCACTACTCAGGCTCTGGACCTGTCTCACGCGGTGGGTACCTTTGCGGAGGGCAAGGAGTTCGACGCGTTGCTGGTTGACACGGGGCTGGGCGGCACCTGCGGCCCCTTCGACGTCTTCCCGGACGAGTCGGACGAGCAGCGGCTGGAGAAGTTCCTGCAGCTGGGCGACGACCGCAACCTGGCAGAGGTGTTCGTGCAGGGCGTGTGCGTGAAGCGGGGACACGTGTTCGAGCGGGAGGCGGCGGCGGAGGGGCAGCGGGCGGTGGAGGCAGGCAAGCAGGGGGCGGGGGATGCGGAGGCAGCAGCGGAAGAGGAGGAGGAGCGGCGCATGCGTGCTCCCACCCCCACGGAGCCCGAGGCAGCGTTGGTGGACCTCAAAGCGGCGACACCGACGGTACCGTCAATAGCACCCGCAGCATCCTCTGCATCGATAGCTCAGCTAGCAGCAACGGTGCCTGCAGCCGCAGGAGAAGAGGAGGGAGCAGAGGGTGGGGAGGAAGGCCAGGAGGGATTGCAGGAACTGCGGGCTGGTGAGGCGGAGGCTGTGAATGCATCTGAGGTAGAGCCCCCGGTAACAAAGCGCCCGAGGCTCTAGCTGCTTGCTTGGGGCCTAGAGTCTTTGCAGGTGCCGAACAATGCGGGTGGCGTACAACCGCGCAGGCTGGTGTTGTCTCTGCATGTGCCGCGCGTGTCTTGCACCGCTACTGATGTGGACCTGGGGATTTGTGCCTGTGTAGTGCATGAAGCAGGATGAGTGGCGGCTGCATGGTGGTGGTGGTGGGGTTGCCTCCGTACTGGCCGACTTAGTTGTTCACTAATAACTACTTACTTTGACAGATGTGTTTTTTGTTAGACGGACGCTGATGGTCAGTTGCGAGCGCGTCTGTTGTAGAATCAGGCATGTGAGTGGGGCGGTGAGGCTGACATGGGTGTTGTCCGCAAATTAACTAAACCCCACAGCGCGGATTATTAGTACCTGAACCCTAGTGACGGTGGGCAGCCCTTTGCTTGAATAGGCGCCTGCTGACACGGGGGTCTGACGCGGTATACTTGAGCCCCTGTCGTGTGGGGTATGCTGCGACCTGGCGGGCGTTGGTGCCAAGGCTGTTAGTTGTAGCTGTATGTACGACTTGGGTGGTTGGGAGGAACGACTATGTACCTTCGTGCATTTCAAGCATACTAACTTCTAAGTTCATGGAAGCACATCTTTCTTTTCCCGTCTTTGTTATCTTTCTTTTGCCGTTTCTTTGCCGTCTTTAAGTGAGCTGATTTGTAGCATGATCCATGATGACGAGCGAGCAGTGTGATGGCATTTCCTGGAATGACTCGAGGGAAGGTGGTTGCATCTTTGGGGACCGACGTACGTGTGGAACTGGCAAGTCCATGTGCCGTCGCTTTCGGTGCGTGGTGGTTAAGGCGGAGTCATTGTCCAAGCCAGGTAGTCGAAGCCGTGCATCCTGACGTAGTGTGTTCTTTGGGTCTGTTGGCTACGTTGCTTCTTTGGCGCTCGCTGTCAAGGATACACCGTTATGCGTGTTGACTGCTGAGACGTTGTGCTGCCCCTCCTGACGTGCGGAGATGGAGTGGAGTTGTTGATGTGCATGTGCATGTGCATGGCGATGCTTGGATGCAAGCGTGACATGTGTACGATTTGCCGTACGGCCATTGTACGGATGCTTTCTTTGCTCAGCGACCGTCCAAGCATGGCTTAGCTTGAGCCTCTCGTCCTCCTCCTCATCCAACGGCGACCTTCGCTGCATACTTGGTAACATATGACTGCTGCTAAATGCTTTCAGCCTTAACCATGCTGCCTCCCGCTTTCTGGCTATAGCATGCAGCTTCCCGCAGACCTATCATACAAGCCTTGTAGGATTACGGTCAGTTATTACGGTGCTAACGGGGACTCAACACGTCAACAGGAGCGCACGCGCAAGTTTACAAGCCTCCTAGACAAGCTGTGCTAGCCGTGATAGGCCCGGATCGGCCTGACGGACCAGCCTGGAGCCCAGGAACCGCAAGCCACCTCAACCAGAGCCACAAGCGCCTTCGCTCAAACAGCACAGCATTACACAAGCACGAGTACGCTGCAAAAACGTGGGTCACGGCTACGTTGCTTTTCTAAAATCGCCGTACCACTACTCGCCTATCAGATGTACATGTCATCAGGGTTTCCAGGCCCCCTCCTGATCCTTGTAAGCGACCCCAGATCATGGGCTTCATGGGTTTCACGACACGTACTAGTGCTCCTGTCCAAACGCCTCACTACAAGCTATGGACACCAAATCAACGACCGCGTGCAAGCCGCTGACAACCCTGAGAGCCAGCTCCGCACCCGCACACCAAACATGACGTCTCACCCTCGTACCCAAGTTGTTCCCAACCCCACCAGATAAAAGACTGAGAGGCGTCTCCAGGGAAGCCATGCCGTGGAAACGACACCAGATAACGGCAGTTCATCACATGCAAAGCCTTTGTTCAAACACGGCTCGCCTGGCCATCTCTCTGTGCTGCTGTCCTGCTTACCAACAGCACCAATCAAGCCACTTGGAATGCACTTTCAAAGTCAACAAACGCAGGGCCGCCATGTAAAGAGTCGTTAGGAACATAAATCGTAGGCTAGCGCATGCCCCCAAAAGCCCTCTCCTGCAGTACAATCATCCATCAGGGCTACAACTACATCCGAGCCATTAAAGGAACAATAGTTCTTTCTACAGGGATTGGTGGGGTGTAGTACAGTTGAGGAGAAGCGTGCGGGCAGCAACTGCAATAGCATCCAGACCAACCAAAACCAACAACTGCCGTCCCTGCACAAACCGGCGCGCACATGCTGCGCTTGCAGGCCTATTATGCGTTGTAAGGAGCGTGCCAAGCCCCCTCCTGTCATTTAATGTACATGATGGATGACAACTCAAGAGGTAGTTCAGTCCTAGCTATACAGGCACGCAATAGATACCCCAGCTACCGGTAGTAAAATACAATTGATACAACACACAACCGCACCTACAATGCAAAAGTGCGCAAAACCATTACCATTACAGCCACCACACAGCCGCTAGCCTTGTCGTCCCTACCAGTTTTAACCCTGCACAGGAAACGCCTCTCCCACCACTCTTCCCTGACTCCCTCATCCTCAATGCCGGGCGCGCTTAGCAGCTGGCGGTCGGGATTCCGCCTCCGGTTCCGTATCCTGCTCCTCCTCCTCCGCTTCCGCCTCCCCTTGCGTCGCTACCGAGTCAGCAGCAGCCACACCGCCTGCCCCTCCTGCTGCGGCTCCTGTCCTCGCAGCAGCCTCCGTGTCGCCTCCAGCCGCATCCCACGACGCCGCCTCTTCTGCCTCGCTGCTGTCCGACGCTTTGAGGTCCACCAACGCTGCCTCGGGCTCCGTGGGGGTGGGAGCACGCATGCGCCGCTCCTCCTCCTCTTCCGCTGCTGCCTCCGCATCCCCCGCCTCCTGCTTGCCTGCCTCCACCGCCCGCTGCCCCTCCGCCGCCGCCTCCCGCTCGAACACGTGTCCCCGCTTCACGCACACGCCCTGCACGAACACCTCTGCCAGGTTGCGGTCGTCGCCCAGCTGCAGGAACTTCTCCAGCCGCTGCTCGTCCGACTCGTCCGGGAAGACGTCGAAGGGGCCGCAGGTGCCGCCCAGCCCCGTGTCAACCAGCAACGCGTCGAACTCCTTGCCCTCCGCAAAGGTACCCACCGCGTGGGACAGGTCCAGAGCCTGTGTAGCGGGGAAGGAGGGGAAGGGAAAAGAGGTGAGAGGCGGAGAGGTGTACGGCAGCAACGTCAGGTCGGAGGAACAGGGCCGACGGCTTGAGTACCGGTGAGAGCAAGTGCCAGCTGCCCCCACCTCCCAACCCAGCCCGCCCCCACCTGCGCTCCCCCCACCGTCGCCAGCCACAGCGCCTCCCTCCAGCCCAGCACGTCCACCTCCATGTCCGCGGTGACGGTGGTGCCGCCCGACTGCGCCAGCTTGTGCGCGCGCAGGCAGCGGCTGTTGACCACGGCCATGCGCTGGGCGGTCAGCATGGAGGGGGAGATGCCGCCAGCCACGTCAGTGCCCAGACCCACCTTGACGCCTAGGGACAGCGCGTGGTTGACCCTGGAGGGGGGGGATGAGCGAGGGAAGGGGAAAAGGAGAGAGTGGGACGGGGAAGGGAACGAGGTCGTGGTCGCAGGTGGAAGGTATGTTTGGCTTGTGCAAAGCTCCGACGCTTCCCAGGAAGGAATGTGGCGAAGTTGCTTGAAAGTAACAGACCCATGGGTCTTCACAACGCCGAGTACGAGCACAACGTAATTGGGATAAGCATAAGAAGACCACAGGACGGAAGCAAGCGGAATGTGCGTGACCCCTGGATCACTGGGACCACCGAAGCACTGGGCTAGCTGTCCATATGCTTGTTGTAATAACCGAATATGAAACTTTCCTCGTCAAACGATCATATCACGGACGCTACCTGAAGCACGCGTCGCCTAGGAAAAAGTTGGACAGCGGGCAGTGGCTAACCGCCGTTCCCCTGCTTGCCAGGTGTCGCAGGTCCTGGTCCGACAGCAGCGTGCCGTGCGCCATGACGGTGCGGGGCGTGAGCAGCCCCGCCTGCTCGAACAGCGCCGTGTCGGAGGCGAACTCGGGGTGCAGCTCGCGCACGCAGTTGACCTCGCCGCAGCACTCGGAGATGTGGGACTGGATGTGCGTGCCGTACTGCCGGGCCAGGGAGGCAAGGCCTGGTGGGAGGTGGGGAGAGGGTGGGGAGGTGCGGTGAAGGAGGTGCGCAGGAGGTGCAAGCAGCCCTTCATCGTCCGCTGCCCCTTGTCGGGCTGTCTGGCAAGAGCTGTACGGCATCGTACCTTTCATGAGCTCTGGCGTGCAGGTGGGAATGAACCTGGGCGTGATGCAGGGCTGGATGCGCGAGCACTTCTTGTCTAGCGTGTAGCGGATGAATGCCTCCGCGTCGCGCAGACCCTCGGACGTGGACTCGATGTAGTCGGAGGGGGAGTGGCGGTCCATGTTCACCTGCGGCGGGAGATCGACAGGAAGAGGAGGGCCTAAGAAAGCGAGGTGGAAAGGGTATGACAACCATGCGATGGATGGTATAACGGCTGCAGCATGGCGACGTCGCAGCAAGGTGGGGAGTCGTGGCCAAACAAGATACGAACAAGCCAAACAAGATATGCAATAGCCTTTGTATGCAGTGGCGATGTGCTAGGTCCAGCTGATTGAAATGCTCGCACCTTGCCAACCACCGCTCGCTGGCCCAAACGTTCAATGGTATCTACCAGCACGGTGTTAGGGTCTAAGTGAAGTGACCCGTAATACATGGCGGTGGTGGTGCCGTTCGCCAAGAAGCGCTTGACCAGCAGCGAGTAGCGATGATGGGCCGCGTCGAGGTCGCGAAATGATCCTTCGGCTGGGAAAGTATACTTCTTGAGCCATTCCATTAGCGGAACATCTGTTCCTGTGCCTGTGAACTTGTACTGGGAGCGTGATAGGGGACAACGGATGGGACATGGGAGAAGCGAGGGAAGGGTAAGAAGCAGTGGCCAGATCAGCGAGTTAAGCAACACATCATCTTCAGAAAAACTTGCAAAGAAAGCGAACAAAGCGCCGAAGCCCTTGTGAGCGCATTGATGCTTGCACGCGAGACCTCACCTGTGGAGCGTGGACGTGCGTATCAATGAAGCCTGGAATAAAATACTGGCCTTCCTGCAAATGCGGTAGATTGTGATGTTAGCGGGCGGTTAGCTACAACGCGATTGCACTCGGACTCGCCTTCAGTCGACGAACATGGCTCAGCCCGAACTCGCGCCTCACAGCTGCCTCCTCGCTGCCATTAGCAATTCGAGCAATCATCCCATCCTGGACAACGAGCACCGCGTCGCGAAGTGCCTCGAGCTGTCCGTAGGCCGGTGTGTGGAAGAAAGTCCCCCGAAAAGCAAACGTGTCCGCAGCGGCCATGGCAACGCTCAATAATGCAACTTTGGCAAGTTAGGACCCTGGTACCCTACCATAGATATGACTGATACAGATGCCATGTGATTGATAGTTTTGTTCACATGCGTATTCCCGTACAGCGCATAGACAACCTCCCCCCTCAACCCATTGCCTGCAAAACACGACGAATGGTTTCAAGCTGCTTTCTAAAAGCCTCATGCACTATGGTTGGATTGCTTCAGAGTGTATAAAACTAGGGTTGTTCTCGACCATTCCGCAAAGTTCGGCACACCTTGCGCCTGCTTACAGTATTAACCTAAACTGCATGGTTTGAACATTGCTAGCAGTTTTGTATGTGGTGAAACTCTATGAGCTTTGATGCCGTTCTGTCCTTGGGGCATCCATTCATAATGGCTGCAAGCTGGGGCCGACGCGTACCAACTATGAAGCTGAAGTTCGCGACCGAGGAGGCATTACGGGTTGCCATGCTCACTTCTCTTCATTGCCTAACTCAATGCATTAGTCATTGTATTTGCTCGATGGGTTGCGCGCACTGCCATCCGCAGCGCTCAGGCTGATCCCCCTGCGCTGCTGCCCGGTGTTAAGACTCATGGCGCTGATAGTATACGTTAAACACGCGCATTACCGGTACCTGCAACCACCTTCCTGTTCAGCCGCAGTGGACAGCAGGCATGACGCTGAAGGTACACAGTACCTTGTACCAGAGTGCAACATAATCCCTCTCATTCCTTATCTCTTTAGATTGGGTTACAACGGGTTGACCTCCCAATTCCTAACCCACTGTGCCTCGAGGTGGCAGCCCCTTCCCCTTCTATTACGCTGACTTCAGCTCGCAAACAAACTTTATATAACGCCAGCAGCCTTGTATGCCGTGTCCCGCCGCATACCCGCCCCGTCTCTGAAATCCACAGGTATATATTACCATGTCAACACACACCGTCGCCTAGTGTCCGGCGCTCGTCCCGCTTTTTTGTTTCGGTCACAAGTTACGGTTTTCGTCCTATTTCACGGTGTTAGCAAGTCAGAACACACGCTCCCTTACCCTGTCCTAAATTCCGCCTTGGCGAGGGTGAGGGCAGGCAACAGACGCCTCACGCTGCCGGCGAAAGAGGATGCAGCTTTCGACGCCCCAAAACAAAATCTAAAGCCCGAAACGAAATCGCCCTGCCTAGCGCACCGCACAACGTGTCGTCAAGTTGGTCTATAGTCCTCGCGTCCTACCATGTTGCTAGGTGGAACATGGCTTCCGCCCCAACCACCCCAGCTTCCCTTAAAACACATGCAAGACCAAGTATGACCGCACCCAGGGCTCACCATGCGACACCAGTCGCCTCCCCCGCCTTCCCGCCCCTCATCCCCCTCCAAGCACGCATTCACCCCCATGCAACGCAAATCGGCTTCATGCAAATCCCAAGCATAGCGGCGCATGCAGGGCAGCAGTGCGGACACCATCACTGACCCACCCATCCATCCTCCCATCCTCCTTCCCCACCACCCGTTTACTTCTTCGCCAGCACCTCCGCAGAGTCACCCGTTCCGTGGTGGCCCAGACGGAAGGCCCGCCGCTCCGCATGCTCGTACAGCTTGCGCTCCAGCACGTTGCGCCAGATGGCGGGCGTTAGTACGGCCTGGGAGGCGCCGTACACGGCAGCCTGTACGGCAGCCATGAACTTGGCGAGCTCACGACCTGAGAAGCCCTCGGTGGCCTTGGCGGCCTCCGCCAGCAGCGCCTCGTTGATGCCCTCGTCGATGGTGATGGTGTCGGCGGAGGCCTGGGGGGTGGGAGGGGTGGAGGGGTGGGGAAAAACATAGATAAGTGCATCAACGGAGTCCCAATCCCGAATCCCGACTCATGCAGTGAGCGCACGGTGGGGAGGGGTGGGGGGTTGGGGATGGGGAGCCAAGGGCGGTGACTGGTGAGGTAAGGGTATATAATTGCAGCATCGGTTGAAATCAAACGGAATGGAGCAATGGACCCTCTCTTGCCATGCATGCACCCCTCCCCGCACCAGGCCGGAGTCCCCTTCAACCCGGGGATCAGCACCCAAGCACTACAGCCTCACCCATCCAACCACCCACCCGTCACCAGCAGGCCCGCCCCTCTCACCTTGCGCCCCTTGAGCAGCGCCGTCAGCTTGGACAGCGGTCCGCCCGACTTGCCCGCCCCCGCGCCGCCCTCCGCAGTGCCCGCCTTGGCAATGTACTTGTCCAGGTAGAGCCCCAGCAGCCGCAGCCGCTCAGCCTCCTGGGGCAGACCGAACTCCAGGGCCTCATCCATGCGGTCCAGTACGGCATCGTCCAGGTCACCTGGGCGGTTGGTTGCGAGCACGACCATGAAGTCGCGCGACTGGTCTCCCGTGCGGAAGAGCAGCGCGTTGAGCGAGCCGCGCAGCCCCTCGCTCATGTTGTCGGAGCGGCGACCCAGGAAGGCGTCCGCCTCGTCGATGAACAGCAGCAGACCGCTGTGAGGGGAGGAGGGGGGGAGGAGGGGAGGAGGAGGAAAGCGGTCAAGGAATGTGGGTAGGTGAGGGCGGAAAGGCGCCAGGTGGACCATGCATCATGGTGCTAACTGTGGGGTTACGCCCCTCGCTATCCTACGGGGCGCCCCTCCCTCTCTTCCCTGCCTCCCTCCATTCCTCTGCCCCTCCATTGCCGGGTCCAATGTAGCAACCCATGGTGCAGCCCTCAGTTTCCCCTTTCCACCCCATCCTCCTCCCCTCCCGCCCCCTCCCTCACCGCCTGCTCCCCTTTCCACCCCCTCCCTCACCGCCTGCTCTTCTCCGCCCAGTCGAACGTCTGGTGCAGCTGCGTCACCGCCTTGCCCTCCAGCGGCGCCACGTCACCGCCGCTCATGATGGCGTAGTCCAGGCCGCTGGTGCGGGCCATGCGCTTGGCAACCATGGTCTTACCTGCGTGGGGGGGAGAGCGGAGGGGATGGAGAGGGGAGGTGAGAGGGGAGGAGAGCGTCTGGACACGTTGCAAGTTGAGATACTGGTAGGGCGGCCAGCGCAGTAAGCTGGCAGTAGGGGAAAGGGAAACGACGACAGAGGACGAGCGACAGAGGAGAGGTGCGGGTCATGGCTTTCAGTAGGTGGTCAGGGGGCACGAGGATGAGGTGTAGGGCTCTCCCCACCTGTTCCGGGGGGTCCGTAGAAGAGCATGTGGCGGAAGGGCGCGCCGTGCGCCTTGGTGTTGGCGGCGGCAGCGGACACCTGCCGCACGGTGTCATGCAGCTCCTGAGGGGGGGGGGGGAAGAATGGGTGGGTGGGTTGGGCGGGTGTGCGTGTTAAGAGGCGGGTGGGCGATGGTAAAACTCGAGCCTAGAAGTCTAGAGGGTCCGGACTCCTTCCTTGCGTTATCCACTACAACCACTCGCCCATTTCCCTCCTCTCCCCGCATCTGCCTCCCCCCTCTTCCCCCACCTGGTGCAGGATGATATCGGAGAAGTCCTTCTTGACCTCCTCCTTGGTGCGGGTGGGGCCCAGCGACCAGGACTTGGGGTTCCACACGTTGAAGCGGGAGGTCTCGCGGATCTGAGGGGGAGGAGGGGAGGAGGGATGGGGGTTGAGAGGAGTCGTGAGGGTGAGAGGACGGATGCTAGCCCGTAGTGGGTAGCAGCTAAGGCAGGAGGATGCTGGAAAGAGCGGGGGACGCCTGGAGGGGAAGACTTCATCCCCCATGCAACTCCCAACCCCATTTTCATGTACAGCTCTGCTCACGCCTGTCTTTCTCTTGCGTGCCGCTTGGTCCTATGCGGCTCTCCCCCTCCCTCCCCACCCCGCCCTTCCCCCCTCCCCATCCCTCTCTCACCAGCCGCGGGGTGCCCAGCCAGGCCTCCACCGTGCGCCCCACCACGCGGGTGGTCTCCCGGGTGGCGTAGATGCCCAGGAACAGCAGCGTGGTGCCGCCCACCGCCGTCAGCAGCTTGGTGCGGTCGGTCACCAGCTCCAGAGCCGCCTGACCCAGGTGCGACATAACGGCGTTGATGCTCTCAATGGCTGGGGGGGAGGAGAGGGAGAGGGAGAGGGAGGAGGGAGGGACGCAGGTTGGTCGACGTGACATCTTAAGTTCCGTCCATCTCTCCCACTTCACACCGGCTGCAGCTCCTCCTTACCCTCCATTCACGCTCCCTCCTTTACCGGTATCCCCGATCCCCACTCCTCCCTTCTTCACAAAACCCCCCACTCCCCCACCCCACCCCCAATACCCACCCTTGCGCGTCTCCTCCTGGTACTTGAGCAGCGCCGCGCGGCGGTTCACGTCCTCGTTCTCACGCGCCTCCTTGATGCGCCCCTCAGCCTCCGCGAGGGCCCGCTCGCGCTGGATCTGCTTCTGGAGGTCAGCCTGGGGGAGAGGGTACCGGTAGGTAAGGGAGGGAGGGAGGGGCGAGGGATGAGAGGGAGGGAGGGTTGTAGCAGGGACTGGGTCATCCTGCCGCTCCACTCCACCGTAGCAACCTCATATCGCCCTTGTCCTCCTTATACCCCACTGTTAGGCCCGTCTTCGCATGGAGCTTGCCCCAAGTTAGTAACTACATAAACGTCTTAGTTTTCCGTAACTCCCTACACCGACTGGGCCCCCCTGCCACCAAGGCCAGTGCACGAGATGACATGTCAGCTTTCCTTGTCTGCTTCCAAGCTACGCTCACCGTTGCCCTTTCCGCCCCTTTCTTCCCCTCCCACCTCCCGGGCCCCTCCATCTCGTCTTCCACAGCTCAATTCCCCTCTCTTTCTATCCCCCCCCACCCTTCTTCACAACCCGGTCACCACCATCGTCCCCCTCACACCTCCTTCGAGCCCCTCCTCCCCCACACCCCCACCGGCTCGATCAAATTGATACCATTCACGAGGATCTTGTCGTCTAGCCTGCCATTTTAACCAACACATCGGGTATCCTCCCCCCCACCCAGCCCCACCATCCCCCCTCACCGCGTACTGCTCCGCTGCGCGCCTCTCCGCCTGGATCTGCTGCTCCACCCGCAACCGCTCCTGCTCCGCGCGAGCAGAGGCCTCCTCCTGAGGGGCGCAACAAGGTGGGGCGAGGCACATGGGAGCGGTTCAAGAAGGGACGGAGGAACCTCTCCGCAGCCGCGCAGAGGGAGCTGCCAGCTTGCTCAACCACCCACGACCACACATCCACTTTCCCTTGCCTGTACCGCGTTGTATCCCGGTCCTTCCCTTCCCCTTCCCCTGCCCCGCCGTACTGCCGTACTCTCCCATTCTCCCATTCTCCCCCCCCCACCCACATGCCCGCCCCCACCCCCACCTGCAGCTTGGCTAGCTCCGCATTCCGCTGGCGCTGCAGCTCGTGCTCCGCCATCATGCGCTTGCGGGCTAGCTCGTCCTCGTACTGCTTCATGCGGGCAGCCACCTGGGGGGGGGAGGAGGTTGGGGGGCGGGGGGGGGGGTAAACATGAGGAGGTTGGGGGGCGGGGGCGTGACGGGGTAAGGAGGTGGTTGTTGGGAAGAGGTAAGAGCCTTCAAGAGGGGATTCCCAACCAAGCGTACAACCCATTCCCTACCATCCAGAAGACACATCTCACCCTCCTTCACCCAGGCTCACGCCCAACGAACCCGGAACGAACAACTCCCCAACCCAGATCCGCCTCAACTCAGATTCCACACCCCAGACGCCCACCACCCACCTGTGCGCGCTGCTCCTCCATCTTGGCCTCCTCTTGGAACCGCACCACCTCCCGCTCCTGCACAACACAGCAGGGAAGGAACAGGGTGCAAGGCGGGGGCGTTAGCAGGCCATGATAACGGCAAGTGAGGGCCACCGTGTAACAAAGGACCTGTGATCTTGCCACAGGTTCTGCTTGGGCGTGTTGCTGTACAATAGTTTGCTATGGCACAGGAGCATGACTGCCTGTGGAATCAGTGCCCCCTCGCGCCCCTCCCCTTGTCCGACGTGACTAGAGCGGGACGTACCCGCTCTATAGCCGCAGCTTGGCGGCGGTAGTCGGCCTCCCTTTCCTTCGCCTCAGCCTGCTTGGTGACCTCCTGTTGCCGACTGAGCTCCAGCGCCTAAGAGGGGGGAGGCCACATGGATGGGAAGGAAAGGGCTAAGAAGAGGCGAACCGTCCATGGTAAGCTGGAGAGAAGGGTAGAGGATTATCGCAGCTGCGGGACGGGGATGTGGGTCGGGAAGTTTGGGGCAAAGGGTTGGATTGCACTGGGTTTGGGTGCGGTGAAGCACAGCGGCACGGCGGTGCCACAGGCACGTGATGCCAAGAGGCTGCATGCCTTGCGTCATGACGGGTGAGAAGAAAGCTTCTATCGTAAAAATGGCTAAAGAGGTGCAGAAGGTATGAGATATGTTGCCTAATGGTCGGTTTGAAAGGGAAAACGCCTGCTCCAACACGCCGCTCTATTTGCTAATAGTAACACGGAGAAAACGCAAGTCTACAATGAAGCCAGAAGTCGTTAGCAGGACGGTGCGTCGTTTGACATTGTTTGCCGCTAGCTACGGCTTCGGCGTCGCATCTCATGAAGCCAAACAAGCCTAAAAAAGATTAAACCACTTGACGCTAAGTGCTTGCTTCGGCAAGCCGCCGGCAGTGTCGGAGGTCTCGGGAATGCGTTCAATCAACATAGCGACCAGGAGGGCCTCTGCCCTCGTGCCTTCATAAACACGACCTTTAAGGGCTATCCTAAGTCTGCACGACGTTTATGGCTTTGAAACATCATCCCGCTTGTGACGCAGGGGATCGCCAGCCGCCATGGCCCACACCGCCACGTTGGCAACCGCGCTGTTACCTCCGCACCTGCTTCGCATATGGGGACTTGTTGATCTCCCGAAGCGCCTTGGCACCACGCTCCAGCGCCTCGGGGTCGAAAAGACGGTCGTTTTGGGCACTGGCAGGTTTGTCATCTTTCTCCGCAAGCACGCTTGGAGCTGCGTAAGCCGCCACTGCAAGGCCGCTGCTAACCCATAGCCCCGTGGGCACTACTAGCCGACGCAACTGCTGCGCCATTTTGCTGCGGCTTTCTCAATAAAGTTGACCGAAACAGGCTTTTCAGGTGCGCGGCATTGGCCCTAAGGTTGCTATGTGCGTAGCGCCGACAATATGCGTAAAGGAGCGATGAGGTAAAGGCCACTGCAAAAGATTTGGCATCCCGTACGGCGTAGTAACCACCCATGTAACTTACAGAGCGAAATTCCATAAGATGCCGGCATACTAGTAAGTTTTGCTTCAGACAATCAGTGCGGCTGCGCTCAATACGCCCGCCGTGACGGGTTGGTGCATTCAGTGCTGCATGTGCTGCAGCGCCCGCCAGCTTGAAGTATGTTATTTCGCTGTTGCACTATATTGCATAATGCTGCTCCGGCAGTAAATCCGGTTTCAACCAGGTCCGGCCGTTAGTCAGCGCTTGCGAGGAATGGGTTCTCGATGGAAGGATGGGTGTTGTGTGTGTCGGAAAGGGAAACAACGAGCACAAAGGCGTTCACTTATCAGCATACGGTACTCTGTTTGTCTATCAAAACGGGAAAAGGACGCCTGCGCCCATCTAAGTTGCTCTTGAACACCCATTGCCTTACGGCTGATGCGCAGAGCCACCTGGTCATCGCCACCCTGATCGGCGCAACCCATGTGCCACAATTGTTTCCCAACAGCTGCACTGTCACTAGTAGACTTCAAAGCATTGCAGATTCCCCAGAGAGCGCCTGGGGGCTCAGTGGCCCAAGTGACCCAAAAGAGATGCAAGGCAGTCGACAAGCACCGAAACCATGTGCTGCAACATGCTTCCTCGTAACCCATCTCTCCATGCTGTTGCCCCTGCCTGTAGCGCTCCACCCCGTCTGTCTGCTCTTCCACAACATCCTTGTAATCCTGCTATCCTGAACAACCAGCTGCACGCGCCACGAGTGCATGCTTACTGGCGCATGTGTGCAGCCTCAACCCTAAACCATGCGCCGGTGCAAGTCCTGGCGCTTCCTGATCGCCTCATCCATTTATGAACCCCACATCGCACGTAGATGGCCTACGTTGACCATTTTGACCGCACCCCGAGCCTTACTCCCATCATTTCCATTACTCCCATCAAATCGCGTGGCATGTTGGTACGCTCACGCGTCCTAACGGCTTTGCAACGCTTAAGAGGACAGTCGTTCCGCTCAACGCATTTAGTGGGCAGCCGCCTCGCATGCAAGCGAGCCGCGAACGTCGTACAGCGAATGCGCTGCTTACGAGCATGTACGAATGATACGGGACAGTAAACCGAGTCGCCAAAGCACGTCGTACCATAACGTCCATAAAGCATATACTAGTTGGAAGGCGCCCCGGTCGAGCAAGGTACGAGCCGCATGACTGCATGTGCTCCCCCTCGTGTTCGTTGTACTATAGTTTAACTATAGGCACGCCGCTTTGTCCCATTGCGCCTTTCTGCGCAGCCGCGTTGTCCCAAGGGACCGTACACAGCACCGGTACCGTGAGAAAACAATACTTGCTTACTAATACCAGCTATAACGTGACCATATATGACCTAATTCGAATAAATGGCAAGCTGGTCGATTGAGACGCAATGAACAGTAGCAACGATCTGCAGGACAACCCGAATACTGCTAATACCGGACAACTAACGAGGTCGACTAACGAGCCTTCAGTTCACAGCTCTCAATGCAAAAGTGACCGACCGCTCCCTAACTCCTCCTCGCCCCCGAGGATTGCCCATGCAGAGCAATAAACCCCGTCGCGGCCGCGGCCCCCGGCGATGCGGCATCCGTCCCGCCCCCGCCCCCGCCCCCGCCACCCCCCGCCTCTCGGCACCCCAGGCTGCTAGCCGTGTCAAACACAAGCGTGTCCCCATCACCCTCCTCCAGATCCACGTGAACTCCGGCGAGGTCAGCCACTACCCCCACGGCGCCGCCAATGGTGGCGGCAGCATCCCCCGCCGTTGCTCCCCCCGCCACAAGCGGTCCTGCAGTCGCCCCGGCTTCCGCGCCCGCCGCGGCTTGGCCCCGCTGCGTGTTCGCCCCGTTACTTGACCCCGGCGGTGAGGGGTCCGAGGAAACGGCTGTGAAGGCACAGCTCGCGGCGGAGGTGACGGAGGCGTGCTGCGATGCCGGCGCCGCCGCCGCCACCAATGCAGCCATGGATGATGGGCTAGCGGCGACCGCCCCGCCCTGCACTGTACCTGTCGGCGCCTCCGCCGCCGCCGCTGCTGCTGCCTCCACTTCGTCAAGCAGCTCGAGGAGGGGTGACGGCGACGGCGGCGGTATATCCAGCTGGGGAAGGAGTGCACGACAAGCTGCCAGCTGTGCGTCTGGCTGCGCTGCGTTGACGTCACCACCGCCGCCGCCGGCGCTGAGAGGTGCCACGCCGTTGATAGCTAGGATGCGCTCAGCTAGTACGACGTGGAGAGGCAGGCGTGACCTGGGCGCCGCGGCGGCGGCGGCAGTGGCGGCGGCAGGAGGGGCGGCGGCAGCAGCAGCTGGAACAGCAGCGGCAAGCGGCGATCGGGTGAGGCAGCCGCGACTTGTGGCTTGGATGGAAGCGGTTGGTGGCGGGAGTGGCGGCGTCGTTAGCAGCCGGCTAGCGGCCTCCGCAGCGGCGACGGCGACGGCGTCCGGAGTGGGTGAATCGGGTGCGGGGAAGGCTGGTGGGAGCGGAGACAGCAGTGGGAGAGAGGCGGGGGGAGGAGGAGGAGGGGCAGGTGACGGTGAGGCGGTGGGCTGAGGCTGCTGTTGTTGCTGCTGCTGTCGGGCGCTGTGCTGGGTCGGCTGTTTGGATGACGCGGTGGAGGGCTGTTGGCGCAGGTGCTGCTGGTGCTGCTGCTGATGGCGGTGCTGCGAAGGTGTTGAAGATGGCGGTTGCTGCTGCTGCGCCTGTTGCTGCGCCTGCTGCTGTGGGAATGGCGGCGGCTTGAGAGGCGACAGCGGTCCCGGTGTGGCCCCTTGCAGCTGCACACGACATGGGAGACAGCACACGTTTAGTGCATTAGCGCTACATGCCGTACATGGGAGTAGTAACGTAGTATTCATTTGGGTGTACGGCTTGGCTTACCAGTACCGATAACCCGCACCAAACATGTGTATTTGGTCCGGCCAGAACATTAGCGGAATGCGGAATGCTCGCTGTTTTTTGTAAGGGCCAAAAACCTGTTATAAGTCGCCTTTCCCCAACACCTACCCAAGGTGCTAAGCTTGGCATGGCCCCTCCCACCCTTCTTCCGGGAACACGCGACACACCCGCAGTCTCCCATCCCGACCCCACTCCCACCCCCCCCCATCAAGTCACCCCACCCTCCCCCCACCTGTCCCAGCAGGCTGTGCACCAGGTTCACCAGCTCGGCCGCGGAGGGGCGCGCATGCGGGTCGTGCGCCCAGCAGGCAGCGGCAATGTCCCTGGGGGAAGGCGGGGCGACCGCGGGGGGGTGGGAGTTGTCGGGGGTTGGAATGCCCTGACCGCAACACAGGCGCTGAGCGTTAAGCGTCAAGCAACCCCTACAAACCCGCACACCGGTCACACCAGCATCCCCACCGACACCGCCACCTGCTGCTCCCCCTCCCCCCCACCTGCACTCACTGCATGAGTCGGGATATGGGATTGGGACTCTAGTTTCCTGCATTTATTATACAATTCCCTCCCCCACCTGTACTCCCGCGGGCAGTAGGGCGGCAGGCTGGGCCGCACGCCCCTGCGCGCCGCCTGAATGGCCTCCTTGCCCGGCATGCAGGCGTCCTGCGGGGTGCCGCTCAGCAGCTCCGCCATGAGCACGCCGAAGGAGTAGACGTCCACGGAGGCGGTCAGCAGCGCGCCCTTGGAGATGACCTGGAGGGGGGGCGGGGGGGGGCAAGGACCATAATGAACCTTAGGAACCATAGGGGGGCCGGGGGCGGGGGGCAGGTGGGTAAAGAGGAAGCAACCTACTGACTGAGCGATAGGGCGTATCATGGTTGGCAACATGTGAGCCAGCCCGACCCGCCCAGCCCGGGTTGGGGCAGGTGGGGCCAGGTGGGGGCCAGGAGATGAGGCAAGATGACGGAGTTGCGCAGGTAATGGGCAGAGGTTGGGAGTAAGAGAGAGAGGGAGAGGAAGGAACACCGCATCATGGGCCGGTGTAGTAGGTTGGGGGGTTAAGGAAGCGCAGAAGAACAGGTAACACACACAGGCAGGCAACATGCCAACAAGTACCGAATCACCCCACCCCCCCACCTCGGGCGCCATGTGCGTGAGGGTTCCCAGCGCCCGAGTGACGGTGAAGTGCGGGAAGGTGGTGGTGGTGGTGGTGGTGGTGGTGGTGGTGGAGGTGGTGGTGGAGGTGGTGCCGTCCTCGGCAGAGGCCCCCGGCTGCTTCAGCATGCGAACACAACCAAAGTCGGAGAGCTGCGCAGACGGGCGGGAAAAAGGGAAGGAAGAAGAAGGGGTGAGGCAGGGAAGGGGATGTGCACATGTGCTTCAGTCCTAAGCTCAGTCCTCCATCGGGCCATATGCATGCAAACTTACTTCTGACGCACTGCTCCCATGCAACCTACACCCCAACCTAAACGTACTTGCGCTTCCTCCCCACTCCGACCCACGGGTCGTTCCTGTCCCTGCTCCTCCCGCCCCTCCCCTCCTCCCCTTCCTCCCCTCGCCCCCACCTTGCACGTCCAGCCCCGCGGGTCCCGCGGGTGGCTCTTGAGCAGCACGTTTGACGGCTTCAGGTCGCAGTGCACCAGCTGCAGCGAGTGCAGGTGCCGCAGCGCCAGAGCCACCTCCAGCAGGCAGGTGTACAGGGACTGCGGGGGGGAGGGTGGGGTGGGTAAAAAATAGATAATGAGACACTGACAAAGCAAGTGTCAGGGAGGGTTGGGGTGGGGGGGTGGGAACAGGTGGGAAAAGAAGAATACCCAATGTGTTGAATGAGGCTGGCAAGGAAGCCGACGACCTCAGGCGGGTGTGTGGGTGTGGGTGGTGGCGGGCGGGACAAGGGGGGGTAGGAATAGGCGGCACCAGGCACCATAAGAAGCTATAAATTACCGTATACGGCGAAACAGTGATTTAGCAACCCATGGAGAAGCCTCGTCATCCAATTCATCAGTTTTCCTTATTTTTTCCCCGGCCCCCCCCACCTGCAGGTCCAGTTTGGGCCAGCCGTTGGTCTCCACCCCCCTCCTGAAGCAGCCCCGCCGCATCACGTCCTTCAGGGTGCCCGCGTCGCAGTACTCCATCACGATAACCAGGTTGGTGGGGCCTGCGGGGGGGGGGGGGAGGGCGGGAGGGAGGTAAAAGAGGGATACCAAGTGTGTGGTAGAACAGAGCTTAATGGGTAGCGGAGGTGGGGGGGGGAGTGGGGTGAACAGAAACACCCTGATGATGTGAATGAACCTGGTAACCCGGGCGTGAGAGCGGGCGTGCGAGCGGGGGAGTCGTAGGGGGCCGGGAAACTGGCAAAAGAAGAGTGCGGGCGGTACCGCTGCAGTCGTGTAGTCGTAAGAAAACGCCAGATCGGACCCTGCAGGGTGACAAGGGTGCGTGCGTGTGCACCCGCCCGCCCGCCCAGCCACATGTTGCAAACCATGATGATACGCCTTTTACACAATCAGTTAGTTGTTTCCTCTTTACCGCCCCCCCCCACCTTCCGTGTCTCTTTATTCTTTCCCCCGGCGCTACCGTTTCCTCTTTGCCCCCGCCCGCCCGCCCGCCCGCCCACCTTCCGCTGCCATGTCCTCCGATGCATCCACTCGCCGCACCAGCCGCAGGTAGTTGGTGTGGCTGTTGGCGCCCGAGTTGTGAGCCGAGCTGCGGCCATCAGCTGCTGCTGGTACTGCTGTTGCTCCGGCTGCTGCAGAGGGTGCTGATGCTGAGGGTGCTGCGGTTCCGCCTCCGGGTGTGGAGGCGGGCAGCTGGCCCTCCAACGCGGGTTGCTGTCCGGCATGTTGTTGGTGCTGTTGTGGTGGATGTGGTGGCTGCTGTTGTGGATGGGTTCGTGCAAAGGAGGAGCCCTCGCTGCTCTCCTCGTTCGCATACCCGACAACAAGCACATCGAAAAAGTAGTTGTACACCTGCGCGGGGACGACGTGCACGCGGGTGGGTGGGGGGATGAGTCCGAGAGCTGGGAGGGGCAGCAAGCGGCGACAGCAGGGGCAGCAAGCAGGACAGCTCACCAGGTAAGTAGGTAACACTCGCACGGCTTGTACGGCTTGTACACTCCTTAGCTACCGGTATTGGTCCCCAGGTGATGGTCTTCTTAGCCACAGACAGAGGGACCCACCCAGTCTAGCCTGTTACCCCGGGCCCATCGCAGCCCCTTCGTTGATGCCTTCCTCTCCCTCGACCCGCCGACCGCACACTCCTTCCAGGCATGCATGCCTCAGGTCCCGCCATGCGGACCTCCCACCCACGAGTGGTCACGGCCAGTGTTTCCTGGCGGCTCAGCTTGCCTAATCCCACCCACCTGAACAATCTGCGGGTGGCTCACGATTGACGTCACCGCCAACTCCAGCGCGTCCCGAATGAGCTCCCGCTTGGCGGCACGCAGCAGCTGCTCCCGGTCAATCGTCGTCGCTTTGGCGGGTGCAGCAGCGACCCGTGGGTCGGCAGCGCCGCCGCCGCCGCCTTTCTTGCGGTTGGCTGCTGCGGCGGCTTGCTGCTGCTGTTGGACCTTTGCAATGAGGGCGCCGGGTAGGTCCTTGGCGATTACCTACATGCGAGGTAAAGAGGAAACAACTTACTGACCGTGTGATAACGTGCGGGGGGTGGATGGGTGGGGTGAATTGGGATTAACGGTGAGGTGAGGTGTGGGATAACGGTGGGGTTGGGGAGGACAGGGCGAAGGCGTCATGTCCGGTAGCCAGTCCTGGCACTGGCACAGCATGCACAACACCTCCTTGCACAGCCCCCAGGGGGAGGGATACATCGCGTATCGCGTAAACCAGACCCGGAGCAACAGCGCCTGAAGCCCCATCCGCCTTCCCCATCCTCCTTCTCCCTATCTCTAGACACATACCGACCCCTCCACACTTCCTCCCTCACCCACCCCACACGGTTCGTTAGTCGTTTCCTCTTTACCCCTCACCCCTCCCCCCCACTCCTCCTCCCTCCCCCCCCCTCCCCCACCTCACCTTCACCGCCACCTCCAATCCATGCAAGTGCCCCCGAAACACCACCCCCTGCCCGCCCTGCCCCACAGTCTCCCGCAGCCGGATGGAGTAGAGGTCGTCCAGCGCCTCCCGCGTGCCCTCGCTGGCAGCACGCCAGGCGGCGCTGATCTGAGGGGGGGCGGGAGGGAGAGGGAGGGGAAAAAGTAGATGTGAAGTGCAGCAACTGGAGTCCAATCTCATATTCCGGCTCATGCAGTGAGCGCGTGGGAGGGAGGGGGGGGGGAGGCGTGAAGTCGAAGACATGAAGCACTGAAGGAAGAGGAGTAAAGGGGAGAAGGTGAGGGAGGAACCATGTGACGGGGATGCACACAGCATGTGACGAGGGCTCCAACTTGATGTTTTAGCATCTTGGTGATCACAGGAGGGCGGGTGGCTACTCCCTAGGGACACACTCGGCCACCCTACCCCAGCCGACAACACGATCCCCCCCCACACACACACTTCATCTTCCGACATCCCAGTACGTTCCTACTCGCGGCCAGTTTTCTTAAGACACACCTCAGCACGTTCCTACTCGCGGCCAGTTATTATCTCAACACATACCTGTGTGCCGACTCGCGGCCACTTCCCTTCACACCCACCTGTGCATTGGTGATGGTCGCCTGTATGCCCGCCACCACCGCCTTCAACGCCGCCGGCGAGTGCCCCACCCCGTCATCCACACACACGCTCATAACGCTGCAGCTGCTGCCCCGACCGCCACCCCCTCCACCACCCCCACCTCCTCCACCCCACACCTCACTACTGCCACACCCCAGGCTCCAGACACTGCTGTTGCTGCCCAGACTGTTCCCCCCCCCTCCGCCGCCGCCTCCGCCGGGACCGCCCCCGCCGTTGCTGCCGTTCAGGAGGGAGGTCAGCGTACGAGCACCTCCGCCGCTGCTCAGAAACCCGCTGTGGTTGTTGCTGTTGTTGTTGTTGCTAGCCTGGTGGCCATGTGCGCTGCTGCGCGGGTGCGGGGTGTTGGGGCTTGCGTTGCTGCGGGCAGAGGTGCGTGGGGAGGAGGCGGCGGAGGAGGCGGCGGCAGGGGAGGGCGAGGCGAGGAGGGGTGTGGAGGTGCCGGCGGGTGCTGTGGCCTGCAGTCGCAGGGTGGCCCACTCGGCGGCTAGGGAGCCCAGGAGCTGGCGGTGGATGTGGGGCGCGAGCAGCTGTGGAGGGAGGAGGAGTGGAGGGGGAGGAGAGAGGGTAAGGAAAGGCAAGGCGACAAGAGCGACAAGCAAGCAGTGAACAAAGGTACGAACCACACCGGACAGTGAGGGTGGGGGGTTAGCAAGCACGTCGCAGCGAGTGTGTAGCCATCATGCCAGCAGCACCACGCCTCCCACCTCTCCCTCCTTCCCACAGGGAGGGACAACCGGCTGCCATCGACCACACCTCACCAACCCTATCACCTATACCCCTCCCAACCTCATCCCCCACCCTGCCCCCACACCCTGCCCCCTACACCTCGCCCCCCCCCCACACCCGCCACCCACCCACCCCCCCTCGTTGTTTCACTTATATAATTTTACCCACCTGCAGCAGCTCCTGCAGGCCCTGCCGTACTTCCCCCAGCCAGCCCGCCGGCAGCTGCTGCTGTGCCGTACACACGTAAACCGCCACGTCAGGAGCCAGCGTGGAGTGGTGGGCGCCCGCCACGGCCAGCAGGAGGCAGGCGGGGGGCAGCTGCGTAAGCTGGAAACACACCTGCACGTCCCGCCCCGGCCGATCCTCCCGGTGCAGGTACGTACGGCAGTTCAGCACCACCGCTCCCGCTGCATGCACCTCGCTGCCTCCTGCTGTTGCTGCTGCTCCTGCCTCCTCCGCCTGGCCTTTGTCACCTGGTTGCTTTGACAGGCCTGCTGCTGCAGCTGCCCCTCCTGCAGCCGTTACCGCAGCAGCAGCCACTGCTCCTCCTCCTCCGCCGCCGCCTCCACCCTGCTGCTGGGACACCACCTCCAGCAACAGCGTGTCTAGCAGGGGTCCTAACACCCCCTGCAGCGGGGTCGCTGACCCGTGCGCACCGCAGCAGGCCCCCACTGCCCCAGAACCCGCACCCGCAGCCGTTGCTGCTGCTGCTGCAGCCGCCGCGGCCGTCACCGCTGCTGCCACCGTTGACGTTCCTGCTTGCAGCGACCTCACCTGGGCTGACGATGATGACCCAGATGAGGGTACTGCTGCTGCTGTTGCTGCTCGACCATGCACGTGTGCATGCGGGGTGGTGCTGGTGGTGGCGGTGCTGGCAGTGCTGCTAGGCGCGACTAGCTGGCCTGATGCTGCTGCAGCCGACGACGACAGCGAAGATGCGAGGGGTGCAAAGTACGCCACGCGAGCCTCCATGGTGTCCGCCAGCGCCACCACGCAGCGGGAGCCCTCCAGACGGAAGCGGGAGTGCAGCAGGGGGGACAGGCAGGCGTGCAGGGAGGCAATGAGGGCCTGGGCAGGCGGGAGGAAGGGGGGGGGGTGAAGGCAGGCTATGAGCAGGTGTGGGAGCAGGGAGGTACTACCGTATACCGGTGCTGTATACGAGTGGACCCCTGTGTTACGAAGGCGTCGCCTGCGCTGGCCCTGGATTGGGTGCGTCAGGAAGGGGAGCCCTGTGACGGCACCGCGATGTTCCCCATCCCACCCGCCACCACCCTAGCCCGCTCCCCCCAGTGCGCTCCTCATCACGTACGTTCAGACTCGCGGCCAGTTTTCTTAACACACGCACCTGCAGGCTCTCCGCCCGCTGCACGCCCGCGATCGCTGCGCCGACCTGCGGCGAGGAGGGGTAAAGAGGAAACAACTAACTGACCGCGTGAGGAAGGCGCCATCACGGTTTGCAACAAAGAGGGGCGCTAGTAAGACACGGTTCGGGAGGTTCGGGAACCATCAGGCGTCCAGGACTAGTACTGCAGCATGCTGCAGGTTGCAGCATCCTGGCTTATTGGTTGCCCCATTCTAACGATGAGGCGACTGCCTATTTCATATTTCTAATGCCTCATGACGACGAAGACATTGACCCCACTACCCCTTCCCTCCTCCCTCTAGGGTCGCCGCCTCACCGCCTGGTGCAATCCCAGATGATGCGGGTCCGAGAAGAACGCCAGACTTAGCACCCGTGACAGCCGCTGCAGCACCGGCACGTGTACGGCAAAACACACGCCATCCCCACGACAGCCGGTGGCGCCACCGGCGGTGCTGGTGGTGGTGACCGCATGTGCACTATGTCCTTGGCCAGAGGGGACACCGCGGGGCATGGACGGCGGATGCGCGGGTGTGGGGCGCTCGGCGCATGGCGCATGGATGTTGCTGCTGCTGCTGGTGGCGGGGGTTGCGTTTCGGGCGAGGCACAGCGCCGCTATGACGGCTCCTTGGGGGTCCAGGATGGGGAAGGAAGCGAACTGGGTTAGCTGCGCGCGTGCATGCAGGCGCTGCCAGTCGGGTGGGAGCTGGGAGGGAGAGGCCACAGATGCGATGTCGGGAGGTGGGGGGGTGGAGGGGGGGGTGGAGGGGGAGAAGGGGTCGGAGGCGGTGGGATTAGCAGCTGTTGCTGCTGCTGGCTGCTGTACGGGAGTGGAGGGGCTGGGGCTGAGGATACGGACCAGCGGAGCCTGCAGGTGGGCGAGATTTGCAGGGTGAGGGAGTTGGGGGTGGAAAGGGACAGATGGACGGGTTGTGGGTTAGGCGAAAGGTGTGGAGAGGCGGACGTGAGGGGAAAGTTCCTTGAGACCTACTGGTCCCATGGCATACCGGTGCAAACACGTTGCTGGGAAGCGCATGGACATACCTTGCTTTGCAAAAGCAACTCTAGGCTGCAGACTTCTTGGGGTGGTGCAGGAGCAGTCCCAAAGCCGGTTCCCTGCTGCCCGGCTGCGACCTTCGTCGGGCCCCCTGGGTTGGGTCTGACATGGACGACATGAAACTCTCCTGGCTGAAGAATTTCCGACTGCGGGCCTCCACATGATATCACGACAAAGCAGGCCTGTTGCGGGCAGTACAGATGTATGCTGCGAGAAGAAGGTGGCGCAAACAAAGGACCAGCGTGAGCGTTGGTAGGATGGGCATGAGCACGACATCCCACAAAGATATTACCTGGCAAAGGCTGCACCGGCGCTTTTTGCTGTCAAGCTTGCCACTCGGGCCAGACGATCGAGCCAAGCGCCTTGGATAGTGTGCAAGCTGTCGTAAAGCGCCTAAATGGAACAGAACAACCACAACGCACCACTCATCGCTTTAAGTCGCACAAGGAGTACATGTGAGCTTGTTAGCAAACAAACCTGCCAATGCGAGTCGACGCCTGAAAACATGGGACTTTTGTCGTCGGCGCCATCTTGCACGGTAGGTTGCACTCCTGGCTGCGCAGGCTCACGCAGCTCCTCCCCAGCCAGACATAAAAAGATGCGTTTCAGCATGAGAGTTTCTATCCTAGCGCATGTTCGTTGACAAATACACAGTAAGACAGTGCACCCAACTGCGCAAGTTATAGTCAAAACATGTAATAATGGAGACACGCGTTCGCATTTATATATGCAACAAAACTTGCAGACCCCAGATTGCGCCTGCGTTGCCTAGTCTGGAAGGAACGCATCTGTCGTAATAACTCATCAACAGTTGAATTGCTTACGAGGGCAGTTCGGAGGGTCTGCGGAGGAGCGGGTAGCGATGCCTGAAATTACGGGGATTCCTCGAGCTGTTATCGCCTTTGTACTAGCATAGACTTCTTCCTAGGCTTACTTCCAGCGTTCCATCGCGACGTTTCATACACTCTTGTGTACCGGTAGCGGCCTATTCCACATAATGCGCGTGTTTCAGTACTTTGCTGCCATTGATCTAAGAGACTGCTCACCGCGCCGGAACCTTCGACCCGGCAACTACCGTTAACTACCCCGTCAACTACCCCTTGCGGCTTCCATTGTTCCAATTGGGCTCTGGCCCCAAGCCAATCCACGTTGGGCCCTGATTACGCATCGTCTATCTATCCATGCCTCGGCTTCATAGCGCAAAAGGCCTACAGGCAGGTTGCGCCTTTCCCGGCGTGCGCAGGCCTCAGGCAGCCGGCGAAGTTCGGGCATGTGGCCGCAGCAGGTCTTCGCAGATAGCTACTTAAGGGCCCGTGAATAGCAACCCTATTTTCTCAGGGACTTCCAAAGGTTACGTGGCGTGGTTTGCGTCGTGGGGTGTATGAAGGCTGGCTGGCTGGGGGTGACCAGTCGGGGCCCGCTGTGTGTGGTGACGTGTGTGGGCAGCGAATGTCCTGGATCCATTTCGGTATTAGCTGTCGTACCGGCAAGACTGAGTTCGTACGGTTTTAGGCACTTGCAACTGGACCTATACGCGCGGTTTGCCAGCCGCAAGGCCCGCAACACTTCTGCAGCGGAGCCCCGATTGAGAGGTGGCCCATCCCTGATCATCCTTTGATGCCCTCGCTCCTCCTGCACCCCCTTCAGGTCTTCTACTCGTGCCACATCCTGGGCTTCCTGGTCTTTATGCTGTTTGCCTTCATGCACGTCCCGGACATGATGATCTGGGTGATGCCAGGTGAGGCTTTGGGAGTAGCGCCCACACGAGACACTCTAACCCGCACGCAGCTGTCCGCCGAATAGGATCCGCTAACCAGTAGGGGAAGTGTCGTCATCAACTCATCATCACGTGCCCGTGCATACCATGCAAGCCATCATCTTTTTCCACCCATTCGCAGCGCGCCTTGACCACGTGGCAGTTCCCCATTTTCCTGTTGCACGCCGTATCCACGCACGCGCAGTCGCCCCCGCGCCCCTTCCGCTTGGCCTGGATTACTCGGGCAGCATGCCTGGGGTGAGCTGGAGCGAGCTGACGCTCTGTTGCCGGGTGTTCTCCACCCTCCTATCCTCCTACCCCCGCACCGCCCTCCCAACCTCAGTCACACGCAGGCCTCTTCCTGTACCTTCTGGACGTGGCCCTGCGCAACGTGCAGCCGCTGTTCAACGTTACCGCCGTGACCACCGCCGCCAATGCGACAGTGTCACCCGACGGCAGCGTGGTCTCACTGCAGCTGGCAGCGACTGAGGTGAGGGGCGTGCATGCGTGCGCGGGGGGGTCAAAGACCAAACCAAACCAATAGGAAACCACACGTGGTGGTGGTGGGGGTGGGTTTCTGCGTGTGCTGGGCATACCGTATGCACCTGAGCTGCACCTTTCGTTCCGCCGCCATCCAACTGTGATGCGAACTCTTGGTTCCTCACGCCGTCATGCTGCCACTACACCGTACGGTACTCCATCCTCCCACCTTCTTTCCAACCCAAAATGCCTCCTCACGTCCTCAGGTCATGGACTGGTGTCCCGGGGACGTGCTGCTTCTGAAGGCTCCCGCCGTCAGCCGGTGGCAGTGGCACCCCTTCACCGTCACCTCCCTCCCGCAGCAAGCCGGCAGCAGCAGTGCTGCCAGCAGCAGCCGCAGTGCAGCAGCAGCAGCCGGACGCTGTCCATTCACATCAAGGCATATGACCGATGGACCAAGGTAGGCGCTAGGCTGCTGAGGGCCAGCAGTTGGGACGGACAAGGGCAGAGGGCTTGCGAGTGACAACACCGCTAGCAATGGACCAAATGTGGACTATTCCCTCGTGCTGGTCCACCTTCGCAAACCCACCTTCCGCGACGCCCTCCTGCTTCCTCACCCTCCCCTCCCTTCCACTCCCCGCTCACTGCATGCGCCGGAACACGGGACTGTGCTTCACCTCTCATTCCTTTTTCCACTCCCCGCAGCGCTTCATCACGCTCCTGGCCTCGGACCCATCGCCCCACGCTCTACGTCAGCGGCCCGCACATGCCGCGCGGCGCCCGCGAGGGGTGTTTGCCCCAGGGATTGGCATTGGGTCGGGGCACGGACGTTGGTGACACATGTTGGGCATGGTGTTGCCTGGAGGTCCCCACCTATTTCCGAAAACGGCCCAAAGGAAACGTTTGTAAATTTCAGGCACCCCATTTCCCCTTTCCTTGGGAGAGCAGGGCTGCGGCCATCACCCTTGTTTCCATCCCCGGAACCTCAGTACTATTATACAACCACCCATGAGTCCACAGCGTCTGCTGCTTCATACCGTGCTTCCCCTCTGTACGCAACCAAAGAAGCGCCTGAGTAGCGCCCGCATCACCATTGCATCCGTACTGCTGCAGTGTCGCAATACCGCGACTTACTTCCACTTAAGCCCCATCCGTCCACCCAAGAAGCCAACCATGCTCGTTAGAGATCCCAAGCAACCGAAGCCCCAGCTAAAACCCCAAACGATGTCAAGGAAATCCGAGTTAACCAATAAAGCGCGAGAGGGGTTAAACCGGATCAGTCCGTACGGGCTCCCGGGTAGCGCCAGGATGTTGGCCCAAAGACCACCGGCAACATGCCGCTCGTGTAAGGATTACGACTGCGAAGTTGCTAGTTACTGCCATCGGAGCTACGCAAGATATTAACCCGGTGTTGCGCGGGATGGGTGTTCCAGGCACAACACGCTTGCGGGGTTCAAGCATCAATGTGTCCAACTGCCATGTCAGCTCTCAATTGTTTTTCTTCAATACCTACTTGCTCTGAAGTAAGCGCAGCCGTGCATGATGTAATGAGACTTTCACACATAGCCCAAATTTACGTGGTAGCTGCGGATCTTCCGTACAAGCAACACTTTTGCGTCATAGGCAGGCGATAGGCACCATTCTTTGTCAAATGCATAGTTGCGCCGTAGCCATAATTACGTCTGCATGCTAGTTGCCAATTATCATTGCTACCGGTGTTAAGACCGGACTGCAGGGGTCGCCGTATTTGTAGACCCCGCTTGTGAAAGACCTGTGCATATCCTTCCTAGCCATCTTGTCATAAGCTGTCGCCTGTATACCTTGAGCATTACGGATGACAATGTCGGAGCGAACGCCACTGCTCGTGGCAGACCACGGGGCGCTAGCCATAGCGGAGCTGCCTAGGAAGGCTTCTGACTGCTTACTCCATACCGAAAGCTGTTTTCTAGCAGATGGATCAAGCAAGAACAATGCGGAACACAGAAAGGCGAGGAATGCGCGAGCTTGACGGTCGTCTTCAGCTTGCACCATAACAGGAGAACTATCTTCCCTTTTAGGTTCAGCGTAAGCTGCTGATTGCATGCATCCTTTGCTTTATGTTCATGGCCGTGGAGGTGGTGGGAGGCTACCTCGCCCACAGGTAAGACAGGTGTCTGGTAGAGTTGTAAAGTTGCAAAGCTGATGGATGTCTATTGATTTGGTTGTTAGTTCTAACAACACCTTTACTTGTCCTTATGCCCGCAGTATTGCTATCCTCTCGGATGCTGCACACATGCTCTCTGATGTGGCAGGCTTCGCAGTATCCTTGTTTGCGGCATGGGCAGTAACTCGAAAGAGTGCAGCTGATTACTCTTTCGGTTATCACCGAATTGAGATCCTTGGCGCTTTGGTATCTGTGCTTACCATCTGGGCTGTTACTGGCGCGCTTGTTTATGAAGCGGTGCTCCGGGTGATGTATCCCCGACCCGTCAATGGAAAACGTAAGAGGGAGCGTCGGGGTATGGTACAGGGCAAGTTTGTGACTCGGCACCGCTGTATGCAACCCTCCAGTCTGTGTAGTAAATGACCCTGCACCCTTCCTCTCCGCCTTACAGTCATGTTCATGGTGGCCTGCGCGGGTATCGCCTTTAACCTCATCATCGCGGCCGTTCTCGGTGAGCACCACGTGCACGGAGTGGGAGGGCACTGCCATGGAGACCACGGCGACCACAGCCATCATGGCCATGGACATGGTCACGGACATGGACATCACCACGGTCACGGCCGTGGCCGCTGCTCGTCGCATGGGCACTCCCACGACGGCGCCTCGCACCCAGACAGTGCCAGCTACTGCGGGGGACACAGGCGCAGCCGCACTGGCCGGGGGCATAGCCACAGTCACAGCCACAGCCATGCGGGCAGCAGCGATGGTGGCTTGCACGAGCATCATTCGGCGCATGGAGGTGCAGGTAAGCAGGATGCGGCTGGGGTTGGATTCACGGACAAGGTGGCTGGGTTCCCGTTGGCGGAGGTGTTGGGCTGTTGCTTGATTTGCGCAACCAGGTCGCACTATCATTGTGAGGCCGTTCCCTAGATGCCTCCATCCGGCCATCCTGACAGGTCGTACCCTTTGCCAATCCACCCACTGCCCCCACCGCAGCAGCCCCTCACGTCAACGGCGGCGGAAGCTGCTGCATCATCACCGTGCCTCTGCCGCCCGGCAGCAATGGCAGCGACCCCGCTGCCGCCGGCGCCCCAGCTGAGGTTGTCGCTGACCAGCAGGCGGCAGCGGTTCAGCCAACGCTGGACGTGAACCAGGTCGCGCTAGCGCTGGCTGCTGCGGCGGCAGCGAAGCACCGGCAGCAGGGTGCTGATGGGCATGAGGAGGGCAGCCATTGCAGCAGCAGTGATGAGGAGGAGGGCGGCCAGGAGGGGAAGGGCGAGAATGCCCATGACCACCATCACCACCACCATGGGGGCAAGCATGAGGGAGGCAGCAGCTGCTGCCATGGGAAGAAGCACCAACATCATCACCACCACAAGCACGAGGAGCAGCAGGGGCAGGAGGGAGGGAGCGGCAGCAGGGGCAGCGGTACCGAGGCGGCGGCAGTTGCACCTGCGGTGCTTCCAGTGCTGGAGGCTGCTGCTGCGGAGGAGGCCGAGGAGTCCTCTGATGGGGAGGACCACTCGCACGACCACCGCCACCCTGGCCACGGCCACCGCCATGACCACCAGCACCATCACCACCATGATGGTCACCGCCACTCGCACGGCGGCCACGGTCACGGCCATCACAGGTATGGGCACGGCCACGGCCACCACGGTCATGCCCATGGCGGCCACGGAGCGCATGGCCACAACCACGGTCACCATGGTCACTCGCACGGTCACGGCCACAGCCATGGTCACCACCATGCGCACGACCACAACATCAACCTGCGCTCGGCGCTGCTGCACGTGCTGGGCGACCTGCTGCAGAGCATCGGGGTGGCGGCGGCGGGGGCGCTCATCTGGTGGAAGCAGGACGACCCGCGCTGGCAGGTGAGCGGAAGGCAGGGGGGGCAGGGGGAGCTAAGAGTGGATTAGTTGTGGGTGGGAGCGAAATAGGAGTGGAAGGAACTGGTATGGCAGGATCGCACCTGTGTGATTGGTACTGAAGGGAAAATACGTGCTTTCCACATGCAGTCCTTGGCTTTCTCAGCCGCAGCAATCCAGTTGCTCTGTAACCGCCCCTCTTTCCTCCCCAAACCTTAACCTCACCCCGCTCTTCCTTCTTCCCACAAACCCACCGCCTCTCCCCCATTGTACTGCAGCTGGCGGACCCCATCTGCACCTTCCTGTTCGCGGTGCTGGTGCTGCTGACCACGCGCACCATCATCATCGACATCATGCACACCCTCATGGAGCGCACCCCGCCGCACGTCAACCTGGCGGCGGTCACGGAGGCCATGTCGCTGGTGAGGTGCCTGCCGGGATGAGAGGCAGGGGGGGCGGCTGATGGGGGTTAAAAATTATATAAAAGTGAAACAACAAATCCCAATCCCATATCCCGACTCATGCAGTGAGCGCATTCGGAAGCACTAATAACACGCATCGCAAATTACTTACCGAATCGTTGCTTACCGTAAACCGAGACGACTTGAGGAAGAAGCCGCCGGGCGTGGTAACACTAGGGAGACATGCGCCGCGCCGCCGGTCACGAAAAGCAAAGCAACACGCATATGGGGTATACGAGCACACATGTTATCGAGACGCGTTATGGGAAACTTACCTGGAAAGGGAAAGCCAGTTGCCATGGTCCGATGTATTGGAGGCGCAGACCAACAGAACCGCACCAGGGTCGTGTCCAGGGTCCAGTCGGAAGAGGTGGTCAATATGCGGAAAAAGAGGGAAGAAAAAGAAAAAGAGGCAGGGCGCGTTAATGAGGTGGTGAGTAACAGTCAGGGGGGCGAGACGGGAAACGAAAGACATGCGAATATGGCGTGGTAGGGTTTCCTATGGACACGGCGGCGCGGCAATGGGAAGGAAGAACAAGTGGTGAAGGGCAAGATTAGTAGTGGTGCGGGATGCGAAATACGACAAGGCATGGGGCGCATGGGGACAGGAATGGGCGGAAGGGGACAAGATAGGTGAGAGGGGGTGTGACAGGAAGACAGGGATGGCAGCAGCGTGCGGTCCGGTCCCGGATCCCCACATCACTACTAAGCCTAGGGGTCAGCAGGGATGGGGACCGCCTAGGGTGCATGAACGGGGAAGTGGGAAGGGAAGGTTAGAGACACGGAGCGGGTATGGCGAGGCAGGTAGTGGCTGATGGGGGATGCGTGAAGGTGGTGAAGATGCCTGTGGATGTCTGGAGCGGGGGACACAGTTGGAAGGCTGGTGCATTACATTCACGTCCCCCCTGGGTGAATCCCTGAGCACATAGGGAGCCCCAACCGGGTTGGAAACAGGTGTGCAGGTCTGAAATAAGAAAAACCTTCTTAGCAGTTCGACGAAGCTCCGCTGACTCGGAACCGTTGTCATACCGGGCCCGTGGCCCGACCCTACCATGCCCGAAAACAAAAACGAAGCCGGAAACAGACCCCGCCGAACCCGTACACCGTCTATGCAGCGCAGAAGCTGTCCCGTCCGGACGCGAACCTGGGCCCGACTGGCCCGACCTCTAGCCCTGTCCCTGCCGACCAAAAACCTCCCACCGAGACCCCGTGTCCCGTGGAGCAGGGACCCCTCAAACCGAACTCCTGTCCCCGCTGAAACGTAACCCACCCGACCCGTCCGACCGACCGACCCGTGACCGAACCCGGCAACCCAACCCGACCGACCCGGGACCTAACCCGGCAACCCAACCCGACCGACCCGTGACCTAACCCGGCATCCCAACCCGACCGACCCGTGACCCCCACACACAAAGCCGAAGCCCAACTGAACGCAACCCCTATCTATAGTCCGGGGATCCCTAACACGCTAGAGGTGGGCGTGCTGCCTCCAGTGCTGGTTGTAGAGCTCCTGCGTCCGCTGGTAGAGGTCCAGGGACAGTTCCTTGCGCTGGAGGCTATACAGGAAAGGTACACTGTGAAGGAGCCGGTCGTACTGCTGCCAGAGGTGGCTTTCGGCGTAGCCCTGCCGGACAAGCGCACAGATGAGGAACGCCATCTCGAAGCAGAAGTTGTGTGGGTCCAGGATGACGCGGCGGAGACGGTGGAACTGGCCGGTGAAGATGTTGCGCTTGTCCGCATACAACTGGAGGGTGAATGGGAAGGCTGGGGCAAACGTTAAGTAGTAGGGCAGGGCGCCCTGGATGTACGAGCAAGGGTACGACTGGACCTCGGTGACACCAACGAACAAGTCCCGGTGATCCCAACCCCCTAGCCCCGCTAACCCCGAAGGCTGGTAGGCCCGTATGCGATGTCTATTGGAACTGGGCGGGACAATGGGCATAGCCAAGCGCGACCCGTTCCGTTTTTTGAGGGGGGAAAAATTATATAAAAGTGAAACAACAAATCCCAATCCCATATCCCGACTCATGCAGTGAGCGAATTCGGAAGCACTAATAACACGCATCTCAAATTACTTACCGAATCGTTGCTTACCGTAAACCGAGACGACTTGAGGAAGAAGCCGCCGGGCGTGGTAACACTAGGGAGACATGCGCCGCGCCGCCGGTCACGAAAAGCAAAGCAACACGCATATGGGGTATACGAGCACACATGTTATCGAGACGCGTTATGGGAAACTTACCTGGAAAGGGAAAGCCAGTTGCCATGGTCCGATGTATTGGAGGCGCAGACCAACAGAACCGCACCAGGGTCGTGTCCAGGGTCCAGTCGGAAGAGGTGGTCAATATGCGGAAAAAGAGGGAAGAAAAAGAAAAAGAGGCAGGGCGCGTTAATGAGGTGGTGAGTAACAGTCAGGGGGGCGAGACGGGAAACGAAAGACATGCGAATATGGCGTGGTAGGGTTTCCTATGGACACGGCGGCGCGGCAATGGGAAGGAAGAACAAGTGGTGAAGGGCAAGATTAGTAGTGGTGCGGGATGCGAAATACGACAAGGCATGGGGCGCATGGGGACAGGAATGGGCGTAAGGGGACAAGATAGGTGAGAGGGGGTGTGACAGGAAGACTGGGGTGGCAGCAGCAGGGGTGGCTGATGGGGGTTGGGGTTGGGGCTGGGGGGCAGGAGGGAGGGGGGTTAGGCTGGTAGGACCGGATGGAGGAGGGATTGGGGCTGAGGAACGACAGACCGAGCATACTGAATCTGGCAAGGAAGGGGAATGGTGCTGTTGTTGGAAGGGGCAAGGCATTCCCTGGGGTGTGAGGTAGTGGTTTGGCGCATCAAGGACTGTGGTGCACTTTCCTTACCTCTACTACGCATCTCTTTCTATCCCTTCCTTTTCCTCACCCCTCCCAGATGGACGGCATCCTCGACGTGCACGACCTGCACGTGTGGAACCTCTCCATGGGCCTGCCCATCCTGACCGCACACGTGCACATCGCACGCACTGCGGACGCGGAGGTGGTGCTGCGCGCGCTGGAGGCCTATGTGCGCGGCACGCTGGGCATCCAGCACTCCACCATTCAGATCTGCAACTACCAGGGGGCTGCCCTGGCGGTGGGGGGTGGGGGTTGGACGGGTGGGGAGGCTGCGGGGGGCGGGGGAAGGGGTGAGGGCAGCGCAGCATCAGGGCTGTCCTCACCGGGTGAGGCCTTGGTTTGATGGTGGATGGTAGTAAGGCAGAACGGTGTTTGGGAGCTGACGTGGCAAAGGGCTTGCTTGCAGTCAGGGGTCTACATGTTTGCTGCATGTGACACCGCGAGGCACCAGCGGTCCATGAGGGTCAACGGGGTATATGGCAATACAGAGACGAAGTTTGGGTTGAGGAGGGAGGAGATGGTGAAGGAGCTGCATGCCGCATGGCTGGGTTGTGTGTGTATGTTTCATGGATCATGATGCATTGGTGGCAGCAATGACCTAGCTCTCTTGGTGTGTTATCGTTAGCTGCCTGACTTCTCGTTGCCTTTTTTGGGTTTGCTTGCACGCATCCAAAAGGCAGCTGTGCAGGTAGGCATTCGTTCATTAGCAGGAACCTTCTGTATTGGGTATGGGCGTGAGTACGAAAGCTTCAGTGCTGGTTGCCTGGTTTGTGGCTGTGTCTTAGTTGGCCTTGCACCCTGTCTTCTGGTTGGCTTCAGGTCCCTCTTGGAGATGCATGGTGATGGCAACCGGCCAGGGTCCCTACATGTGCCAGCATGCTCTTTCATATGCTGTTAGGCAAAGGCACACACGTGCGTTTTTGGGCCCCAACTTGGGTGAACGCAGTTGGATTGGTATCTTGGCGTGCATTGCCTTCTGGTTCACGCCTTGCTCTTTAGTGAAGCGCACCTCTTGGCACTACCGTGTGGTGGTGGCGCCACACGCCTGAGGTATGATCCAAGTTGTATCACATAAGGCTAGCCGATCCTATACAGTCGCTCTACTGTACTGTGTGGCCTGGGCAAATTGCCTTGCTATGCCTAAGATTGTATCGAGTGACTGACTGAATGACCATTACAATGGCTCCGTTCCAAAAGGGAACACCCTATACTGCAAGGTAAACAGGACATGCCGTATAGACGACAACACATTGGGCCAGCAAGACACCAGCACAAAGCCCAAAAGGGACCACAGGAAAAGGGACCTCAGCAAAACCACTACAAGCAAACACGAGAGCAAAACACCAACACACACACCCCAAAACACCACAGACCAGAGACCATGACAATACCGCCTGTAAGAAACAGAACCCCAACAGAGACAGCAGCGCCTGCAAACACCAGAGGTGCCCTGCAGGACACCCTACCTTGCGCCCAAACGGGGCCAAATCAGAAAAGTCAATGGAACACAGAAAACCTTCCACCAACAACACGCAAGAACGGATGAGAAGGGCCAACCTCAGCCCACCCCAAAGAAGCAAAACTCCTGAAGCTGACCCCAAAACCAGGAAACAGCGGACAGGGCAGCCTAATTAGCGGGCCCAGGCATGACACCCGTAGAACCAGACTAACGCACACGGGCCCGCTGACCCACTTCCATAGCAGACAAAGCACCCAGGATAACAAGATCCCACAAACACTGCTGCACGCTTGAGAGAGGCGATGCCAACCACAAAGCAAACCTAGGAACCACAGCACTTAACCTAAAGCTGCTCAACCACAGCACGAGCAATGGGAGAGGCCCAGAAACAATGCAACCTTGGAGACATCCCCAAAACAACAGCCCTACAGCCACAACACTCAGGAGAAGCCCTAGACATATGAGAATTCCCAAGCACGGGAATTTCATTGATGGACAAACACCAAAATGTCTCCTTAAGGCGAGGCGTCTCCTAACCATCTTCAGAGGTGCTTGAAAGAATCCTGGATGCCATCCAGAACGCATGCAGGGAGCTCCTGGGTAGCAGGTAACTCCATAGCTTACTAAATAAGGGCCGCATGCAACACAGCACGGTCCTCAAAACACACACCCAAGCTGCTGGATTGCCATGGCCATCCGGACAGACAGAGTCCTCAAAAGAACAACTCCGTGAGCTAACTGTCACCCCAAGCGGGGAACCAAAACCTGCCAAGCATTCTCAATAGCCAATGGAGGATGGGTGGCAAGTCGTCAACAAGAAACACCTCCGCAGCCACCACCCAAGCCACAGGCACTTCAGTCAACAAGGTCTCAAGCGACAGCAGGAGATCACAACACCTAGGCAGGTAACAAAGAGCACAGGGAGCAGAAGAAGCTGGGTCAAAACACCGACGTACTAGTACAGACCAGCATCACATCATTATCACTTGACACACCATGCAACAACACTCAAATCCACATGTCCTCAAAACTGTCCTCAAATAAACCTGTCCTCAAACCTGTTGAGCCAAAGCAGCCACACCCATTACCAAGGAACAAAGGGCATGGCTATGAATTAGGACTGGGTATACACCTGACTGACCTGTCAACCCCACACACAAAGGAACACCCCAATACCAGCTCCCCAGTACCAAAGGATCCGACCCTATGTCAGCAACAGGTGGTAGAACCGCTATAGAAGTCACTAAACAACGAATATCCTCTGGCGAGCTATCCACCCCCATTCAAGGCCCCGCCCTGGTCACCATCAAAAGTGCTAGGGGACCAAAGCCCGGATGCAAACACCGAAGGAACAACATCAAAGCACGCTACCAGGGATGCAAAGAGCCCCTTGGCAGCGCAGCTCAACAAACAAAACAGGCACCCCAACCAGCAAAGCGAGCCCTGACATGCTCATTTAAGTGCAAGGCACCAAAACCACTTGCCCTGGGGTGCCCAGCTAACAGCCTACCCGGACCACCCATAGCATGCCTATCCTGTGGACCCTGGTGCCTATGCTGCTAACAGTCCGCTTCCCTGAATTATTCAACTGAGCACCCGGTGGCAGGCCTGAATGCTCCATGTGCCAAATGGCTGTTTGCAGAGCATATGCAGCTGCGCTGGTAGCTAGCCTTAACAGAAATGGAAAGGGTGAAGACCAGCCAACTTCTGTAAGCGGCTCTCCACAGCTAGGAATTTTTTGCTCCAGTCAAGGCATGGAGCCGTATCCACGTTAATAAAAGGCACATTAAGAGTAGTCACTGCCGTACAAACCACTGACACACCCTGAACAACCTGCTGCCCCACAGTACCTGACGGAACCCCAATGGGCAAAAGCTCTGCTTTGCCTAAATTCAAGTGGCGACCCAACACCCTGGCAAACATCTCCGTGTGCTGTCGGAAAGCCCCTACCGCGCCATGCCAACTTAACACCCTCCAGTATCATCGGGGAACTGAACCAGTTAACCTCCCAAAAGAACACTAACTGCTACAAGTTATCACGTCGGCTAGGTCCAGCCCAAGGCGCGATGCAAGGACCCTAGCAAGAAGGCGTCATCTGTACACACAACCTTATATATTAGGTACATCATACCATCATCCCCCAGTGTCAGCCTTTAGCCGTGGCAAAGCCACTAAGTCACTGCCTGTAGCCAAACGTCCTTGTCTTCTCGGCCCAGAGATCAACTAGGCCAGCATCTTTTCTGACTTTACCATAGGATGCAACGGATTGTAACCCGTAAGGTCAGTCACCAGCTAGAACAGCAACTGCAGCAGAAGGACATATGCAGAAGGGCCTTTGTGCACCTCAAGCCCAATCTCTTACGAACCATTACTTAGACCGAAGCCCAACTGCTATCTACCACACTCACTTCTTAGTAGCATCCAGGCACTTTTGTGTCAGGGTGACTCTGCGCCCAGCACCTTGGTGTGCAGCTCCAGTGCCCGCCTGTACATGGGCTCTGCCTCGCTGTACTTGCCTTGGCCCTTGATGCAGCTGGCCAGGTTACTGATGGAGCTGATGGTGCCAGGGTGCTCCTCACCCAGCACCTTGGTGCGCAGCTCCAGTGCCTGCCTGTACATGAGCTCTGCCTCGCTGTACTTGCCTTGGTAACAGATGCAGCTGGCCAGGTTACTGATGGAGCTGATGGTGTCAGGGTGCTCCTCACCCAGCACCTTGGTGCACAGCTCCAGCGCCTGCCTGTACATGGGCTCTGCCTCGCTGTACTTGCCTTGGGCATTGATGCAGCTGGCCAGGTTACTGATGGAGCTGATGGTGTCCGGGTGCTCCTCACCCAGCACCTTGGTGCACAGCTCCAGCACCTGCCTGTACATGGGCTCTGCCTCGCTGTACTTGCCTTGGTCACAGATGCAGATGGCCAGGTTACTGATGGAGCTGATGGTGTCAGGGTGCTCTTCACCCAGCACCTTGGTGCGCAGCTCCAGCGCCTGCCTGTACATGGGCTCTGCCTCGCTGTACTTGCCTTGGTCACCGATGCAGCTGGCCAGGTTACTGATGGAGCTGATGGTGTCCGGGTGCTCCTCACCCAGCACCTTGGTGCGCAGCTCCAGCGCCTGCCTGTACATGGGCTCTGCCTCGCTGTAATTGCCTTGGTCACCGATGCAGCTGGCCAGGTTACTGATGGAGCTGATGGTGTCAGGGTGCTCCTCACCCAGCACCTTGGTGCACAGCTCCAGCGCCTGCCTGTACATGGGCTCTGCCTCGCTGTACTTGCCTTGGTCACCGATGCTGTTGGCCAGGATACTGATGGAGCTGATGGTGTCAGGGTGCTCCTCACCCAGCACCTTGGTGCACAGCTCCAGAGCCTGCCTGTACATGGGCTCTGCCTCGCTGTACTTGCCTTGGTCACCGATGCTGTTGGCCAGGATACTGATGGAGCTGATGGTGTCAGGGTGCTCCTCACCCAGCACCTTGGTGCGCAGCTCCAGCGCCTGCCTGAACATGGGCTCTGCCTCGCTGTACTTGCCTTGGCCCTTGATGCAGCTGGCCAGGTTATTGATGGAGCTGATGGTGTCAGGGTGCTCTGCGCCCAGCACCTTGGTGTGCAGCTCCAGCGCCCGCCTGTACATGGGCTCTGCCTCGCTGTACTTGCCTTGGGCATAGATGCAGCTGGCCAGGTTACTGATGGAGCTGATGGTGCCAGGGTGCTCCTCACCCAGCACCTTGGTGCGCAGCTCCAGCGCCTGCCTGTACATGGGCTCTGCCTCGCTGTAATTGCCTTGGACACCGATGCAGATGGCCAGGTTACTGATGGAGCTGATGGTGTCAGGGTGCTCCTCACCCAGCACCTTGGTGCACAGCTCCAGAGCCTGCCTGTACATGGGCTCTGCCTCGCTGTACTTGCCTTGGTCACCGATGCTGTTGGCCAGGATACTGATGGAGCTGATGGTGTCAGGGTGCTCCTCACCCAGCACCTTGGTGCGCAGCTCCAGCGCCTGCCTGTACATGGGCTCTGCCTCGCTGTAATTGCCTTGGTCACCGATGCAGATGGCAAGGTTACTGATGGAGCTGATGGTGTCAGGGTGCTCCTCACCCAGCACCTTGGTGCACAGCTCCAGAGCCTGCCTGTACATGGGCTCTGCCTCGCTGTACTTGCCTTGGTCACCAATGCTGTTGGCCAGGATACTGATGGAGCTGATGTTGTCAGGGTGCTCCTCACCCAGCACCTTGGTGCGCAGCTCCAGAGCCTGCCTGTACATGGGCTCTGCCTCGCTGTACTTGCCTTGGCCCTTGATGCAGATGGCCAGGTTACTGATGGAGCTGATGGTGTCAGGGTGCTCCTCACCCAGCACCTTGGTGCGCAGCTCCAGCGCCTGCCTGTACATGGGCTCTGCCTCACTGTAATTGCCTTGGACACCAATGCTGTTGGCCAGGTTACTGATGGAGCTGATGGTGTCAGGGTGCTCCTCACCCAGCACCTTGGTGTGCAGCTCCAGCGCCTGCCTGTACATGGGCTCTGCCTCGCTGTACTTGCCTTGGTCACTGATGCAGTTGGCCAGGTTATTGATGGAGCTGATGGTGTCAGGGTGCTCTGCGCCCAACACCTTGGTGTGCAGCTCCAGAGCCTGCCTGTACATGGGCTCTGCCTCGCTGTACTTGCCTTGGACACCGATGCAGATGGCCAGGTTACTGATGGAGCTGATGGTGTCAGGGTGCTCCTCACCCAACACCTTGGTGTGCAGCTCCAGCGCCTGCCTGTACATGGGCTCTGCCTCGCTGTACTTGCCTTGGTCACTGATGCAGTTGGCCAGGTTATTGATGGAGCTGATGGTGTCAGGGTGCTCTGCGCCCAACACCTTGGTGTGCAGCTCCAGCGCCTGCCTGTACATGGGCTCTGCCTCGCTGTACTTGCCTTGGTCACTGATGCAGTTGGCCAGGTTATTGATGGAGCTGATGGTGTCAGGGTGCTCTGCGCCCAACACCTTGGTGTGGAGCTCCAGAGCCTGCCTGTACATGGGCTCTGCCTCGCTGTACTTGCCTTGGTCACAGATGCAGCTGGCCAGGTTACTGATGGAGCTGATGGTGTCAGGGTGCTCTGCGCCCAACACCTTGGTGCGCAGCTCCAGAGCCTGCAGGTGTGCTGCCTCTCCAGCCAACATTGAGTAAAAATTGGCAAGGCAAGGTGCTTGAAGATCATTGGCTGCGGTCTCCATACTGCTCCAGGTTTCATAGAAAGCGGGTGTCAGGACACCACCCACATCTAACAGCAATGACTCCAAGTGCCAAGTTGTAGACCTCAGCACCAGTTCCAACATCTTGGGTGCTGTTGTTGCCTCTGCTGCTGCCATCTGTATCACTGCCAAGAAGTCGGGTGCATGCTGCCGTGCTAAGCGCAGTGCCAACAGACAAAAATTGGCTCTAGTTTGAGGTTTTTTTATGTCCTCCTCGACAACGAGGTTTAGGTGTTGAGTTTTGCGGAAGCCAAGCTTGTCCACAAACTCCTTGGCGATTTCCGGTGGTATGCCGTGCTTTTGGAACAGTTCGTGCCCTGATGGCGAACATCGTACAAGCTCCCAACTTGTTGCAGTGTCCTGCAGCAGCAACATGTAAGAGATGCATGCTCAGCCTTGTGATCACAAAAAAGGAAAAAAACGAGTCCACACACTTAGGAGTAAGATATACAAACTGCATCTAATACATGCAATTGCGGTTTTTCCGGCGAAGCTCCTTTATGCATAAGGGGCATACCGGTAACCTAAAAAGGCATGTGTGCACCTGCAAGCACTACCGGTACTCCCATTCATGCAAACTACCTTCGCCTGCATAGGACTTCCATGCTGCACTGCTTGTGAAGGTGTTGAAGCTCCGCAACCCATTCTTCGTGGCGGCCGGTATTGCCGCGACCTAACACCAAAGACCAGTTACTTTTGTTTTTTGCATATCATATTTCGTGCGGTTGTTAGTGTGCGTGTCCGAGTAGTCCCTATAATGTAAGGCCTCAAGCAACTCTATAAGGTGTCGCCATACTTATAACATCAGGCTTCCGTTTCTGCAGAGGTTAGTTTAGTGGATTACACTACACTTGGTAACGATGGTAAGGGTAAGACCCGTTAGGTTGTTAGCCCCTTGCCTTGGCGACCCCGGTGGGTAGGGTACGGCGATGGGGGTCGCATGACGAGCAGGGGTGCTATCTTGGAGTTTGCGGACGAAATTTTTGAGGAAACCTGTATTTCAGACGAAATTTCTAGGGGTAAAATCGTCCGCAAAAGAGGCGCCGAAGGCGCCTTTTTAGCAAAATTTCGTCTCCAGCCAAAAGAAAATTTTCTTTAAGAAAGCCTATGAAATCGTCTGTGAGGCTGCTAGAGTCTACTTAGCCAGAAGCCTATGAGGGCAGATATCTTGACAAGATGCTTGGTTTGGAGGCCCACCTAGCATCCGTGCCCATTGCACCAAACCCAGTCGCATCTGCGCCCATGTTTGCACATCGAACATAATGGCACACCCGTGAAAAGCCACGAACAACAGTCCTTGGAGGGGTAGAGAGAAGCAACGGGACGTTGGTGGACGTTGTGGAGAGGTGGCATGCAACACCGCGGCGCCCTACTCAAAGCAGCCAATTCAGCTAGCCAAATTCGTGTCATGTGTACTGCGTGTTGGTTCTGTGGGAGAAATCCGTGACAGAGGTCGTATGCACGGTCTAGTTGAGAGCCGCTTGAAAAGGGGTTTGGGGGCCGCAAGGGAGTGTTGCTCCAGTAATATTGGGATTCGGATTAGGGCTATAACCGCTTTCCTCTTCAGTGATCAGGCCGTGAGAGGGCTGGCATCTTACTCGATACCAGGGGTGGTGGTTAACTGGGTGATGTACTTTTGCGTGTTAGGACATGGGTCTCTTGTGTATGGGGGTCTCTTGTGTATGGGGTTTCAGACTTGGCCCCCTCAGAGCAGGCGTGATGCGGTAGTATGGTTCCAGCTAGCATGACAGTGCACCTAAGCGGTAGCGGTTGCTTAGTGGGTTTTCATGGGATTAGGGGGAAGCAGGGGTGTGCACGACGTGGTTGTTGGTATGGCCGGCATGCCATGGTTGGCTGGAACGCCCATGGTGTTAGGACGGGCATTACTATCGCTATCAACTATTGTGCTTCGTGCTTCCGTGCAGGCTACTATTGGTGAGTGCGCTGTCCGCGAGTGTGTACGTGTGTACATGCTGGCGTGGGCCTTCCGAAAATTTTGACCATCGCATAAGAAATTTCGTCTCCAGCCAAAAGAAATTTTTCGAGTCTTTCGAGCTATTTCGCCGCTACGGACGATGACTTCTGGATTAAGATAGCACCCCTGATGACGAGGTCTAAAATCCAACAGGTTGCTTCATATTATGTGAATGGGCCAGTCGAGTTGCTTGGAGACCAGCGGTGGCCAACAATCAAAGACCTATGCTGCATGGATTAGCGAGACCTCTGGCATATCGTTCATTGCAGGTGCCGGTAAATACAAAAACCTATGCACACGACCTACCTACTAACACGTTCGATGCCATTACTGGCGGAAAGGCTGCGCTCGCGGGTCAACTAGCTATCAGGATGCGGCAGCCCAGCGCGCTGACCACGCCGAGCATTATCCCTGAAAACCCGTTGGCAACACTGAATATGGCACAGGTGCTAGTGTCCATGTCCTGTAAGCGCGCTAGCGGTACCGGTAGCACATTAAGTATCTTGGGGCCATGGACCCCGCTCGGAAAGCGCTGGACGACACGGACAGCGTCTTTGAAGGATTCGCCGAGGGCGTTCCCCGTAGACGTCGTTTCCCACATCTGAGCTCATGTCGCGCGTCGAACTCCAGCCGGTGCCGACCCAGTGGTCACCAAGCAAGGAAATGTTTTTTGCTTTTCTTTGCTTGCTGGGTAGTACCCAAACCCTTCGGCTGTTAACATCCGCGCTTTGCTTTCAACATTCCGGTCAAAGGCGATTAGGCAAGTGGCTACATGACGGGGCGCACTACACTCTGCTGCCAACCATGTACACGACTGCATTCCCAGAAATTAGCGCAAATTACCTATCTACCTTGCCATGACATATCGTGTGACGGACTCATCTAGGACCGCTACAGCAAACTCTATGGCGCAGGGATATTGGTCGGAAGGAGGGCGCGCTCGGCGGCTCGCCCCGCCCAGCAAGGCACGGCAAGCCTAGGATCGCGCTCAATCTTTTCAGACCTATCTCTAGGTGCGGCGTGTGACTTGGCAGGGGTACGCGAGCCACGGCGAGCGGCCGGCAGGCGGACGAGCAACGTCTGTGAGTGTTGCATGCCGGCTAGGATCCTCTGTTCTTCAAAGCGAGGTTAAGGCCACCTAAAGTTTGAATGACGAGCTAGCGTTGTAGTACGCATGTATCCAGGATGTATTTAGCATGAGTTGTTGCCAACGGGCAGCTCAAGGCATACAACACCTGCCAAAGCATTGAAGCCTTACGACGTGTACTGTACAGGGCCAAGAACCCCAACTAGCGCACTCCACTCCGTCACAGGAGATGTCAAGCACGTGTTGTGCCATGGCAGCCTTGCCTACCGCGAGCAGCTACGAAGCAAAGAAGTCTCTCCGCGTCCTAATGTAACTCCAGATGCTTCCAAATGTGCATGCGTGGATGCCTGATTAACCTAACGGTGTATGCCAACAATTATTCCCCCCGCCGAGCTGTATACTGGCACCGCTGACAAATTGGCTTCCTGCATCGTCGCATCCTCCGGGATGCCGCGACGAAGTGTACTTTGCACGGCCTGCCTGGGCCTGCCTCTCTGCAGGTGACGCCTCCTTGTCTCGCTCCCAAGAACAGCCATGCAATAGGGCTGTTTAGTAGAGGAAGGGCAGGAACTGCAAGCACGGATGGATGCATGGGCACATGTACAAGGGTACGGGGGTGGTATGCATGAGCAGAAGGTCTGTACGAACAGCATCATACAGGTGGTATGCATGTTTGGGGAAGGGGTGCAGTAGTAGCAGTAGTGCAGTTGGGTAATGTTTCATTACCTTCTTGACCTTTGTCTTGTACTGCGAGTACTCTGCTGGGTAGCGCTCAGATAGGGCCTGCTCCTCCTTTTCAACCTGAAAAGAGACGAAATACGACAGATAGACGTGCGGTAAACACTATGTAACCAGGACCGCAGCCAACGCCACACCACAACACACTCCCCATACAGCACACCAACACATAAACGTAGCTGCGCCCCTCACAATGCAGCCGCTTTTTCCCTAATCTCTCCCCATCTACCACACTCCCCAACCAGCCTCCTCCCTCCTTTCCCCCCCGCCCCGCCCCGGTTCACCCACCTTGTTCTCCAGCACCCACCACAGCAGCGCCGCCACCGCCATGCGGGCCTCGCTGTGAGTCAGCGCGGCTAGCCCCACAGCCGCCAGCAGCAGCCCGCCGTACATCGGGTGCCGTACGTAGCCTGGGGCGGAGGGAAAGGGATGGAAAGAGAGAGAGATGGTGGAACTAACTGCTGGGGGGTGCATCCATACACCAGCAGAGGGGCCACGCAGCCCGAGAGGAAGGGATGCCCTCCCTGCCCTCCCTGCCCTCCCTGCCCCCCTGTCCCCGTGCCTACCATACACCCCCTCCACCACCAGCTGGTGCTTCCTGCGCGGTTCCGGCAGCGGGCTCAGGTTGCGACCCAGGTTGCGGGAGGCAACAACCCTGGTGGTGTGATGGAGGGAGCAGAGGGCGGGAGTGGGGAGGCGGCCGGCACGGCAAAGCGGATGAACGACAGGGCAAGCCGAATGACAAGGTAGGCCACCAGGACGCAAAGGGGTAGGCATGCAGGAAGGAGACAGGTTGCTAAGGTTTGGTTGGCAGTAGAGAATAATTGCCCGTATTGTTGCCCGCATTCCACCAGTGAACACAGCAAACTGGGTCACCCTCCCAGGTTCCCACACCACACGCAGTGAGCCCCATCTGCCCCAGGACTGCTCGGCGCTCACATGAGTCCCAGGCCGCTTGCCAGCGCCAGCAGTGCCAGCGAGTCCACCGCACCCTAGGCATGTGTGGAAGAGCGCGGGTGGGTAGTGTGTGAGTGAAAGCCAGGTATGGTAGCCAGGCAAAGCAACCGAGGATGGGCGGTATAATAATCAGGCAAAGCCGGACCGGGAAAATGAAGGACATTGGGGGAGGAGGGATTGGGCAGGGACACGAAGAGCTGTGCATACCGTTAGAGCGGGCGGGGGCACCGCTACGAACAGGATGGCCAGGAGCTGGGCTGCCAGCCAGCCCTCTCCGCGAGTGCCGAAAGTGCTCGAATCCAACAGCTCCTCAAACAGCTCCTGTGCGCAGGTTGAAGTGTTCAGGTATTAACATGGTTGTTAGATAGGACGCGATGAGGGCTAGCTGAAACGGCTTGCTTGACTCGGCTAACAGACGAGCTTGGCGCGTGCAGAGGCGTTACCTTGCTTGCATGGATGTCGCCGGATTCGACTTGCTCGATGGGCTCGGCGTCAGCTGGGACGCCAGTGGATGGAACATCCGCAGGCTATGACGGGCCAGGGTTAATGAACAAGGAACAGTTGAAAAAGAAAACCTTGCGGCAACCGAGGTAAACGCTGTCGTCATAAAGGACCCAAGGGCGACCTAGCTAATCACTTCGTAACCGGTACCGTCAATTCGCAAACCGTAGTTTATGTAGGATCTTGCAGAGTAATAACGAGGTTTTTATCCTACCATTTGAGGCTTGAGCGCAGCTGCTTCTGTGCCCGCTGGCTCGCTCGTCGGCATGCTCGTGCTGTGCAAGCGTAGGCATTATGTGGTCCACGTGGGTAAAAGCGACACTCAGCTCCTAGGAAATGTGAACAACCTTACACATACCGGGCGTGGGCGAGGCGTGAACGTTGAAGTCGAGGAGCGACTCGCAGCGAGGGCAACCACTGGACGCGTGCAACAAGGCACCCACTGCTTGCAGACGCTAGCGAGGCTGCAAGCTGCATTGTTTTAAGCTGTTAGTCCCTAGCGGTCTTGAGTGAACTTTAACGCCAACGACTTTGCCAGAAATAGTAAGAGCACCACCAAACCCCAAAAGGTATGTGTTTTATTATCCTGGTTTGATGTGAACATCTGAGGGCTTTAGCGGTGACAAAGGAGTATAACACGGTCATTTGGTCATAGAGATTGTGTTTACTCAGGTTTGTACGGCGCATGCGATCCATATTCCCTGAACCTGCAAACTGTGGCAGCTCGTTGCATTTATACTTGGACAAAGAGCTATAAGCGTTTTGCGCTTCGCTTAAACAATGGACTTCAGCGCGGTAACAGTTGACGCTTCTTCATAAGGCGCCTCCAAGCTGTAGAAGCTTTAGCATAACGGCTAAGGACTCGCTGCTATCCTTCTCTATTACTTAGTTACACGAACATGGGCTGGCTGTTGCATCTTCACTTTTGAATCGACCATTCGCGTTAAGCTTTTACCTGACCAAGCGCGTGGCGCACCCTAACCTAGGCTTCTTATGACAGACCAGGATGGCGGAGACCCGTTGGAGCTGCATTGCCCAATTTGCTATAGCGACGATAACGACTTGGGATACGCGACGCTTGTTTGTGGGCACGTCTTTCACACCAGGTGCCTAACAACTGCTCTGAAGAGCAAAAAGGAATGCCCCACATGCCGGGTGAGGTGTGCTAGGTATCGCGCGACTGCTTGGCCAGTTTATGCAACCATCGGTGGGTTGCAGCGCCGAAACTGAGATTGTCTAGCCTAGCCACACATATTCCTTCCCATAACCTCCCAAATATCAAGTCACCCTCAGAAACCTGGTTGTCTGCTCGCTCCTCGCCATGCACCCTGTTTTCCCGAGCAACTCGTGCCAGTATCCTACCTCCACGGTTGTCACAGCGCGCCATTCCAGACCTTTCCTCCCTCCTCCCCTCCTCCCATCGCCAGTGCCCAGCAAAGCCCGTGGATTCCGTCCGCCGTGACGCCCCCAACCCCACCCACACCCGCTGCCCGTGCAAGACCAGTCAGCCCATCAAACTCTACCACCTACAGAAACCCAAAAGTGACAGCGAAGCCGCTGCCAGCGGCGCCATAGGCGCTGCTGCCGCCTTCAGCGCCTCCGCTGCTGGCGGCGGCACTGCGGGCGCGGCAGCAGTGGCGCTGCTGGCTGCTGCCCAGGAGGCGGCTCAGCGGGCTCAGCAGCGGGAGGGGCGCATGCGGGAGGCGCTGCAGGAGGAGCGGCGGAGGGTGGCGGAGCTGGAGGCGGAGGTGGCGAGGCAGGCGGAGGAGGTGGTGCGGGCGGAGGTGGGTGGGTGTGTGGGCGGAGCGGGGAGTGGTGGTAAAGGGGAGAGTCGGCGGAGAGCGGGGCGGGCGGCGGATTGCTGCCCAGAACCGGCTTGGGCGGGTGTAGATGATGAGTACCGGCATGCAGGGAATTAGGAAGGACCCGACTGGTTTTGGAGGAAAGGCTGTCCTTTTCACCTCTTCAGGAAGCCGCTGAGAGGCGGAAGGAGCGGCTGGCCGTGAAGGAGAGGGAGCACCAGGCGGCTACCGCCAGGTGTGTGGGGGGGAGGCGCGGGGGGGTACCAGTATCCCGGCTCTGCAGGCGTAGTGCTGAGCTCCGTTCGTTGCAGTGTCTCCATCACCCAGTCATGACCCCATCATCTCTCCGACCTCCTTCCCATTCGCCTGCTGTTCCCCGCCCCGCCCTCCCTGGCAGGCTGGTTGAGGAGAAGAGCCGGCTGGAGGCGCGGGAGCGGGAGCAGGGGGAGGAGCTCAGCAGACTGAGACAGGCGGTGCATGGGCTGCGAATGGAGCAGGTGGGGGTTAATGGGGGTTAATGCTGGGTTGCCCCGCACAGGGCTGGCAGTACATTCATCCCCTGCCACCGCTCCTTGCACTTCCAACCCCTACCACATCCACCCCGCTGTCCGCTCCCTCCCCCCATGTCCAACCCCTCTGAACCTACCCCACCACCCCTACCCTTACAGGAGAAGACGCGCGCCCAGCTGTACGAGCGCGACGAGGCGGTGATGCGGCTGAAGCGGGAGGTGGCGCTGCTGCGGTCGCGGGCGGGCGGGGGAGCGGGGCTGCAGCCCAAGGAGATGGTGGAGCTGCTGGGGGAGCGGAAGGTGAGGGGTGGCGGGTGAGGGGCGGGCCAGGAGGAGGAGGAGCATGGCAGCCGCGGTAGGTGAGGCGCTTCTCATGCGCAGGCAGCACCCTCCGCAATTGCATGCTCACTGTCGTACGTGCATGCGCGGCCGCCGATGCCCACTGCCGTACGTGCATGGCACAGCGAGTAGGTGGTTGGGGAGCAGCGCAGTCTCCCGGTGTAAGCCGACGGGTTCCCTCCTCACATCGCGCTGCCCCGCTCGCTCGGGACTCACACCCGCCCTCTTTTCCCCCTCTTCTTCTCTCCGCTCGCCCCTGCATGCCATTGTGGTTTGTAGGAGGACTGGCAGATGGTCTACTCGCTCAAGGTGCGTGAGCGGATGGTTGGCGGTTGCCGGGAGGCTTGCATTGGTTGTTGTGTTTCGGAGGCACACCCTGACACATAACGGGTGTCTTGTCGTGCATGCGTGCATGCTCTCCTGATGGCCATGCTGACTGCTACTGGCCACCTGCGTACGGCGCCGGGAGTACCGGGAACAATGGGCGCCGCCTTGCATGCACCCATGCCGTCCTCGGTAACACCGCTTAGGACCCCATGCATGCGTTCATGCGTGCTCCACTTCCCCTTGCATGCCCCCATGCACCTCAGGTGGAGGAGTTGCGGCGGGCACAAGACCTGGCAGCTGAGCTGCGGGCCGACATGGCCCGGGCGGCGGTGGAGGCGGAGGCGAAGCTGCAAGCGGAGAAGCTGGCAGGAGCCGAGCGGGTCAAGGTGGGTAGCATGCGTGCTTGTCGTGTATCGGTTGTCGCTTGTCGGTGTTGTCGCGAGTCTAAGGCCTTGTGCGGGTGAACCACAGCCTTGCAGCTGGGGTCAAACACCGTTGTATGTGAACCACTTGTGAAGCACCGTGCTGTCGCTGTCTCTCACGCTTGCTCAGTCAGACAGCCGCAGCCACGCACTCCCTTCCATTGTTTTGCCCCTCTCTCGTACAGGTATGCAGGCCTCCGTGTTTCGTACCAGTCCAGGGGGGCCGCATGTTTCTACTAGCTAGGGGCTGGGTCCCGGTGTCCCAGACATTCTTGGTGTGTCGCTTTGCCCTTGCAACCGCGCGGTTACGGCGGCAGGTTGCACGGCCGGTTAGAGTGGTGAGCAATGACCCTCAGAGGCCGGGAGCAAGGTGGGTCATCGTTAGTTAGGGACGTCGTCCTGCTGTGTGTGCTGTGATTGTCCTTGCCTGAGCACGGCAACATGCTGCCCTCCCTATTTGCAAGTGGGGTATCCGTGTGCAATTGTTGTGTTGCAATGTGCTGTGATATGATTAGGGGCCTGCACTGTCACCACGACATGGCATGTAACTGAATGTGCATCTACGGCGCCTGAACGGAAAAGGACAGCTTAACTGTCGTACTTACACGCAGCCAACACCGCCTCCAACAGATGGCTTCATGCGGACTTGAGCACGGCCTAACACTCCCCTGCATGATACGCATGCAACAACTACTGCAGCTGCTGCCGCTTCCTTACGTTCCAATGTAACCCCAGACATGCGTGGATGCTTAAATTCTTTGATAATGCAGTAAAAAACGAGCTCTGACAATCTCCATATCTGGCTTCCTTGCTTCTTACACCAGCGTCCCCAGGCATGTCGGATGGACCGAAGCGTAGGTTGGCACGGCCTGTCTCTCTGCAGGCGACGCCTCCTTGCTTTCCATGGACAGCCATGAGGCAGGGCCGTTCAGTCGGTGCGTGTAAGACAGGAATGCCAAGCACAGGTGCAGGCGGTGAATACGAGCATGCACTGCTTACCAAGTTACCATCTGGGCTGTTACTGGCACGCTCGTTTATAAAGCGGAGCTCCGGGTGCTGTATTCCCGACCCATCAATGGAAAACGTAAGAGGGAGCGTCGGGGCCGCTGCTCGTCGCATGGGCACTCCCACGACGGCGCCTCGCACCCAGACAGTGCCAGCTACTGCGGGGGACACAGGCGCAGCCGCACTGGCCGGCGGCACAGCCGCAGTCACAGTCACAGCCATGCGGGCAGCAGCGATGGTGGCTTGCACGAGCAGCATTCGGCGCATGGAGGTGCAGGTAAGCAGGATGCGGCTGGGGTTGGAGCCAAGGGACAAGGTGGCTGAGGTGCCGTTGGCGAAGGGGTTGGGCTGTTGCTTGATTTGCGCAACCAGGTCGCATTTATCATTGTGAGGCTGTTCCCTAGCTGCCTCCATCCGGCCATCCTGACAGGTCGTACCCTTTGCCCATCCACCCACTACCCCCACCGCAGCAGCCCCTCACGTCAACGGCGGCGGAAGCTGCTGCATCATTACCGTGCCTCTGCCGCCCGGCAGCAATGGCAGCGACCCCGCTGCCGCCGGCGCCCCAGTTGAGGTTGTCACTGACCATCAGGCGGCAGCGGTTCCGCCAACACTGGACGTGAACCAGGTCGCGCTAGCGCTGGCGGCTGCGGCGGCAGCTAAGCACTGTCAGCAGGGTGCTGATGGGCAGGAGGAGGGCAGCCATTGCAGCAGCAGTGATGAGGAGGAGGGCGGCCAGGAGGGGAAGGGCGAGAATGCCCATGACCACCACCACCACCACCACCATGGGGGCAAGTATGAGGAAGGCAGCAGCTGCTGCCATGGGAAGAAGCACCACCATCATCACCACCACAAGCACGAGGAGCAGCAGGGGCAGGAGGGTGGGAGCAGCGGCAGGGGCTGCGGTGCCGAGGCGGCGGCGGTTGCACCCGCGGTGCTTCCAGTGCTGGAGGCTGGTGCTGCGGAGGCGGCCGAGGAGGCCTCTGATGGGGAGGACCACTCGCACGACCACCGCCACCCTGGCCACGGCCACCGCCATCACCACCAGCACCGTCACGGTGGTCACCGCCATTCGCATGGCGGCCACGGACATGGCCATCACAGGCATGGGCACGGCCACCACGGTCATGCCCATGGCGGCCACGGAGCGCATGGCCACAACCACGGTCACCATGGTCACTCGCACGGTCATGGCCACAGCCATGGTCACCACCACGCGCACGACCACAACATCAACCTGCGCTCGGCGCTGCTGCACGTGCTGGGCGACCTGCTGCAGAGCATCGGGGTGGCGGCGGCGGGGGCGCTCATCTGGTGGAAGCAGGACGACACGCGCTGGCAGGTGAGCGGAAGGCAGGGGGGGCAGGGGGAGCTGGGAGTTGATTAGTTGTGGTTGGGAGCGAACTAGGAGTGTAAGGAACTGGGTGTGGTAGGAGCGCGCCTGTACAATTGGTACTGAAGGGAAAACGATGTACGTGCTCTCAACATGCAATCCTTGGTTTTCTCAGCCGCAGCAATCCAGTTGCTCTGTAACCGCCCCTCTTTCCTCCCTAAACCTTAACCTCACCCCGCTCTTCCTTCCTCCCGCAAACCCACCGCCCCTCCCCCATTGTACTGCAGCTGGCGGACCCCATCTGCACCTTCCTGTTCGCGGTGCTGGTGCTGCTGACCACGCGCACTATCATCATCGACATCATGCACACCCTCATGGAGCGCACCCCGCTGCACGTCAACATGGCGGCGGTCACGGAGGCCATGTCGCTGGTGAGGTGCCTGCGGGGATGAGAGGCGGGGGGGGGCGGCTGAGGGGGTTGGGGCTGGGGCTGGGGGGCAGGAGGGAGGGGGGGTTAGGCTGGTAGGACCGGATGGAGGAGGGATGCGGGCTGAGGAACGACAGACCGAGCATACTGAATCCGGCAAGGAAGGGGAATGGTACTGCTGTTGAACGAGGCAAGGCATTCCCTGGGGTGTGATGTAGTGGTTTGGCGCATCAAGGACTGTGGCGCACTTTCCTTGCCTCTACTACGCCTCTCTTTCTATCCCTTCCTTTTCCTCACCCCTCCCAGATGGACGGCATCCTCGACGTGCACGACCTGCACGTGTGGAACCTCTCTATGGGCCTGCCCATCCTGACCGCACACATGCACATCGCCCGCACTGCGGATGCAGAGGTGGTGCTGCGCGCACTGGAGGCCTATGTGCGCGGCACGCTGGGCATCCAGCACTCCACCATTCAGATCTGCAACTACCAGGGGGCTGCCCTGGCGGTGGGGGGTGGGGGTTGGACGGGTGTGGGGGCTGCGGGGGGCGGGGGAAGGGGTGAGGGCAGTGCAGCATCGGGGCCGTCCTCACCGGGTGAGGCCTTGGTTTGATGGTGGATTGTAGTAAGGCAGAACGGTGTTTGGGAGCTGACGTGGCAAAGGGCTTGCGTGCAGTCAGGGGTCTACATGTTTGCTGCATGTGAGGCCACGAGGCACCAGCGGTCCATGGGAGTCAACGGGGTATATGGCAATACAGAGACGAAGTTTGGGTTGAGGAGGGAGGGGGTGCATGCTGCATGGCTGTGTTGTGCGTGTGTATGTTTTATGGTGCATTGGTGGCAGCAATGACCTAGTTCTCTTGGTGTGTTACCGTTAGCTGCCTTCTTGTGCCTTTTTTGGGTTGCTTGCATGCATCCAAGAGGCAGCTGTGCAGGTAGGCATCCGTTCATTAGCAGGAATCTTCTGTAAAGGGTATGGGTGTGAGTACGAAAGCTTCAGCAGTGGTGCTGGTTGTCTGGTTTGTGGCTGTGTTTGTTGGCCTTGCCTATCCACCAATCACCGCACCCTGTCTCCTGGTTGGCTTCAGGTCCCTCTTGGAGATGCATGGTGATGGCAACCGGCCAGGGTCCCAACATGTGCCAGCATGCTCTTTCACATGCTGTTAGGCAAAGGCACACATGTGTGTTTTGGGGCCCCAATGTGGGTGGTGAACACAGTTGGATTGGTATCTTGGCGTGTATTGGCTTATGGTTCGTGCCTTGCTCTGTAGTGAAGCACACCTCTTGGCACTACCGTGTGGTGGTGGCGCCACACACCTGAGGTATGATCCAAGTTGTAACATATAAGGCTAGCTGATCCTATACAGTCGCTCTACTACACTGTGTGGTCTGGGCAAATTGCATTGCTATGCCTAAGATTGTATCGAGTGACTGAGTGAATGACCGTTACAATGGCTCCCCAAAAGGGAACACCCTACACTGCAAGGTAAACAGAACATGCCGTATAGACGATAACACACCGGGCCAGCAAAACACTGGCAAGTAAAATCCTGGAGCTGACCCCAAAACCAAGAAACAGCGGACAGGGCAGCCTGATCAGCGAGCCTAGGCATGACACCCGCAGAACCAGGCTCACGCACACGAGCCCGCCGACCCTCTTCCATAGCAGACAAAGCACCCAGGATAACAAGATACCCAAAACAATGCTGCACGCCCGAGGGAGGTGATGCCAACCACAAAGCAACTCTAGGAACCTCAATCTGCTCAACCTGGGTGAGGGCAGCGCGAGCAACAGGACAGGCCAATGCAACTGTGGATACATCCCCGAAACAACAGCCCACAACGATCAGGAGAAGCCTTAGACATATGAGAATTCCCAAGCGAGGGACTTTCATCCATGGACAAACACCAAAACGTTTCCTTAAGGCAAGGCTTCTCCTTAACGTCTTCAGAGGTGCTGGAAAGAATCCTGGAGGCCATCCAGAACGCCTGCAGGAAGCTCTTGGGTAGCAGGTAACTCCATAGCTTACTAAATAAGGGCCACATGCAACACAGCACGTTCCTTCTAACACACACCCAAACTGAATTACCATGGACATCCGAACGAACAGACAGAGTCCCCAAAGGAACAACTCCGTGAGCTAACTGTCACCCCAAGTGGGGAACCAAAATAAACCTGCCAAGCATTCTCAATAGCCAATGGAGGATGGGTGGCAAGTCGTCAACAAGAATACCTCCACAGCCGCCACCCAAGCCACAGGCACTTCAGTCAACAAGGTCTCAAGCGACAGCAGGAGACCACAACACCTAGGCAGGTAACAAAGAGCACAGGGAGCAGAAGAAGCTGGGTCAAACGTACTAGTACAGACCAGCATCACATCATAGCCCTGTCCTCAGTATCCCTTGACACACCATGCAACAAGCAACACTGAAATCCACATGTCCTCAAACCTGTCCTCAAACCTGTCCTCAAACCTGTTGAGCCAAAGCAGCCACACCCATTACCAAGGAACAAAGGGCATGGCTATGAATTAGGACTGGGTAGTGGTGTTCCAAAATTAGTACACCTGACTGACCTGTCAACCCCACACACAAAGGAACAATACCAGCTCCCCAGATAACAACGATAATAATACACGGTAGATATATGACAGACAGGGTTGTAGCGCTAGGGGACCAAAATCCGGATGCAAACGCCAAAGGAACAACGTCAAAGCATGCTGCCAGGGATACAAACAGCCTATCCCGGACCACCCATAGCATGCCTATCCTGCGGACCCTGGTGTTTATTTTTAAACTTAACAGTCTGCTTCCCTAAACTATCCAACTGAGCACTCGGCGGCAGGCCTGAATGCTCCATGTGCCAAGTGGCTGTTTGCAGAGCATATGCAGCTGCGCTGGTAGCTAGCCTTAACAGAAATGGAAAGGGTGAAGATCAGCCAACTTCTGTAAGCAGCTCTCCACGTCTAGGAACCATTTGCTCCAGTCAAGGCATGGAGCTGTATCCGAATTAGTAAAAGGCACATTTAGCATCACTGCCTTAAACTGACACACCCTGAACAACCTGCTGTCCCTCAGCACCCAACGGAACTCCAATAGGCAAAAGCACTGATTTCTCCAAGTTCAAGTGGTGACCCGACGCCCTGGCAAATATGTCCATGTGCTGGAGGAAAGCCCCTACCACACCAGGCCAACTCAACACCCTTAGTAGCATTGGTGAACTGAACCGGGTAACCTCCCACACAGGAGCAATAACTGTTACAAGTTATCATGTCAGCTAGGGCCAGCCCAAGGCACGATGCAAGAACCTTAGCGGAAGGCGGTCATCTCTACACAACAGAATAATAATAGGTACATCATACCACCATCCCCCAGTGTCAGCCTTTGGCCATGACAAAGCCACTGCCTGTAGCCAAACGCCCTTGTCTTCTTGGCCCAGAGCTCAACTAGGCCAGCATCTTTTCCAACTTTATCATAGAGATGCAATGGATTGTAACCCGTAAGGTCAGTCATCAGCTAGAACAGCAATTGCAGCAGAAGGACATTATACAACATCCCTGCGTCACACCACCCACACCACATGCCTGATACCCAGATGCAGGCTGCCGCTAAGGGCCTTTGTGCACCTCAAGCCCAATCTCTTACAGGAGTCAAAAATTTTGAGTCATTACTTCAGACCAAAGCCCAACTGCTATCCACTACTCTCACTCTTAGCATCCAGACAAAGTTTCAGAAATTGGGCACTTTTTTTGTGTCAGGGTGCTCTGCGCAAAGCACCTTGGTGCGCAGCTCCAGCGCCTGCCTGTACATGGGCTCTGCCGCACTGTATTTTGCAGTCGGCCAGGTCATTGATGGAGCGGATGGTGTCAGGGTGCTCTGCGCCCAGCACCTTGGTGAATAGCTCCAGCGCCTGCCTGAACATGGGCTCTGCCTCGCTGTACTTGCCTTGGTCGTTGATGCAGTTGGCCAGGTAATTGATGGAGCGGATGGTGTCAGGGTGCTCTGCGCCCAGCACCTTGGTGAATAGCTCCAGCGCCTGCCTGTACATGGGCTCTGCCTCGCTGTACTTGCCTTGGGCATAGATGCAGCTGGCCAGGTTACTGATGGAGCTGATGGTGCCAGGGTGCTCCTCACCCAGCACCTTGGTGTGCAGCTCCAGCGCCTGCCTGTACATGGGCTCTGCCTCGCTGTAATTGCCTTGGTCACCGATGCAGTTGGCCAGGTTACTGATGGAGCTGATGGTGTCAGGGTGCTCCTCACCCAGCACCTTGGTGTGCAGCTCCAGCGCCTGCCTGTACATGGGCTCTGCCTCGCTGTACTTGCCTTGGGCATAGATGCAGCTGGCCAGGTTACTGATGGAGCTGATGGTGCCAGGGTGCTCTGCGCCCAGCACCTTGGTGCGCAGCTCCAGCGCCTGCCTGTACATGGGCTCTGCCTCGCTGTAATTGCCTTGGTCATCGATGCAGCTGGCCAGGTTACTGATGGAGCTGATGGTGTCAGGGTGCTCTGCGCCCAGCACCTTGGTGAATAGCTCCAGCGCCTGCCTGTACATGGGCTCTGCCTCGCTGTACTTGCCTTGGGCATAGATGCAGCTGGCCAGGTTACTGATGGAGCTGATGGTGCCAGGGTGCTCCTCACCCAGCACCTTGGTGTGCAGCTCCAGCGCCTGCCTGTACATGGGCTCTGCCTCACTGTAATTGCCTTGGTCACCGATGCAGATGGCCAGGTTACTGATGGAGCTGATGGTGTCCGGGTGCTCCTCACCCAGCACCTTGGTGCGCAGCTCCAGCGCCTGCCTGAACATGGGCTCTGCCTCGCTGTACTTGCCTTGGCCCTTGATGCAGCTGGCCAGGTTATTGATGGAGCTGATGGTGGCAGGGTGCTCCTCACCCAGCACCTTGGTGTGCAGCTCCAGCGCCCGCCTGTACATGGGCTCTGCCTCGCTGTACTTGCCTTGGGCATAGATGCAGCTGGCCAGGTTACTGATGGAGCTGATGGTGCCAGGGTGCTCCTCACCCAGCACCTTGGTGCGCAGCTCCAGCGCCTGCCTGAACATGGGCTCTGCCTCGCTGTACTTGCCTTGGCCCTTGATGCAGCTGGCCAGGTTATTGATGGAGGTGATGGTGTCAGGGTGCTCTGCGCCCAGCACCTTGGTGTGCAGCTCCAGCGCCCGCCTGTACATGGGCTCTGCCTCGCTGTACTTGCCTTGGGCATAGATGCAGCTGGCCAGGTTACTGATGGAGCTGATGGTGCCAGGGTGCTCCTCACCCAGCACCTTGGTGCGCAGCTCCAGCGCCTGCCTGAACATGGGCTCTGCCTCGCTGTACTTGCCTTGGTCACCGATGCAGTTGGCCAGGTTACTGATGGAGCTGATGGTGTCAGGGTGCTCCTCACCCAGCACCTTGGTGCGCAGCTCCAGCGCCTGCCTGTACATGGGCTCTGCCTCGCTGTACTTGCCTTGGGCATTGATGCAGCTGGCCAGGTAACTGATAGAGCTGATGGTGTCAGGGTGCTCTGCGCCCAGCACCTTGGTGCGCAGCTCCAGCGCCTGCCTGTACATGGGCTCTGCCTCGCTGTACTTGCCTTGGGCATCGATGCAGCTGGCCAGGTTATTGATGGAGCTAATGGTGTCAGGGTGCTCTGCGCCCAGCACCTTGGTGTGCAGCTCCAGCGCCTGCCTGTACATGGGCTCTGCCTCGCTGTACTTGCCTTGGGCATTGATGCAGCTGGCCAGGTTACTGATGGAGCTGATGGTGTCAGGGTGCTCCTCACCCAGCACCTTGGTGCGCAGCTCCAGAGCCTGCTGGTGTGCTGCCTCTCCAGCCAACATTGAGTAAAAATTGGCAAGGCAAGGTGCTTGAAGATCATTGGCTGCAGTCTCCATACTGCTCCAGGTTTCATAGAAAGCGGGTGTCAGGACACCACCCACATCTAACAGCAATGACTCCAAGTGCCAAGTTGTAGACCTCAGCACCAGTTCCAACATCTTGGGTGCTGTTGTTGCCTCTGCTGCTGCCATCTGTATCACTGCCAAGAAGTCGGGCGCATGCTGCCGTGCTAAGCGCAGTGCCAACAGAGCATCAGGTGTCATGTACAACTGCCCCCATTCTGTGAAGGCAGCCATGATATGCCCCATGAACCGCTCACGGGCACAGGACAATGCCCTGGAGAACTGCTGTTGCTGTTTCTGCTGACTGTTGCTGGCAGCACTTTTACTGGCCACAGCTGGTTCTGATGCTGTTGCAGCAGAGGTCAACCCACCGCCCAGCCTCGCTGCAGTGGTGCGCACAGCCATGTGCAGGCTGTATGTGCTGCGGGCCACATTGCGCAACACCAAGCCATGGCTGTACAACACCGCAAGCTGGGCACGAATACGTGACACATCGCTGCTGTCACCATACACCACCATTGAGGCGGATGTCTCATCAAATTGGGACGGGAAGACGGAGAGCTGGGCTAGGAGCAGTTGTTGGGATAGCGGCAGAGATGCCAAGGCGAGGTGCAGGGCGGTGGTGCTGTCATTGTTTGTGTTGGTGAGCGCAGCCTTCAACACCTGCATGCATTCATTTGTGGGGGGTGGGTGGGTGGATATCAGCGTGATGGTGATACCTCGTTATCCTACTGTACACAGCAATTTGAAGCAGACAATGCTTGTTGAGCATGCTCAAGGAGCTGCATGCAGAGCTGAGAGCTGCCCATACCCCGAACACCTTCTACTACCGTACATCCACCCACAACATGCACCCGTACATACCGCCAGTGTGACCCTGCCATGTGCCAACGCATCAGCACATGTGCGCAGCAGCAGTGGCACCCCCTGGCACATATCCAGCAGGGCGTCCACATCACCCGCTGCCAGAGGGGAGGCATCGCCCCACAGTGAGGCGACTAGCTGGCGGCTGGAGCCATCATCAACACCATGTAGCGGGTGGTCAATGAACTTGTTGCTGCTGCTACTGCCAGATGACGATGTGGACATGGGTGCCCGTGATGTGACCAACACCATTGCAGCCGTGGACACCTGCCGGACAACAATGACAAGGGCACGAAAGCATTACATGAGAGTCACCCATACCTACTGTTAGGTGATGAGGCTTAAAAGCTTGGGTACCATCTATCTATCGACTGACGGTTACCACATTCCTATATAATGGATGTACCACAATAATTTTATGTAAAATATTATGTTAACAGTTTGCAATTCAATAGGATTGCTGAAGAGAGGGCAAGCGTAAGAAAGCCTGGATAGGACAGCCGACGCCAGTCTTGTGATAGCTTTCATGCAGCTAGCTGTGGTGTCTAGCTAGTGTAAGCTACAAAAAGGTGAAAGGAGAACTGTAAGCCCACGCACTCGCGATCCTGACATCTGCAGTTACGCCTTTCGTAGCTTACAAAAACGTAGCATGTGCATGCAGAAAGAAAGCCAATTTGTCAATGCCAGAGACTTCCACCATGTATGCCAGCATTGTGACAGGCAGGCTGTGTCCAAATGCTCACCACCCATCTCTGCTCTCCCTTCTTCTCCTCTCCTTTACAATCCGGCCCAATCCTGCCCACCTGGGCCATGGCGTCTCTGAAGCTCTCACTGCCTCCTCCATCTGCCTGCAGCACGTCCTCGGCATTGTCCACCACCAGCAACACGCCTCCACCACAGCTAGCCGAGGTGGCGTGCAACCATGCAAGCAACTTGAGAAGGGTGTCGTCACCCTGCAGGAAGGTGCACACAGCAAGGTTGGACGTGCTTTAGTCACTGGCAGACACATGGCCGAAGTACCATGACATGCGCCATTGCCGCTCTAATTTCTCTCCTTGTTGTCCCCCGCTGCCTGGACTTGTTGCGTGCATACTACCGACCGGGTCAGTGTGGCAAATAAACACATCAGGCAGGGGGGGGGGTAGTTTCGCCGCAAAATGACCCCATGCTTCAATATTAAAGAACTCAACGAGAGCATTCCAAATCCGCTTTCAGAATTGTAAACGGAGTTGTAGGGAAAAAGATATGGGCTCCCAAAGTTGGTTGTACGGCAGGGGTGGGTGGGTGGGTCCGGAGCTCTAACGACTTTTTTCTTCAACCTCCGGAACTTTTTTCCTACGCCTTATTTCGTCAAACGGATAGCAGATTTCGTACTCCTGTTATAGTATATGCATAATATGTTAAGACTAGAGCCTTTGTGTGGAGTTTGCGGGTGGCATGTCTACATGGAAGACTCTAGCTGGCCCAACATACACGTTATGGCTTCTCCAGAGGCAAAGCAAGCAGCAGGGACAGGGGCTAAGGTGGAAGGGGCCCAAAGAGGAACCAAACAAATAAAATCACAAAATTAGGGCAAGGTTGAAGGGGGAGGACACGCAACAGGCGTACTGACGACACACCCATGGCAGGGGGAACATGCGTGGACCTGCAACTGGTGCTGAGGGCGGTGGGGTGCAAGCCCAGCCTGCTACACGGGGGAGGGGGCGCAGTCGTACAGATGGCGGGGTGATGTGAGGGACGCAGTGGCAGGTGGGCTGGAGCACACTTACCAACGCAACCGTGCACTCAAGCACTACAGCAATGCATGTGAGGTTTAAAAGAGATGTGTATCGGCTGCATACCAGAGAGCTTTGAGTCTGGCAGCCTGCCTGCCCCCCCCTCCCGTGTGGCGAGCGACTCGGACATGTTGCCAAATGGGTCGCCTAACGTGAGAACGACGAAGATCATGTGAAATGGAGTCGAAAGGTGCTTTTTTGAGGCGATTTTGCGAAGTTTACAGCGTTGTCGTACAGCAAAAACGGTACGACAGGGTGGGTGGGTGGGTCCGGCACCTCTTCCTTGACTTTTTTAGCATGGGGTTTGGCAAAGACTTTTTTACCCCCCCCCTGCATCAGGCATCATAGGATACATTTCTCTACATGCACAGCAGCTCCAACCAAGCAAGCAAGAGCGTGCAGCTCTGGGCACAAGTTGCATTAGCATAGTTTGCGAGGATGAAACACCAGCAAGATTAGAGCCCTCACGTGTCATGAGCCGGGTGGGCGGATGGGGTCGTCAAGGCAAGCCTTCCTGCAACAGCAATCCCACACCCATACACCCAGCCACACACCGCCTATCTACCCACCCACCGTGATGACACTTTCCACCGCCAGCGCAATGCGCATCAACACATCGTCCACGGACCGCGCCTCACGCAGGTCACAAAAGTATGCACCCCCTGCATGGGGCAGGCGGGGCCAGGGGGGCAGGAGTCAGGAGGCAAGCACGGGCGGGTCAGGCAGCCTTACAACAATACATACACCGCATAGGATGGCAGATCTGCATGTGTGGTGACAGTCGTTTCACATCAACACTTGGCAGGTTGTTTATGGTATGCATACCTACTTGCATGGCATACTGCAATGCATACCGGTACACAGTGGCGCACCTGGGCACACTCCTTCCCTGGCCAACCTCCACCCCACATCCACCGCGAGGCTGGACTTGCCCAGGCCAGCACCACCCAGTAGGCACACGCCGCGTTGGGCTGCAGCCTGTTCCTTCACCAACCGTACCACCAGCTCTGCATCGGTGTCACGGCCCGTGTACAACGAATCAAGTGGTGGTAGGCGGCATTTCGCCATAGCCTCATGTTGGGTGTGGCTTGGGGCCGCCTCGCTGCTGCTGGTTGCTGTGAGTTGCAGCACTCCAGTGGTGGTATGCCCAGGTGTGCTGCTGCTGCCAGGTGCAGGGCCAGCCATGGTGTTGCCGCCACTGCTGCCGGTTGTGAGCTGGCGCACGATCTGCAGCAGGTCAGCGTCCGGTTGTGGGAAGGCCAACTGGATCTCGTCCACGCTGACGTTGTCCGGGTCCCACTGCTCCACACGTTGCTGGAACGCTTGCTTTGCCTGATCGCTCTCCAACACGTTGCATAACTGCAACGGCAACCACAAGCACATCAGATGCACATCTGCATCAAGCAATTGCAGCATGACCCTGTGTGACAAGTGTATGCACTGCCCCGTCAGCAGGCAAAGCAACCACCTTACGCTACCCGTTGCACCCTTACAGTTGCAACGATAAATGAGACCTCCGAGCACCCTGTCCACCACAAGCCATGTCCCATGCGCCCCATGCAGCAAACATCGGTTGTGCTGTACAGGTAAGGCTAGGCACAGAGTCACAATCCAACTGGGGCGCAGGTTATTCCTGGTCCCCACCCACCATTACACCAATCGCCCACGCCCAATCACGAGCACACAACCTCATGCATGCCCCACCCCTTCCTCCTCCTACCGCTGAGACGTAGCTTGGCTCCAGGTGCACCTCCTCCAGGCGACTCGGGAACCCCAACCACCACAGGCGCCAGGGGACCTGCTCGAGGGGTGTGAGTCACAGTAGCGTTTCATTGGTCATGGGGTCACGGTGTCAACACTTGTTGTAAGAAGGGACGATGGTCCTAAATGCGTAATTATTCGATTGCATTCTAAGTCAGTCAAGGCAACAGCAGGTATCTTTAATCCCGCCCAACCCTGGCCTCACTTTCCACTCCCCAGTGAAGAAGGTGTGCCAGAAAACGCGCAGGTCCATGTGACCAATCAGGCGGTGAAAGCCCTTGTCGCCTTCCTTCACCACACTTGCTTTCACGGCTGCAAGCCCTTGCTTCATCTGCGTGCGGGCACGCACATACACATGAGCAATGCGCAGTGGTAAGTGGCCGCAGAACTCCAAACACCGGGTGGGAAGGCAGTACGGGTGGCAAGCGGCACATCCAAACAAGGCGTTCATTGTTAGAGGCTGCACCCTTGTAGCATGTGGGGGTGCATTTCCTCCAACCCTCCCCAGCTACCCTTGCGACATATCCACTTCCTCCCACAGATCCAACAACAACAGCAGGCCTGGACCACTGCCATCTTCCCCCCAGTCCCACTCACAATCCTGATGGTCAGCCTCTGCCCCATGTCCAGCTTCTCCGCCACCGCCTTGATCTTATCTTCATCAGCCATCACGGCATCCAGGCCGCCCAGCTCCTCCACCGCAGTACGCACCTCAGCGCTGTGGTCCTGGAAGCGGGAGAGAAGGAGGAAGTGTGTTTGATCAACTGGCCGCAAAGCGAACAAGACAGCATGCAGGGAGTATACTCCAGAGGGGCCCTGCATGCTGGCCTCCAGTCCGGGGAGTACCCACCACCAACTCACTTTTGCAATTGCTGCCCATATTCCAGCAGGTGAAGCCGTCACAGCCGTGACCTCATTATACACCCAACACCTTTGTACACACGCATCCCGTCCTCCCTCCCTCAATCCTCCCTCTCTCACCACGTACACCATCTGTTGCGTCATCTCCTCCATGGCTGCCCGCATCTCCTCCGTCATGCCAGCCACGTCCACCACCACAGCGAACTGCGCCTCAAGTGTCAGGTCGCGCAGCTGCTGTGCGTAGTCCTCATACCGCTGCTGGTCACCGCCGCTGGTGATGATGCGGACAAGCCAGCTGTGGGAGGAGAACACGCGGACGTACTCGTTGAGCTCCTGCAACCAGGCAGGCGGCAGGGTGCAGGCGCATGTAAATAAACGGCTTTTAGAGTAAGTCACCAAGCACACAAGCGCAATGACGGGTAAATTAATGAACGGGTAGCGTTGGTCACTATCCTCACACTAAAGCTTTTGCACTAAAGGCAGCAGGTGGAGGGTGCTAAAGTTCGTGCGTGTGGGCACAATACACTGGCCACCATGATGCAAGGGCCTGCTGCACACACAGGGGACAAGTGCCACTGGACGCACCGTGAGCAGGTCACGGAACCGATTCATCAGCTTCATGTACGCGTCCGACGTCTTCTGCTGGTGTTGCTGCGGTGGCTGCGTCGCTCCAGCGCCAGCCACCATCATTGCTGCGTTTGGGACGTGCCTGTCGACGACGAGGTCAAACAGGTCCACTGCCCGCTCCTGCAGCTTGGTCAGGTTATCCTTGTTGGCCATAGCCTGGGACACGAGGTCCATGAAGACGGCCAGCGCGCCAGCAACCATGTCACCTGCGCAATGGGGACGTGCATACATAAAGCATGTACTGGCTCTTTAGTGAGGAGTTTAGGACTTATCCTGAGGGTCCATGAGTGGGAGGCAGTATGAATAAGGCTGCGCACACATGGCAAGGCCACCGGCATGTGAGCTGATTGCAAATGCTGGGAAGACATGCTAGCACAGGGCATGCAGCCCTTAGTATGAACGAATGACCCCAGCGTGCCCTAATTGCCCTTAGTGTGTTGTGGAGGCTAGGCGCAGCTTTGCACGCTGCCTACCGACCCCAGTGAATGGCACTCACCAGGGAATGGCAACATAGGTTTGACTTTGGTCAAGAAGCTGCAGCCCACCTCGAGCCCCTTCTGGACCCGCTCCTGTGCGCAGGGATTGGCGGGCAAGCGGGGTGCAGGAGCACTAAAGTAAGTTACAAGCAGTCAGTAATAGTACATACATCAGTTTCAGTTGGACCACCACATAAGCCAGGATGGGGGTGCCACGAGTGCAGCATACAGGGATCATCACCTTGAGTTTTGTGGAGCCGGTGGAATGCCCCTGAGGTGTAGCAGGTGAAGGTACAGCAGGTGTGGCATTGGCCACCACGGTAGTGGCCGCCGGTGATGGAGTAGTTGGAGCTTGAGATGCAGTCAACGCTGGTTGAGCATGACTGCTGTTGGCGTCATTAACTATGCGCAAGAACAGCCTTTCAAAAATTGGCTCTAGTTTGAGGTTTTTTATGTCCTCCTCGACAACGAGGTTTAGGTGTTGAGTTTTGCGGAAGCCAAGCTTGTCCACAAACTCCTTGGCGATTTCCGGTGGTATGCCGTGCTTTTGGAACAGTTCGTGCCCTGATGGCGAACACCGCACAAGCTCCCAACTTGTTGCAGTGTCCTGCAGCAGCAACATGTAAAAGACGCATGCTCAGCCTTGTGATCACAAAAAAGGAAAAAAAACGAGTCCACACACTTAGGAGTAAGATATACAAACTGCATCTAATACATGCAATTGCGGTCTTTCCGGCGAAGCTCCTCTATGCATAAGGGGCATACCGGTAACCTAAAAAGGCATGTGTGCACCTGCAAGCACTACCGGTACTCCCATTCATGCAAACTACCTTCGCCTGCATAGGACTTCCATGCTGCACTGCTTGTGAAGGTGTTGAAGCTCCGCAACCCATTCTTCGTGGCGGCCGGTATTGCCGCGACCTAACACCAAAGACCAGTTACTTTTGTTTTTTGCATATCATATTTCGTGCGGTTGTTAGTGTGCGTGTCCGAGTAGTCCCTATAATGTAAGGCCTCAAGCAACTCTATAAGGTGTCGCCATACTTATAACATCAGGCTTCCGTTTCTGCAGAGGTTAGTTTAGTGGATTACACTACACTTGGTAACGATGGTAAGGGTAAGACCCGTTAGGTTGTTAGCCCCTTGCCTTGGCGACCCCGGTGGGTAGGGTACGGCGATGGGGGTCGCATGACGAGGTCTAAAATCCAACAGGTTGCTTCAGATTATGTGAATGGGCCAGTCGTGTTGCTTGGGGACCAGCAGTGGCCAACAATCAAAGACCTATGCTGCATGGATTAGCGAGACCTCTAGCATATCGTTCATTGCAGGAGTCGGTATATACCAAAACCTATGCACACGACCTACCTACTAACACGTTCGATGCCATTACTGGCGGAAAGGCTGCGCTCGCGGGTCAACTAGCTATCGGCATGCGGAAGCCCAGCGCGCTGACCACGCCGAGCATTATCCCTGAAAACCCGTTGGCAACACTGAATATGGCACAGATGCTAGTGTCCATTAAAGCGCGCTAGCGGTACCGGTAGCACATTCAGTATCTTGGGGCCATGGACCCCGCTCGGAAAGCGCTGGACGACACGGACAGCGTCTTTACAGGATTCGCCGAGGGCGTTCCCCATGGACGTCGTTTCCCACATCTGAGCTCATGTCGCGCGTCGAACTCCAGCCGGTGCCGACCCAGTGGTCACCAAGCAAGGAAATGTTTTTTTTGCTTTCCTTTGCTTGCTGGGTAGTACCCAAACCCTTCGGCTGTTCACATCCGCGCTTTGCTGCTAACATTCCGGTCAAAGGCGACTAGGCAAGTGGCTACGTGACGGGGCGCACTACACTACTCTGCTGCCAACCATATACACGACTGCATTCCCATAAATTAGCGCAAAGTACCTGTCTACCTTGCCATGACATATCGTGTGACGGACTTATCTAGGACCGCTACAGCACACTCTATGGCGCAGGGATCTTGGTCGGAAGGAGGGCGCGCTCGGCCGCTAGCACCGCCCAGCAAGGCGCGGCGGCGAGCCTAGGATCGTGCCCCCAATCCCAACGGCCTTTCAAAGCGACCCGGAGTTCGAATGATGAGCTAATGTTACGAATGTAATACGTATGTACCCGGGTTATATTCAAAAACGTTGCTGCCAACGGGCAGCTCAAGGCATACAACGCCGGCCAAAGCAATAAAGCCGTAGGACGGGTACTGTACGGGGCCAAGAGCCCAAACCAGCGCACTCCACTCCGCCACAGGAGATGCCAAGCACGCATTGTGCCATGGCAGTCTTGCCTACCGCGAGCAGCTACGAAGCGAAGAAGCGCCCTGTCTCTCAGCGTCCTAATCTAACCCCAGAAGCTTCCAGATGTGCATGCGTGGATGCCTGACTGACCTAACGGTGTATGTCAACAATTATTCCCCCCGCCGAGCTGTATACCGGCACCGCTGACTGATTGGCTTCCTGCATCGCCGCATCCTCCGGGATGCCGGAATGAAATGTATTTTGCACGGCCTGCCTGGGCCTGCCTCTCTGCAGGTGACGCCTCCTTGTCTCGCTCCCGAGAACAGCCACGCGACAGGGCTGTTCAGTAGAGGAAGGGCAGGAACTGCAAGCACGGATGCATGGGCACACGTACGAGGGTAGGGGGGTGGTATGAGCAGAAGGCCTGTACGAACGGCATCGTGCCTGCTTGGAGAAGGGGTGCAGTAGTTGTAGTAGTGCAGTGGGGTAATGTTTCATCACCTTCTTGACTTTTGTCTTGTACTGCGAGTACTCTGCTGGGTAGCGCTCAGATAGGGCCTGCTCCTCCTTTTCAACCTGAAAAGAGAAGAAATACGACGGATAGCCGTGCGGTCAACATTACGTAACCAGGACCGCAGCCCCCTACCGAGTTTCAACACCACACCACAACACACACGCCATACAGCACACCAACACTAGAACGTTCGCCCCTCATAATGCAGCCGTTTACTCCATAATATCTCCCCACCTTCCACACTCCCCAACCAGCCTCCTCCCTCCTCCGCCGCCGCCCGTCCCGCCCCGGTTCACCCACCTTGTTCTCCAGCACCCACCACAGCAGCGCCGCCACCGCCATGCGGGCCTCGCTGTGAGTCAGCGCGGCTAGCCCCACAGCCGCCAGCAGCAGCCCGCCGTACATCGGGTGCCGTACGTAGCCTGGGGCGGAGGGAAAGGGATGGAAAGAGGGAGAGAGATGGTGGAACTGCTGGGGGGGGGGGTGCATCCATACACCAGCAGAGGGGCCACGCAGCCCGAGAGGAAGGGATGCCCTGCCGGCCCTCCCTGCCCCCCTGTCCCCGTGCCTACCATACACCCCCTCCACCACCAGCTGGTGCTTCCTGCGCGGTTCCGGCAGCGGGCTCAGGTTGCGACCCAGGTTGCGGGAGGCAACAACCCTGGTGGTGTGATGGAGGGAGCGGAGGGCGGGAGCGAGTGGGGAGGCGGCCGGCACGGCAAAGCAGATGAACGACAGGGCAAGCCGAATGACAAGGTAGGCCACCAGGACGCAAAGGGGTAGGCATGCAGGAAGGAGACAGGTTGCTAAGGTTTGGTTGGCAGTAGAGAATAATTGCCCGTATTGTTGCCCGCATTCCACCAGTGAACACAGCAAACTGGGTCACCCTCCCAGGTTCCCACACCACACGCAGTGAGCCCCATCTGCCCCAGGACTGCTCGGCGCTCACATGAGTCCCAGGCCGCTTGCCAGCGCCAGCAGTGCCAGCGAGTCCACCGCACCCTAGGCATGTGTGGAAGAGCGCGGGTGGGTAGTGTGTGAGTGAAAGCCAGGTATGGTAGCCAGGCAAAGCAACCGAGGATGGGCGGTATAATAATCAGGCAAAGCCGGACCGGGAAAATGAAGGACATTGGGGGAGGAGGGATTGGGCAGGGACACGAAGAGCTGTGCATACCGTTAGAGCGGGCGGGGGCACCGCTACGAACAGGATGGCCAGGAGCTGGGCTGCCAGCCAGCCCTCTCCGCGAGTGCCGAAAGTGCTCGAATCCAACAGCTCCTCAAACAGCTCCTGTGCGCAGGTTGAAGTGTTCAGGTATTAACATGGTTGTTAGATAGGACGCGATGAGGGCTAGCTGAAACGGCTTGCTTGACTCGGCTAACAGACGAGCTTGGCGCGTGCAGAGGCGTTACCTTGCTTGCATGGATGTCGCCGGATTCGACTTGCTCGATGGGCTCGGCGTCAGCTGGGACGCCAGTGGATGGAACATCCGCAGGCTATGACGGGCCAGGGTTAATGAACAAGGAACAGTTGAAAAAGAAAACCTTGCGGCAACCGAGGTAAACGCTGTCGTCATAAAGGACCCAAGGGCGACCTAGCTAATCACTTCGTAACCGGTACCGTCAATTCGCAAACCGTAGTTTATGTAGGATCTTGCAGAGTAATAACGAGGTTTTTATCCTACCATTTGAGGCTTGAGCGCAGCTGCTTCTGTGCCCGCTGGCTCGCTCGTCGGCATGCTCGTGCTGTGCAAGCGTAGGCATTATGTGGTCCACGTGGGTAAAAGCGACACTCAGCTCCTAGGAAATGTGAACAACCTTACACATACCGGGCGTGGGCGAGGCGTGAACGTTGAAGTCGAGGAGCGACTCGCAGCGAGGGCAACCACTGGACGCGTGCAACAAGGCACCCACTGCTTGCAGACGCTAGCGAGGCTGCAAGCTGCATTGTTTTAAGCTGTTAGGCCCTAGCGGTCTTGAGTGAACTTTAACGCCAACGACTTTGCCGGAAATAGTAAGAGCACCACCAAACCCCAAAAGGTATGTGTTTTATTATCCTGGTTTTATGTGAACATCTGAGGGCTTTAGCGGTGACAAAGGAGTATAACACGATCATTGGGTCATAGAGATTGTGTTTACTCAGGTTTGTACGGTGCATGCGATCCATATTCCCTGAACCTGCAAACTGTGACAGGAGGCAGCTCGTTGCATTTATCCTTGGACAAAGAGCTATACGCTTTTTGCTCTTCGCTTAAACAATGGACTTCAGCGCGGTAACAGTTGACGCTTCTTCATAAGCCGCCTCCAAGCTGTAGAAGCTTTAGCATAATGGCTAAGGACTCGCTGCTATCCTTCTTTATTACTTAGTTACACGAACATGGGCTGGCTGTTGCATCTTCACTTTTGAATCGACCATTCGCGTTAAGCTTTTACCTGACCAAGCACGTGGCGCACCCTAACCTAGGCTTCTTATGACAGACCAGGATGGCGGGGACCCGTTGGAGCTGCATTGCCCAATTTGCTATAGCGACGATAACGACTTGGGATACGCGACGCTTGTTTGTGGGCACGTCTTTCACACCAGGTGCCTAACAACTGCTCTGAAGAGCAAAAAGGAATGCCCCACATGCCGGGTGAGGTGTGCTAGGTATCGCGCGACTGCTTGGCCAGTTTTTGCATCCATCGGTGGGTTGCAGCGCCGAAACTGAGATTGTCTAGCCTAGCCACACATATTCCTTCCCATAACCTCCCAAATATCAAGTCGCTCTCAGAAACCGGGTTGTCTGCTCGCTCCTCGCCATGCACCCTGTTTTCCCAAGCAACCCGTGCCAGTATCCTACCTCCACGTTTGTCACCGCGCGCTATTCCAGATCTTTCCTCTCTCCTCCCCTCCTCCCATCGCCAGTGCCCAGCAAAGCCCGTGGATTCCGTCCGCCGTGACGCCCCCAACCCCACCCACACCCGCTGCCCGTGCAAGACCGGTCAGCCCATCAAACTCTACCACCTACAGAAACCCAAAAGTGACAGCGAAGGTGCTGCTGCCGCCTTCAGCGCCTCCGCTGCTGGCGGCGGCACTGCGGGCGCGGCAGCAGTGGCGCTGCTGGCTGCTGCCCAGGAGGCGGCTCAGCGGGCTCAGCAGCGGGAGGGGCGCATGCGGGAGGCGCTGCAGGAGGAGCGGCGGAGGGTGGCGGAGCTGGAGGCGGAGGTGGCGAGGCAGGCGGAGGAGGTGGTGCGGGCGGAGGTGGGTGGGTGTGGGGGCGGAGCGGGCAGTGGTGGTAGAGGGGAGAGTCGGGGGAGAGCGGGGCGGGCGGCGGATTGCTGCCCAGAACCGGCTTGGGCGGGTGTAGATGATGAGTACCGGCATGCAGGGAACTAGGAAGGACCCGACTGGTTTTGGAGGGAAAGGCTCTCCTTTTCACCTCTTCAGGAAGCTGCTGAGAGGCGGAAGGAGCGGCTGGCCGTGAAGGAGAGGGAGCACCAGGCGGCTACAGCCAGGTGGGGGGGGCCGTGGGGGGGGGGAGTATCAGCGGCGGGGGGATCATGGGAGGCGGTGGGGAGAGTAACGGGAAGGGGCTTCTGATGTTCCACATAATATCCATATCCCGACTCTGCAGGCGTAGTGCTGAGCTCCGTTCGTTGCAGTGTCGCCAGCACCCAGTCATGACCCCATCATCTCTCCGACCTTCTTCCCGTCTGCCCTGCTGTTCCCCGCCCCGCCCTCCCTGGCAGGCTGGTTGAGGAGAAGAGCCGGCTGGAGGCGCGGGAGCGGGAGCAGGGGGAGGAGCTCAGCAGGCTGAGACAGGCGTTGCATGGGCTGCGAATGGAGCAGGTGGGGGTTACCCTGGGTACTGCTGGGTTGTCCCACACAGGGCTGACAGTACACCCATCCCCTGCCACCGCTCCTTGCTCTTCCAACCCCTATCACATCCACCCCGCTGTCCGCTCCCTCCCCCCATGTCCACCCCCTCTGAACCACCCTTACACACCTACCCCTTACCTACCCCACCATCCCTACCCTTACAGGAGAAGACCCGCGCTCAGCTGTACGAGCGCGACGAGGCGGTGATGCGGCTGAAGCGGGAGGTGGCGCTGCTGCGGTCGCGGGCGGGCGGGGGAGCGGGGCTGCAGCCCAAGGAGATGGTGGAACTGCTGGGGGAGCGGAAGGTGAGGGGTGGCGGGTGAGGGACGGGCCAGGAGGAGGAGGAGGATGAGGAGGAGCATGGTGGCCGTGGTAGGGGAGATGGCGCTTCTCATGCGCGGGCAGCACTCTCCGCAATTGCATGCGCGGCCGCCGATGCCCACTGTCGTACGTGCATGGCACCGCGCATGGGTGGTTGGGGGAGCCGCGCAGTCTCCTGCTGCAAGCCGACTGGTCCCCTCCTCACATCGCGCTGCCCCGCTCACTCGGGACTCACGCCCGCCCTCTTTTCCCCCCTCTTCTTCTCTCCGCTCGCCCCTGCATGCCATTGTGATTTGTAGGAGGACTGGCAGATGGTCTACTCGCTCAAGGTGCGTGAGCGGATGGTTGGCGGATGTGGGGAGGCGTGCATGGGTTGTTGTGTTTCGGAAGTACACCCTGACACATAACGTACGGGCGTCGTGTCATGGATGCGTGCATGCTCTCCTGTTGGCTACCAAGACTCCTAGTGGCGGCCTGCGTACAACCTCTGAGGAGTAGCACGCTAACAATGGACGTAACATGTTTGGAGCATCCGTCCACCACGCATGCACCCATGCCGTCCCCGCGATTCCGTTTAGGCCCCCAATCATGCGCTCATGCGTGCCCCGCTCCCCCTTGCATGCCCCCATGCACCCGCAGGTGGAGGAGTTGCGGCGGGCACAAGACCTGGCAGCTGAGCTGCGGGCCGACATGGCCCGGGCGGCGGTGGAGGCGGAGGCGAAGCTGCAAGCGGAGAAGCTGGCAGGAGCCGAGCGGGTCAAGGTGGGTAGCATGCTTGCGACGATTGTTGCTGGGTTAATGTTCGTGTTGTGTATCGGTTGTCGCTTGTCGGTGTTGTCGAGGGCGAGGGCCTTGTGCGGGTGAACCACAGCCTTGCAGCTAGGATCAAACGCCGTTGTGAAGCACCGTGCTATCGCTGTCTCTCACGCATGCTCAGTCAGGCAGCCGCAGCAACGCACTCCCTTCCATTGTTTTGGCGCCGTCAAGTCCGGCCAGCCTGCTTTGATTTGCCTTGGACCCTAATGACGGCTAATGACGACCCATGGGTCCACAGGAGATGACCCAGCAACGGAACGAGTGCAAGCGGGAGGTCTTGGAGTTGGAGGTAGGGAGTGGCGGCCAGCGTTGGCTGCTAGACGGGCCCATGACGGCCAGGACAATTGGCAGCTGTTGTCTCCCATTACATCTGTCTTACTGCCGTTCTGCCCCTTTCCACCGTTCCCTGAAGCTCGCTACCCCGACCCTCCCTTTTGTGCCTCTATTGTACCCCGACCCTTCCTTTCTTCCTCATGTCCTTCCCGTCCTTCTCGTCCTCCGCAGTACAAGCTGCATGAAGCTCAAAGACGGCTACGTGAGCTGCAAGCCTCCTCCGCCGCCGCCTCCTCAACGCCGCCACCAGCCGCATCGCTTCACACACCCGTCCCTGCGCACCTAGCATCTGGGCCGCTGCGCCAACAGCAGCACCATCAGCAGGGGCAACAGCAGCAGCGGTTACCAACGGCGCCACAGCCTGCCAATAACCGCCAGCCGCTCGGCAGCTCGCACCTGCCCCGGCATATGCAGCCGCAGAAGCAACAACAACAGCCGCAGCCGCAAAAGGTGGGCTCGTATGCGGCAGCAGCGGGGGCCGAGGAGCAGGAGGAGGAGGAGGAAGAGGAGGATATGCTTGGAACCCTGGAAGCTCTTGCGGCAGAGTGCCAGGAGGGAGAGGGTGAAGACGAACTGGAAGAGGAGCGAGGTGGGGACATGCAGGGGCGAGGGACGATGGCAGTCGACGGTGACGGCGGCGGTGGCGGCCTTGACCTGCCGCCGGGTAAGCGCCGACGTCACGACGGCGACGGAGGTGAACCGGGGGGAGCTGACGGCGGCGACAGTCAGATGTACGGCAGCAACGCTGATGACGAGGATTGCGTCATGTACGACGATGGGGATCCGGTGCCGGTGCTGCCACGCGCCTTTACGGGTATTTTCAGCCGACCCGGAGGGGCGATGGCGGCGGCGCCGCCGACGGCGGCGGCGACAGGGGGTGCCGTACGGGTGGGGCCGAGTGGCGGCGGCGGCAACGCAGGGCCATCCTTTGCCGCGAAGGTAGGGAGCTCTTTGATTCAGACCTTGCAGCGTCTTTTGCGGAATGTATGGGATTCTCAGTTTAGGTGGGCCAGTTCCGGTATGCGCAACCCACACACTCTGGGTGGAAATGTAGGTAGCCTGTACCCACACATAGCACGGGTCACGACCACAAATGGTGGAAGCAACTCATACCTGTATGAATGTGCCCATACGCAGTACCCTCCCCTTCCCGACCCATGGGTCGCGCAGGCCGGCGTCGCAGGCGCAAGCGGCGCTTTCGGCCGCATGGGCGGAGGCCTCCTAGGCGAGGGCCCTGATGGGCGCGGTGGCACCACCCGCTTCCCTCTGACCAGCAGCTTCGGCCATAACATTGCACCCAAGGTAAACAGGATGGCGCTGCGAAGTCTTGGAATTTAGGACGTCTGAAGGGCGAAAGGGCGGGCTGAGTGGCAAAACGCAAACGTGCACATTGCCACCAGCGCACATACACCGGTACCGGGGAAGTTCATTCTAGCATCCGTTATGTCGTTACCCTCTGTTGTCTACGCGACGGTGTTAAAGTGGTGCTGTCCGAAGCGGTGTACGCAGTGGGAAACCCCATTGCACCTTTGCATGTGCCCCTTTGCCCATGACAGAGCCCATGGCAGCGGCACAGCACGACCTGTGTTTTGGTACTGCCGCCCTGCCTACCTGTGACACTGTTCCTTACATTTCGTGCTCTCTGCAGTCCACGTCAAGAGGAGCCCTTAGCGGTAAAGCAGCTTCCGGAGGTCGTGGCGGCGGTCGGGGGAGTACGGTGGCCGCTGCTGGGCGGATTGACGCCTTCTTGCGACCCGTGGGTCAGCCCAACCGGCGATGAAGCTGGAAGTGGGACAAAGGGGTTCAAAAGCAGATGCCAGGGTGCATGGGAAGGGTGCATGGAGGCATACAGCCGTACGCACACCACACGGAGATTAAGGGTATACCAGGGACCGTACGACCGTGTTGCGTGCTGGGATGTAAGTAATGCGACATGACGTTTGTGGTTGTGATGAACGATGGACGCATACAGTGCGCTATAGTCTTACTAGCGGTTTCCAAGGAAGTAGCCAATGAATCAGTTTTGGGGACATGGCTTGCAGCTTTTGACTAGTTTGCCAGCAGGAGTTTTTTTTCGGTTGTGTTGGTTTTCACCACAACTGGAGGCAGGTGTCAAGGACGCTATCTCGAAGCAATAGTGGCTCAGTAGGACTCGTCTTCAATTGGCTTCAACCCTACTGGGATCACAGCGTTGGTTAGCAAGGGTATGATTAGGGCAGTTGCTGGGACGTGCACCCAGCGGCATAGCGCGTGCATGCACGGTGCGTTCGTGCCTGGTGATACTGCCATTATTGCCAAATGCAGACTCTCACCACTCAAACATGGGTAAGGCCATTGCAACAGCGCTCCCAGTCATTCTTGCAGCAGGGGTCCTGGTGCTTGTCCCTCCAACATTGCTGGTTGCTGCCCACACGCCCTACCGTCTCCAAGCCAGCCCGCCAAGTCAGCCCGTGCGCTGGTCTTGGGAGTCACCGGGAAGTGCGGCTACTCGTGCCGTGACTTCAATGCAGCTATGCCTCACGCTGTCTTTTAAATATTCGTATTGCCAGCGACCTATGTCAGGTTAGGGGACGCGGCGGTCGCAAATGCTAGAACGAGCGGTTGATACTGTTTAGGTTCCGTCCCAGCATGTTCCAATGGAGACGGAGCTTTGTAGGCGACATTACCCTTATAGTGCGAGAAGCATCGTCCAACGGAATGTCAGGGTGGTGTGCATGGTAGCAGGATGGGATGTACTAGCGGGCAATGCCGCAATGACTTGGCGCCCTATGCAGCCATGGCCTGTTGAAGTAGTAGGCGCCAATGTTGCGTCTTCTTATTCTGCCGTAATGTCGTCGAGTACTTAACTGCAGCAGTCCTTCCAGGACACACGGACTTCACAAACTATGAAACCTATGGAATCTGGGCAGCTGCAGTAGTACCCCTTAATTGCCGGCCTTAGCTACATCATGCTTCTGAACGCTGTCGAGGTATCGGTGCTCCTGAAAACAACCCTTTCGGGTCCCAATGTCAGGTGAGGTAACCACCTGAAACGTAGAATAAAACGCATTCCACCGGAAAGAAGCAAACGCCTTGATGCTTTCAGGCAACTGCTGTGGAGTGTGGAGTACTAATTGCAGTACCTTGCCGGCACGCGTGCAGTAGGCTAAACGCCCATGGCGTCTATTGGACGTTGCAGTAGTGTCTAGTACAGGCCGAAAATCTCTTTGGGATGCTTGCTCAGGTGACCCTGGCGTGTTGGGGGCGACAGTAAGCGGTGTAGCCGTAGACAGCGGTGTTGCCCGTACAGGGACGGGCCAGGGACAAGGCCAGGAACGGGCCAGGGACAAGGCCAGGGAACACGCCTTGGACGGGCTAGCTGCTCCAATTTCGCGACCTTTGTGTCAGATGGACGAGCTGCGACGGACTTGATATTTACCTTGTCAGCAACGTAATCTCCGTTGTGCTCAAACCTAACGGCGCTATGCGTGAACAATATAGCACCTGCGCCTTCAAGAAGGGTTCCGCATTAGGATTGGGCGAAGTTGACGTGTGTTACTCTTCCGTACCCTTCTCGCGAGTTTTCTTCTTTAGTTAACAATTCTGAAGACCGCGTAGATTTCGCACCTCACACAACCGCCTCCCATATTAGTCTACTCCATTTACTACGCAATACCATAGCTAGCCTACGACCTGCATTGGCGCTTTTTACGGTGTTGCTTGTTTCTTCTGTCTTCCGAGTCAAGGCTATTCGCGAAGAAGCTAGCTCTTAATGTCAGCTGATGTCATTTGCGCAAGTCGCTCAGAGGTTCGCCTAGGAGGAAAGTCGCTGTAACCTGCGACGGACAAAGTGCCAAGCGGCGACGGCCCCGCGAAGGTGTGTAGGACTATATAAATAGTCTCTTACTGCAGCTTCTCCTTTGTTGTCTCTTCGTCTCCTGTGAAGTCTCATCGACTGCGACGTAACCACTTTAACCAGGCCAATTTCACAGGTTTCCTTTGCTCAGGCCCTTAGGCTTTGATTAGCCTGCTTGTTCACGTTAATTACATCAATTTTCGAACGCAGCTGCGAACGTTCCTCCTTCGCCCTTCTTCGCGATGGATTCCAGATATTCTAGGCATTGCATCCGTTGCCCCAATTATTCGCAACAAGTAATAGGCCATAGCCAGGACTGATGCTTGTGTCTCATTGCGCCTGCTTCCGCGGGGCCACCTGACGGCTTTCTGGAGGCCTGCAACAGACCCCTTTCATACTCGGCGAACGTTCTGGGCCCCTAGTTATCGTGACGTGCATGGTTCATAATAAAGCATTTTTGGGAAACGTCGCTTACACGTAGAGTACGTACTATTATACCTTTCCTCGCCCTTGGGCCAAGCGAAGCTAAGCCAAAGCCCGCTGGCCTGTTTGCGCAGGCAATGCAACAGTCCTCCTCGTTCACGCTGTTTTCACTGTCGCTAAAAGTCTATATTGTTCCATAATGCCCAGGATGCTTGTCTGTTCGCATATTTACCGACAGCTTTCACATGCCCTGCTCCCTCCACAGTTCCACCGCCAAACATGGCACTATGTTTGATGGACAAGCCGCACCCGGGACCGTGTGTGCGGCAAGCCACAACTCAGCAACAGTTGTACGGCGGGTTTGGCAACAACGCCTACAAGGGCTACCAGTACTTAAAGGCTTTTCGGGACAGCAACAGCGGCAGCGTTGATAACCAAAGCGGCAGCGGCGACGACGGCAGCGGCAGCAGCGGCGTCCGTGGCTATCTGAGCAACATCCGCAGCTACACAACCACCCCCTCATCCACCTGCCATTCCGCCACCACAGCTGCAAGACCTTGTGACACGCCTTCGGCCCTTTGTAGCTTTCACAACTCGCCGCAACCGCAACACATTGCTCATTGTTATCATCAGCATCCTCAGCAGCAGCAGCAGCAGCAGAAAGAGCAGCTACAATTTCCTGACAAGCCGCGGCAACTGTGCATTGGTCAGGAGGGGCTGCAGCAGCAGCTGCTGCTGCAGCTGCATCAACAGCAAGCGGCACTGCTGCTGCAACAACGCCCCGGAGAGCTCATGTGCCGTCCTCGAGCCGCGCAGTCGCGGGTAGCACCGCATCAGGACCTGCAAGCGCACATGCAGCAGATGCTCGAACAGCTGTACCAGCAGCAGCCCCAGCAGCAGCAGCAGCAGCTACAAAAGCAGTGGCAACTCCAACAAACGCACCCGCAGCTAATACAGCAAGCCCAACACGTCGGGAGCTCCCTCAACCCTTTCAACAGCGGTCAGGCTGGTACAGCGACTCAGCCGGCCCAGCAGCAGCAGCAGTACAGCCACGTCCATCTGCCTCATCAGTCGCAGCCACAGATACACCCACTTCCAGCTTCCTGGCTGCACACGCAAGAGGTTCAACGCCTGCTACAGCAACAGCCGCTGCTGCCGCCGCCGCCGCAGCAGCAGCAGCAGCAGCTCTCGCTCTGCTGGTTACTCGTTGAGCCCCACTTGCCCTCGCAGCCGCAGCTCCAGCAGCAGCAGCAGACTCAGCAGCTGCACCAACAGCAAGTGCAACAACCTCATGTCCTCCAGAAGCCCGCCATCCATCCTCTCTTCCCTAACACGCCTACTTGTGACGGGGCACGCAGCCTTCAGTTGCCGTCTTTTAATCTGAAACGCTTACGTGAGCCGCAGTCCCCGGAGCAAGTAGACGGCTTTGGCGACAGCAGCCGTCGCTGCCGGCCCTTCAGCTTCCGACCCACGGGTCATGGTGTCCCTGACACCAGTCTTGCTGATGTCTCGGCGGTTTCAGTTGCACAAGCGCACCCGGCGTACCTTTTGACGGTGCAGAGTGAAACCATGCAGCCGGAGTTTGGAACCAAGGCAGCTAATGGTGCTACCGATGCAACCACGTTTCCCGTTCGTGCCGTTCAGCCGTCGTCCCTCTGCCCCGTCGACACACTCCCAAACGCAGCCTTCGCAGCTCCCACCATTCCCCCGTCGTCACGGCACAAGCTACCGCTTCTTTCTTCTCCAACAGACCCTGTAGAAGTCCTAACGGAGGGCTTCATCCTACACGCAGCTCGGGCCTTACGTGTGAACCCTGACACATCAGCCACACTCGCCCTCCACATCTGGCGACGGATAAGCGGCATGGTACGCCTGCTGCTGTCCATTCGGCGGCCTACGGTGCACCTTACCTTCGCCGCCGGCTCTGGTGTCGGCACGGCAGCAGTGACGGCTTACAGCGACCCACGGGTCGTCACGGCAACTACGCACCGCATTTACGCAGCGGCATGCTTGTGGCTGGGTTCCAAGCTAGAGGGGCAGCGGCTGGAGGTCCCGGGCGCAGCTCTCATAGCGGCGCTGGCGCAGACAGCGCCTGGGGTGATCAGCGCAGTTGAGATTCGTGTGTTGGAGTGGGTGGACTGGCGGCCTTGCCTGGGCTACGTGCCGTGAGGGAGTTAGTGCTGAATGTCGGCAGTGCTAATCGTGGCTGGCGCTGTACGGGGCGATGTGCCAAGAAGGTGTCAGCAAGGAGTGTTGGCAGCGAGGATTGCGGGGTAGGTGTTCGTCAAGCAGAGGTTTAACGGATGCAGTTGGAAGAACGGCATGTCGTGCTGTAGCCGGAAGAAGCTGACCAGCAGCAACAGCGGGAGCAGCAAGGAGAGTGAAACATGGGCTGGGTGTTCTTACGTGCGGGTTGGAAAAGCGGTTGGTTGTCTGTAGGTGCACGCACGGTTTGCAATTACGCCGGGTGTTGCAGCAGTACGGGATCGTAGCTGCAGTTACATGCTCATGGGAGCTAGCCAGACCCAAACGGCGCATGCAAGTGTCTAGAAGTGTGCATAGCTGTAGTTCTCGAGGCACGTGTGGGCGCTGTCCCGCCAGGGCGGGGTCGTCATCTAGCGTTTGCTGGTTTTCAAAGATATTGCTGCTGCTGGTTGTGGATGCTGGTTGTGGTTGCCACGGGGGGCGGATGAATGCCCCCTTCGGCAAGGACGAAGAGGAGCCCGTGGTATGCCACCTACCCTCACGGAGGAAATGCACCCGGGTACGCAGTGACGGGCATGCGTTTCCTGCAGGTAGGGGCGTGTCAAGGGGGAGGGGCGGAGCGGGGGCAGTAGGTGGTGTCGCCTACTGCGCGCATTACCCCGCCCCCAAACTAGTCTGCGACGTTCCTTTCGTGTATGCAGCGCCTGAGGTAGGTAGGTAGGTAGGTAGGTAGCATAGCGCGGTAGGTATACGTAGCCAGTCGTATAGTGGTCTCATCGTGCAGTTCAAAACCAGGCGCACATTTGCGAGTGCAATGCAGGTGAGGGCGGTGAGCGCCTCGTATGGCAGGAATTTTTGTGGTGCTGTCCCAGGGCTAGCGCATGGCCTCACGCTTAAGCCATCGTGCCTTTAGGACCAGCAGTAAAGGGAGGAACAGCAGTAGCTGCTGGATGGTGGTGGCGAGGAAGTGGGTGACAGTGATTCTTCGCGGCCCTTTTGATATCCCTCCAAGCAAAGTGCCGAATGCACGGCAGAGGGCCCCTAACTAGCAAAGACCAACGATGGGCACCTAACTCGCTGACACCTGACTTGCTGACATTTGCAGGACGGCGACTGCGTGTTAGTGCGACTGTGGTGGCGCGGCTGTGTGGGTTTGCCTGTTTTGTGTTAAATTTCTGTTGCCTGCTTTGCAGCATGCGTTCGACACTGGCTAGCGATATGGTCGTGAACTCATGATGATGCAGTGGAGGTGTGTACTGGGGGCTATTGCTTGGTTGGGCTGTGACTGCTAAGGCTGTGGCCCAACGGGTTGTTTGGTTGCTGGAGCGTGGTTTTTCTGCTCGTTCGTACGCTATCGGACCTGCGTACGAACGGACTTTTGTTGGCGGCTGGGTGTGTTGGTGTACAGAGGTGCAGCGTGCATGTCGCGTGTTGGCTTCTGAAGTCTTTGGTGTGGTCTTGGTTGCCGTGAACATGGATGCCGTTAGTCGCTTTCGCAGGTGCATTGCAGCCCGTCAATCTTCAAGTGGGCGCTAGACGTTAGTAGTCGCGACAATGAGACAGCAGTGGTAGATAAGCATGGTACTAGCTGGTGAATCCTTACATGCACTCATTACAGTTTTACGCTTTCCCGCTGTGATGAAGGATACGCCTGGAATCTTACCTTCCTCCACTTATGTTAGTTTATGATATATTTACTGCTTGACTGACAATCAATGAATGGTGCCGGAAGTGTCTTGTGACCATCAGCAAACCGATCACAGATCGGTGATCACAGATCGGTGTGTCGATCTGTGTTAAACCGATACCGGCCGAGCATTGCTTGTGTGCACGTACGTGGTACGCGTGGTGGTATAAGGGGGGTATGTATGGCTGCTGTATGTGGATGGTTCCCCGCTTGGGTGCGTGGGCGGTGCAGAAGCCACGCACTGCACAAGCAGGGAGCATATTTCTTCAACACATGACGCCCTGACCTTCCTTAGTTGTTGCCCTGAGACAGCTCATTTGATGGCACGCTAAGATAAATATATACAAGAAAGCTGCAATGGTGTTGTGTTAGGCAGGGTTGTTGGCTTCTTTGCAAGGGTTCGTTGTGAGGTAGATACACCACGAACTTTCCGCTCTGTTCTGCTAGCAGTGCTATTATTGCGGATGTTTGTTTAGGTAGGTTGTACGGAACACGCGAATTGTGTGCAGGAGAAGAAGAAGAAGCTGGTGCAGTTGAAGCAAGTATTTGAAAACAGCAATGTCTCCATGGAACTTGTTGTGATAGATGGGCTCTCAGTCCGATGGCTGTTGTGCCGAGGGCAATGCCATTTTTGCGCGCGCTTCCAGGTATTGGTTACCAACAATATAGAGCTAATAACTGCGTAGTCTAGCCCTTAGCTGGGACAGTCGTGTTGAATTCGTGGTTGTGAAGTTTAGAAGTCCGCCAGTTGCCTTCATGCTCATGGGTGATGTTTTCCTGGCAACGGAACCTAGTAAGCATGCTCAATGTAATTTCGGAAGTGGAGATCCGGTACCGGTATCCAAGCATCTGGATCTTGGTTATCCCGGGCTCTGAGGTGCACGCATGGCAGCTTTGTAGCAAGACTAGGACCAATCCGAGATGACGCAAGGCAGCTGAGAGAACGCAAGGCAGCTGAACTAGGGGCAAGCCTGGACCCGTGGGTCACTTAGTACACCGATAAGTGCCAACCAGCACGCCCAGTGGCATGTGCAGATATTAACATGGCAGTTCCCGGCATGCTATGAAATGAGATTGCTCCTCTTCTTATGTTCGCCAAATGTTAAAACGACTTTAGTTGTGCTAGAGAATCCAGGCAAGCCCGGGGTGCGCCTGAGGCTGTACATGGCATACGACACACAGCGATAATTTGATTGTTATGATTGCCTTGCCCGGTTGCGTTCCTGTCTGTTGGTCGACCCCAAATCCGAGCAATGCCTCTTACAGGACACTTATACTACTGCTATTTGTCCCGTGACAACCTACTGGTATGGGTCATCGGTGGTGCTGGCCAAACGTTTCCAAGACCCAGTGAGATAGATGGCCCGGACACAACGGGAATGTTACCTATCTTTTAGGGTGGGTGTTATATTGCTCGACATCACCGAACAGGAACAGGCAATTTATATGTTGCCCGCGTCGGTAATACGCTCCTATAGAAGCTCTCCTTGCTCCTCGTCGGCATTTACGGTCGCAGGGGCTTGGATGCCGCCCACCATACTAGGCAAAGGTTTGTATGCGAAGGCCCTTGTATTGTATTGAAAACAAAGAATAAATTGTTGTCGGCATAAACAGTGAAGGCTACAAGTTCTCCCACAGGCTCTTATAAAGTAGCTAGGTGCTTGGAAAGCAAGGCCATAGAGATTAGAGATAGCCTTTAGTTGCTCGAACAGTTATTCATGCACATGAGCTAAAGTTTCCACTGTCAGGAGGGGTGTAGAAATAACGTAACCTTGCCGTACGGTACCTTTAATGGTAAGCCTCACTGACATTTCCCAGTCGAGGACTTCTGCATATCCGCACTCAGTAGGAGACGCCTTCGACCCATTTGTCCTTTTCTAATAGGGAGCATCTTGTCACCTTTCCAGCATTTTCTGTTGCAAAAGCTGGCAACAGGATGTGACAGTAACACTACGTCTTATTGCAATCCAGCATGGTTTATGGACCAAACGGCTTTAATGAGGTTAATGAGCTTAAGGACAAGTTGTGGGAGACGCGTAATAGGGAGTACATACAGCATCTAATGCTGCAAAAGAAACAGATGCAGGCGCAAACTCAGCAAGCTGCGGAGCAGGAGCAGGTAATCTAGGCCAAAGGCCATACATGTCGTCGCCATGCGGTGGGAACTCGTGCAGAGTTCACTAGCAATCGGGAGTGCTATCGGATTTATAAACAACGTACTATACATAAGACGTTTACGGTATTGTTAGGTTTGTAACCAGTGCTTTTGGCTTCATGGGGCATGAATGCAGAGGCTCAAGGTCAAGCTGGCACGTAGAGTTCTTGGCCCCAGCTTTGACAAACTGTACCCACGACGTGCATCCCGCGTCAGCCTGAGTGTCGACATAGGCGCTGCCAATAATACATCTGATGGCGAGTCCGGCGAAGGGATGCGCCCTCCGAACGGCTACCAGCCATCTGGCTCAGACTGGGCGCCTACTCCTTCAGCACACGCACCCTCTGCTGCACCAACGCAGCGTTGCGACAGCCCCTCACAAGTCCCGAAGCTTCCTCCTTTACCCGATGCGACTGTAGAACTTACACCTGCAACATCCGCCAGCCACCATCACACTTCTGACGGCGCTGTTGGAGCCATCGCTGACGTCAGCAGTACAACACCAGATGCCAACCCTGCCGCCGGTGTCGCCTCTTCAATGCAGGCACCCAGCGGTGCCGGCGGCGGAGCCGCCGGTGGTCAGATCCAACAACGTACGTCACATGTACGACATATGGGTGTCGCCGGCGCCAGCGGTGGTGGCGGCGACAGCATGCAACGACGGCCGCACCATTTGGGCCCCCGGAGGTCGCTTTCCATGAGCACCACAGCGCCCTCGAGCGGGGCCCTTGGCGGCATGCTGCCGAGTCCTGCCGACGGAGACGGCGGTGGCGCTGGCGGAGGTGGCGGAGGCGGTAGCGTGTACGGCCGTACGTCACCACATAGATTGCTGCATCAGCAGCAGCGGCAGCCGCACCCTGAAGGCCTGGGCCGGCGACGTCGCATGACGTACTCTAACGCCCGCATGCAACCCCTCCATTCAACCCATAGCAACGGCAACGGCAACAGCGGCGGGAACGCCTTAGGTGCACTCAGCGGTGGCCGTCCGCGCTACCATTCCTTAGCAAATCCATCCCCGTCCTCCTCCTCCGCAGCAACAGCAGCAGCGGCGGCGGCGGCAACAGGGCAGGCATCCTCATCCTCACCCTCAGCAGCGTCTGGAGCCGCCAACGCCACCACCGGCTCCGCAGGAGCCCCACCGGCACGTCCCTCCGCCACCCTTGCAAAGATGTACGGGGCCGGCGGCCTGCCCGCGACGCCCGGGGGCTACGCGCAGTGGCGGGCGCGCATGCGGGTGCCGGAGGGCGTGCGTGTGTTTTGCATCAGCGGCTCCGGAGCGCATTCACAGGGCATCCGCGCGGGGCTGCTGGCACGCGGGTGGTTTGAGAATCCCGACCACAACTCGCAGTTCTTTGACTTCAAGTGGTCAGGTGAGCTGACGTTGTCATTGTTGTTGTTGTTGTTGTGTTCTGCAAAGCGGGTTATGAGATGCAAACAGAGCATGCAAGGCCGGTTCTATGACACGTTAGCTACAGGAGGAGTGGGAGTTAGAAACAAAAGCCAAAAGCTAGCGCACAGTGGAGGCCTTTGGCCACAGCGTATACCGTACAAGACTGCCTTCCTAACATCGCACCCGCCTCCCTCCCAACTCCCCCATTCTCCGCTGCCCACGACTCTAAACCCTTCCTGTCTGCCCAAACTCCTTTCTCACACCCGCCCTCCATCTCCTCCCTACCACCTGCCCGCCACCCGCCACCCACCACCTCCCTTCCCTCGTCCTCCCCGCTCATGCCCCGCACCCCAGCCAACCCCCTTGACATCTCGCACGAGTCTCTAAAGCCGGGACAGATCGTGAACCACTTCCGGCACTCCACCTGTCTCACCACCAAGCATGGGCTGTGTCACACGGTTCGTGACATGGTGTGGTACGAGGCGGCGGATGCGGCGGCCTTTTACCCCAGGTGCGGCAGTGGGGGCCCGCGAGGCGTTTGCCTGTAGGACGGCGTATCGGCGTTCCTCGTTAGGCGTTTCGGGTTAGGGTTGAGATGGGGTCACGTCACAGTGCTGGGCAGCGTATATGCTTGTAAGCGGGCTTCGTTGTCGGTTGCGAAGACACGTAAAAAAACAAGCTCCGAAATACACTAACAGCATGGCGATAACAACATGGGGCGACATTGTACGGTTGCGTGGCCCACCCAACCGACAGGGCGTACGACATTTCCGAGGAGACCTCTCGTCATGAGTTCCTAAAAGACGTCCGCTGGACCGCCGCTGAGTCGCTGATCAAGCGCGCGCTGCTGGACGGGGCTGTGTGCGCAGCCCATGTGCCGTACAGCCCTACCGCTGGGACAAGGAAGGGCGGCGCTAACGGCAGCAACAGCAACAGCGGCGGCAGCAGCAGCAACCACCACCATCACCACCACAGTAACAACGCGGCACAGCAGGCCAAGGTAGCGGTAGCGGGTGGCAACACCGCCCCCAGTGATGCTAGCTCCATGCCACCTGCGGCAACAGCAGCAGCAGCAGCAGCTGCAGGGAGGGGGAGCGAGGAGGCGCCGGCAGCTGAGGAGAACCGGCTGCAGCAGCGGCCTGACAGCACGCCTCTGGTAGACTTACCGTCGCTGCGGCTGGCTTGCAGGTAAGCTTCGCAATGTTCCACGGATGGGCGGGATGACGTGGATGCGGCCAGATACGCCAGATGGCTTACCTTGGCAAACAAACCCGGACTGCAGCTCTAGTTGCTCCGGGGCTGCTATGTTTCATGCACAGCATAGCTAACCGCTGTACGAAACGTCGGGGGGCCTTTTCGGCAAGGATTTAAGAAGCATTGCAACGTTGGCAACCAGGTGTCGTGCTGAACGAGGGCTGTACCGACATGCAGGGTGGTCGCGGCGCGCCTTCGTCATCAACGGCATTTGCGAGTTGTACGACATGGCATCGCCGGCGGCGGTGGCGGCGACGAGCCACCAGCGGAACTCGACCTGACGGCGGCGCAATGGCAACAACTAGTACGGCATCGCGCGCTATTCTGCAGCGCGCCAGTGCCGCCGCCGCCGGAGTTTGATCCCAGCTGGATCTCAAATCGTACATTCATAACGAGCGCCAAATTGCCCATTGTGCCGTCACGGCACGGCAGAGCTGGCGCCGGCGGCGGTGGCAGAAATGATGGCTGTGGCGGCGGACGGAAAGGTCGGTCGTCATCGTCGCGATCCGGTCGTCGTGGCGGCGCACAGCGTCGCCGTCGAGGTGGCGGCGGCGGCGGTGGCGGCGGCGGAGAGACTGACGGTGGCGCGACTACAGACGGCGAGACGACGACGGCGGCGGCGGGGGATAGCAGCAGTGACAGCGACGGCAGTGATGACGGAGGTCGTGACGGCGCCGCCGTTGAGGGAGGGAGGTTGAGAGCTGGCGACGCCGATGATAGCGCCGGTCGCCCGGCGTCGGAGACGGCCGCTGCCGCCGCCGCCGCCGCCCCTACAGTTGCAAACGGCGCTAAAGGCAGCGCTGCCGTCGCTGTGGCCGACGCAGCGGATTTGCTCCGAGAGGTGTGCGGCCGTACGAAGCGGCGGCGGCATTCGGCGCCGGCGGGCGTCGTTCCCTTACCGACGGCGGGTGACAGTACGGCAGGGGCAGCGGAGGCGGCGGCGGAGGAGGGGGAGGATGGGAGTGTAGGCGCCGTCGGCTGCTTTCCTCCGGACCTGCCGCCCGTATGCTACGACGATGCAGCGTTGCAGGTACGACAGAAACCTGCCAGGGAGGAGATGACCTTGTTGCGGAGGTTCAACCATGCACAAGGTTCCCTTCGGCGATACCTTGACTGCAAAAGATCTTTCAAACGCTCCCATTGAACTACAAACAATACTCCTATGAAACACAATTTCCTGACCTCCGTTCCTGACCTCTTTTGTGTTCCTGTCGTACAACAACGTACAACCACAGGCCCTGAACGAATCCAACTGGCGTCCGGCTGCGGAGGCCATCCTGTCAGCGCTAGAAAGCAGTGCCGTACAAACCCACATCTCCGGAACCAACAACATCTGGATCGTCAAGCCGGCGGGCAAGAGCAGGGGACGCGGCATCCGGCTGTTCAACGACCCGGATGCCTTGCTGTCGTACACACGGGGTGAAGAGGCGCAGGGGCTGGAGTCGCGGTGGATAGCTCAGAAGTACGTGGAGCGGCCCCTGATCATTTCGGGACGCAAGTTCGACATCCGGCAGTGGGTGCTGGTAACGGATTGGAACCCGCTGCAGGTCAGAGGGGGAGCGGGGCAACTGAGAGGAGGGAGAAGCGAAACTTACTTGGGCAATCCACTTGACTGTTCGGACAAAATGCACTGCTGTATCATGGTTGCGTAGCATTTGTGGTATTGTGGCATGACGTGGCAACCGCCTTCCCGGGGTACCCACGTACCGCAGAACAGCGGTACAGCGACTCGACTTGATGCGCTGAAGTGCTCCCCTGCCCCGTTAACCGACTCTTCATCCCTTACGCTGACTGCACCTCCACAAAGCAGCACCGCGACTAAGCTCAACCCCCCCACCATGCCTCTCCGCCCGCCGGCGTCCCCTGCCACTCTCCTGCCACTCTCAGCCTACCTCCGTAGCCCTGTATAGTTAGCCCCCTCAGCCACACCCTTGGCCCTACCACTCACCACCCTTCTCTTTCCTTCTCCACACGCCACCCTTCACCTCTCCGTCCTGGCTCCCTCATTATTCATCCCCCCTATTCCCGTTTTCCCCTCCGTTTTTTCCTCCCCTGCCTGCCCCCTACCCCCCACCCTACCAGGCCTGGTTCTACTCCACCTGCTATCTGCGCTTCGCCGCTGACGACTACGACCCCAGCAACCTGGACCTCTTCCAGCACCTCACCAACAACTCCGTGTCTAAGTACTATGAGGGCCCTAAGAAGGAGGGTGAGAGGGAGCGACAGAGCGCTGGGAGGTGAAGGAGGAGAAGCAGGGCGACAACGTATACAAACTGAACTCCACCACGCTCTAACCGGGGGCCCTCCCTTCCTCGTCACATCCTTCAACTCAACTAACCATTGGGTGCCAGCAACCCTCCGGCCATGCCTTGCTGCCCCTGTCACTGGATCCTGCGTGGCTGCCCCCTCCTGACTGCCTCCTATCTGGCACGTCTAGCCGCTACCCCCCTACTCCCCTCTTCCCACTCCCCTTAACCACCTAACGCACACCTTGACAATCCGCTCTCCAAAAAGGGCTACTCCGTTCACAACGCTCTGACCCAACCCTCAGCCCTGCACCTCTCAATCCCGCACCCCTCACCCCTTCCACGCCCCCCCAGATGAGATCACCGCCTGCGGCAACATGTGGACCATCCCCCGCTTCCAGCAGTGGCTGGCGGAGGAGTACGGCAGGGAGGACCTGTGGCAGGCGTTGCTGCAGCCCGCCATGAAACACATCGTCATCTGCACACTCAAGTGCGCGCAGGTGGGAAGCGAGCGGATGCGTTGGGGTGAGGGTGTGAGGGCTGCAAGGGTGAGGGCCTACTTGCCCCTCCCTCTCTATCTTCCAAACCCAAACCCCTTCTGCGTCTTCCATACTCAAACCTACACTCCTCAGGTTCCTTCACCGAACACCCCACGCCAACAAAACACCCCACGCCAACAAAACACCCCACGCCAACAAAACACCCCACGCCAACAAAACACCCCACGCCAACAAAACACCCCACGCCAACAAAACACCGCACGCCAACAAAACACCCCACGCCAACAAAACACCCCACGCCAACAAAACACCCCACGCCAACAAAACACCCCACGCCAACAAAACACCCCACGCCAACAAAACACCCCACGCCAACAAAACACCCCACGCCAACAAAACACCCCACGCCAACAAAACACCCCACGCCAACAAAACACCCCACGCCAACAAAACACCCCACGCCAACAAAACACCCCACGCCAACAAAACACCCCACGCCAACAAAACACCCCACGCCAACAAAACACCCCACGCCAACAAAACACCCCACGCCAACAAAACACCCCACGCCAACAAAACACCCCACGCCAACAAAACACCCCACGCCAACAAAACACCCCACTGTGAATGTCCCCACCACGCACAAACCCCTCAAAACCCAACCTTACCGCCCACCCACCTCCCATGGTGGTCTACTTTGACCCCCTCCCCTGCCTACCGCTCCTATCCCCATTGCCTTGCCCCAACCTGTGATTTCACATGGTTCGGTATGGTCTATGACCCCCCCCCCCATGCAGGACCTCATCACCCCACGCAAGGGCTCCTGCCAGCTGTACGGCTACGACTTCCTGATTGACGACCAGCTGCGTGTGTGGCTGCTGGAGGTGAACTCCTCACCCACTCTGGAGGCGTCCACCGCCATAACGGCGGAGCTGTGCAGGGACGTGCAGGTGAGGGCGGGCCGGGGGCAGAGGGCGGCTGCGGCGGCGGGAGTAGGGTTTTGGTACCTAAGAAGCCTTGACGCGCACCACTGTCCAATTGTGTTTGCGTTTCAATGGCGGCTGGTGTTTCAGCCCGAGACAATGGCGCGGCTGTGTACCGGTAGTCGCAACGGCCTGTAGAAGGGCTTTGCAAACGGAAAACCCGGGGGCACGTATGAGGGCTGCGTTGCCGATTGTCCCTTGTGTTGCTGCCTGGTGTGTGTGTCTCAACGACCGAGCTGTCGTGTGGCGCCGTAAACATCCGACCCCCCCACCGCGGATTCCCTCGCACCGTTCCCTGTTCCCCGCTCACCACCCTTTCCACCCCTCTCGTTCCCTTCCCCTCCCCCAGGAGGACATCCTCAAAGTGGTGGTCGATCTGCCAGAACGCCAGGCGGCTGCAGCAGCAGCAGCGGCAGAGGGTGCTGGCGGAGATAGCAGAATGGGCAGCAGCGGGGTGAGGCACAGCAGCGGCAGCGGCAGTGGCTGCGCTGGGAGCAGCAGCAGTGGCAGCAGCAGCAGCGGTAGCAGCATGTACGACACGGGCAAATGGGAGTGTATTGTGGAGGGCGGCGAGGAGCTCCGGAGGCCGGACTACACGGGGTTGAACCTGGAGCTAAAGGTGTGAGAGCGGGATGGGGAGGGGTAGACACAGTTGCTGTACGTGAGTGTATGTGTTAGAAGTGCATGCATGGGTTTTACGGGATGCGAAGCATACCTGTTATGTAACGAGCTGTAGTAAGGTGAACGTCTTGCCTTTGGCGAAATACGAAAGTCACCAGCATTTCGGCGACCACCACGATGCAGGGCACGGCGATTCCCTTCCCCACCAATCGCACTAGCTTCGTTGGACGCCTGCACGCGGCTACGCGCCAACAGCAACAACAGCAACAACCACAACCGCAGCAGCAACAGCCGGCGGCGCAACAGCAACAGCAACAGCCATCCCCGTACCTAGAGGGTCGCAGCAGCGGCGGCAACACAAGCGGCAGCGATGGCACTGCCGCCGCCGCCGCCGCCGCCGCCGCCGCTGCTGCTGCTACTGATACATTCTCCCACGGCCGCAGACCGGCACAGTCGGCCGCCGCCGCCGCCGTCACCATTCCGTACGGTACGACACCGCGTGGAATTGCGTTGATGGCGTTATCCCCGGTTACATCGTTACCAGTGGGCGGTTTGTACCCCGAACCTTCGCCGTACAACCGTAGCAGCGGCGGCAGCCGCAGCAGTGGTGGCGGCGGCGCCGCCGCCAGCGCCGCCGCTACCTCTATCGGCGTTGTTGGAAGCCTGCTTAGTGAAGACGATTACTTTGGGGAAGTTGGCGCCGCCTTTCCCCCCGCCATCATCGTCGCCGCCAGCGGACCTTCCCTCACGGCGCCGCCGCCGCCACGGCCGTACACAGGCGGCGGCAGCCCTGGCGGCGGAGGCATGCTGACGCCGCCCTCGTCGCGCGGCAGGTCGCTATCGTCCCGTCAGCGAACGCCTCGGTTGAGTAGCTACACCCCGCTGTCAGCTGCATGGGAGGCGACAGCGATGTCTTGGCCGGAGCTTATCGCGGGCGGCGGGGATACTGGCGGCGGCGGCGCCGCCAGCGGCAGCGGCACCGGCGGCGGCGGGGGCACCAGCAGAAGTAGTGCCGGCAGTATCGGCGTCGGGCCATTGGGCATCCCATCTGTACGAATAATGGCGCCGAGAGGGGACCTAGCGATGGCTGCATTGTCGGGCGGGACGGCGGCCGCCGCTGCCGTGGCGGCGGCGGCAGCAGCAGCAGCAGCTGGGAACTGCTCTCCGGCGCCGCCGCCGTTTGAGTTCATGACCCCGCTAGCGAGTCGAGCGTCGCTGTTCTCCCGACCTGGCCAGCCCTCAAGCGCCATGGGGGTTAGGGCGCGGTAGGGTGTTGGAAAGGCTACTCTGAACGACCCCTGGGTCACTCGGAGCTACTTTGAGCTACTTGGTTCCTACTTCGAGTCCTTCCGGTCCGTGTCTCTTCGTACAACTGACCGCAGGGGCCGTCATAATCAACATGAGAGGAATACCGGACGATACCGGGAGTAAGAAACAAGTATTGGACGAGCATCGCAGGCTGCGCGTCCTGTTGGCATCCAGGGACACATGTAGTTGCCTGTGTACGGGTATGTTGCCTCCGTTATCAAGGCAGGGTTGTGAGCTGCTCGGCGGTAGCGTCCTCGAACCGGTATACTAACATGTTTTTACGCTGGCATGGCCTGTTTAGGATGGTTGGTTGGTTGTAAGGGCGGTGGCAGCAAGGCTGCTGTTATTATTCCACGCATGGTAAATGGGCATTTGCAGGATGTGGAGGACACTACTAGGAGTCCAGAAGGTTGGACGGCTTGCATGTATGCTAGCTAGGGAAGGCCAGCAGTTGAGGTTGGATGTTAAGAGGTGCGTGCGGCAAGCACGCAGGTGTCCGTTAATTGTGTCGACAGTTGAAGCAATGGTGTGAAGTTGCGTGACGAGAAGAGCTGTGATAACCCTTAACGACAGTCACATTAGTTTTGCGACTCTTACCTCATCATGCATATGCATTGGGATAAATGCTTATCATACATTTCTCATGTACTTAAGAGTGCTTGGTGTAGGCGTGCGTGCTTCGGCTTGCCTTCAGGCTTCGGCTCAGTTGGGCATCATCCCAAGCATACCATGTAATATGATAGCCCAGAAGCCACGGCAGGTACAAGCAGTTTGACGAAGAAGGAATGCACACCTTGCAGCTTTCGTATGCAAAGCGCACGGATCTCGGACGAGGAAAGTCGTCCTTGGGACAATTCTTAACGCTTAAGCAGGATTGTGCATGATCTACCGGTGATCTCGCTTAATTGGAGTAGGACGAAGCCTCTTAAGCATACATACAGGGCTGACCCATACCGTTCCAACTTCCAACTCTTTACGCATTGACATCTGGTAGAGATCTTGCTTGCATTTTACAGTAGTTTGGCAGTTGCCAAGGATGAACCGCAATGTTTGTGGCTAGTTGCGGCCCACCCTGGACACAGCATCACTTCGGACAAGCAAAGCAAGCAACCCCTTGCCTTTGTTCGTATGCTAGAAGCACTAAAGCAAGCAAGCAGTTCCTCGCATTTTCCATGTGATACCCAAATCAGGACGACGTCAGCAGCCGCAAAAACTGCTTTTCCGCAAGCGCCCTTGATATAAAAGACACAAACTGGCCCAGCGGCCGACGGCATTAACGACAAAGAAACGGCCCACTGAAACCATTGATGATAATGAGCAGCGGAAGCGACAACACAGACAGGGTAGCTGCGCCCTCATCGTCCTCGGGACAGCAGCACGAGCAGCAGAACCCTTCACATGCTCTCCACCCTCAGCAGCAGCACCACCCCCACCCCCACCAGCAGCAAGCGGAGCTAAAGCGAGTGCTGGGTGTGTTTGACCTGTTCATGGCGGGGGTGGCGGCAATCATCGGGGCGGGGGTGTTCGTACTCACAGGCACAGCAGCTCGTGACATTGCAGGGTGAGAAGGGAGGGGCAAGGAGGTTCTGATGCTCTGAGAATGGGGTTTGTTGGTTTGGCTTTGGGTGGCTGCTGGTAGTGCTTGCATAGCTCATGGTGACCCATGGGTCATGGACTCGTGATGCGCAATATTGCATCCCGCGGCTTAGTAAGGCAGCACAACTTCTAAGATCGGCCCGGTATGTTGAAACAGTGTCGCCTGATCTCAGAATAGGAGGACATGGCCACGACCTCTGGTTCAGGACGACCCGTGGGTCACCCGAACCCACACAGGCCCGTTGGTGCGGGTCTAACCTCCCTCCCTCATCCCCCTTCACTCCCTCACCCTCCTTCCCTCGATTCCCTCTAACACAGCCCGGCTGTTGTCATTTCCTTCGCCATAGCCGGCTGCGCTGCAATGGTGTCGGCGCTGTGCTACGCGGAGTTCGCATCCGAGGTAGTGGCCACTGGCGGGGCAGCGCTGTATGCCACTGCCACCTTTGGCCCGCTGGCGGGATGGTGGGTAGCCGGGTGACGTACGGCAACCACAAAGCGCGGTTTTAGCTTCCTTTCACTGAGTTACATTCCTGTGGGAGATAAGATCCCGCTCTCCCCTCACACCTGCTCCTATTCCCTTAGCTTTCCCCGTTGCCCTGTGGTTTCCTATGGTATGGTCCTATGGTCTATAACCCCCGCTCCCCCGCTCCCCCGCTCCCCGCTCCCCCCTCCCCGCTCCCCCCTGCAGGCTGGTGGCTGTCAACCTGATGTTGGAGTACGCCCTGAGCAGTGCAGCGGTGGGGCGGGGCTTCACCGCATACCTCACCGCACTGGCAGGTAGGGGGCGGGGGAGGGGGGGAGTTGGCGGGTGGGGGGGGGGGAGGAAAGTACTACCGGTAATTAAGAATCTAGGCCTGGATAGAGGAGTACGGCACTGGTACGGTATGGTACGGGGTACGGTACGGCAGGAGGGTGCGGCACAGGGTGCATGAAGGGCTGGCTCCTCTTGTGTGTTCGGTTTCCTCATACACGCGACGCTTCAAGCTGTTACCCTCAGCATTCAGAAGACGTTCAATCACGTAGATCACACCTCAACCCCTCACCCCCATCTCAACCCCGTCCACATCACAGGTCAGCCCGAGGGGGCCTTCCTGCTGCCCCCCGGGCACCACATTACCAGCAGCGGTGGTGGTGGTGGTGGTGGTGGTGGCGGCCCTCAGATCGACCTGCCGGCCGCTGCCATGCTGCTAGCCGTGGCTGCGGTGGTGGGTTGGGGCTCGCGCCAGGCCACCAGGCTCAACAACGCGGTGACGGTGGTGGTGCTGCTGACGATAGCGCTGGTGCTGGTGGCGGGTGAGGGGGCGGGGGGTTGGGGGTGAGTGGAGGGGTAATGGCGGGGGAAACGTGTGTGTATGGGCGTGTGATGCGCATACATACGGCTTCCACTATTACCGTACCCATCCTCCGCTCCCTCTCCCCTTCCCTGCCTCCCCTCCTCCCTCCCCATTCTCCCTCGCTCCCCACATTGGGTATTCTTCCTTCCCCTCCTCCCCACTCTCCCTCCCCCAGGCTTCATCCTGGTCCACCCCGCCAACTACCACCCCTTCGCCCCCACCGGCCCGCGCGGGGTGCTGCGGGGGGCCTCTGTGGTGTTCTTCGCCTTCATCGGCTTCGACATGGTGGCGGTGGCGGCGGAGGAGGCGAGGAGACCCGGCAGGTAGGGGGAAAAAGGAATGGGTGGGGGGGCGTAAGGGAACAGGGGGGGTGGGGGGCAGGCAGCGATTGCATGCCTTCGCAGACTCCCATGTAATACTCGCATTCGGCAGTAACCCGGCAGATGTCCACCTGTCCCATGTTCCTTCTTCCCACGCCTGGGCATGGGCGCGCCAACCCTACCCACCCTTTCTCATCTCTCAACCCATCCTGAATAAGATTCAATTTCAACTACTGTACCGGTATCTTTTACCTGCGGCCTGCACCTCTTCCTGCACCTCCTCCTCCTGCTCCTCCTGCACCTCCTGCTCCTCCTCCCCCCCTCTTGCTGCTGGCCTGCTGCTGCAGGGACGTCCCCATCGGCATCCTCTCCTCCCTCTTCGCCTCCACCGTCATGTACGTGCTCATGGCTGCAGCGGTCACCGGCATGCAGCCGGCGGCGCAGCTGGACGCCGCGGCGCCCTTTGCGCGCGCATTCCAGGTGGGGGCTGATGTGGTGTGGTGTGGGTGGTGCACCGGTGTGTGCAGGTGAGGTGTGTTTGTGAGGTATGTGAGGTGCGTATGCCGTACCGTAGGTGGCGAACGTACACCTTATGCCGTTAAGTTGGTAATTTTTCGTTGCTTGCCCCTCTCGCCTTTCGCCTTCGCGCTCTTAACTGCCACCACCACCATGCACCACCACCCCTCAGGCCGCCGGGCAGGGTTGGGCCCAGTACGTGATATCGCTGGGCGCCATCTGCTCCGTCCTGAACACCGCCCTCATCACCTTGTTCTCGGCGGCTCGACTGCTGCTGCTGCTGGGGAGGCAGGCGGCGCTGCCGGCGTGGTTGGTGAGGAGAGGGCGAGGGAAGGGGAGGGGAGGGTAGTGAGGAGAGTCCTGGAGGCACGGGAGGGAGGGGCGTGGGAGTGACTGCGATCTAGTCTTTCGGGTTGATGAGGCCGAAATTAGCATAGATGGTAAACAAGGTGTACGTATACAGGCTTGTCCCAAAACAAGAAACCTCAAGGGCACGGATGTTGGTTGGATTGGGTGGGGTCAAAAGACCGCCAGAAATTGCGGAAGGCCCCGAAGGACACGACCGCGGGGTTGGAAGTTAGTTTTCAACCAGCAATAGTCGCGACTCGGTTAGACCTCACAGTCTGCGACATTGCCCCAAGCGCAAAGATGCATTGACAGGGGAAGGCTCCGCTACCACTTCAGGGTGCCAGCCATACCTTGCATACATGGCCGCGATGGTGGGTAAGCATCTCGAAACGCCGCTCTGTGAGCAGATGCTGTCCTTCCCTATGCAGGCCTGTCCCCACTCACCTACCTTGCTCACCTTTCTCCCAGCCTGCTGGAAGGAGATTCATGGATTTTTGGAACATGGATTGGGTGTCGAGAAGCCCCCCACCACTGAGGACCAACCCTAAGCGCATACAACCCTTACCCCTAACCGCACACGACACAACCCTCGTCCCATTTTCCCCAACGCATTCACGCCCCCATTCACCCCCATCCCACCCCAACCCAACACGCCACAGGCTGTCGTGCACCCCGTAACCCACACACCACTTCGTACGACAGCCGTCGTGGCGGCTGTGACTGCCGTACTCGCCGTGTTTGCGCCCATTGAGCTCCTGGCCTCCCTGGTTTCCCTCGGCACCCTAGCGTCCTTCACCGTCGTCTGCGCCGCCGTATTCTGGCGCCGTATCAGCCCGCCGCCGCCTCTGCCGCTGCCTGCGGCGCCGTCACTGCTGCCGTCGCCATCTCCCCAGCAGCAGCTCCCGTTGACCATCATTGATGCGGCCAAAGCTGACGCAGCCGCCGCCGATGCCGCGGCTCCCACTGCAGTTGGTGGCGGCGGCGGTGCTCGGGATCTCGCACCCGTCGGTCCTCAAGACGCCGACGCCACCGCCGTTCCTGGTTCAAGTGATACTGCCGCCGATGCGGGGGTGAAGGGCCCCGCTGTCGCCGTCGCTGACGCTGACGCTGACGACGCGGAGGCAGGCGAAGCAGCGAGAGGAGCTGCAGCAGCAGCAGCAAGAACAACAGCGGCGGCGGCGGCGGATGCTCCAGCTGGCGCGGAGAGCGGAAACGGCAGCGATAACGGCGGCGTCGGCAGTGGAACAACTGGCGGAGTCGTTGGCGGAGGCGGTGGCCGGGTGATGGGTACGACAAACCCGTCCCCAACGCTGGAACCACCGCCAAAGGGCGTACCGCCGTCACCATCTCCGCCCTCTCCCTCGTCCCCACGAACACCCGTCAAGGGATCTCCCTTCCAACGCTGGCGGCACCGCAACCAGCGCCAAGACCAAAGCACCCAACCCCCGACCGTCGTCGTCGCACGACCGGTTGCCGTACGAATCGCCTTCCTAGCAGCGATACTTGCTTCCGCCGCCGCCGTCGCCGGGAGCTACCAGGGAGGGGCGCCGCTGCCGGCGGTAGGGGCCCTGCTGGGCGTGTGGCTGGCGGCGACGGCGGCGGCGGCGGCGGCGCTGCCGACGGTATGGACGCCGCCGCGTTTCCGTACTCCGCTACACCCCTGGCTGCCGTCGTTCGGGATGTTGCTGACGTGTGTGTTGATGGGCTCGTTGCAGGTGCGGTCGTGGGAGGTGTGGGGCGGTGTGATGGTGGCGGCGTTGTCGTGGTGGTACGGCATGGCCGCGTGGCGGCGGTGGCAGCGGCTGCGGCGGTTGGAGGGGCGGGAGTAGCAGCAGGCAGCAGTCAGGAGGTAGCAGGTAGCAGGTAGGGGTCCCTCCCTACCTGCCTTTTGAGGTGTTGATGCCCAGCTGCCATGTTGGGCAACACTCAGTTAGTGCGTGGCGGAACTAACTTATCACCTTACCGGCATATCTCACGTGTCTCAGATACCGGTTTGTTGAGGTCAGTCAACTATTACTGATTATGACTGTGGGCTAAGGTTGTCTTTGTACGGTATGTACGAGAAGGTCAAGTTCGAAATGTTGAAGAGGGCTGTGCGTGCTGCTCGTCACGTTGGGTGGGTTGTAGTTGATACATGCAGAGGCGGCGGATGGCCAAGTCGGCAAGTTGCGGTGTTATAAGGCCAAGCTATCTGAATGCACAAGGGCTATACCGGTTGGAAGTTCATGGACATTTGTGTCCAGTAAGTCTGCGTGCTGTGCATACCTATGAAGTCCCGTGGTTCGTGTGCTTGTCCAGAGGCAAGGATAGCGCGCTGTTCAAGGTGACACTCGACTTTACTTTAAAGCGACAGAGCTCGGCCTCCGAACGAAGGCTTGGATGTAGTGTTTAAGTTTCGGCACTTGGCAAGATCAGCACGGACGGAGCATGCAAGCAATGAGTCGAAAGGACGCAAAGCATATTGTAAGAAACATATTAATAAAACGCTTCAGAAATACATTCATTGCACAATTACTGCTAGTAATTCACGTGCTGGCCGCAGGCGTCACCACAACCGGCATTAGAGCTAGGGCGGACACGCTGCTCTGATGCAGCATCAATTGTCACGAGGTTCTTTTTGCACTAGGCGACTATGCATACGGAACCGGCCGTCGTTGTCTCAGTCAGGACTTCGGCTGCATCGTCTAACACGGAATGCTGCGGGTAGGATTCTATTCCCCAATCACCTTGCCTTTTTAACGAGTTGGAAAATTGATAAAGCCTAACCAACCGGATTTGGGTTGCGTTTACTGCTATTCCTTGGCCTCAATTTGCCATGTTCCCTTCGCCGCGGGTCGCAGGGACCACAGAAGCAGCCGAGCAGCCTAGCATTAGTGCGGACGATAGCACACACCAAACTGGATCAGCTAGCGTTACTCCTGTCACAGTCGTAGAGGCGTCGGTGGTGGAGCCCGAAGCGGGACATACGGACCGGGATGCCCCCAGCGCGAGCACCAGCGAAAATGCCTGGAGGGACGCTTGTAAGTCCTGGCCCATGCACTTATCCGGGCTAGTCCGGATACGACTTAACCCATGAAACGCAGCTGCTCCCTGCTCACATTGACTCATGCCAAGAGCCCAACCACTCCATGTACTCTCCCCCCTGCGTAGCTTGCCGTATAAAAGCCACTTCTCCTCCAGTATCCCTGCCCCCTCCCTTATCCCGCGCCACCAGTGTTCCCTGAGGTGCCGCTGAGCACCTCTCGTGAGGCGGGGTGGCAGTACGCGGCGCTTGGAGGGGCGTACGCGGTGGCGGTGAGTGGCGATTGCAGCAGCCCGTGCTTGCCGCGTGTGTTGCTTGTTACTGGTGGGTGGAGGTGGAGGGACGATATCAGTCATGAAGCACTCATGGACACATGTCACATGTCATGGTATCGCCAGCTAGCGCGCATGGGTTGCAGTTGTGCTACCACCAACCATGTCCCTGGGCGGTTGCGGGGTGGAGCGCTGAGGAGGTCAGGGCGGCCCTTCCCTCGCACCGCATAGCGGCACCACACCCTCGTGGGTTTCAGGAACATGGGAGCATGGCCGCTGCTCCTGCCCGCGATTGTACGCAAATCGGATTTTTCGACGGGCCGTACCCCCACACACATCGCCCACCCACTCTGTCCCTCCCAAACCCTCGCGGAACCCCCCCACCCGCCCTCCCGCCCCCCACAGGGCGGCGCTGTCGCAGTGGCCGCGCTCCGCTCCCCGCAATCCCTCTTCCCATCCGCCGCCGCATCCGCTGTCGGCGGTGACCCGTGGGTCGGCACGCTGCTGGGCTGCCTGGCCGCCACCTACCTCCGCGCCGCCGGCGTGTTCCTGCACCTCAAGGCGGCGGCGGACGCCGGTGAGTTGCTGGCCTGGCGGCACCAACGGCTGGCGGCGGCGACGGCCCTGTACGGCATCGTGGCAGCGGCGAGTCAGCTGGCGGGGGTGGCGTCGGCGCCGCTGGCAGGGTGAGATAGGAGGGAAAGGGGAGCGGGGAGGCGGGGGGTGGGTTTAGTTGGGTATGTGGGGTTTGTACTTCGGCGTCTCTTGCCCGGTATGGCTTTCCTTGTCTCCATTGTGCTCCTCCTCACTTCTTCTCCCTCCCACCCACTATCAACTTCACCACATGGTTCTTCTTCTTCCTTACCTCTCCCCCCCTTGCATGGCGTATTCTCCTTCTTTATCCCCACCATTCCACCAGCCTGCAAGCCCTGCTAGCCGCCGCCACCGCCTTCGTGGTGCTGCGGACCGGTCGCCAGCTGTGGTCCGTCCGCCCCTTCGTGTCCGCGATCACCGATCTGGGTCAGGGCAGCCGATTGGTTCTGGAGCCGCAGGAGGAGGAGCGGGCAGGCGTGCTGACAGAGGTGGAGGCCGCGGCAGGTGAGACTGCGGTGGCGGGCGGCACTGGAGCACTAGCAGCTGAGGCGAGAGCAGCAGGAGAGGAGGCGGTGGGAGTTTCCGGGCAGGCGTTTGCCGCGTCGTCTTCCTCGCCTTCCTCTTTGCAAGGGCAACAGTCACGCGAGGAGCAGCACGCAGGCGAGGGCAGCAGCGGTAGCGGCGGTAGCGGCAGCTCTGGTTCGGTGCATGTGGATGTGGAGTTGCAGCCCGGGGGGGTTCTGGCGGAGTGCTGGCGGGCTGCGGGGGAGGCGGTGTCCTCGGTGGCGGTGGTGCTGCTGCTGGGGGTGGCAGGTGGGTGCGGGTGGATGGTTGGCAGGAGGGTGGGTGGGTGAAGGTGAAGAAAATAACAGACCGGATATATGGCAAGGCTGGGAAGGTGGGGGTGGGTGGCAGGGGTTGGAGGTGATGCTTCCATGTAGAGGTGGAGTGGGAAGGGGTGTGCACGGTGGGGAGGGGCTCAGGAAGGCTGGGGTGCGTGGGTTAAGGCGGGCTGGTCGTGAGGGTGTGCAAGAGGGGCACAGAGGAACCAAGTTCCGTCTCACCTCCTCGCACCCCACCCGATGCAGCGATACCCCAATCCTCCTCCCCCCCCCTCCCGCCCCGTCTTCCTCAGGCCTGTCACTGTGCGGCTTCTTCCACATCATGTTCGCGGGGGCACCGGCCCTGTCGGTCACTCCCTTTGGGGCCGCCTGGCCAGGTCAGCCCCTGACGCTGCCCGCCAGTGCGGCGGCGCTGCGGCGACTGGTGGGCGCGGGGCTGCTGCTGACGGCGGCGACGGCGCATGGGCTGCTGGATTTCGCAGTGAATGTACGGCAGCCGCCGCCGGCGGACGACCTGGCGGCTGTGAAGCGCGTCATGCTGATGTGGGTGTCGTGCGTTTGGGTGGTTTGGGTGGCTTGGCTTGCACTGCGCTCTCAGTCGTTTAGGTCATGTGGGTCGGGCTTCTCCGGTTCCGCAGTCAGGGTTGGGCTTTAGTTGGCTCATGTACAATTAGTGGTTGCTGGGTGCTGAGGAATGTCTACCGCCTTTGGGGATTAAGGAACACATGACGATGCCATGCGTGCATTCCGTGCCTCCCATGCCCCCCCCCCTGCAGACATCTCGCTCGGACAAAGGACCGCCTGGCAAAGTACTACCTACCAGATCCGGCCACCTTCCGCGTCCTCAACCTCACCTTCATCGCTGCTGCCGTACTGCAAGCGTTCTTTGTCGTACGCGCCCCCAGTTTGGGCGTGGACGTCAACTGGGACGGCCCGCTGTGGGGCTCGATGTACGGCACTTGGATCCTGGTGCTGTCGTACGGCCTGGTAGCGTTGACTTCGTTTGACTGGGGCTCGGTTGCCGATACGGTGCTGCGGTTGTTTGGCTGGGGTGCGGCAGGGGTGTTGGCGTTCTTCAACGCGTTTGTGTGGAGGTTTGAGTGGGCGGAGAAGCCAGTCCGGAAGTAAATGCAGCGGAAGGTAGATACTGGTGCTGCTTGGTCTGCTGGCCTTGGGGTAAATTGGCCAAAGACAGGAGCCAAGTTTAGGTAGGTAACCCGTGGTGCCGTACCTATGTTGCTGATGGGCTTGCGGTGCGTGCTGCGGTCGTGCACATCGCAGAGCTGATTGGCCCAACTCAAGGGCTTGCCTTATGCAGAAATATTAAACAGAATTATGATACGTACCAAGCAAGTCAATTGCATGTTGAGAGGTTACCGCTTACCGGTATGGCCGACGACAAAAAAGCGTATGAGGCATTTCGTTTGCGCAGCTTTGCACAGTCGCATCCAGGCTTGCCAGTGCAGCACCGCGAGCAAATAGAAGAAGATGACCTTGACGAAGGCTGGGACATGGAGGGCGATGGTGCCGATGGTGCCGTTCCCACGTCAAAGAGAGACACTTCCCTACAGTATCATCAACGTCGGGTTATCTTGCACTTCGATTGTGATTGCTTCTACGCTCAGGTACTTGATTGCGGAAGGAGCGACGGTTGATGCTTGACCGAAGATATGTCTTACCTTGCCGTTCAGCTTTCCCTTGTATGCCCTTAGCATTACGAGACTTTATATAATGGATATATAACAGGGCAGTCACACGTGGGTCTAGCCACTGCCCGGCTGCCAGAATCGGCAACATCCTTGCGCCATGAGGCCCCCGCTTCCTTGCAGCCCTTTCCCAACGCCGCCTAGCAAGACCCATCCCCCACCCATACCCCATCACCTCCTCTAGCATCGTTTTGCTACCCGCACGTGAACAACCTTATATATTCGCGACCCAAAGGCGACCATCCTCCCATGTGGACCATGTCTCCCCAACCAACTGTTCCTTCCCCACTGTTAACCCCCCTTTTTCACCTTTCTCCATCCTGAATTCATCCAATCCCGGCATTCTCAATCTCGCAACCCAGGTTGAGGAGGTGCGCAACCCGGCTCTCCGGGATGTACCGCTGGGAGTCACGCAGAAGTACCTCATTGTCACGTGCAACTACCTGGCCCGTGCCGCAGGTGCGTTTTGGTGGTACTGCAGTTTACAGAAATAAAGCCGCCGCAGGTGTGGTACTGAGTTTGTGTACTTCCTGACTGACACAGAGATAACCGGCACGCATACGTAATTGTACGGAAGCGTGATGAAGACAATTAAAGCGGCACTCCTCCTCTCCGTGTCCCCCACCCCACTTCACCCCTGCCACCGCCCCTTCACCTCCTTCCGCCCCTCTGCCCCCCCTCCCGCGACCACCGTCACCCGCTCTCCTTGGGCTGGCTCAGATGTTGCAAACCATGATGACGCCTTCTTAAACGGTCAGTTAGACGTTTCCTCTTTATCCCCGTTCCCCGCTTCCCCTGCCACCCCCTCCCCCACCCCAGGTGTGACCAAGCTCATGAACACGCGTGACGCCCTGGCCCGCTGCCCCCACCTGGTGCTGGTACCCGGGGAGGACCTGGGGCCGTACCGCCAGGCAAGCAAGGCCATCTTTGCCGTACTGTCGCGGTACGGCACCGCGGAGAAGCTGGGGTTGGACGAGACGTACGTGGACGTTACGCAGGTGGGCACACGGGGGGACCTTGGGGCGGGGGGGCCTTCCTTAGGTTTGCCGAGCTGCCTTTACCTAACCAAGGGTAAGGGTTATATGCCATAAGGGTGGGGGGTACTGCTACCGACATTTCTAGCGGTAGATCGCGGCAGTGTAAGCGGCAAACACCCTAGTTCGGCCTACCAGGCTTCGGAAGGTAGGATAAGCGACGAGTCCCCCTCCCACTACCGCGAGCTTCCTCCCTCCCTCCCGCCGCCCCCTCCGCCCCCGCTTACAAACCATGACGATGCCTTATCACATGGTTCGTTAGTCGTTTTCCCTCCCCCCCCCCCCCCAGGAGGTCCTCCGGCGCCTCCACAGCGGCACCTTCGCCCCTCCCGCGCCCCCTCCCCGCCTGGTGGGCCACCTGCACACCCCCGCTGCATGCGCGGTGGCAGCGGACACCGCACACCGGCCCCAGGACCTGCGGGCGGTGGTGCCCGCGGCGGGTGGGGGGCCGGCGGGAGCAGCAGCAGCAGCAGGAACGATAGCAGCGGCGGCACCGGCACCTGTGTCTGGTGAGGCTGAAGCAGCAGCAGTAGGAGGAGGAGCAGCAGCAGCGGGGCCGTTACCTATAGGAGCAGCAACAGCAGCACCAGGAGCAGTGGGAGGAGGTACGGCAGCACTTGTCGGTACGGCAGCTGGTGATGATTGGCGGTTGCTGTTGGCGGTTGGCAGCATGGTGGCGGCGGAGGCGCGGGCGGCGGTTCGAGCGGAGACGGGGATCAGGTCGTCGGCAGGTGATGTATGTCGTGCGTTTGGGGACGGGAGCCGGGGGTTCGTGTTTAGGGTTTACAGGGCTAGGGTACATGGCGGAAAAGACACACCGCAACTTGTTTCCACACGCCCCTCCTCAACCTCGTCTAATCTCGTGTAATCCCAACCTGCATCGGCTTGCTCCGGTCCCTGATGACCCATGGGTCGGTCCTGTCCTCATCTCGCCTCACCACCTCACCTCAGGTATCGCGCCCAACAAGCTGCTCGCCAAGCTGGTCAGTGGGCTGCACAAACCTGACGACCAGACCGTCATAAGTCCCCAGTGGGCCGCGGAGTTCGTGGGTGGGTGGGTGGGTGGGTGGGTGGGTTACTGGGCACCCAAAGGGTGAAAAGAAAAGCGAACACCTGAAAGGTGGACACATGCTTGCGCGCGGGGTCTGTGGGGTAAAGAGGAAACGACTAACGAACCGTGCGATAAGGCGTCATCACGGTTTGCAACAGGTGATCTTGTGGGCTCTGTGGGGAAGGGGAGAGGCCGAGTGAGAGGTGAACGAAACGCAAAACACAATACACCGTGTAGAGGGACCCTGCTGATTAGGCCGTGGACGGTGCAGTGGACGGACCCGCATTGTCACGGTGCCGTTGCGTCGTACGGCTAGGGCATGCTCCGGTAGCTACGGAGGTTTGGTGCCTGTAACCAGGCACTCATCCGCGGAACACAAAGCGAACCCAAGGCCTCCGCCCTTCGCCCCCCCCTCGGGATATGGGAATGGGACTCTAGTTGCTTCTTATAACTTCCCCCCTCTTTCACTTCCCTTATACTGTTATACAACAGTAGTAACACTCCTTCCTCCCAGCTCCCACCAGCCCGCCGCCTTCTTCCTTCATTGCTCGTTACGTTCCTCGCCTCCCCTACCCTGTACCCCAGGCCCCCTGCCCCTCCGCGCTCTGCCCGGAGTGGGTTTTAAAACCGAGCGGCTGTTGTCAGAACGGTTGGGAGCCGCAACTGCCGCCGACGTACGGCGCTACAGCCGGCAGCAGCTAGCAGAGGTCCTGGGCGACAAAGCAGGTCAGCGCTGCTTACGGCTGCATTAACTACGGTAGCTACATTGGCGTTTAAATCCAGTCGGTTCAAAGGATAACACGTGTACATACATGCATTCAGCCGCTCCCTCCTGCGCACCCCCCCCCCTCGCAATGACCAACCCCTCACACTCACACTCCCTCTTGTTCTCCTCTTCTCCCACACGCCCGCTCCGCCCCCCTCGCCAATCAGGGTGCCTGCTGCACCAGTGGGTTCGCGGGTGCGACCCCGCCCCGGTCCGACCCACGGGTCCGCCACGCAGCATCACGGTGGAGGACTCCTTCCGCTGCTGCAGCAGCCGGGCGGCGGCGGAGGCGGTGGTGCGGGTGCTGGCTCCGGACCTACTGGGCAGGCTGGCGGAGGAGTGGGCGGAAAACAGGTGGGGGAGCTGAGGGGAGAAGCTGGGAGAAGAAGGAATGTAAGTGAGAGCGGGGTGAGGGTGTGGTAGCTGTGGGTTTTGAGGAGGCAGTGGTCCGTTTTCTGCCCTTGGTCGTGCCCAGCTGGAGGCCCTTCTTCCATACCCTGTCTCTTATCCTCTTATCCTCGGGCATCCCCGTGTCCCACCCACCGCGGCAGGCGGCGCCCCGCCACCCTCACCCTCAAGTGGCGCCTGGCTGGCACCGGCTGGACGCGCACCTCTGCATCCGCCGACATGCCGCCCAACCTGCTGTCGTGCCTGCCGTACCTGGCGGGAGGGAAGCATGCAGAGCCGGCACAGGTAAGGAGCCAGTGGGCGTCATGCCGCGCAACCGGCTGGCTTTCCGGGGGGGGTTATGCGGAAGGAGCAAGGGGTAAGGAGCCCCCGCGGCGGGGAAGAAGGAGCGGTGGTTTGGGAAGCGCTGGGAAGCGGCTGCTCGTGGGATGGGTTGTTGATGCGGTGTTACTGATGCAGCCGCCATAAAACAACATGCAATCGCGCTCATGCGCCACAACTTGCCAAGGGCGAACAGCTGCTACCGGTACCTCACACACGCCCCTTCCCCACCCCTTCATCACACCATCACCAGAACCGCCGCCACCACCACCACCACCACTCCCAAAATGCACGCACGGCGCGGTACCGGTGGTCAGGCCAGTCGAACGAACGCACGGCTCAGTGTTACTAACGCACACTGTACTCACACATCGCTTCCACCACTACGGTAATCACTAACTAACGCGCCGCCTCCTCCACCTCCGCCACCTGGTTGCAGGTGGAGCTGCTGGTCCGAGTCGCCACGCAGCTGCTCTTCCGTCACCTGAGGGAGCCCTTCCACCTCACCCTCATCAACATTGGGGCCACCAACTTCAAACAGGAGGGGGGAGCAGGAGGGGGAGGAGGCAGCACCAGCCACCACCACAACAGCATGGCAGGGGGGAGTGGCGGCGGCAGCGGCGGCGGCGGTAACGCCACGGCTGGTACGATTTTGGATCTCTTTAACCGCCGACGTAACGCCAACGCAAACGTTAACCCCAGTACAACGCGCACTGGTGCCGACGACGCTGCTGCAGCGGGCGCAGCAGCACCTGGCATGTACGGCGGGCTTGGCGGCGGAACGGACGACGAAGATGAGGAGCTGTACGACATGGCCTCTCCTGATACCGACGGCGCCGGCGCCGCAACAGCAGCTACCCTTACAGAAGGGGGCTCAATAGCAGCAGCAGCGGCGGGTAGTGGCGGCGGCGGCGGCGGTGGGGGTATGAGTCCGGCTGAGGCTGGTCGTGCGGCTGAGCGGTCGGCAGCTTGGCGTCGGGACTACCGAGGAGCCGGGGGAGGAGCAGCGGGTGGGGCGGTCGGAGCAGGACAGGTGAGGGTATGGGTTGTTGTTGGAATGGGATGGGATGGGATATTGCGGTGCGGCAGGGGGTGGCGCACGGGGGCTGCTGCTGTTGTTGTGGCTTCCCGGAGAAGGATACACACGGTTGTCGCGCAACGTTTTGCATGGGATACCGGAGCAGCTGGCGGCTGGCTGCTGCTGCTGCTGCTGCTGCTGCGCGTACCTCGCTACAGCTACCGTGCCATAGCGCCGTCACCCCTTGGGCTCGCATGCATGCAAGCTTGCAGGGGCCGCCGGGTCTCGCTGTTACCACCAATTTCGAACAACCCCTCCATGCTTGCATGCATGCATGCTTGCACGCAGGCAGCCGCCCTAGGGGTGCCGCTGCTCAGCAAGAGTCGTGAGAGAGCGCTCAGAGAGGCGGCCGCGGCGGGGGCAGCATGGTCAGCGGCGGGAGGCATTGCTGTGGAGGGGGGAAGGGGAGCAGCGGTAACAGCTGTAAGGCCGCAGCTGGCACCGCAGTCGCAGCTGCCCGCATCGCCACACGGGCTGATGCTGCCGCCACCTACCGGAGGTAGAGGCGCCAGTGGTGGCGTGAAGGGAGCTGACGGCGGCAGCGGCGGAGGCGCCGGGAGTGCTAGGCAGCAACCGGTGTCGACGTCGTCGTCGTCGCTGCAACGGTGGACGCGGCTGCAACCTCCTAGGACGACCGCGGCGGCGGCACCGGCACCGGCGGCAGCGACGGCGGCAACTGACTTTAGTGTCACCACCACCCATGCGCCGTCACCGCCGCCGCCGCTGCTGTCGTCATCTTTCAGTCCCTTCGCTGCGACCCGGCGGGAGTCCGTTGCAGCGCGCACCACCGCAGACCTTGCCGACGTCGCGGCCACCCCCGCCACAGCCGCCGCCGCAGCAGCCGATGCCAATACGGGGGATGCCGTTGGCGCCGGTCCTTCGGGCCGTGAAATGGATGCTTTGGATCCTGCCGTACTCACCTACCGGATAGTTGACTTGTACGGCAGCCGCAGAAGTGGAATACGCCGTACGGGCAGGAAGCGACGGAGGAAGATGAGTAGCGGCAGCAGCAGGAGGCATCCTGGGGAAGGCAGCGGCGAGGGCGATGGTGGTGGTGATGGTGAAGAGGGCCGGCGGTGGAAGAGGAAGAGGAGGAGGAGGGGCTCCGGGCAACAGCAGCAGCAGCAGCAACCTCAACAGGATTGGCAGGAGCAGCAGCAACAGGAGGGGGAAAGGCTGTTAAGCCGCAGGGGTTACGGGATTGCGGAGGTGCAGGAGGGCAGCAGCGACGATGGCGACGGCGAAGACGGCGCAGATAGCTCTGACTTGGATGATGCAGTGCAGTGCAGCAGTGGGGGCAGCAGCGGCAGCGACGGTGCAATGAGTAATGGGAGTGACGACGATGAAGACAGCAGCAGTGGCAACAGTGATAACAGCATTGCTAGCAGTGGCAGCAGTGGCAGTGACAGCGATGGAGGCGGGTTGTTCTGTTGGGCTAGCGGCTGGGAGTGTGAGCGCTGGGGGCGGCAGCAGCAGCCTTCTTCACCACCACCTCCTCTTCCTCCCCCGCAGCGGCAGCGGCAGCAGCAGCACCCCGCTGCGTCCCCCCATGCGCTTGCTTGCCCCCCGCCTGCCCCTGATTCTGCTGCCCCGCCTCCTGCAACTGCTGCTGCTACTCCTCCATCTCCTTCATCTGCTGCTGCTGCCCCCCGGCGGGTGATCCTGCATGTGGATGTGGACTGCTTTTACTGCCAGGTAGGGGCCAGGCAGGGGGGGGGGTAAGCAGCCCCGAACTCCTACCTGGCAGCAAGGCGTAAAAGACATCAAACCCGCTAGTTGAATGCTTCGATGATGGTGGCAAGAATGGTGCATCGGTGCATGACTGCCTGCTCGTGTGCAAGGGTGGTGGCCTGGCGGGGGCTTGCATGGATCCATGGGGCACCTGCCTTCGAGCTGGGAGCACCTGACTGAATCTTGTGATACCCGCATGGGCCACCCCCACCATTTATCTATAACCCCCCCCCGCATCTTCAGAAATGAGTTTACGACACACTAGTACTTCCGTCGCCTTGATCCCTCCTGCCCCCCCTCCTCCCGTCCCCTCTCCTCCCCTCCCGTCCCCCTTCTCTTTCCCGCACCTCCTCGCGCACACGTTCCCAGCGCAGGTAGAGCGGCTGGACGACCCCTCCCTGCTCGGAGCCCCCCTGGCGGTGACGCAGTTCAACGCGGGCGGCTTCGTGGCGGTGTCGTATGAGGCGCGGGCGGCGGGGGTGCGGTGAGGGGGGGGGGGGAGGGGGGGAGGGAAAGAGGAGAATACCAATGTGTTGTATGAGGGAGGGACGAGGAGAGGGACACGCTCTCCTCCCTATCCTCCTGTCTACCTGCTGCTGCTGTTGCTGCTGCTACAGCCCACTGCGTCTTGCTTCATGCGTCACGTCGCTCGCATCCTTACTGGCCTGCATCATGTGTCTGTCTCACACCCAACACGGGCGTGTAGCACGGTTGCAACATGTGTGTGTCTATTAACAGAACTGGTCGCGAGCAGGATCTTACCGGATTGTCGGAGTATGTGTGCACCCCGCTCCTCATGTGTGTGTGTTCCTTTCTGTGTCCCCCTTTCTCCCCCCCTCCCACCCAGCTGCGGAGACGGAGTGGGGGCAGGCGGCCGGGCGGCCATACCCCACCTCAAGGTGCGTCTCAGCTCCCATCCTGCGACCTGCATGCCAGCACACGCTGCAACACCCCCCAGCTCCACACACCCCACTCTCCCCGTTCCTAACCTTACCTAACCCCCTCGTTCCTGCTGCACACCTACTGCCGCCGTCAACCCACTGCCCCCCCTGTGCCGCATTACCGATTTGCCTCCCGCCTCTCCTCCCCTTCCCGAAACAGCCTCTCCCAGCGCACACCCGTGCTCCTTCCCCACACCCGCCACCTCCCACTTCCTCATCAGTCAGATCTTCACCTCCTTCCTCCCTACCCACATCCCTCCGCCCCTCCCTTCACCCCTACTCTCACGCAAACCAGGCCATGGGCTCCCTCAGCCTGGCCGCCGCCCGGCGCCGCTGCCCCAGCCTGGTGGTGCGGCCCATGCGAGTGGAGCGGTATCGGCAGGTGGCGGAGCAGGTGCAGGCGGTGATACGCAGGTGAGGGGTTGGGGGGTTGGGGGGTGGGGGTGGGTGGGAGGTGCCCTGACTGCTCCATGTGACGTCTCGCAGCCCATGCAGCCCCGCCCCGTTGCTCCGCCCTCCCCCCCCCCTTTGCTGGGGCAACCCATGGTGGAGCCCACATGCCACACGGTTAGTGTCTCCCTCCTTACCCCAGTTCTGCCCCTCCTGCCAAGTTCTCGTCCCAGAGCTAAAACACAGTTGCACCACGCCTGATGTAGCACTCCCCACCCCCTGCTGCTGCTGCTGCCCCCCTCCCGACTCCCACCCCCTGCTGCTGCTGCCGCTGCTGCTGGTTCAGGTTCTCCCCCTGCGGCCAGGTGGAGAAGGCCAGCTACGATGACTTCTACCTGGACGTCACGGCGGCATGCTGGGGGGGAGCGGGGGTTGGGGAGGGGGCAGAGGGGGAAGGGGGGGGAGAGGGGGAAGAAGGGGAAGAGGGGGGAGGACAGCATCATGCATGGGAGCCGCAACAGCCGCGGGGGCAACAGCAACTGCAGCGGCAGCAGCAGGAGGGGCAACAGGGGCAGGGGCACCTGCAGCAGCAGCGGGACGTTGCGACGCATGGGATCCAGGATCCGGATGTCCGGGGGCGGGATCTCCCGCCCGGGTACGACAGCGAGCAGGACGAGCAGGAGGAGGAAGAAGAGGGTTATGAAGAGGGCGCATTCAGTACGGCTCACAGGGGCTGGCAGGAACCGGTTTTTGAGAGACAGCAGGAGCCGCAGCGGGAGAGAGAGCAGCGGGAGGAGGAGGAAGAGGATGAGGGGGGAGGGGAGCGGCATCACGCCCCACCCGCTGCTGCTCTCCCTCCGCCCCGGGTGCATGTGGCGGGAGGGGAAGGGAGCAGCGGCGAGGGCGGTGGGGTTAGGGGTGGTGGTGGCGCGGTGGTGGGTTGGCAGGCTGTGGAGCCGGCTTTGAAGCGGGGAGTGGCGGTGGCTCAGCGGCTGAGAAGGGCGCTGAAAGGTGTGGGGCGGTGGGAGCAGGGGCGGGGGCAAAGAGGGGAGAGAAGAGGTATAAATTGAACATTACATCATGCCCTCAGATGTCCTGAACCATGGAGGCAAGGCGTCGTGACAAGCCCCTGACGACTCCACCCTTCCCTCGATTCCTCTCTGCCTCCTGCTCCTCGCCGTCTCCCCTCCTCCTCGCCCTCCCCCCCTCCCCAAGACGAGCTCTCCCTCACCGTATCCGTCGGAGTTGCCCCTACCAAGCTAGCCGCCCGTCTGGCCGGCCCCGCCAACAAACCCGATGCCATAACTGTCGTACCGGCGTGCAGGGTACGGCAGTTCATGGCGGCCGTACCACTGAAGGTGGGGGCAGCGGGGGTGGCAGGGCGGTGGTAGGTGGGTGGGGGGTTTAGGTTCGGGTTAGGGCATATGGAGGGCACGTGTGGGGAGGGGCGCAGGGAGGCGAGGGGCAAAGGGAGGAGGGAGAGGCTGGAGGGAAGGGAGGGAGGGAGAGGCGCCCCTATCAGCACCACTCTCCCACCTGATACCTAACCTATGTGCATCCCGCCTCCCACCTCCCAGACCGTACCCACCCTGACGGGAAAGGCGGGAGCTCGCGTGGTTTCGGAGTTGCTTGGAGTCACACCCGGTGGTGGTGGCGGCAGCGGCGGCGGAGGTGGCGGCAGCGGCGGAGGTGGCGGAGGTGACGGAGATGCCAGCGGCGGCGGCGGCAATAATGGTAGCGGCAGTAACAGCCGTGAAGCCATCACCGGCACCACCCCCACCACCCCCACCCCCACTACCATGCTGGTGGGTCAGCTCCTCTGCTGGAGCCGCCCCCAGCTGGTTGGCCGCTTCGGATCCAAGTTAGGCAACTTCCTGGCCGACCTGCCGTACGGGGGCCCCGGGGGGCACTGCGGCGGCGGTGGGGGTGGCGGAGAGGACACCACCCTAGCGCACCTCCGAACACTGGAAGGAGGAGGGGGAGGAGGAAACGCAGGAGCAGTGACAGCAGCAGCAGCAGCAGGGGATGGAGGAGGCGCAGGAGCAGGAGGTGGTGGTGACTGTGGTGAGGTTCGTGATCGCGGGCCCCCGAAGAGCTTGCTGGTGGAGCGCAGCTTCCCGCCCCTGACCCGCTTCGGGGGGGTGAAGGCGGCACTGGTGCCGCTGGTGGGGGGGCTGTGGGGCCGCGTGGTGGAGGATGCGGTACGACACAGGTGGGGGGTGTAGGAGAATAGTTTTTTTGGAAAAGGGTCGAGAGGGAGGAGGACGAAGAGGGGAAGAGGATGTTGTGGCACGAGTAAGGGTCTGTGGAGCGGCGCAGCGTGGTGGGTGTGCGGCTGCGGTAGTCCGCAAGCTGCCGTACACACGTCCCGTACCTCTCCAACCCCATCCTCTGACTCCCCCCTCCCTGGGCTGCAGTCGCTTGCCATGCACCCGCCCTTTCCCCCACCCACCCTACTCCCCTCCTTAAATTTATCCCCTACCGCCTCCGCCCCCCTCGTAGCCGCCAGCCCTCCAAGCTGCACCTCTCCTGGCGTCAGGGCTACGGAGCGGTAAAGAGCAGGTCTGGGGAGGTGTCGGCGACAGTGCTGCAGGTGAGGTCAAAGACCATACCGAACCATAGGAAACCACAGGTTGGGGCCACCGCTGCAGGTGGGGAGGGGGAGCAGGAGTGAGGGTTAGGGTGAGGATGAGGGTGGGAGTGGGAATGGGGTGGACAGAGGATGCCAAGCAGCGGCTAGTGTGGGGGTGGAAGGGTGAGGTGGAGGGCACTTGCCGCTGGCGGTGGTGGTGGTGGGTTAGCTTTCACAGGGTGGATTACCGGTACAAATGTATGGCGGCGCTGAGCCCTCCTCAACTGCCACCACCGCCACCATACCCAACCCCAACCGCCCCGCCCCCTCACGTGCCTCAGGCGCTGAAGACCGCAACCGCCGCCGCCCATGCCGCTGTGGCTGCCGCCGCCGCCTCCACTGCCGCAGCGCCAACACCCGCTACAGTGACGAGCGGCACGGCAGCTACGGCAGGGGGAGGGGAGGCGGCTGTCACAACCTCCCATTTGCTAGTGCCGGTAGCGCCCGTCGCTAGTCCCCTTCCTTATCTTTCTCCTCCTCCACAGCAGCAGCACCTGCTGCTGCAGTCGCCGTCGTCACCCTGCACCTCCGCGGCAGTCGCCTCCGCCACCATCGCCGCCGCCACGGGCGCCTCCGTCGCGGCGGCGGGCGGGTGGGAGGGTGCGGGTGCGGTTCCTGCCGCCACGCATGCGAGCTGCAGGGCGCTGCTGGAGGGGGCGGCGGGGCTGTTTAAAGCGGGGGCACTGGGCAGCATGAGAGGCGGTTTGCAGGTGGGTGGGTGGGTGGGTGGGTGGGTGTACGGCAGAGGGGGTCCGCGTACGGGTGTGTGTTGTTTGGGACCATGGGGTTCCTTGGGTAGAGGATGCGGGTTTGCACCTGCCGTAATAGCGCCATACCGGTATGTTACCGTATGCCGGTATACCGGTTTACCGCCACCGCAATGCTATTCAGAAGGTTCTAATCCTTCTTATCCCCACATGTTCCCACATGTCCCCACATGGCGCCGTTTGTGTGTTCCCGTGCCCTCCCAGATCACCCGGCTGGCAGTGTCCGTGTCGTACAGCGGTGGCGGCAGCGGGAGTAACAGCGCCCCTGGCGGCAGCGGTGGCGACGGACCCATGGGTCGCCACCAGCACCACCACCAGCGGCCGATTAGTGACTTCGTGGCTGCTCCGCCCAACAGGCCCGGGCCCAGGGCGCATGCGGGCAAGGCGGCGAGGAAGGAAACCCCGTGTCACCTCCTTGACAGCGCGGGAGGCGGCAGGGGGGCGGATGGGGGTGGAGGCGGCAGCGCAGGCATGGCGGATGTGTATGGCAGGGGAGGGCAGGGCACTGACGTGGCCTTCGGGCGGGATGAGGGCGGACGGGAGGGTGAGCGGGGGAGGTTTGTTGGTGGTGAAAGGGGGCCAGTTGGCGGGTCCCCTGAGGTCCCTGATGCGGCTGCTGGGGGGCCTGACGGCATTGGTGTTGCTGGTGGTGGGCGGTCGCAGGAGGCGGCAGACGGAGGGGAGGATGGGGGCTGGGATTTCTCGTTCGCAGCGTAGCTTGCAGGATGCAGCTTTGGTAGGGAGAGACCTGTTGTTGTAGGATTAGTCGACAATGTGTGCGTGCTGGTTGACAGGATTGTAGAGTTGTACTGCCGGTATCACTGCTGTTGGTTGCCGGTATGTGTGCAGCGTTGCTTGACCCCAAGCTTTGTGCTCGCCTGGTGCCGGTATATCCTGCTGTATACTGTTGCAAACCGAAGGCTGCAGGAGATTCCAGGAGATTCCTGGGAACGGAAGCGATTTGGATAGTTATTGCTGAGAGGGTCTAGCTTTTCATGCCTTGCAAGATTCACTAGGAGCACGGTTTCGTCCGCCGTATTAGCCGTATGCCCTGACTTCGCATCTGGTATGAACATGAACCAGGTATGCATGTTAGTAATGCTGGTGGCGTTAAATTATGTATGTTACTTCCGAAGTCAAGTGAGCACGGCGGTGTGTCAGCTGCTTTTATTTAGAACACATGGACACAAGCACACAGGCGGTGCAACAAGCCAGCCAGCCTCTCAAGCCAGCCCCCTCCCCTACCTGCTGGAAAACCACTCTGCTACCGGTAACCCCGTCACCTCTTAACCCCAGCAGCCTACCATTTCACACGCCCATGAGTCCCGCGCGCCTGCCGCCTCTGGCCTGCCCAATCCCTCCTCCCCCAGTGTCCTCCATCCCCCCGGTCCGGCTTTGCCTGATTATTATACCGCCCATCCGCGGTTGCTTTGCCTGGCTACCATACCTGGCTTTCACTCCCACCACTACCCACCCGCGCTCTTCCACACATGCCTAGGGTGCGGTGGACTCGCTGACACTGCTGGCGCTGGCAAGCGGCCTGGGATTCATGTGAGCGCTGGGCAGTCCTGTCAGATGGGGCTCATTGCGTGTGGCGTGGGAACCTGGGAGGGTGACCCAGTTTGCTGTGTTCACTGGTCATGCGGGCAACATGCGGGCAACATGCGAGCAATTATTCTCTACTGCCAACCAAACGTTAGCACGTCTCCTTCCTGCATGCCTACTCCTTTGCGTCCTGGTGACCTACGGTGTCATTCGGCTTGCCCTGTCGTTCATCCGCTTTGCCGTGCCGGCCGCCTCCCCACTCCCGCCCTCTGCTCCCCCCATCACACCACCAGGGTTGTTGCCTCCCGCAACCTGGGTCGCAACCTGAGTCCGCTGCCGGAACCGCGCAGGAAGCACCAGCTGGTGGTGGAGGGGGTGTATGGTAGGCACGGGGACTGGGGGGCAGGGAGGGCCGGCAGGGCATCCCTTCCTCTCGGGCTGCGTGGCCCCTCTGCTGGTGTATGGATGCACCCCCCAGCAGTTCCACCATCTCTCTCTCTCTTCCCATCCCTTTCCTTCCGCCACAGGCTACGTACGGCACCCGATGTACGGCGGGCTGCTGCTGGCGGCTGTGGGGCTAGCCGCGCTGACTCACAGCGAGGCCCGCATGGTGGTGGCGGCGCTGCTGTGGTGGGTGCTGGAGAACAAGGTGGGTGAACTGGGGCGGGACGGGCGGCGGAGGAGGAGGCTGGTTGGGGAGTGTGGTAGATGGGGAGATATTAGGGAATAAGCGGCTGCATTATGAGGGGCGCAGCTACGTTTACGTGTTGATGTGCTGTATGGGGAGTGTGTTGTGGTGTGGCGTTGGCTGCGGTCCTGGTTACATAGTGTTTACCGCACGTCTATCTGTCGTATTTCGTCTCTTTTCAGGTTGAAAAGGAGGAGCAGGCCTTATCTGAGCGCTACCCAGCAGGGTACTCGCAGTACAAGACAAAGGTCAAGAAGGTAATGAAACATTACCCAACTGCACTACTGCTACTACTGCACCCCTTCTCCAATCAGGCACGATGGCGTTCGTACAGACCTTCTGCTCATGCATACCACCCCCGTACCCTCGTACGTGTGCCCATGCATCCATCCGTGCTTGCAGTTCCTGCCCTTCCTCTACTAAACAGCGAGACAAGGAGGCGTCACCTGCAGAGAGGCAGGCCCAGGCAGGCCGTGCAAAGTACTCTTCATTGCGGCATGCAGGATGCAGGAAGCCAATCAGTCAGCGGTGCCGGTACACAGCTCGGCGGGGGGAAACATTGTTGACATACACCGTTAGGTTAGTCAGGCATCCACGCATGTACATTTGGAAGCATCTGGGGTTAGATTAGGGCGCGGAGAGACTTCTTCGCTTCGTAGCTGCTCATCACGGTAGGCAAGGCTGCCATGACACAACGCGTGCTTGACATCTCCTGTGACGGAGTGGAGTGCGCTGGTTTGGGTTCTTGGCCCCGTACAGTACCCGTCGTACGGCTTCATTGCTTTGGCAGGTGTTGTATGGCTTGAGCTGCCCGTTGACAACAACGATTTTGGATATAACCTGGGTACATACGTATTACATTCGTAAGACTAGCTCATCGTTCGAACTTTAGGGTCGCTTTGAAAACAAAGGATCCTAGCCGCCATGCAACACTCACAGACGTTGCACGCCCGCCCGCCGGCCGCTCGCCGTGGCTCATGGAGCAAGTCACACGCCGCACCTGTCATGTCCGATTACCGGCAATTGCCTGGTTGCCGTCACAGGGTGTTTCGGCAGGTGGTGGTTGCGGACAATGACTTGCATTGCATGGGTCACTTGGGTAAATCTGTTCTGGGTGATCTTTCAAGTAGCAATTGGATGCTATCGGATGGTTGTTGTCGTATGGCTTTGGTATGGGGGAGTTGCCTCGAAGGCTCTTGGGGGAGTTGCCTCGAAGGCTCCCGTACCTCCAGGGATGGCCAGTGCTAGTGCATTCAGGTGTTGCTCGGCCCGGGTTCGGTGCCTCGCGACACGAGAGGAATGCTGCTCGCTTCGGTGAATCATTTGCAGGATGTATAGGACCTGGTTTGCGCCCTATGTATCATGTAACATGCAGGCTATGAGCAGTCTTTACTGCCTGATGAGTGTGATGACACCTTCTTAGGCTCGCAAAGCGGCAGCCACACGTGCAGCCGTAACTAGTGCTGTAGCTAGGAGGACACCATATCCGTGTGCCGTACGGTTTCCGGCGGCGCGTGATCCCGTACTACAAGCCGGCCCTTTCAATTCCAAATTACCGTACACACCAGAGGAATTGGATAGTTATACCTTACGCCATATGTTTGTTACAGCATATTGATGCATCTCTTCGCGAGCTTTCCATTGGTCGGTCGCATTAGCCATCAATGCCTACGCGCGACATGAGGTCAGATGTTGGAAACGACGTCTATGCATCGGAATAATCCTCTGCGAAGCCTCCAAAGACGCTGTCCGAATCGTCCAGCGCTTTCTGAACGGGCGGGGTCCATGCACTCCGCCTACATCGAGCCGGCCGCGGGATCCAGGTCGTTACTTGTTCCAGAATCGCGCACCGTCCATGCCTCAAAGTACCTTTAACGCGCTACCGCTAGCACGCTTAAAGCACATGAACACTATCACTTCCACCATTTTGGTAATGCCAACACTTTGAAGGGATAATGCACCATGTGGTAAGCACGACCACATGGTGCCGCATGTTGTTCGATAGCTGGTTTACCCAGCCTTTTTCCGTCCATAATGGCATGAACGTGTTAGCACCGTTGGTTGCGTGCAAAATGTTTTACTTGCTTCCTGCAATGAACAACTTGTCAGAGGTCTCGCTGTTGATGTCTTCTGACAGTGTTGGCCACCGCTGGTCCCCGAGAAATGCGACTGGCCCAGCCACAGAATATGAAGCTGCCTATCAGAGTTTGGACCTTGTCATTGGCCCTTAGACCATATGCGACCACGATATCCGTACCCTACCTACCCATCGGGGTCGCCAAGGCAAGGGGCTAACAACCTAACGGGCCTACACCCCTTACCTACTGTTACTAAGTGTGGTGCACGCCACTAAACTAGTATATAGAAGGCCGATGTTACATGTATGGCGCTATATATCCCATAGAGTTGGTGGGGCCTCATGCATACTGTAGGGGCTACTCGGACATACGCACACTAACAACTGCGCGTAATATGACTTGCAAATTGCCGAAGTAAGAGGCCTCTGGTGTTAGTGTCGCAATACTGGCTGTTACGAAGAATGGGTTGCGGAGCATCAACATCTTCACAAGCACCTATGCAGCCGAGGGTAAGTTTCATGTGTGGTATACGCCATCGGAGTGGGAGCAGTGCTTGCAGGTGCACACATGCCTCTTTAGGTTACCCAGTATGCCCCTGCTGATGCATAGAAGAGCTTGGCCGGAGAAACGCATTTGCATGTAGAGATTGCAGTTTGTCAACTTAACTATTAAGGGTGTGGATGCGTGTCTTTTATGTGATTACAAGGCTGAGGAATGAATCTCTTACCATACATGTCTCTGCTGCAGGACACCGCAACAAGTTGGGAGCTTGTACGGTGTTCGCCTTCAGGGCATGAACTGTTTAAAAAGCACGGCATACCACCGGAAATCGCCAAGCTTTTCGTGGATGAGCTTGGTTTTCACACAACCCAACACCTGTGCCACGTTACCGAGGAGGATATAAAAAAGCTCAAACTGAAGCCACTCATTGAAAGAGAGTTCTTGCGAATTGTTAGCGATTCCAACAGCAGACCTGCTCAACCAGCGTTGAGTGCATCTCAAGCTCCAACTACATCACCTGTGGCCATTGCTGCGGCGGCCAATGCCACGCCTGCTGTACCTTCACCTGCTGCACCTCAGGGGCATTCTACCGGCTCCACAAAACTCAAGGTAACTATCCAGGCCATATGTGTATGCTGCATCATGCCAGTAGCACTTGTGGCACCCCCATCCGGCTTATGTGATGGTCCAACTGAACCTGATGTATGTACTATTACCCAATGCTTGTAACTTACTTTAGTGCTCCTGCACCCCGCTTGCCCGCCAATCCCTGCGCACAGGAGCGGGTCCAGAAGGGACTCGAGGTGGGCTGCACCTTTCTGACCAAAGTCAAACCTATGTTGCCATTCCCTGGTGAGCACCTTATGTGATGGGGTGTCCGTCTGGCAGAGGCTGCGTGATGTTGCTGGAGGTTACCAGTCTATGCGTTGGGCACGGGTGCTGGCCGGCCATAGCATCTCATTCCTTACAAGCCGTGAGAGTCAGCAGTCCCGATGGGTGCATGGGTGCGCACGTCTACCCCTGTGGGTTAATGCTGAAACACTGGGGTCGGTAGGCAGCCTGCACAGCTGCGCCTAGCCTGCACACAACATATTAGGGTATGCTAAGGTCATTCGTTCACTAAGGGCTGCATGCCCTGTTCTAGAATGTCATCCCAGCATTTGCAATGCATCTCACACGCCGGTGGTTTTGCCATGTGTGCGCAGCCATATTCATACTGCCTCCCACTCATGGACCCTCCGGATAAGTCCTAAACTCCTCACTAAAGAGCCAGTACATGCTTTATGTATGCACGTTCCCATTGCGCAGGTGACATGGTCGCTGGCGCGCTGGCCGTCTTCATGGGCCTCGTGTCCCAGGCTATGGCCAACAAGGATAACCTGACCAAGCTGCAGGAGCGGGCAGTAGACCTGTTTGACCTCGTCGTCGACAGGCACGTCCCACACGCAGCACTGATGGTGGCTGGCACTGCAGCGACACAGCCACCGCAGCAACACCAGCAGAAGACGTCGGCCGCGTACATGAAGCTGATGGTTCGGTTCCGCGACCTGCTCACGGTGCGTCCAGTGGCAGTTGTACCCTGTGTGCGCAGCAAGCCCTTGCATCATGGCGGCCAATGTATCGTGCCCACACGCACGCGCTTTAGCACCCTCCACCTGCTGCCTTTAGTGCAAGAGCTTTAGTGTGAGGATAGTGACCAACGTTACCCGTTCATTAAGGCGCTTGTGTGCTTGTTGACTTACTTTATGAGCCATTCGTTTACATGTGCCTGCACCCTGCCGTCTGCCTGGCTGCAGGAGCTCATCGAGTACGTCCGCGTGTTCTCCTCCCATAGCTGGCTTGTCCGCATCATCACCAGCGGCGGTGACCAGCAGCGGTATGAGGACTACGCACAGCAGCTGCGCGACCTGACACTCGAGGCGCAGTTTGCTGTGGTGGTGGACGTGGCCGGCATGACGGAGGAGATGCGGGCAGCCATGGAGGAGATGACGCAACAGATGGTGTACGTGGTGAGAGAGGGAGGATTGAGGGAGGGAGGACGGGATGCGTGTGTACAAAGGTGTGAGGTGTATAATGAGGGCACGGCTTTGACGGCTTCACCTGCTGGAATGCGGGCAGCAATTGCAAAAGTGTGTTGGTGGTGGTACTCCCCGGACTGGAGGCCAGCATGCAGGGCCCCTCTGGAGTATACTCCCTGCATGCTGTCTTGTTCGCCTTTGCGCCCAGTTAATCGAACACACTGCCTCCTTCTCTCCCCGCTTCCAGGACCACAGCGCTGAGGTGCGTGCTGTCGTGGAGGAGCTGGGCGGCCTGGATTCCGTGATGGCTGATGAAGATAAGATCAAGGCGGTGGCGGAGAAGCTGGACATGGGGCAGAGGCTGACCATCAGGATTGTGAGTGGGGCTGGGGGGAAGATGGCAGTGGTCCAGGCCTGCTGTAGTTGTTTAATGTGGGGGAGGAAGTGCATGTGTATGTGGCAAGGGTGGCTGGGGTGGGTTGGAGGAAATGCACCCCCACATGCTACAAGGGTGCCGCCGCTAACAATGGACGCCTTGTTTGAATGTGCCGCTTGCCACCCGTACTGCCTTCCGGTGTTTGGAGTTCTGCGGCCACTTACCACTGTGCATTGCCCACGTGTGTGTGCGTGCCCGCACGCAGATGAAGCAAGGGCTTGCAGCTGTGAAAGCAAGTGTGGTGAAGGAAGGCGACAAGGGCTTTCACCGCCTGATCTGTCACATGGACCTGCGCGTTTTCTGGCGCACCTTCTTCACTGGGAAGTGGAAAGTGAGGCCAGGGTTGGGCGGGATTAAAGATACCTGCTGGTTGCCTCGACTGACTTAGAAACGGTGCAATCGAATAATTACGCATTTAGGACCATCGTCCCTTCTTACAACAAGTGTTGACACCGTGACCCCATGACCAATGAAACGCTACTGTGACTCACACCCCTCGAGCAGGTCCCCTGGCGCCTGTGGTGGTTGGGGTTTCCGAGTCGCCTGGAGGAGATGCACCTGGAGCCAAGCTACGTCTCAGCGGTAGGAGGAGGAAGGGGGCGGGGCATGCATGAGGTTGCTTGTGTGTTCATGATTGGGTGTAGTGGGTGATTGGTGTGATGGTGTGTGGGGACCAGGAATAACCTGCTGCACCCCAGTTGGATTGTGACTCTGTGCCTAGCCTTATTTGTACATTACAGCCGTTGTTTGCTGCATGGGGCGCATGGGACATGGCTTGTGGTGGACAGGGTGCTCGGGAGGTCTCATTTTTCGTTGTAACTGTAAGGGTGCAACGGGTAGCGTAAGGTGGTTGCTTTGCCTGCTGACGGGGCAGTGCATACAATTGTCACACAGGGTCATGCTGCAATTGCTTGATGCACATGTGCATCTGATGTGCGCGTGGTTGCCGTTGCAGTTGTGCGACGTGTTGGGGAGCGATCAGGCAAAGCAAGCGTTCCAGCAACGTGTGGATCAGTGGGACCCGGACAACGTCAGCGTGGACGAGATCCAGTTGGCCTTCCCACAACCGGACGCTGACCTGCTGCAGCTCGTGCGCCAGCTCACAACCGGCAGCAGTGGCGGCAAAACCATGGCTGCACCTGGCAGCAGCAGCACACCTGGGCATACCACCACTGGAGTGCTGCAACTTACAGCAGCCAGCAGCAGCGAGGCGGCCCCAAGCCACACCCAACATGAGGCTATGGCGAAATGCCGCCTGCCACCACTTGATTCGTTGTACACGGGCCGTGATGCTGATGCAGAGCTGGTGGTGCGGCTGGTGAAGGAACAGGCTGCAGCCCAACGCGGCGTGTGCCTACTGGGCGGTGCTGGCCTGGGCAAGTCCAGCCTGGCGGTGGATGTGGGGTGGAGGTTGGCCAGGGAAGGAGCGTGCCCAGGTGCGCCACTGTGTACCGGTATGCATTGCAATATGCCATGCAAGTAGGTATGCATACCATAAACAACCTGCCAAGTGTTGATGTGAAACGACTGTCACCACACATGCAGATCAGCCATCCTATGCGGTGTATGTATTGTTGTAAGGCTGCCTGACCCGCCCGTGCTTGCCTCCTGACTCCTGCCCCCCTGGCCCCGCCTGCCCCATGCAGGGGGCGCATACTTTTGTGACCTGCGTGAGGCGCGGTCCATGGACGATGTGTTGATGCGCATTGCGCTGGCGGTGGGAAGTGCCATCACGGTGGGTGGGTAGATAGGTGGTGTGTGGCTGGGTGTATGGGTGTGGATTGCTGTTGCAGGAAGACTTTCCTTGACGACCCCATCCATCCACCTGGCTCATGGCACATGAGGGCTCTAATCTTGCTGGCATTTCATACTTGCAAACTATGTTGATGCAAACCCATGCCCCGACCTGCACACTCTTGCTTGCTTGGTTGGGAGCCGCCATGCATGTAGAGAAGTGTATCCTATGTTGCCTGACGTGTTTGCCGTGTTGAAACGGTCGGCAGTATGCACACAACAAGTCCAGGCAGCGGGAGACAACAAGGAGAGAAATCAGAGCGGCAATGGCGCATGGCATGGTACTTCAGCCATGTGTCTGCCAGTGATTAAAGCACGTCCAAGCTTGCTGTGTGCAACCTTCCTGCAGGGTGACGACACCCTTCTCAAGTTGCTTGCATGGTTACGCGCCACCTCGGCTAGCTGTGGTGGTGGCGTGTTGCTGGTGGTGGACAACGCCGAGGACGTGCTGCAGGCAGATGGAGGAGGCGGTGAGGGTTTCAGAGACGCCATGGCTCAGGTGGGCAGGATTGGGCCAGATTGGAAGGGAGAGGAGAAGAAGGGAGAGCAGAGATGGGTCGTGAGCACTTGGACCCGGCCTGCCTGTTACAAATAAACTTACAATGCTGGCATGGTGGAAGTCTTTGGCAATGACAATTAGCTTTCTTTCTGCATGCACATGCCACATTCTTGTAAGCTACGAAAAGGTGTAACTGCAGATGTCAGGATTGTGAGTGCGCGGGCTTACAGTTCTCCTTTCACCTTTTCTTAGCTTACACTAGCTAGACACCACACCTAGCTGCATGCAAGCTATCACAAGACTGGTGTCGGCTGTCCTATCCAGGCTTTCTTACGCTTGCCCTCTCTTCAGCAATCCTGTTGAGTTGCAAACTGTTAGCATACTATTTTACATATGATTATTGTGCTGCATCCATTAACCATTATATAGGAATGTGGTAACCGTCAGTTGATAGATGGAACCGTACCCAAGCTTTGAAGCCTCATCACTTAACAGTAGGTATGGGCGACTCTCATATAATGCTTTCGTGCCCTTCTCATTGTTGCCCGGCAGGTGTCCACGGCTGCAATGGTGTTGGTCACATCACGGGCACCCATGTCCACATCGTCATCTAGCAGTAGCAGTGGCAACACGTTTGTTGACCACCCGCTATGTGGTGTTGATGATGGCTCCAGCCGCCAGCTAGTCGCCTCACTGTGGGGTGATGCCTCCCCTCTGGCAGCGGCTGATGTGGACGCCCTGCTGGATATGTGCCAGGGTGTGCCGCTGCTGCTGCGCACATGTGCTGATGCGTTGGCACATGGCAGGGTCACAGTGGCGGTAAGTACGGGTGCATGTTAGCTGGGTGGATGTAGTAGAAGGTGTTCGGGGTATGGGCGGCTCTCAGCTCTGCATGCAGCTCCTTGAGCATGCTCAACAAGCATTGTCTGCTTCAAATTGCTGTGTACGGATAACGAGGTATCACCATCACGCTGATATCCACCCACCCACCCCCCACAAACAAATGCATGCAGGTGTTAAAGGCTGCGCTCACCAACACAAACAATGATAGCACCACCGCCCTGCACCTCGCCTTGGCATCTCTGCCGCTATCCCAACAACTGCTCCTAGCCCAGCTCTCCATCTTCCCATCCCAATTTGATGAGACATCTGCCGCAATGGTGGTGTATGGTGACAGCAGCGACGTGTCACGTGTTCGTGCCCAGCTTGTGGTGTTGTACAGCCATGGCTTGGTGTTGCACAATGTGGCCCTCAGCACATACAGCCTGCACATGGCTGTGCGCACCACTGCTGCAAGGTTGGGCGGTGGGTTGACCTCTGCAGCAACAGCATCAGAACCAGCTGCGGCCAATAAAAGCGCTGCCAGCAGCAGTCAGCAGAAACAGCAGCAGCAGTTCTCCAGGGCATTGTCCTGTGCCCGTGAACGGTTTGTGGGACAAATCATGGCTGCCTTCACAGAATGGGGGCAATTGTACATGACACCTGATGCTCTGTTGGCACTGCGCTTAGCACGGCAGCATGCACCCGACTTCTTGGCAGTGATACAGATAGCAGCAGCAGAGGCAACTACAGCACCCAAGATGTTGGAACTGGTGCTGAGGTCTACAACTTGGCACTACTTGGAGTCATTGCTGTTTGATGTGGGTGGTGTCCTGACACCTGCTTTCTATGAAACCTGGAGCAGTATGGAGACTGCAGCCAATAATCTTCAAGCACCTTGCCTTGCCAATTTTTACTCAATGTTGGCTGGAGAGGCAGCACACCAGCAGGCTTTGGAGCTGCGCACCAAGGTGCTGGGCGCAGAGCACCCTGACACCATCAGCTCCATCAATAACCTGGCCAGGTGCATCAATGCCCAAGGCAAGTACAGCGAGGCAGAGCCCATGTTCAGGCGGGCGCTGGAGCTGCACACCAAGGTGCTGGGCGAGGAGCACCCTGACACCATCAGCTCCATCAGTAACCTGGCCAGCTGCATCAATGCCCAAGGCAAGTACAGCGAGGCAGAGCCCATGTACAGGCAGGCTCTGGAGCTGCGCACTAAGGTGCTGGGTGAGGAGCACCCTGACACCATCAGCTCCATCAGTAACCTGGCCAGCTGCATCAATGCCCAAGGCAATTACAGCGAGGCAGAGCCCATGTACAGGCAGGCTTTGGAGCTGCGCACCAAGGTGCTGGGCGCAGAGCACCCTGACACCATCAGCTCCATCAGTAACCTGGCCAGCTGCATCAATGCCCAAGGCAATTACAGCGAGGCAGAGCCCATGTACAGGCAGGCTTTGGAGCTGCACACCAAGGTGCTGGGCGCAGAGCACCCTGACACCATCAGCTCCATCAATAACCTGGCCAGGTGCATCAATGCCCAAGGCAAGTACAGCGAGGCAGAGCCCATGTTCAGGCGGGCGCTGGAGCTGCGCACCAAGGTGCTGGGCGAGGAGCACCCTGACACCATCAGCTCCATCAGTAACCTGGCCAGCTGCATCAATGCCCAAGGCAAGTACAGCGAGGCAGAGCCCATGTACAGGCGGGCGCTGGAGCTGCACACCAAGGTGCTGGGTGAGGAGCACCCTGACACCATCAGCTCCATCAATAACCTGGCCAGCTGCATCGATGACCAAGGCAAGTACAGCGAGGCAGAGCCCATGTACAGGCGGGCGCTGGAGCTGCGCACCAAGGTGCTGGGCGCAGAGCACCCTGACACCATCAGCTCCATCAATAACCTGGCCAGCTGCATCAATGCCCAAGGCAAGTACAGCGAGGCAGAGCCCATGTTCAGGCGGGCGCTGGAGCTGCACACCAAGGTGCTGGGCGAGGAGCACCCTGACACCATCAGCTTCATCAATAACCTGGCCAGCTGCATCAATGCCCAAGGCAAGTACAGCGAGGCAGAGCCCATGTTCAGGCGGGCGCTGGAGCTGCACACCAAGGTGCTGGGCGAGGAGCACCCTGACACCATCAGCTTCATCAGTAACCTGGCCAGCTGCATCAATGACCAAGGCAATTACAGCGAGGCAGAGCCCATGTACAGGCAGGCGCTGGAGCTGCGCACCAAGGTGCTGGGCGCAGAGCACCCTGGCACCATCAGCTCCATCAATAACCTGGCCAGGTGCATCAATGCCCAAGGCAAGTACAGCGAGGCAGAGCCCATGTTCAGGCGGGCGCTGGAGCTGCACACCAAGGTGCTGGGCGAGGAGCACCCTGACACCATCAGCTCCATCAGTAACCTGGCCAGCTGCATCAATGCCCAAGGCTATTACAGCGAGGCAGAGCCCATGTACAGGCAGGCACTGGAGCTGCGCACCAAGGTGCTGGGCGAGGAGCACCCTAACACCATCAGCTCCATCAATAACCTGGCCAGCTGCATCAATGCCCAAGGCAATTACAGCGAGGCAGAGCCCATGTACAGGCAGGCGCTGGAGCTGCGCACCAAGGTGCTGGGCGCAGAGCACCCTGGCACCATCAGCTCCATCAGTAACCTGGCCAGCTGCATCAATGCCCAAGGCAATTACAGCGAGGCAGAGCCCATGTACAGGCAGGTGCTGGAGCTGCGCACCAAGGTGCTGGGCGCAGAGCACCCTGGCACCATCAGCTCCATCAATAACCTGGCCAGCTGCATTGATGACCAAGGCAAGTACAGTGAGGCAGAGCCCATGTACAGACAGGCGCTGGAGCTGCAGCTCACCAAGGTGCTGGGCGAGGAGCACCCTGACACAAAAGTGCCTGGATGCTACTAAGAAGTGAGTGTGATAGATAGCAGTTGGGCTTCGGTCTAAGTAATGGTTTGTAAGAGATTGGGCTTGAGGTGCACAAAGGCCCTTCTGCATATGTCCTTCTGCTGCATTTGCTGTTCTAGCTGGTGACTGACCTTACGGGTTACAATCTGTTGCATCCCTATGATAAAGTCAGAAAAGATGCTGGCCTAGTTGATCTCTGGGCCGAGAGGACAAGGACGTTTGGCTACAGGCAGTGACTTAGTGGCTTTGCCATGGCTAAAGGCTGACACTGGGGGATGATGGTATGATGTACCTAATATATAAGGTTGTGTGTACAGATGACGCCTTCTTGCTAGGGTCCTTGCAGCGCGCCTTGGGCCGAACCTAGCCGACGTGATAACTTGTAGCAGTTAGTGTTCTTTTGGGAGGTTAACTGGTTCAGTTCCCCGATGATACTGAAGGGTGTTAAGTTGGCATGGCGCGGTAGGGGCTTTCCTACAGCACACGGAGATGTTTGCCAGGGTGTTGGGTCGCCACTTGAATTTGGACAATGCAGAGCTTTTGCCCATTGGGGTTCCGTCAGGTACTGAGGGGCAGCAGGTTGTTCAGGGTGTGTCAGTGGTTTGTACGGCAGTGACTCTTAATGTGCCTTTTATTAACGTGGATACGGCTCCATGCCTTGACTGGAGCAAAAGGTTCCTAGCTGTGGAGAGCCGCTTACAGAAGTTGGCTGGTCTTCACCCATTCCATTTCTGTTAAGGCTAGCTACCAGCGCAGCTGCATATGCTCTGCAAACAGCCACTTGGCACATGGAGCATTCAGGCCTGCCGCCAGGTGCTCAATTGGATAGTTTAGGGAAGCAGACTGTTAAGTTTAAAATTAGGCACCAGGATCCGCAGGATAGGCATGCTATGGGATAGGCTGTTAGCTGGGCACCCCAGGGCAAGTGGTTTTGGTGCCTTGCGCTTAATTGAGCATTCCAGGGCTCGCTTTGCTGGTTGGGGGGGGCCTGTTTTGTTCGTTGAGCTGCGCTGCCAAGGGGCTCTTTGCATCCCTGGCAGCGTGCTTTGAGTTGTTGTTCCTTCAGTGTTTGCATCCGGATTTCGGTCCCCTAGCACTTTTGACAGTGACCTGGGTGGGGCCTTGAATGGGGGCTTACTTGCCAGGGGATACTCATCGTGTAGTGACTTCTATAGCAGTTCTACCACCGTTGCTGACATAGGGTCGCATCCTTTGGTACTGGGGAGCTGGTATTGGGGTGTTCCTTTGTGTGTCGGGTTGACAGGTCAGTCAGGTGTATTAAGTTTGGAACACCACTACCCAGTCCTAATTCATAGCCATGCACTTTGTTTCTTGGTAATGGGTGTGGCTGCTTTGGCTCAACAGGTTTGAGGACAGCTTTGCTTGAGGACATGTGGATTCCAGTGTTGTTGCATGGTGTGTCAAGGGATACTGAGGACAGGGCTATGATGTGATGCTGGTCTGTACTAGTACATCGGTGTTTTGACCCAGCTTCTTCTGCTCCCTGTGTTCTTTGTTACCTGCCTAGGTGTTGTAATCTCCTGCTGTTGCTTGAAACCTTGTTGACTGAAGCGCCTGTGGCTTGGGTGGTGGCTGCGGAGGTGTTTCTTGCTTGTTGACAGTTTGCCACCCATCCTCCATCGGCTATTGTGGATGCTTGGCAGGTTTTGGTTCCCCACTTGGGGTGACAGTTAACTCACGGAGTTGTTCCTTTGGGGACTCTGTCTGTTCAGATGTCCACAGTAATAGATTGGGTGTGTGTTTTGAGGACCGTGCTGTGTTGCATGTGGCCCTTATTTAGTAAGCTATGGAGTTACCTGCTACCCCAGAGGCGTTCTGGATGGCCTTCAGGATTCTCTCCAGCGCCTCTGAAGACATTAAGGAGACGCCCCACCTTAAGGAGACGTTTTGGTGTTTGTCCATCAATGAAATTCCCTTGCTTGGGAATTCTCATATGTACGGCTTCTCCTGTGTGTTGTGGCTGTAGGGCTGTTGTTTTGGGGATGTCTCCATGGTTGCATTGTTTCTGGGCCTCTCCCATTGCTTGTGCTGTGGTTGAGCAGCTTGAGGTTAAGTGCTGTGGTTCCTAGTGTTGCCATTGTGGTTGGCGTTGCCTCTCTCAAGCGTGCAGCAGTGTTTGTGGGATCTTGTTATCCTGGGTGCTTTGTCTGCTATGGGAGAGGGTCGGCGGGCTCGTGTGTGTGAGTCTGGTTCTGCAGGTTTTGTGCCTAGGCTCGCTGATCAGGCTGCCCTGTCTGTTGTTTCCTGGTTTGGGGGTCAGCTTCGGGATTTTATTTGCCAGTGTCTTGCTGGCCCGGTGTGTTATTGCCTATATGGCATGTTTTGTTTACCTTGCAGTGTAGGGTGTTCCCTTTTGGGGAGCCGTTGTAACGGTCATTCATTCAGTCACTCGATACAATCTTAGGCATAGCAAGGCAATTTGCCCAGGCCACACAGTACAGTAGAGCGACTGTATAGGATCAGCTAGCCTTATGTGTTACAACTTGGATCATACCTCAGGCATGTGGCGCCACCACCACACGGTAGTGCCAAGAGGTGCGCTTCACTACAGAGCAAGGCACGAACCATAAGCCAATACACGCCAAGATACCAATCCAACTGCGTTCACCACCCACATTGGGGCCCCAAGACACACATGTGTGCCTTTGCTTGCCTAACAGCATGTGAAAGAGCATGCAGGCACATGTAGGACCCTGGCCGGTTGCCATCACCATGCATCTCCAGGGACCGGAAGCCAACCAAAAGACAGGGTGTGGTGGTCAATAGGCAAGGCCAAGTAAGACACAGCCACAAACCAGCACCATTGAAGCTTTTGTACTCACACCCATACCCTATAAGTTAGGTATGAAGGTTCCTGCTAATGAACGAATGCCCTCCTGCGCAGCTGCCTTTTGGATGCATGCAAGCAAACCCAAAAGGTAACAAGAAGGCAGCTAACGATAACACACCAAGAGAACTAGATCATTGCTGCCACCAATGCACCATGAAACATACACACGCACAATATACACACATCTCCTTCACCATCCCCTCCCTCCTCAACCCAAACTTCGTCTCGGTATTGCCATATGCCTCAGTGACTCCCATGGACCGCTGGTGCCTCGCGGCCTCCCATGCAGCAAACATGTAGACCCCTGACTGCACGCAAACCCTTTGCCACATCAGCTCCCAAACACCATTCTGCCATCCACCATCAAACCAAGGCATCACCCGGCGAGGACGGCCCCGATGCTGCGCTGCCCTCACCCCTTCCCCCGCCCCCTGCAGCCTCCCCACCCGTCCAACCCCCACCCCCCACCGCCAGTGCAGCCCCCTGGTAGTTGCAGATCTGAATGGTGGAGTGCTGGATGCCCAGCGTGCCGCGCACATAGGCCTCCAGCGCGCGCAGCACCACCTCCGCGTCCGCAGTGCGTGCGATGTGCACATGTGCGGTCAGGATGGGCAGGCCCATGGAGAGGTTCCACACATGCAGGTCGTGCACATCGAGGATGCCGTCCATCTGGGAGGGGTGAGGAAAAGGAAGAGATAGAAAGAGAGGCGTAGTAGAGGTAAGGAAAGTGCGCCACAGTCCTGGATGCGCCAAACCACTACCTGACACCCCAGGGAATGCCTTGCCCCTTTCAACAACAGCACCATTCCCCTTCGTATCAGGCATATGGTGTGGGTGGTGTGACGCAGGGATGTTGTCTAATGTCCTTCTGCTGCAATTGCTGTTTTAGCTGATGACTGACCTTCTGGGCTACAGCCCATTGCATCTCTATGCTAAAGTTGGAAAAGATGCTGGCCTAGTTGAGCTCTGGGCCATGGAGACTAGGACGTTTGGCTACAAGCAGTGGCTTAGTGGCTTTGTCATGGCCAAAGGCTGACACTGGGGGATGGTGGTATGATGTCCTATTATTTTATTATGTTGTGTACAGATGACCACCTTCTGCTAGGGTTCTTGCATCGTGCCTTGGGCTGGCCCTAGCTGACATGATAACTTGTAGCAGTTAGTGTTCCTGTGTGGGAGGTTACCCGGTTCAGTTCACCAATGATACTAAGGGTGTGAGTTGGCCTGGAGTGGTAGGGGCTTTCCTCCAGCACATGGACATATTTGCCAGGGGGTCGGGTCGCCACTTGGACTCGGACAAAGCAGGGCTTTAGCCCATTGGGGTTCCATCGGGTACTGAGGGGCAGCAGGTTGTTCAGGGTGTGTCAGTGGTTTGTACGGCAGTGACTCTTAATGTGCCTTTTATTAACGGTTCCTAGCTGTGGAGAGCCGCTTACAGAAATTGGCTGGTCTTCACCCTTTCCATTTCTGTTAAGGCTAGCTACCAGCGCAGCTGCATATGCTCTGCAAACAGCCACTTGGCACATGGAGCATGCAGGCCTGCCGCCAGGTGCTCAATTGGATAGTTTAGGGAAGCAGACTGTTAAGTTTAATTATAGGCACCAGGGTCCGCAGGATAGGCATGCTATGTGTGGTCCGGGTAGGCAGTTAGCTGGGCACCCCAGGGCAAGTGGTTTTGGTGCCTTGTGTTCAATTGAGTAATTCAGGGCTCGCTTTGCTTGTTGGGGTGCCTGTTTTGTTCATTGAGCTGTGCTACCAACAGGCTCTTTGCATCCCTGGTGGCATGCTTTGATGTTGTTCCTTCAGTGTTTGCATCCGGATTTCGGTCCCCTAGCGCTTTTGATGGTGACCAGGGCGTGGCCTTGAATGGGGGTGAATAGCTTGCCAGAGGATATTCATCGTGTAGTAACTTCTATAGCAGTTCTACCGCCGTTGCTGAAAAAGGTCGGATCCTTTGGTACTGGGGAGCTGCTATTGGGTTGTTCCTTTGTGTGTGGGGTTGACAGGTCAGTCAGGTGTATTAAGTTTGGAACACCGCTACCCAGTCCTAATTCATAGCCATGCCCTTTGTTTCTTGGTAATGGGTGTGGCTGCTTTGGCTCAACAGGTTTGAGGACAGGTTTGAGGACATGTGGATTTCAGTGTTGTTGCATGGTGTGTCAAGGGATACTGAGGACAGGGTTATGATGTCTTTAGCAGCAGCAGGCCATGGAGGAGGAAGAGCAGGAGGAGGTGGTGACTGTGATGAGGTTCGTGATCACGGGCCCCCGAGGAGCTTGCTAGTGGAGTGCAGCTTCCCGCCCCTGACCCGCTTAGGGGGGTGAAGGCAGCGCTGGTGCCGCTGGTGGGGGGGCTGTGGGGCCGCATGGTGGAGGATGCGGTACGACACAGGTGGGGGATTAGATAAACTGAGGTGGGGGGGAGAGGGGTTGGATGGCTTTTGGTTGGAAAGAAGGGGCATCGAGAAGGAGGAGAACGAAGAGGGGAAGAGGATGTCGTGGGATGAGTGAGGGTTACTGTGTGCTGCGAGGCCGCAGTGTATCAAACACACACGCCTCTCCTGTGAGTCGTTCCGACTCACGGCCAGTTTCCATTAACTCACCTCCCCCACATCTCCGTCCCCATCCTCCCTCCCTCCCGCCCCCTCCCTGCCCCCCAAGCAGTCACCAGCCCTCCAAGCTGCACCTCTCCTGGCGTCAGGGCTACGGAGCTGTGAAGAGCAGGTCTGGGGAGGTGTCGGCGACAGTGCTTCAGGTGAGGTCAAAGACCACACCGAACCATAGGAAACCACAGGTTGGCGACAGTGCTGCAGGTGGGGAGGGGGAGCAGGAATGAGGGTTAGGGTGAGGATGGGGGTGAAGGTGAGAAGGGGGTGTTTGGAGTTTGCAAAGCGGCTAGTGTGGGAAGGGCTTCACCTCATGCGGTGCAGGGGGTGGAAGGGAGAGGTGGAGGGCACTTGCCGCTGGTGGTGGCGGTGGTGGGCTAGCTCTGACAGGGTGGCAGTACGAATGTATGGCGGCGCTGAGCCCTCCTCAACTGCCACCACCACCACCATACCCAACCCCAACCGCCCCGCCCCCTCACGTGCCTCAGGTGCTGAAGACCGCAACCGCCGCCGCCAATTTCGCCGTGGCTGCCGCTGCAGTGACGACCGGCATGGCAGCTACGGCAGGGGGAGGGGCGGCGGCTGTCACAACCTCCCATTTGCTAGTTGCACCCGTCGCTAGTCCTCTTCCTCATCTTTCTCCTCCTCCACAGCAGCAGCACCTGCTGCCGCAGTCGCCGTCGTCACCCTGCACCTCCGCGGCAGTCGCCTCCGCCACCATCGCCGCCGCCACGGGCGCCTCCGTCGCCGCGGCGGGCGGGTGGGAGGGTGCGGGTGCGGTTCCTGCCGCCACGCATGCGAGCTGCAGGGCGCTGCTGGAGGGGGCGGCGGGGCTGTTTAAAGCGGGGGCACTGGGCAGCATGCGAGGTGGTTTGCAGGTGGGTGGGTGGGTGTACGGCAGAGTGGGTCCGCGTACGGGTGTGTGTGTTGTTTTAATTTTTTACTTAGGACCATTGGGCTTCCTTGGGTTGAGGGTGCGGGTTTTGCACCTGTCGTAATAGCGCCATACCGGTATGTTATGCCGGTATGCCGGTTTACCGCCAAAGCAGTTCCTTCACAAGGCTTTATTACTTCTTCTCCCCACATGTCCCCACATGGCGCCGTTTGTGTGTTCCCTTGCCCTCCCAGATCACCCGGCTGGCAGTGTCCGTGTCGTACACCGGTGGCGGCAGCGGGAGTAACAGCGCCCCTGGCGGCAGCGGTGGCGACGGACCCATGGGTCGCCACCAGCACCACCACCAGCGGCCGATTAGTGACTTCGTGGCTGCTCCGCCCAACAGGCCGGAACCCAGGGCGCATGCGAGCACGGTCGCGAGGAAGGAAACCCCATGTAGCACTATTGATAGCGCGGGAGGCGGCAGGGGGGCGGATGGGGGTGGAGGTGGCAGCGCAGGCATGGCGGATGTGTACAGGGGAGGGCAGGGCACTGACATGGCCTTTGTGCAGGATGAGGGCGGACGGGAGGGTGAGCGGGGGAGGTTTGTTGGTGGTGAGGGGCGGCAAGTTGGCGGGTCCCCTGAGGGCTCTGGTGCGGCAGTTGGGGGGCCTGACGGCATTGGTGTTGCTGATGGTGGGCGGTCGCAGGAGGCGGCAGACGGAGGGGAGGATGGGGGCTGGGATTTCTCGTTCGCAGCGTAGCTTGCAGGATGCAGCTTTGGTTGGTTGTTTTGTTGTTGTAGGATAAGTCGACAATGTGTGCGTGCTGGTTGACAGGATTGTGTGCTATCGTAGAGTTGTAATACCGGTACCACTGCTGTTGGTTACCGGTATGTGTGCAGCGTTGCTTGGCCTCAAGCTCTGTGCTCGCCTGGTGCCGGTATATCCTGCTGTATAAAGTGTTGCGGGGTATGCGAACTTAAGGCAGCAGGAGGTTCCAGCTGGGATAGGAACGGAAGCGATTTGGATAGTTTTTGCTGAAAGGGTCTAGCTTTTCATGTCTTGCAATATTCACTAGGAGCACGGTTTCGTCCGCCGTACTAGCCTTGTGCCCTGACTTCGCGTCTGGTATGGGCATGAATCAGGTACGCATGTTAGTAATGTTGGTGGCGTTAAATTATGTATATCACTTCCGAAGTAAAGGGAGCACGGCGGTGTGTGCATTTGCGGGTGTGCTACTGCCGCATGCAATGGAAACATTGAATGCCGAGCAGGAGCACCTGAAGAGCCTCACAATGGCAGATGTATACAAACGTTTACGGTGTCGCTCACTGTCGTGCACTGCTAAATATGGAGCAAACGCCGGTGCTCTTACTTTGTAAGCAGGCCGCGAGGCCATTGACAGATGTATACATTGATCGATCGTCGCGTTAATCATAAATGTAAATAAAATATTATCGGTAATAGCTATTAGCTTATAACTTACAACTGTTATAAAGACTTCCTCGCAGCGGTGAACCAGGGGCATTGCACGTTTCGCGTCCCTTCCGCTGCCTGTTAGCCGCTACAATATGGACGGCGCCACCGTTCTTCTTACAGGCATAACAGGCTTTGTGGGCAGCGAGCTAGCGCGGCAGCTGCTGCAGGCGGGCGCACACCTGCGATGCCCCGTGCGCGACGCTTTGGACTCGCCACGCCTTGCGGCCCTGAAAAGTGCTTACGACGGCTTGCCAGGCACCCTTACCTTCATAGTAGGTGCCTGGGGATGAGGTATTGACGCTCATTCACGATAGGTGCTGGCCGTTATGCTGCCTTGGATGCCAATGGAAGGCTCGCTGGTAATCGCAGTTTGGCTTTGGCTGCAGAACGCGTACGGGCGCATTCGCACCCGAACTTCGCAAAATAATAGTTATTTTGTCGTTGCAATGTTTCCAAACTGTCCCTGTCAGAATGCGGATATTCGGTCTGAAGATGCCATGGCTGCCGCGGCTGATGGCTGTCAATACGTTTTCCACGTGGCGTCACCCTTCGTGATCAGCGCAGAGGACCCAGCTCGCGACATCGTGGCCCCCGCTGTGGAGGGTACTGCCGCGGTGTTGCGGGGAGCAGCCCGGCACAAGGACACCTCGCTCCGCCGCGTTGTGGTGACATCCTCCGTGTGTGGTGAGCGACAGGGAGTGAGAGCGCTACCGTGCTTAATTGATACCGCGCCAACTGATACCGCCGCTCTTACCAGCAGCACTAGGATGGGCATAACCCACCGCCTTTTTGTATCACGCACGGAACATGTACGGCGTCTACATACCGCACGGTACATGTACGGCCATTGCTACCAGCCTGCCGCCACCACCACCTAAGTGTATCCCCCTCTTGTGGCATCTCCCCGGCACACCGCCAACACCTTAACCAAGCCGTACCTCGTCCCCACTCGTCGTACATCAGCACAGTACGGCATGGGTTATGACACGGTCTCCCCCCCCTCCCCCTCCCCCCCCCCCTCCCCTCATCACACCCCGGTGCGCCACACAGCCGTTCACGACTGTCACGCCAAGCAAGCCCCCGCTGCGGGCCCGGGTGCGAGGTACACGGAGGAGGACTGGAACGGGGTATCCACACTGCAAGATGAGCCGTACTGGCTGTCCAAGGTACGGCAAAACATAAGCGCTTTTAGTCAGCGGTTACTAGCACTCGTATTCTCTCCGGAAGCTGCGTGCAAGTAACAGGAATACTCCACCTCTTCTTTTACCCCACCTCGCGCCTCACTCCCCACCAGACATGACCTCACACCTCACTCCTCACGCCTCCCCACCTCACGCGTCAGGCCGCCCCACCTCACTCTCCACTTCACACGACCCCACGCCTCAACCCCAACCACCCCCCAGGTTGAGGCGGAGCGCACCGCCTGGCGTCTGGCAGCCGAGCTGGGGCTGGGGGACCGCACCACAACCATCCTGCCCAACTTCGTGATGGGACCCGTGCTGTCACCGCAGGTGGGTGTTTGGGGTGGTAGGTAAACTGGCGCAGCTGGTACCGGAGGCTGTACCAGCACGCAGGTAGGCAAGAGGTACGCGCCTCTACCAGGTGCCTTCTTCTATCATGTCTGATCCTAAACCTGCACTCGCACCGCAACTTACACACGCTTACTCCTCCTCCATGTCCGTGTGTGCTACTTTCTCCTCTTGCTGCCCCTCCGCTTGCTGCCCTGCTCATCTTGGCATCGTGCACACCACCTTCGTTGTCGTTGTTATCACTCCTCATGCCCCGCATGCCCCGCATGTCCCGCGCATGGTATGTTGATATCCCCGCAGGTGGCAGGGGGAACCAGTGTGGCTTTCTTCAAGGCCTTTTTGGAAGCCACCCCTCCGTCCACCTCCTCCTCCTCCTCCAATGGCAACGGTTCCAATGCCACAAAGGAGGAGTCCGCTGATGCAGCGGACACTGCTGCTGCTGCTGCTGGTGACACTACCGCCGCTACTGGGGGAGCGGGAGCGGGGCGGCCGCCGCCAGCCGGGTCTTGGACGTTTGTGGACGTGCGTGACGTGGCACGGGCGCATGTGTTGGCGGCAGTGACCCCTGGGTCGGGCGGCAGGCGTTACATTGTCAGTTTGGATCGCGCGGCGAGCGCACGGAGGGTGACGGATATACTGAAGGTAAGGGTAGGGCAATGGTGGTTACCTTGTTAGGGGGTACCGGCTTGTGGCTGGAAGCAGCTTTCGGAGTGGGAAGGACGAGCTGCAGTAGGGGTCAAGGGTACCGTATTCCGAGATATGAGGGTATTGAGGTCTCAGAAGGCGTTTGGTGCTGCCACACCTAGCCACACTTCACGTTACCGGTTGTTTAGTTCACCTACGTTGCATCCTGATGCCCGCGCTTCCCCAAGCGACCCCGCTAGCCGAAGCTGCTCTCCTACCTAATCTTGATCAAGTCATCCCTAACCTGGGTACCGGTAACCTTCCCTTACTTCCTGCCATCACGTCCCGCACACCTCACGTCATCACCCCACCCAACCCAACCCCTCACCTCCCACCGTCAGGCCCGCCTATCCCAGCTGGCCCCCCACCTGCCCGACGGAGACCCCGCGGAGGAGGCTGCGCGGGTCGACGGCAGCAGAGTCGTACGGGAGCTGGGGTTGTCGTACACTGCCTTGGAGGACACGCTTGCCGACATGGCGACATCGCTGCTGCGGTTGGGGCTGGTGAAGGGGGTGCCTGGGGGGCAGCAGCAGCAGTAGGGGGCAGCGGCAGCTGGAGACTGCAGCAGCTGGGGAGCAGCAGCAGCCGTTTAGCGTTATTAGGGTTGAAACTGCAGTTGTTGGTCGGAGATTAGAAAGTTTTGGGGGTGAAAGGTGTAGGGGTGCGGTAGGGACAACGGCTGTGTGCGGGTTTGGGCTTTCGCGGGGTAACCGGTCTTCCTTGTACGAAGGAAGCGGGAGGGCATGAGGGCTTGGATCTTGTTAGAACCCCCTTGGTCCTGAGAGACTGGCTTGCAGGGAGCGAGGCGTGAGCGATACTAGGAGAGGCGTGAGAGGGCGCCTAAGGAAGGGTGTGTCCTTTCGACGTCTTGCCAAAAGTGGTGTGCCCGCGAGAGTTATGCTCGTCCATCGGCTTCATGGCGCATGCATGTCGTCCCACGCGGGAATTTGATACGCCGCTCTAGCTTGGACTGTGTAAGCGTGTAGCTTACCCGCTTAGTCACTACATAGTTTACGATGTCTTCATCACTTACAAAGCGCAAGCCGCTGACCGAGCCTAGCACAGATGTAAGCAACCCTCAGAACGAAAAAGCCCAGGGTAGGAAAGAGTTAACCCGCACTGTGTTAGGTAAACTTGTCCATAATTATACGGCTGTTTGCTTTGTTGACAGAGCCAGCTGGTGTTGCTCAAGAGCCTCGGCATTGTCCGTCGCGGAAGGGGCTGTCGTTGCTGCAGCAGTTGCTTGTAGCGCTAATACTTCTTGCTGCTGGATGTTTTGCCTCGTGGCGGATCTATGGGTGCTGGCCTTTCCTTAGTGGTCCGGTAAGGATGCCGTTAGTTACACCTTTGTTATGTCCGGGCAGGCGCTAACCTTTTCATCCTGCCGCCTAATTTGTCGTTAACAGAGAGTCTTCAGCAAGGCGGAGTTATCGCACTATGTTGGAAAAAGCGACTCAGCGTTGTACTTGGCCATCCTGGGGGAGGTCTTCGATGTGACGAAGGGGAGGCGCTTTTACGCCGGTGAGTCCTTATAGTACAGCTGGGGGATAGTTGTGGGCCCATTCAGGCTTCTGGCTTGGTTGGATTTGGCTGTATGGATGGATGTCACGTTACATGACGCCTGCTGTTCATGGCTGTTGCAGTAGCACTTCGGTTCCTATCCCTGCTTCCAACGCACTATTCAGCGTGTCACGTACGCTGCATGCTCCAGCTATCTCCATCGTTCCAATCTACATATTACTTCGAGCGCAGTCTGGTCCATACTGTGTATGATTCACAAGTCCCATGCACTCCAGCGCTAACCATGTCTCATCCACTTCTTCCACCTCATGTACTTCTTGCTGCCATCCCCAATGCATGTGCTGCCCTTCCCTCACTGTCCTTGATTGGCTCAGCCGACAAGGGCTACGGATTCTTCGTGGGTCGCGACGCCAGCCGGGCCTTCGTGACAGGTGGGTGCGCAGGAGCTAGGAGCAGGCCGAATAGCAGAGCCCACGGGTGAAGTAGGGAAATGAATTAGGACACCGGTTTATAGGCGAAACATTTACCCAAGTAGTGTGAGCAAGTGGATGCAGCAAGGGGGGTACGGCAGTTTCCGCTTACCTGCACTGCGGGCGCCGGTCCTGACCAACCAATTACGATCCCAGGTGACTTCGAGGGCGACTTAACGGATGACGTGGCAGATCTCTCCCCCGAGCAAATCAAATCCATCGTGGAATGGCGCGACTTCTATCACAAGGTAGGCTGGAGGGGGAGAGGTTGAGGTAGGGTGGGCATGTGTGCGATGAGCTTTGGCAACAGCAGCGCCTTGTTGCTTTTCACCCATCTCTCCTTGCATCCTCGGTCTTGGCAAACACAGTATGAAGGGACTCTTTACCCATTGTGCATCCTGGCATCCACCACCAAACACACCTCCATCCATGCATCCATCCATTACCGCGCAGACGTACACTTACAAGGGGCGGCTGGAGGGCCCCTTCCACGACGCTCGGGGCCGACCCACGGGTCACCTCCGCTGGGTGGAGCAGCAGGCAGCCCGGGCCAAGAGCGCCGAGGAGCAGCAGCGGGAGCTGGAGGCGCAGTGGCCGTCTTGCAACGTGCGGTGGACGGAGTCGGAGGGTGAGAAGGGCCCGATGAGGGCTTTCGGTTCGGTACACCTGTCCCTTGCCCTGACCGTCCCTTCCAGGTACCGGTGGCACATCTGGTCTGGTCTACAGCCTTAAGTACCGGTGCCATGCAACTCACCTCATCCCACCTCCTGCTTGCCTTCTTACACGTTTCGCAATCTCTACTGGTATGTGCTGTACTGCTGTTGTTACCGTCACCACCGCCCCTCCCTACCTCGCCCCCTCCTGCCACTGCCAGGCAGTACCGTATGGTGCGAGGGCGGTGCCTACCCGCGCAAGCTCATCTCCACCCTGCCCGGCGGCTCCGGGGGCCCAGCGGGTGCCTCCGGTGCCGCCTCCGCACCCGGCAAGACCACCACCTCCCGTTGCGCCTGTTTTGAGGAGGTGGGCTGGTCGGATGTGCGGCAGTTGTACGCGGGGTGCCCACCCGACCAGCATAGCTGTAAGATCCTGGAGCAGCATGCCTCGTAGACCGCGTCTTGTTGAGGGTCCCACTCGTGGTCCTAGTTGATCGTCCTTGTGAGTTTGTTGCGGTGAAGCAAAAGACGTGCGAACTTGTAGATGGCGTCGTTTCGACATCTATTTGAATCAAGTTTGTGAGCCCCAGGCAGAGGTGTTATTGGCGAACGGGAGAGTGACACAATTTGCCAAACAGTGCATTATTCCCTGGTAGTATCGGTCATAAGGGTTGACGGCGGCCAATGTGACACTGCGTGGGACACACTGCATGGTTGCATTGAGGTTTGTAAGGAACGCGTATGACTGCCCGGCCGTACACGGGCTGAACCCATGCGGCCCCTCCATGTCCCTTGCTGCCCCACACGCATGCCGTGTAAGTTTATGCCGTACATTCAACTTTCCGTACTCCGTGATGGAAAGACCGTACGGATCTTAATCGTACAATATCATCGTATACCGACCCGCAAACCCACAGGGGCGGCCAGTCTTGTTGACCACCACGCAGACGGAATAGACACACCCACCACCTCAATTACGATCCATTCCGCACTGCTTTGCACTACATGTGTCCAAGGGTTGGTTAGGAAACCAGCGAGCCGTGCCACTTTCCGAGCACGGTAAAACACACACACACAGCGGCCAGTTTTCTTAACACACAGTGGGATAAGTTCAAAACCGTTGAAGGCAGTCACAACCAGATAACAACCACAACCTCTTCGTAAATCACAACTCATCACTCAATGCAGCAAACGCTAGTGTGTTTGTCCTTTCAGAAACAGCACGTTGTGTCCAAAGTACGTCAAAACATGTCCTTGTCTACCGTGCCTCTAAATGCGAAGGTCCTAAAAGCCGCTACTGTTGAAACTGGACAAGGGGGAATGCCACTACCCACGTGAAAGTAAACCACAGTGCTACAAAACAAAACACCAGAGCTCCTAAAAACATATCACCACATGAGAAGGGCCCATTCCCGCCCGAGTACCCACCTAGAAACACTCATGTCCAAGCCCCTTGCCCCTCCCCATTCCCCAACTTGCAGTAGGAGCAGGAGCAGCAGCAGCAGCAGTCGCACTGTTGAAACCGCCTATATTCGGCAACTACTACCCATCATCACCCGCTCTCACATCCCTCACTCCATGCCGCCCACCCGTTCCTAGGTGCCACGTGCCAGACACGCACACTATACCATGATGGAACTCATCTTGTTCAGTCTGTCTTGTTATCCTTCCGCTGTGTCTTTGGCTGCGGCTATTGCGGCTAGTAAAGCAACACTGAAGACCTTTCTCACATGTGTCCGAGAGCGGCTCTAGGACACTGACCGCGCTAACCTAGTAGCTAGCAGCCACCCTCATATGCCTACGCACGACCATTCCACTCTCTCTTCTTTACTCTCGCCCACTTTGTAAGGCTGCACTCCCCGGTGAACCCCCCCCCGGCAGCAGCAGCAGCAGCAGCAGCAGCAACAGCACCCACCAACCCGAGGAGCGCAACAAGGGAAGGCCTCTGCCAGTCGTGTCACGTCACCGCTCGCTCTACTTTGCCTCGTCATTCATATCCCCCTTCATCTAACACCCTCCCCAAAACAGAACCCATATGCCGCTGCCTCCCTCGCTACTAACATGTCCCGCGCTGCAGAAAAAAACACCTTCCCCTCACTTGCCCCGGCCCCGGGCCCCCCCGCTGCCGCCGCCCTTGCTGCTGCACGCCCGGCACACGTAGCTGGAGGGCTCGTCCGCGTCATCGGGTATGTCGTTGCAGCGCGTGTGCGACCAGACGCCGCACACGTCACAAGCAATCATGCGCTCTCCGTCGTCGTCCTGAGGGGGAGGTGGGGGGGGGGAGTGGGCGAATGTTGGAGAGGCAGAGCGGCGTGTACAGAGTTGCCGGTCAGAACGGAGGAGCATGTGGTACATCAGGTAGGGTGCAGGACCGGTGCACTGGTCGTGGTTCCCCCCTTCTTCCTGCTGCTCAAGCAGCCAAGCAAAAGCAGCCAAGCTAGACTCACTTGGGTGCCGCACAGGCAGGCCACCCGCCAGTCCTCCGGCCCCCCTGCATGTCGCCATCGCAGGTCGGTATCCAAACCGCTGCACCGAATCACGACAGCAAGCGGTGGCGGTGGCGGCTGCGATGGCGGGGCCTGGGGTTGCTGCGTCGGTTGTGGTGTGAGTGCTGCTGGCGGGAGGGTGCCAGCAGCAGCAGCGGTGTCGGCGCTGCCGTCGGCGCTGCTGCTAGTCGGAGGAGCATCCGCGCTCGTGCCAGGCGGTGCTGCAGCCGCTGAGGAGGCAGCGGCGGCAGCGGCGGCCAATGCGGGTGCTAGAGAAGCCGAGTCGCCGCCGGAAAGAGTCTGCATGCATGCGTAAATGTGAGCCGGGTGGTTAGCAAACAAGACCGTTCTTGCCAGGGATGTAACAGTACCACATGGACACTGCTTCAGGATGCTTTAAAGCACGAGAAGCTAGAGAACAAAAGAAGTTTTATCATACGCCTGATCGGCGAGCGTCGTCATACCTGCTCATCGATACCCTGCACGATGCTCGTCACGGCAATGTCGCCTCCCCCGGGTCGACGGCACATCCGGTACGTCTCCGAGAACGCCGCCGCCGCCGCCTGTTTCAGATCGCCCAATGTCACGACGGCGGTTGACGGTTGCCGAGGCGCTAACGGACCAAGCGCAACCACCTCCGGCGGAGTCAACGTCAGCTGACGTGGCACCTTTGGCGGCGGCGCACGCGCCGCCGTTGCCGCCACTGACGCAGCCGCGGCGGCGGCGGCGACGTCAGCCGCCGATGGCCGACCCGGTCGCGGCGGTTTCGGCGCCGTCTCGTCCTCGAGTTCCAACGTCACGAGCACTCTCGGCCGGCCGTCAGCGGCGGAGGCAGCGGCAATCGCCGCGGCGCCGCCACCACCATAATCCTTTACGTAGTACTTGGTGTCTTTGAGCAACTGTACGGCAGCCGCCATGTACGGCAGCGCTAGCGCCTTCAGCTCCGCTGCCTGGCGTTTCGACAAGAGGGCAACTGCCGTACAAAACGCCGGCTTGTACAGCCGCAGGATGCTGCAGTACAGGTACTGCAGATCGCACTGTGTTTGGTCGTTGATGTACGTCAGGGAGGTGTTGTGGTGGGCCTTACCAGGCAGTACGTAAGGGTTAGTTGGCGCCGGCGGCTCGGGATCGAAGCTGGTGCCTCCGCCGCCACCGCCGCCGTTGCTGCTGTTGGCAGCGGCTGCCGCCGCCGAGCTGGGAGGCCGACCACGTCTACCGCTGCCAGGCCCGCCGACGACAGCCGCGTCCTGCGTCGGCGTCGTCGCCGCATGCCGGGCCTTATGAATGTAGGTTAGCGGCAACGAACGCAGTAACGACAAGAAGGGCTCCTCCGACGCAGCGGCACCCAGCGCCTCCGCGGCGGCAGCGCTGGCGGTAGCCGCCGGCGACGGCACGATCTGCCACTCGCTCGCCGCCGTCGCTGCTGACGACGGCGGCGGCACCACGGCGGCGGTGGGTAGCGCAACCGCAAGCGACAATGGCGTGGCGTTGGCGCCAGGTGCCGCCGTCAGCGCGACGACGTCGGCGGCGGTGTTGCCGCTGTCGGCGGCAGCAGCCCCGGCGGCGCCGACGGTACTCACGTCCATTGCAGCGGGCGCGGATTTACGACCCACGCCACGCGGGCCCTTCGGAGGCCTGCCCCTAACCGGAGCTAATGCAGACGGCGCGTAAGCTGCCTCAGCCTTCACAGACGGAATAGCGAACTCGGTTGCAGTCGGCAGCAGCGGCGGCGGCGCCGCAGCCTCTGGACCAGCGGCTACAGGACTCGTCGCCGTGTCCTGAGCCGCCGCCGCCGCTACCGTCGTCGCAGCCGTCAGCGCTGCCGTACTGACGGTGCCGGCGCCGCCGGGGGTAACTGCCGGGTTGCCGGCACTGCTAAAGGACCGTGCCACTCTTCGGCGCTTGCCGTTAAGCAATAGGGAAGCCGATAAGCCGTCGGTTGAGAGGCCGGAGGTCGTTGTTTGGGACTGGGAAGGTATGATGACGTCAGGGCGCTGAGAGTCGCGACGGGGCCTTCCTCGCTTTCGCTTGACGACGGGAACCTCCTCAGCCGGTGCTACTGCCGCCTCCGCCGGTGCTGACGCCGGCGGCGGCTCAAGCGTACCACCGTCAGCGCTTGGCTGAGTGACGGGAGCGGCCGCAGCGGCATCTGCATCCACCTTGACCTCTACCTTGACGTCGGCAGCTTCCTGAGCGGCGGCGGCGGCAGTGCCAGCCGTGTCACAAGTCGCCGCCAGTGGAGCAGCAACGGCAGCTGCCGCCGCCGCGGCGGCGGCGGCAGCTTCGGAGGTTGTCGGCGGTAGCACCGGCGCTGGCTGGTTGCGTCTTAGCGGAGAGGTAAGTGCTGCCGGATGGTTCGCGACCTTACCGAGCCGAATACGGAGGCCGCCGCCAGATGTCGGAGAGGTCTTCGCCGTAACCGCCGCCGCCGCTGGGGCTCGAGGTGACCCGGCCACCAGCGGTACGGCAGGCAGCGGCGACGGAGGCGGAGGTCGCGGAGGCTGTGGCTCGGTGGGAGCGGCCGGCACTGGCTGTCGTACAGTATCGCCGTCAGCGTCCGATTTCGCTGGATCAACTGTTGTCGTACCGTTTGCTGTTTGTCGTACCAACGCATCGTCTGCAGCTGGTGGAGGCTCAGCGGGGGTTCCGGGCATGGTGCTTGCAGGTATAGCAGACGGCGGAGGCGCCGCTGTGGCGGTGGCGGCGGCGGCAGCGCGGGAGGTCGCGCTTGACGTCGCCTTTGACGGCGCTGAGGCGGCCTTGGCTGCCGTCGCTTCAGGCTTGACGCCAGTACTAGGTTTCGCTCCGGTCTTTAGCTGCTTAGCGGAAGCTGCAGAGGTAGCCTTGCCGGGCCCCTCGTCAACAGCGGCAGCGGCAGCGGCGGCGGCAGTGTCTTTGCCTCCGCCGCCGCCGCGTCCACGGCCTGAAGCCCTGCTGACGTCACTGCATGTCTTTCCGCCGCCGTCGCTAGTTGCCGGTGTGCTGGCGGCGGCAGGGGTCGCTATCCCCAGCGCGGCGATAACCCTGGCTGCGGCAGCTGTTGCGGCTGGCGACCGTTGAGCCTTGCGGGCGGAACGGGCCTTCTTTGTTATCGTAAGGCCCAACGGAAAGTCAACAGGCAACACTGCCGCCTCCACGGAATCCTCTTGTTCATGCTGCTGCTCTTGCTCCTCCTCCTCCTCCTCAGGTTCCGGTTCTTTGGGCTTAGCGCTATTGCGCCGGGGGCGTTGTACGGCGACCGCCGTCGTCGGTGAGTCAGCCGCCGCCGCCGCCAGGGCCGTCTTCGCTGCCGTACGCAGACGCTGCGGGCGCTGTGAGAGATGGGTTGGCTGTGGCGACGATGACGGCGGCGACGTGCCGAGTCGTGTCATGGGTCGCCCCGCCGCTGGGGACTTGAACGCACCAGCGTTAACGCCCTTTTCTGTCTCTTTGAGGGCATCCGTCGGTGTTACACGGCCCTTACCAGCCTTGCCGACGATGCTGCCTACGTCAGATCTTCCATCTGCCTTCGCTGCAACACCTCGCATCCGCATTGGCCCCGCCTCCGCCGCTGTTGACGGCGTCGCAGCCGCCGCCTCCGCCGCTCGCTTGCCCTTACCAGCCGCTTTCGCCGCCGCCTCGTCACTGGTTTTCACAACCGTCTCGGTCTCTTCCACTTTCACCGTGACGTCAGGAGCCGCCGCCGCCGCTGCTTGGCGAGGGTCTGTCGCCGCCGCCGTCGCAATCGCCGTCGATGCCGTACATTGAGGTCCCGCCTCCGTCGCGTCGTCCTGCTGTGGCCGTACTCCCTTTCCAACTCCAACAGTATGCGGCTCCCCAACCGCCGCCGCCGCAGCATCCTTACCACCACCAACTGAGGGGCCAGAGGCGGCGTCCGCAGTACGACGGCCGGCTGATCGTGCCGTACCCTCCTTCGTTACAGCGTTGCCGCCCCCGGCGGCGGCTGCCGTACTGGCAACGTTGCCTTCACCGCCGGCCGCATGAGGCCTCTTCCCGGCATTCCCGGACTCCGTCGTGGCGGGGGCGGCGGCGGCGTTGGCGGCAGCAGCAGCTGGACCAGGATTGCGCTCAGCCGCAACAGCGTTAGCCGCCGCCGCCGCTGCTTGCTGTTCAGCGGCAGCCAAAGCGTCCGACTGCTTTTCTTCCTTCACTGCAATGACAACGGCATCCAAAGCAGGACCATTTGTGCCCGCAGCGGCTGCGCCCGGCGATGCGCCGTCACCGTCCTTTACGCCAACTGCCTTCCCTCCGTCCACTTCCATGGGCTGCGGTTCCTGCACTGCTCCTGAGGGCACTGTTGTTGCTGCCGCCACCTTGGCGCCTTCCCTCTCCTCCACCTTGCTCTCTTTATGCTGCTGTTGTTGCTGCTGCTTCTGCAGCCTCTGTTGCTGCTGCCGCTGCTGCTTCAGCTTTGTCAGGGTGGACTGACTCATGAGGTAGCGCAGCTCTCGAGGCACGCGAGGAGCCTTAGCAGCCACGGCAGCGCCGCCGCCGGCTGCAGCCGCCCCTCCCTCCCCTCCGCCATTGTCCTCCTGCTGCTGCTCAATCCGCGACTCGAGCACGCTATCCAACAGCGCCTGGCCCTCCGATTGGTGTTCCTTCGCGAGTCCGCGCCACAAGGAGGTTGTTCCGCCGCTGTGGCCGGTGCCGCTGCCGCCGCCAGCGGCGGCGGCGGCGGAAGCGGCCCCGCCGGATGGCCGTTGAGAAGGAGCGACAGCAGCGGCGTCGCCGCCGGCGCTACAAGCATTGCGAGGGACGTCATCGTGCGGCTTCTTGGCATCATGTTTAGCTGCATGAGGAGCCGCACTGGCTGCTGACGCGGATGCACCGGAGGAGGAGGCGGCGGCGGCGGAAGCAGGGTTCCTGCTTTTGCTGCGGAGCTTGACAGGCGAGCGTACCGCTGCCGCCGCCGCAGCAGCTGTTGATGACACCTTGCGCCCCGTCGGGCCCTTGCTGGCCGCAGGAGGAGGGTGCTGAGGACCAGCCTTTGCCACTTTTCCGCCCCCGCTCGCGGCGGCTGCGGATGCACGCGCAATGGCGCCGCCGCCACCGCCACTGCCGCCGCTGGCTTGTACGGCACCGGTTCGCGGACCAGCGGATGCGCCGCTGCGCCGCCGCTCGTCCATTGCCGCCGCCGCAGTTGCTGCTGCTGCTGCCTCCTCCACCAGCGTTAGTTCTCGGACCTCCGCTTCCGTCTCCTCTTGCTTCACTGGCTGGCCAACAGCTGTATTTTGTACGGCAACGGCAACCGTCTCGTCGGCCGTCGCCGCCGGCGCTGGCGACTCTGCTTCCAAAGGCTTGTTCGACGCTCCCTCTGCTGCCGTCGCCGTCGCCGTCGGCGCGTCTTCGGCCTCCTTTCCGTCACCGCCCGCCGCTGCGTTGACGGCATCAGCCCCCGCTGCCTCCGCAGCTGCTGGAGAGGTAGCGGCGGCAGCCGAGGCTTCTTCGGCCTTCCGCGGCAACTGCTGCAGCCGTTGCTCAGTGGCAGCAACGACAACGTCCTGGCCATCAGACATTGCGGCGCCGCCGACAGCGCCGTGGCCACCGCCGCTAGCAGCCCCGTCCGCAACCTGCGCAGCCGCCGCCGTTGCAGGCGGTAATGTAGGCTGCTGCTGCTGCTGCCGCTCAGGCTCTGCTGCCGCCGCCGCCACTGTTGCTGCCGGCCGCGTTTGGTTGCGCGCCTGACGTGGCTTAATTAGGCGGTTGCCCTTGCGCGCGTAAGGCCCATGCGCCGGCACGGGCACGGTGTACGACAGGGGGGCGTCCGGGGGCGTGCCGGGGAGGCGTTCCAAGCTGCATTGCAGTGCATGGGCGTAATGTGTACAACAATATACGACAGGGGCGGGAACAACAACACAGGGCTCATCGATTGGCTGATCGTGTGAAACATGCAGCCTGATGCAAGCAGTCGCTACGTTACACGATACCATCGCAAGCGTTACTCACCGGTAGTAGTAAGATCGGGTTACCGTATACTTGGAGCGGTAAACCGCATAGCCACCGATACGGACATTGGCAACCTGGGGGGCCGGTTGTTGGTGGTGGGTGGTGGTGGTAGCGCGTGGAAAGGTGGTACACGGTAGCGGCGGTTGGCGGTTATGGTCGTGCATTACGTCGCGGCTTGGGAAGTAGCTCACCAGTATGGACCAGTATGGACCTATCCTCCCCTATCTCGCACTCCCTCCCAGGAATGGAATGGGGACTAATGATTCCCCGCCCTTCCCCTTCGGCCCTTCACCCCTCATGCACCTCTTATTCTTTCCAACAGGCATCCTACAAGCCTTCCTCCTTACCACCCCCGCATGCACCTGCAAGCACCTTCCCCCCCCACACCCCTCCCTACATCGCCTTCCTCCTCAAACAGTTCGTCAGTTTTTTCTTACTCATACCCCTCCCTTCCTGTGTCCCTCCCCCTTCACCTGCTTCAGCACCCAGTCAAGTAGCTTGTAGTCCCGGTAGGTCTCCATCATGACGTCACGCAGCTGCAGCCGGGCCAGCCACTGCCGCATGCAGTGCGACTGCGGGTAAGGGAGGGGGTGCGGGAGGGGGTGCGGAAGGGGGGGAGGTAAAGAGGAAGTGACCAGTGTGGTAAGGCGGCATCAGGAGGAGGCAGGGGGGTTGGGGTGAGAGAGGGCAGGCGGGGCAGGCGTGGGAAACGCGTGTGGAAGAGGGAACGGCACGGAGAAGCGGCGTGTGGCGGTAGTTGGGTTGGTGCGACAGGGGGGTGAGGGGTTTGGGTAGTCGGGCAGTCACTCGGGCTATAGTCACTGCGCCCCTCCTCACATCTATACGGTACCCCCAGGGCGGACATATGGACATGCGAGCCATGTTGCAGTGTTGCAACCCCCCCCATTCTTCGCGTCCCCCCCCATGGTGAAGCCTTGCCATACAGCTCGTTAGTTGCTTCTTCAGTGTCTCGTTATAATTTTTACCCACCCACCTGCAGCGCCTCCAGCATGGCATCCATGGCGCGCTGGCAGTCACGGAGGTGCATGTCGTGTTCGGGGACCGCCTGGGTGGAGGGAGTGCGCGTGGGGTTGGGTGTTAGGGTTACCGGTATAGGTGTTAAGCAATTCAGAAACCCACCCAGGTATCATGGAGGGCGGATGTAACATTGTTGAGGGCAGCGGTATACCACGGTCTACGGACAACAACCGAAGATCACCCAGGCAACTGACCCCACCCCACCATGTGGGTGGTTGTCAAGTAACAGCCCGCACATGTGCCGTACCGCTGCTCCCCCATGCAGGACGCGGCCTTGCGTTTTCGTAGACATGGCACATTCGTGGAGGCCTAACCGACTCTACGTGTTCCAAGGTTCTAAGCTTCCAGGCTCCCATCCCTACTCCCCAACGCCTCCCCCACACCACCGAAACCCCAACCCCCAAACCCCAAACCCCCAACCCACATGCAGCTCCCGCAGCGCTGAGACCGGCTCCCGGGGCAAGTCGTCCGGCGCGGGCCCGATGTGCGCCCCCGAGCTCGCCTTGCCGCCGCTCCGAGCGCGACCACCGCCGCCACCAGGCGTTCCATTGAGTTCAGCATCGCTGCCTACGTCGCCCTTCACAGCCTCGGCGTTCGCTCCAGCGGCAACGACGCCCCCAGCGGCAGCAGCCTCCACCGCGGGGGCCTTCTCGGTGCCGCCGGCAGCAACAGCAGCGTCGGGGGCGGCCGCGGCGGCGACGTGGCCAGGCAACGGACCCTCTACAACGCCGTCGCGTGCAACCACGGGGGCAGCGGCCTCCTTTGCGCCGGCCTGGGCAGCAGCGCCAACAGAACCATCAGCGGCAGCAGCAGCACCGTCAGACTTTCCTTTACTAGCAGCAGCAGGGTCAACGTCAGTAGCGCCGTGGGTGTTGTTGCCATCCTCCGTAGCAGCAGCAGCAGCTGCTGTGTCGGCAGGAACGTCTCTAGCAGCGCCCTTGCTAGCAGCGCCGGCGGCGATAGGCTTGGGGGCAGCGGCGTCGGAAGCAGTGGCGTCCGCGGCATCGGCTCTTTCGGGACCAGCAGCAGCAGCCGTGCCGTTATCAGCAGTGGGGTCCGTGGCGTCGGCAGCCACCTCCGCCGCCTCCGCTGCCGGCGCCTCTGCTTCCGCAGCGGGAGCCGCCGCCTCCGCTACAGGACCCCCAGCCACCGCTGGGGCAGGGCTCCCCTCCACTGCAGGGCTCGCCTTCACTGCAGGGCTCGACTCCCCGGCTGGAGCCGCTTCCACCGCAGCCGTCGGCAGCACCGGCGCCTCCTCTGTTGCGAAGACCGTCGTCGGAGCATGAGCAGCGATCACTGCATGGCACGCCTCCGCAGCAGGCGCCTCCGCAGCAGGCGCAGCCGCTGCCGCATCTGCCGACGCATCCGCCTCCACCACCGCAGCGCCCGCCTCCGTCGTCGGCGGAACATCCGTCGCTGGCGGCGACGCTGAAGGCGCCTCCGCTGCCGCTGCGGGGTTCGCTTCTTCACTCGTAGGTGGTATCACTGCCGCAGCTTGTGTGACAGCTGCCGCAGCCGCCCCATGCGCTGCTGCCATCTCCGCTGGCATCGACTTCCCGGACACCTCCCTTGACGGCGCCGGCTCCGGCGGCGGAGGCTGCGCAGCCACATGTACGGCAGGTGCAGTACCCGCAGCGACAGCGCTGTCGTCCTCCTCCTCCTCCTCCGGTTCGCTGTCACTGTACGGCAAGCCCAACAGCGTCGCCCCAATACTGTTCCTGGAATGCGTCGGGGTGGACGCCTGAGAGCGCTGGGACGACGACGACGGCGCCGTCGGTGACGCCACTGTTGCTGCCGTTGCCGTTACCGTTGCCGCGGGCTGCGGCGGCGCCGACGCTGACGACGTCGCTAACCCTGCGTTACCATCACCGGACATCGCGGAATCCCGGCCGTCGGGCCCGGTCAGCGCCTGAACACAAGTCTGGGACATGATGGATTCCACTGGAAGCCGTACATCCTCTGATGGTCCGGCGGGAGGCAGCGTCGTATCCGTACTGTACGACACCGCCTGTTGTACTGCATCGGGACCTCCTCCAGGCTGAGAAGGAATCTCAATGCCGCCGTTCTGCGCTGCCTCCTTTGTTGTTGCCGTCAGCGTTGCTGTGGGCGGCATGGGGGAAGGCTCATGTTCTGCGGTGGGGCTCAGCCTTCCTGTCGTAACGTCCATGGGAGCTGCTGCGCTGCTCGGGAGGCCTGCGTCCGCCATGGCCCCAGCATCAGCATCAGCATCAGCATCCGCATCCGCATCAGCAGGTGCTAACGCCGCTACATCGGCGGGTGCGGTAGCGCCGGCAAGGGCAGCGCCAGCGGTGGCGTCAGCAAGCGCCGTGCCTTTGTCGAGCGGAGAGTCAATAGCCATCACGTCCGCCACCGGTTCCTGCCCTGCTACCACCGTCGGCTCCTTAGCAGTCGTGTCAGCTGTAGCAGCTGTTGCTGGTGTGTCGTAGTCGCCAGGGGCCGCTGCTACAGCCGCAGGAGCTGCTGCATCATGGTTAACAGCTACTACTGGTGCTGCAGAAGCATCTGGAACATCAGCCGCAGCAGCAGCAGCTTCCGTGGCAGTGGCCGCAGCTGCTGAAGGTGTAGAAGCACCGTCAGCAGCACCAGCAATAGCAGCAGCATTGCAGGCCGTCACCTTCTCCTCCACCGACATTGCTAAACCACCGCTACCGCTGTCCACCTCCATGCATGTCACATCGCCCCCACATGCGGCAGCCGTCGACTTGCCAGCCTCAGCCTCCATCGCATGCCCCATCACTGCTGCTGCCGCTGCTGCTGCTAGCGTCCCAACAGCCTCCTCCTCAGTCACAGGCAAAACCGCAGCAGATCCTGCCGACGCCACCTGCGGAAGGGAGTCAACCACCGCCGGCGCTGGTGCCGCTCCCAACCCAGGGACATCCCCAACAGCTTCGGAACCACCCACCTCCTGCGGTTCCATTACCCCGCCCGGATCCGCCATGTCCGCTGCCGCCTCGCCACTCGCCGCACGGAGCAGCTGCTGCTCCTGCGCTGGCAGCTGCTCCACTACCGCACCCTGCAGCTGCAGCTGCTGCTCTTCCCCTGCCACTGCAGCTGCCCCCATGGCCACCGCCCCTAACGCCTCAGCTGTTACAGCCGAAGGAGCAGCAGAAGCATCCGCATGCGCACCGTTTTCAGGCTGCATTCCCTCACCCTGCTGCCCGCATGCGCCAGTCGCTAGCAGCTGCTGGGGCTGTAGCTGCTGTCGCACCGCCCCAGGGTCCGTGACCGCTGCATCCTGGACTGGGGTCGGCTGCTGAGCATGCTGGGGTTGCTGTTGGGCCGCCGCGGCTGCCTGTGTTTGCTGTTGTTGTTGTTGTTGCAGCTGTTGCTCATGTAGATGTGGATAAAGATGTTGAGGGGGCAGCGGCGGTGCGAGCGAGAGCGGCTGGTCAGGCAGCTGTGGTGCATGCGAGGGGCCTGCTAGGCCTCCTGAGCAAAAGGCACTTAGCTGCGGCTGCGGGTCGGGCTGAGGCTGCGGCTGGCAGGAGGGCGCATGAGGCTGCTGTTGCTGCGGATGGCTGTAGGGCCATGACAAGCAGGAGGATGAGGAGGGGGTCTGCATGGAGGTCGTCTGCAGGTGTTGCTGGTGCTGAGGTGGTTGCAATTGGTGCTGCTGCTGCTGATGATGCAGTGGAGGTTGCTGCTGCTGCTGTAGCGCCGGCGAAGGAGCATCCAAGTCCATGCCTTCGTGCACCGGTGGTGTTGCACTTGCAGGGGCAGGGCTCAGGAGAGGACATGGAACTGGGACACCAGAAGGCTGCTGCGGAGGCATGTGGGCGGAGGATTGCAGCGCTGGCCCTTGCTGCTGCGGCGGCGGCTGTGCCCCTTGAACAGGGGATTGCTGCGGTGGTGGGGGTCGCTGCTGCTGCATCGGCGGCTGCAGGTCCTGCTGCAGCTGCTGTTGTAGCGATTCCTGCGACGTCTGCTGCTGCGCCTGTCCTAGCTCCTGCGAACCCTGTAACACCAGCTGCTGCGGTGGCGCCTGCTGCTGCTGCTGCAGCTGCTGCAGCGACTCGTGCGCCTGCTGCTGCCCTTGTGGCTGCTCCTGCGGTAGCAGCTCCTGCAGCGGCAACGGTAAGCCCTGTACGAACAACGTGAGCTGCTCCAGCGCCGCGAGGGCATCCGCTGATAGCGGCTGTACGACAGCGGCGGCAGCTGCAGTAGCATCGGAAGGAGTTTGGGGCGGTGGCGGCTGCTGCTGTGGCGGCTGTAGCTCCTGCAGTTGCTGTGGTGGCAGCGTTAGCAGCGGCTGCAGTCCAGACGGCGGCCGGTCCCACTGCTGTAGCTGCTGCTGCTGTGGCTGCAACTGCGGCGTCGGCCCCTGCAAAGGAAGCTGTGGAGATTGCTGCTGCTGCTGTTGCTGCTGTCCCCACTGCTGCTGGTTTCCCTGCGGCCCAACCTGCGGCACGGAAGGCTGCAGCTGCTGTGGTTGCAGGGGAACCCAAGCCTGCTGCTGCTGCTGCGGTTCTTGCTGCTGTGGGTGGTGGAGCAAGCCCGGGGATGGTGGTAGCAACGTCAGCTGGTGCTGCTGCTGCGTCTGAGGTTGCTGTGGGGGCTGCAAGACTGGGGCTGGAGCCCCCGTAAGGCCCGCGGGCATTGCCCATTGCGGTGCCGGCGGCAGCGAGGGCGCCAAGGGCACGAAGCCATTGGGCAGCTGTGGGTACCCCGCATGCAGTCCCGGCGACCCGAACTGTGATGTCGACACGGGCACTTGTAGCTGCTGCTGTTGAGGTTGTTGCTGTTGAGCTGGGTATGCAGCCAGTTGCTGCTGCTGTGGTTGCGGCTGCGAGGACGGCGGCTGGGGCGGTTGCAGCACCAGCTGTGGCGGTGGCGGCAGCTGCTGGGGAGACAGCTGCAGCGGCAAGGGCGGCGGCAAGAGGTTGGTGCTCGTGAGCTGCTGCTGCTGCTGGTGAGACTGGGCGGGGTCCTGCTGCTGCTGTGGTTGTTGCTGCTGTGGAGGAGGAAGCGACTGCAACTGTGGAGGTAGCGGCTGCTGTAACTGGGGTTGGTGTGGCTGCTGCAACTGTGGCAGCAGGTGTTGTTGCTGCTGCTGCGACCGGTGGGTCTGTTGGTTGTGGATGGATGGTTGTTGCGACGGAGACTGCAGGAAGGGCTCCCCTGATGACACCTGCTGTTGCTGCTGCAGTTGTTGCCACTGGGGCGGCAGCAGCAGCGGAGGTTGTTGCTGCTGTGGCTGCTCAAAGAACGGCGCCTGCTGCTGCTGTTGTAGTGGCTGTGGTATCCAGGGGCTTTGCTGCTGCTGCTGCTGGGGCGCCTGCTGCCATTGCTGTGCTTGCAGTTGCTGCCAGCCTTGTTCGTGTTGTTGTTGCTGCTGTTGCTGCTGCGAAGGGAACAAGGGAGGAACGCCTGACGAGGGCAGTTGGGGCTGCGGTAACAGCACAGGCACAGGCAGGGCTTGCTGCTGCGGCCCCAGTGTCACCTCCCCTTGTTGCTGCTGATGCGGTGGCCGCTGCCGCTGCTGCTGCTGCTGTTGCAATGGCTGTACCAACGGCGGCGGGAGCGACAAAGGCTGCTGCTGTGGCAACAGAGGCGATGACACAGACTGGTGGAACAAGCCCGACGTGTGAGGCGTGCTGCTGGGAAGCGGCGAGACCCGCGGTGTGAAACCCACGCCTGGCTTTGTCGCCGGACCCCTGCCCGCCGCCGCCGCAGCGGCCTGCGCCGCCACAGCTGCCAGGGCCGCAGCAGCAGCAGCAGCCGCCATTGCTGCAATGGATGCCGAGGGCACGCCGGCGGCGGGACCTGCGGCGGGTCTCACAGCAGCAGCAGGGGTGGTCCCTGTAGGAGCAGCGGCGGTGCTTCCTACCGAGGTTGTGAATGCGGGAGCGGTGCCACCGCAAAGAGCAGTCCCTCCTGTTGCCACCGCCGGAGGAGGCGCCGCTGCTGCTGCCGCCGCTGCCGCTGCCGGGGTAAACATGGGGGTCCAGCCGGGGCTCTGCAACGGCGCTAGCGGCGGAGGCGGCGGCGAAGGTAGACCCTGATAGCCAACGCAGGGGGCTGCTGCAGAAGTACCGAAACCGGCAGCAGCGGAGGCGCAATCACCGCCCCCGCTGCCGACAGCGGTTCCTCCGCCAGGCCATGGGGACAGACATGGCGACGGTGCGGGAACTGAAGGGGGCGGTAACTGCAACGACGCCGCCGGCGACTGCCCTGTCAAGGAAGTGGTGGTCTCCATTGCGTCTGTGGCCGGAAGCGAGGGCGAGGGCCCTGCAAGCACCGCCGGTGGCAACCCTGTGGATGGTACGGCACCCGCCGGCGACTGCAGCGCAGGCGTCCCCGCACCATCAGCACCCCCCGTTGCGCCCACCGCAGTCTCCTCAGCAGCCGAGGAGGACTTCCGCCCTCGCTTCGCCGGGGGCAGGCTACCACCCTGCAAAGCCGACTTGCCCCCCTTGGGCGTCTTCCGCCCGAATCCACCACCGGCCGCTGGCAGGGGTGGCAGACCGCCGCCGCCGCCACTGCCGTCGGCTGCTGCTGCTGCTGATGCGCCGCCGCCGCCCCTGCCGGCCGCCGCTCTGGATGCCGCAATGTACTGCACCCGTGCTTCTTTGAGGAGGTCGGGCCGGGAGATGAAGAACAGCATGCGCTTCAGGAGCTGACCAAAGGTGACGTCGGACGGCAGGGAGGGCGGCAGGGCCCAGTAGGTGCGCAGGATCTTGGCGGCAATGGGGTCCGCACCCTGTGCGCATGTGGGTTTCGGGGTTTGGGGCAGCATCACATACCCAGCGTACACAACACACAAAGCAGACTCTCCGCGGCTTAGTTGCCTTGCCACACAGCGTCTAAGCCTTGCCACCGTATACACGTCGTTCCGTGCCGTACGCGACGGCGGCAGCTAGCGCGGCGGTGACACCCTCCCGTCCACTAAACCTGTATCGCCCTCCCTCTCCCCCACCCCAGCCCGACCCCACCCCCACCTCCATGTCCTGCACCAGTCCCGCCACGGGCGCCAGGTGCACCGCCCGCACCGCCGCCGCATACTCTTCCGCACCGTAGTTAAACGCGCCGCGACCGAAGCCGTACCCCCACTTGCCGTACCAGGTACGTGCATGCGCTGCTGCGTACAGCAGGCGCAGCAGCATGGAGGCCTTGTTGCTCACGTCCTCCACACTGACCTGCATGCGTGTGCCCGGGTGTGGGTGGGGTGGGTAGGAGTGGGTGGGAGTGGTAGGGGGGTAGTGTTGTGTGTGAACTTGCTGCACCGCAAGTGCTGTCAAAGAGAGAGTCGCTGCCGCTGCTGGTCCCTGAGCACAACAGCCCCATGAGTAGACCGGTCAGACGCCAGTCGTGCCCTGTAGCCAGCCTCCTCGCACAGCAAGGACGCGAGCACCCCCAGCTCCCCTCGGACTCCTGTCTCCCATCCCTCCCATCATGCCCAACCTAGCTCCTCCCACATCCCCCCCCTTCACCCCACCACCTCTCCATCGCCGCCTCCTCCCTCCTACCTCCCGCGCCCTCAACGTAGCACACAGCGCATCCCAAAGCCCCATCAGCTCCGGGCCCGCCAGTGACGGCCCCGCACTCGCTGCCGCCGCCGCCGCGGCTGCGTCGCCGTCCGCCGACTCGTCCTGCGCCGCCGCCATCGCCGCCGCCGTGGCGGCGGCGCCGTCGCGACCGTTCATCCGCAGCAAGTGGCCGAAGCCATTGGAGTGAATGACGCCGTGCAGGCAGTGAGTGGTGGAGTCGAAGATGGAGGCGGGCGCGTTGAAGGCGCTGTCCCGTGGGTCGCTGTCGTACACCTCGACTGCGAGGTTGCTGACGGTGGCGGTTGAAGGGTCCACTCGGCCTGGGGTGGAAAGAGTTAGGAGAGGGGGAAGATGGAGGAGGTAGGGTTGCGGATGTAGGGGATACGCAGGGGCTGGGCTAGCGAGGAGCGTCTAGGGAATGCCTCCAGGGAAGCCCATGCCCAGCCTAGCCTCTGTTGCCATGCAGGGAACAGCAAAGACGGCGCCCATCTTGTCTCCCTCCATCTACGGGTACCAGCTACCTAGCGTGCTGCGCTGCTGCCGTAGCCCCACGCGGCTCAGGGGCCCTTTTGACCGCCCCTCAACTCCAACCTCCTGTCCAACCAGGCTCCTGCCCCCGCCCCGCCTCTCCCTCCGCCCCGACGCAGCTCCCTCCAGGGTGGCGCAGTCACCCCTGCTCAAGCAACTCTCCGCGCCCAGCAACATCAGGCCCGGGTCCCTGGCGCCCCCATCCCTCCCTCCCTTTACTGCCCCTACTGCCGCTGGTTCCCGCTCTTTTCCACCTCACCCGCTGCTGCCGCCTCCACCAGCGAAGGCAGCTGATCTGGGTCGGACAGTACGGCAGGGCTGGGCAGGATGAAGTGGTAGCGCCGCTCCGAAACCGGGTGGTGCTGCCAGCCTGGTAGCGTAGGCGGGAGGCAGGGTTTGGAAGGAGGGGGAGGGAGGGGGAAAGGAGTCGGGACGAGGGAGGGTATGGGTGGGGCGGTGGGGGAGATGCGTGCAGGGATGAAAAGGGCTCGTCTGCTGCACATGGGAGTCACAAGGCTCGTGCGTGAGGAACAGAGGAGAGTGATTAGGGTACATGGTTTGTAAGAGCATGCATGCTGGCAGCTCCAAACAGACGTGTAGGCAGGCAGGGTAGCCGGTCAACGGGTGGAGGCGCAGAGGGGCTCCTCAGCCGCCCCCACCCCATCCAGCCCCGCACGCACCCATGTTGCGGCACTGGTCGCATATCGAGGGCGCCCCAGAGGCCTCGTCAAGGTGCTCCTCATAGACGTGCAGCTTGACGGTCCCTTCCTTGTGGCTGAGGGGGACTATCCATGCCGTGGTCAGCTGCAGCTTGACCGGAACCAGACTCCCATAAGACTTGAGGAATTCACTAATGTTGTGTCTGAATGGATTGTGATACGTGGGTGGGCTGCTTGGCAGCCAGGGAAAGCCTGGCGCGTTTGCCATTCTCAGGTTCACCAAATTGGACTTAGTCTGGGCCCGCCATCTTTACAATACTCGTTAATGTATACAAAGCAACCTTGCAAGTATTGGTCAGCACGGCGCCCAGCGATGTTTCCCTCTGGGAAACCCGCTTCGGGCGCCGCTCCCTACAGCGACACTGAAGCCTGTAATATGAAAATAGTCTCTCTAATTAGAACAAAGTAACGTTCCATAATATTGCAAGTAGAGAAGACTGCGCCCGCATCTATGTCATGCAGGCTATTCGGTCTATGCGTCTATCCGGCTTAATCCGCTTGCGCCGCACATAAAAACAGGCTGTAATTCTTGTTTCCAGGCCTATATTTACAGGCATTCTTTGCTTATGCAGATGAGTTAATTTATGACTGAACCCACATCCAAGATGGAGTAGGGACTCTAACTGACTTTTGCGCTATCATCAGCTGATTAACAAGCCGCCAATGATGAACATTAGGAATCATCATAGAGCAGAACCGCGACCTAACCTTCGTTCTCCTTGTCCAAAAGCGCGGGAAGGGGTCCGCGCAGTGGTTTGCGCTGAACTATGCGAGCGGTGAATGCGTTATCTCTTATAAACATACCAAGCTTGATTCATCTGGGCCGCTGCGTTGGGCTGTTAGAGAGGTTCCAGCCGGGTCCTGACAGCCCCGGTCCATGGTTCGGGCATATGCTCTAGTCTTCAACAAGCAGTTCCATGCACACTACCACGCCACATTGACATTAATGCAACGTAGGCGTCGCCACACCATGATCTATTCACTGCTTTCATGGCTTAGAAGCTAAACACCAATTCCTTAACACATCATCCACTTGTGCTTGCATTTTTGTCATTGGCTTTCATCTCTCGCAGAAGCCTCAAGTAGACGTCGCGTTTCTCGTGGTTGACAAGGCGGCGCTTGGCTGCGAGTTGTTTCCCGGAGCCGCTGCCATCATAGATGGGCGCCTCCGCCAATTGCAGCATCGCCCATCCCAAACCACCTGCAGCGGTATCGGTGCAGCATGCAGCCCAAAGCAAGCCAATTCAGCTGGTAAGCACGACGGTCGTAAACATCATTAGCAACAGGGACGGCGTAGGGGGGCAGGAAAGGCTTTAACGCGGGGTAGTCCTGCAGGTCTAGGACACGGCAACGTGTTGGTCACCCCCTGTTGTGTCTTGAGACTCTTGGCAACAAGAGTTGCAGTCGGCTGCAAAGGCGGAAAAAGCGGCTTGCACCAGCTTGAACAACCAGTTATCCGCAACTCCAGCACTTAACCGGCGACACAGGGTTCTGCCAAGTATGGAGGATACTGTTGGTGGAGGATACCCGACGCCTTCCCGGCACATTCCCCCATCGTCCGCATAACCACTTGCGCGGCTCATCCCACCCCACCCCGCCCTTCCCTCACTTACCCATGTATCCTCCCTCCTTGTGCAGACGTGACCAATGCCACGACGTCAGTTGCTCGTTGTCCAAAACCTGTACGACAGTTCGACTTGGCGTCATCAAGGATCCGTGCACTACCGTACCATTCGAGCAGCAGCGCTGCGGTCCCCAATAATAAGAACATTGTCCAGTTGTAGCGCAGTGTGCAGGCCGAGTACATGTAACACAGCCCGCGTCCTAAACCATTTCCGGCGGCTAACCACACACCCTCCCACCCCCTCGTTCTTTGTTTCCTCGTCACCCAGTCACGCTGCCAGCCCCTCACCCGGTCCCAGAACTCCCCAACCAGTGCCGGCTTGTCCAGCTGGAACCGCTCAGCTGGCACGAAGAAGGGCGACAGCAGGCGGGAGGAGTCGTCGCGGCCCCAGTCGGGGTAGCCGTGGGGCGCGTAGAAGTCCAGCGTGCCGGCACCGGAGGCGTCCCAACCGGGGCCGGGGCTGCCGTCACGTAGCTTGAAAGCACGCCTGTTACCGGTGGTTGGCACATAAGTAGGTATTGAGGTTTGGTGGGGTGTTGTTACAGCAGTTGGGACGGAGCAACAGCTGCTGAAGAGCAACGTTCCTCATCATGCGTGTAGTTATGCATGGCACGGCACCTGGGTAGCCTGGCCCCACCTGAGAGCGGCATCAGAGTAGCGGTTGCCGGGTCGGGGCTCAAAGTCATCGATCTTGCCACGTAGGAACTGCAGTGTGCACATGCTGTACATTTAATTACATCGGGATGCTTGTTACGGCAGTAAGCAGCAATATCTATGCCAATTTCTGTAACGTTGTCTGGTGCAACGCTATCAAGCATACACAGCGGTGCCAAGAGGAGTAAGCATACCGGTATCCCCCTTGAAAGCCAAATCCCAACCCAACACACACACACACACACAGAAGGGTCGCTTTACGAGAGTGCTTCTTACGTCCTACTTACTCTCAGCACCAGTATTGGACTTCTATATGTACATACGCTACCCTATTCCTCGGCTCCTGCGGCGGTTCTGTGGGGACTTCATCTTCCGACATCCCAGTATGTTCCTACTCGCGGCCAGTTATTTTAACACAGAAGGGTTTGTACCAATTGTCACTTACCACTGCACGGCCCACACGACCAACCGTACACCTACCTGGGCATCCGTACAGTACGGCATGCTGTGTGCCCCCACGGTGACCATGGCCCGTGGGTCGGTCCGGTGTATGGCTGCTGCCAGTCGGGACACGAAGCGCTGCAGCTGCGGCACACTCACGTCCGCGGTGCGCAGCCGGCAGCTGGTCACCTGGGCGGTGGGGAGCGGGGGAGGAGAAGAGGGAGTGGGGGCAATGAGGAGGTTGGGTTCATGCAGGAGGAATGGGGTTGGGTAGCAGTGCAGGCCGCGGATAGCGACGAGGTATGGGCCATGGTCGGCAGCGGCTGCAGCCGATCACGACGCAGACAGCCGCAGCTGGTGTGGCTCCACAGGAACAGAGTGGGGCAACAGGCAAGGCCTTACCAGCGGTAACAAGTACGGCAGCTCCGAGTTGTGATGTCCAACGACATCGATATACATCAGTCGGTTGAGCCACAACCGCTTTCCGTTTTCGCCGCCGCTGCTGTCAACCGGAACCCTGCTCGTTCCATTCGGCGGCTCTGTCGCCGCGACCTCACTCGCCGCCGCCTCCCAAGCAGCCGCCAGGCTACCGTTAGTGCGGTACCATGCCGTTGGTCCAGCGGCACTGAAACCGTTACAACCGCAAACTGCTTTACCAACCGTCGCCCGTCTGCTGCTGGAAAGCGCTTGCAAGCAGATAGACTGGGAATTCCTGCTAGCTCCGTCGACGGCTGCGAATTGCTGTAGCTGCTGTTTCAATTGTAGATGTTCGTTTTCTGCTGCAGCTGCGATGAGGTCATTCAAACGTTGGGGTGTCCACAGGGAAGACCGGCCATTAACGGCGGACGACGGGGCGAAGAGGGAGGTATCTGACAGGCAAGGCCCCGCACCACCGCTTCCGTCGCTCCTGCCAGCAGAACCTTTTTGTGAGGGGCGGTTCCCCCCGACGAAGTGCCAACCCTCGTATTGGGCGCTGTCCGTCCGACCCTGTTTTGAGATGTGGAAACACGTGGTGATAGGTATTTCGTTATGTTGGCCACGGGTGCATAGCAGGGTCATGTAAGTATGGGGATGTAAGAAGAAGGAAATTGACGAGCTGTACGACAAGGCTTCGTCGTAGGAGAGGGGCAGGTACGTCACAGTGCAGGGCTCCAGGAAAGGTGATGACGGGGATTCGATGAGCTGACTGGCCGCATGCTAACTGACAGCTTCCCTTTAGGTAGTTCATTAGGAGTAGCAAGAAGGCGCATAAAACGACGACTTCCAAGTTTACCTGATCTGGCAGGCGTTTGCCTCCGAAGGTTTTCAGGACCTCCAAGTACGGTTATGTCCCCAACACCAGGGGTGTGGTAGAGGGTACGGCAGGGGTGGGAAAAGAGTGGGGCAGAGGGTAATGGGGCAGAAAGGGCAAAACGTATTAGTTTAGATTGAGGAAAGGGTATGGGAAAGGGTATACGTAGATAATACTCCGTGTCCATGCATGATAGTTTCCGTATTGCGGTAGTCGTGTTGACATTCTATAGCCCGCCTGCGCAGCCCTAGTGTCAGGCCCCAACCCTGGTTTGGGCCAGGCACCGACCCACCGACCCGTCCACCGCACTTGCCGGCCGCTGGCACGAACCCACGCATGCACCCGACACTACAATGCAAACCTAAAGCTGCCGTACCTGCAGAGTACGGCGATCACCAGCTCGTTCTGGCCGTTTGCCGTACCAATCTGGATCTTCCAGACTGTACTGTCCCCATGCCATGTCGTACCTGTCGTACATGATGAATGAAACGTACGAACAAGGATAACGGCATGGCGTCAGCCCGCCACTATTGTCGCTACAACACTAGTCGAGTAGATGCCGGGCAGAGCAAGCATACACTTAATGCGTGAGGCCAGTTACAAGCATGCCTAGGAGAAACATATATAATCCATGAACACAATTGTCGTAGAGGTGTCGTTTACCACTCGGTCGTACAACAATTCGTGTCGTACACTCGTGTCCTACATGTAATTGTGGTACAGCCTCAGGTCCCAGCTCATTCCCTCCGGCTCATTGAGCACCTCATAGCCCAGTAGCACGGAGGAGTAGGTGGGGCCGGCGGGGATGGTGGCAGTGGAAGGGGCAGCGGGGGTGGAAGGGGCGGTGGGGGCCTCGGTAGCGGGGGCGGCAATGTCGGCTGGGGCGGCGGCAGTGGCGGCTGTCGAAGCCCCAATTGAAGCAGCGGGGGCAGTCGCAGCTACTGCTGCTTCCGCAGCTGCTTCCCCTTCCCCTGCCGTTTCCTGTCCTGCTGCTGGTTCCGGGGCTGCTTCATTTGCTGCCTCAGTTGCGGTTGCATCACCATACGACGGTACGGCGGTACCAGGTACGGCAGCAGGAGCCACAGCAGAGACCGCGGCAACCGTGGGAATCGTTGTTCTGACGCTAGGAGTGGCAACAGCAGGAGCGGAAGCGAGAGTGGCAGCCAATGCGGCATCCGAAGCTACAGCAGTGACGGCTGCGGGTGCGCCAGTCGCCCAGCCCGTCGAACCAAGGGGCTCCGGCGCTGCAAGGAGGCTGGTGGCTGTGGCGGGGCCGCCTGCACCTGCACCTGCACCTGCGCCGGCGGCAGCGGCGGCGGCGGCGGCAGCGGAGGTAGCGCTGGCGGCAGTACCTGTAGTACTTGCGCCGGCGGCAGCCATGGTGGCGGCGGCGGCGGCAGCGCTGGTAGTGCCGGCGGCAGCACTGGTGCCGGGCCTGGCGGCGGCGGCGGCAGTGGCGGTGGATCTGGCGGTGGCTGCATCGACCTGAAGCAGCGTCAATCTAGGCGGCACCGTCATCGGCTCGTCGGGTAGGACATCGTCGCCTTCGCCGGCGGCGCTTCCGGCGCTTCCGGTGTTACCGGTATTGCCGTTGGAACTGCTTACGTTGCGTGTTGCGGCCGACAACCTCCTCATCGTCAGCAGCTGCCGGCCCCGCCCCCGGCGTGGGTCACTGCTGCTGCTGCTGCCGCTGATGTTGCTGCCTTCGTTGTCGCGAACGTCTTGTTGGACGTCTACCGGTATATCCTCAACCTTATCAACAAATACCCCATCAGCAACAACAGCCGCCGCCGCAGCAGCAGCAGCACCACCACCACCACCACCCGCTGCTCCTCCACCACTAGGAGGTGCTGACTCAATGGGTGTGGTGGCGAGGTGTCGTACCAGCGGTACCAGGCAGCGCTCCACGTACGCTGCCGTACCTGCTTCCGTACGGATCATGTGCAGCGCGCGAGCCCGGTGGGCGGGTGGGTTGTCCCTGTGGGTTCAGGGTGCGGCGGGGTGCGGCGGGTTGCATGCATGCATCCGTTTGGGTTGAAGGGATTCTGAAAGACGGAAGACAACGGGGGCGAGCAAAGCAACCCTGCGCTTGCAGGGGGGCGGACAGGAGCCTCCTCCACACTTTTGTACCGTCCATCCGCACCCTGCCCACCCTGCCCACATTTTGGAATTTCTTTTTTGCCCACCCTGCGTTACAGTACCCGCCCACCCGCCCACCCACCCACCCGCTGGCCACGCCGCCCCGCCTCACCCCCTGACCGCCCACCCACCCGCCCACCCGCCCACCCGCCCACCCACCCCACCGCTGGCCACGCCGCCCCGCCTCACCCCCTGAACGCCCACCCACCCGCCCACCCACCCACCGGCCACCCCGCCCCACCTCCTGACCGCCAGCACGTCATGCGACCACAGCACCAGCAGCACCCGCACACCCCGCCGCCAGCAGCGCCGCAGCAGCCACTTTAGGTCCTCCACCGCCGCAGCGTTGCAGCCCACCACCACCTCCTGCGGCTGCTGCGGCTGCTGCGGCTGCTCCCGAATATCGACAGCGGAGGTGAGCCATGGTGCGGTTCCCATGCGGTGGACACCGGTAAGAGCAGGGGAGTGCTAGGTTGATAGTGGAGAGGAGAAGGACAGCATTGGCAGCGGCCCCGTAACGCCACTCGTCGCCCCGCCCGCCCACGTCTCCCCAGCCTGCCGCCACCCAGCCCCAGCCCTTATGGACCGGCTAGGACGCTAGCAGCACCCCTCCCAGCACACCCCTCCTCCTCCTCCACCTCCTCATTCCACCTCACTCCACTCACCCCTCCTGCTCCTCCACCTGCGGACCCCCAGCAGGGGTTGGCGGCTCCGTCGATGTGGAACCACACGCGCAGAAGGTTGCCCCCCGCATCCGCCAGCTCGTCTACTGCGGTCTGCGGAGGAATGGTGAAGGGTGAGGGCGAGAGGGAAGCGAGGGAGGGAGGATGGACGGCGTGAGCTAACTGAGGCGGAAAGCCTAAGAAAGGTACGGCAATATCAGGCCGCTCTATCGTGGGACAGCTTACGTGTAATAACACCGAGATTGGGACAATACGGTTCCACGCACAGGGCGGGAGGTACGGCAATACGGTCCGCCGGTAGCAACCCACCCGCAGCAGCTGCCGTATCTCCTCCTCGCTCTGTTCCACCCGAGCAGCTCGGAATGGGAAGATGGGCAGGTTGCCCAGGTTCAGACCTCGCCAGTGGGTAGACAGCAGGGCAGCGGAGGCGTTCCTAGCCCCGTTGGCATCGCTATTTGGGTGGTCCTGTCGTTGCTGAGGAGGTTGCCCGTGGGGGGTTGTCGTACCGGAAATGTTGGAATCATCGTAGTGATCGTCGCCATTGTCATTGTCAGCGTTGCCGTTATTGTTGTTGTTGTCGTCCTCGGTGTTGATACGAACACTGTAAGTACTGTTGCCCTTGCTACTGCTACTGCTACTGCTACTGTTACTGCTACTGCCGCTGGTGCTGTCTTTCTTGCCGTTGGAAGGCGTCGGTGGTTGAGTTGAAAGCAGGAAACGGCGGGGGTGGTTACTGTTCAAATTGGTTGGTTGTACGACAGCCGCGGTCCCAGGCCTACTGGCGGGATCCAGGAGCATTGGATCCAAGGATGGGAGACTGGCGGAAGATACGTAGGAGATGAAGGCGATGACGACGAAGAAGAATAAGAACGATGTATGTTTCAAATATGTGGTTGCACGCCTGCATGCTGCGGTAGTGAGGGGTGATGTCTTGGTGGCAAAAGCGCGCCGGTGAGAGTGACGAGGTGGCCCATGGGTCCAGTGCCTGACACCGCTTGCCATAATGTGTTAAAAACGTGAAGCGCGGGTATGTGCGTGTGTTTATACTTGTGATGCATGCAGCAGCGTAGGTGGCGCACTGTTTGTTGTGTTTGTATGCCGGCGTCGTGTGCCAGCAACGGCAAGCCGGATGAAACAGCGAACCAACGATATATTCTGCTGTCGGCTTTGTGTGTTGTAGGATAATAAACGAAATGTGCCTGAAGAGCGAAGCTGCATTCGCTTATATGCGTTAAGGGGCCGACGCTGGACGGGCTCCGAGGCCACGTGGACGAGTTGGGCTTTTGGTCCTGACAGATCCAGCCGTGCTGGCGTGCTAATCAGTTGCTACTTTGGAAGCAATTTGGAGACTTCGCGTTGCAAGGCTTTCCGGCAAAGCACCCCAGGATGAACCTTTTGATCACCTTTTCATCCAACTGTCGGTGAAGAGGTGCTGCTCCTGTCCGCAACAGCGCGGTTTGCACTCCTCCACACATAAGCTATTTTGATTACTGAATTGTGGCCTGCGATGATGTGCTGACTTTTCAGGGTTTCGGCAGGTGTGAGTTCGGCATCGGATTACTTTTACAAACCTTGTCGTTTGCTAGTTTTCCATACAGCTTTGGCAGCTAGTACAACTTTTCAGAACGGTCGCCGGGCCTTTCCTGGCTCAGCGACATGGCAGCGGGGCGTCAGCTGGCAAATTGCTCCCGTTGTTTGGCAGCGCTGGCCAGGAGAGGACGTTTCCAATCTGAGGAAGCTGCATCTGTCGTTAAGGCGCCCAGCGCTCGCCTGCTTCTGACGACTAAAGCCAGCGCTATCATCGTACCGGTACCTTTATCAGCAGCGCCGGCACAGGACCGAACATCCAACCCGGCGCTCTCTCAGCAAGGCTTGCAGGATGGCTTTTCAGATCCATTCAACATCGTCGCAGATGCTTCCCGGAGCTTCCAGTCCAGCGCGATGTCAGCCGACGCATGTCGAATGCCGGACCCCAACGCGGGGCCGGGGGCCCCGCACGGCTCGCAAGATTTGCCTCAACCTCACGGATTTCAAACAACAGCACAGCCTACACAGCATCTTGAGCGGCCCGCGACACCGACCTCGCCATCCTCATCCCCGATGACATCATCCTCGTCCCCATCCTCCAGCCCAGGAGACGCCTCAGCACCTAGCCCACGATCTCGCTTCACCTTACATTGGCGGTTCAGACACGCCACAAAAGATTCCTCTCAAGCCGCCTCCGCCTCCCCATCCTCCTCCGACTCATCCTCATCGTCTCGTTACAGCGACCCCAAGGATGGCTCCTTTGCGGGACGTATTGTACAACATGACGGCAACCATGCCGTACACTTGCTCGTATCAGGTGCGCCCTTACAATATTTGCACTCCTTCTGCTTGAGTACGGGCCTCTGTCCGCACATGGCATGCCTCCATACGATCTAGACCGGCCCTCCAGCGGCCCTTGTCACCTCTCTCAACCTCATCCTACACCTCAACCCACCAGTCTGCTGTCTTGGCGCTCTCCCCGCCACCCCACCTCACCACCACCTCCCCACCTCCCCACCTCCCCTCCCCATTACCCCACCACCCCACCTCACCACCTTATACACCACCCCACCTCACCTCCACCCCGTCTCCACCCCTTCCCACAGGTACTGGCGCTCGCGACTACAACCTCCGCATGGTGCGCTGCCACGCGCGAGATGAGCTGGTGTTTGGAGGGGGAGCAGGCGGGGCGGGAGGGGGTCTGAGCAGCGCATCTGCAGGCACAGCGGTGGCTCGGGGCGAGAATGTGCCGTTCACCACCTTCCTGTACCGGTGGGGGCGGGCGGGGCGGGGCGGGGTGATGGGGGGGCGTGGTGGTGGAGGGGGGGGTTGCGTTCGGAGGTCCATAGGTCAGCGCTTTGTGGTTGCGGGCATGCGGTGGGTGGGTGGGTAGGTGGGTGGGTAGGAGGAACAAACGTGGAGAGCCCCTCTTGGGGTTGGGGTTGGGGTTGGGACCTTCCGCTCCTCCACCCCTCCACCCCCCCACTCCCCTCCACTCCCCCCACTCCCCGCACCGCAGCCAGATCCGCGATGCCGTGAGCGCCACCTTCCTGCCCGCCGGCTACCCAGCAACCACCGGGGACAACTACGTCAAGTTCATGGGATGGCAGGTGGGAGGGGGGGGTGGGGCTGGGGCCGGGGCCGGGTGGGGGGGTGGAAGGTGACGGGTGGGTGGGCGGGGGGTGAAGGCAAGTTGGGTGTTAGTTGTTAGGTCAGCTGGCCGCATGGCAACACGGTCACGGTCACACTGACCTGGGAAAGTGGGGATGTGGCAGCTGCATGTGTTCGGTGTGTGGCTGTGTGGTGGCCCGCTCATACTAGTCAGCAAGAGTCGCATCAGAGCCCTCAACGCGTCCCTCACACCGACCGCCCCACTCGGCTGCCGCCTCCCCTTTACACGCAATCCTATTATCCAGCCAAAGGCGGAATATGTGTCCCTATAAATCCCCGTCTCATTGTCACCTCCCCCCCTCCCCCCCCCAGGGCATCAACAACATCGCGGTGACGGCCAACTCGGGTGAGCGGGTGCATTCGGGCTACCCGGGTTACCCGGCTTACTCGGGTGCGGGTGCTAGCAAACTGTCGTTAGTAAAGAGCCGCATGGTGACACTACCGGTCACACCGGCAGCGGCAAGCAGCAGGGGCAAGCTGAGCCCCTGAACGGCGGCAACGCATGCGCGTGCGTGTGTGTTTCATTTCCTTCCCTCACCCCCCTCTCCCCCCCCCCCGCCCCCTCCAGTGCTCGCCTCCACCTTCATGCTGTACGCTGTGGGGCTGGGTGCGGGCTCCATACCCACCGCGGGGGCGCTAAACTGGGTGCTCAAGGTGCGGGGGGGGGGCGGAGAGGGGGGGGGAGGGAGGGGTCGGGTGTTGTTACACCCTGGGTCATAGCTCACTAGGCCGCTGCACTTAACATAACGGCCATGCGGCCGTAGGTCAACGGGCGTTGGGATTCTGGTAATAGTTCATTTCTCTTCCTTTCTTGAGTCCTCGCCCTCTCAACTCACGCCTCTCTCCCTCCCCCCCACAACCTTCCCACCCCCCCGGGGTGCAGGACGGCATGGGCCAGCTGGGCACCCTGGTGTTTGGGAAGACCATCGCACACAACTTCGATGTGCACTCCAAAACATGGTGAGGGGGGAGAGGGGGGGGGGGCCGCAGGGGGGAGGGGGCCAGAAACCCACCGCGCGTAGAAAGCAAAACGAAGGGGAGGAAAGCGAGGGCTTTCCCCCACATGGCCCCATCCCCATGCCCCTTTCCTCGCTTCCCTCTCCCATGCAAACCTCCATTCCTTACTCTTTCATCCCATGCCTCTTCCCTCCCCTCCATGCAAACCTCCCCTCTTCACCCTTCCATCCCATCCACCTCCCCCCCCTTCCATCCATTCCCCCCCAGGTTCTTCCTGTCCGCGGTGCTGCTGCAGGCCGCCGCCGCCCTGGAGCTGCTGACGGTGCTGGCGCCGGGGCACTTCCTGCTCATGGGCTCGCTGGCTAACACGCTGAAAGGTAGGGCGGGCTGGAGGGAGGGCTGGGGGGGAGGGCAGGCGGTGACCCGTGCGAGTGGGGGTTTCATTGTTCCACGTGATCATATCCCACCACGTGATTCCTGCGACTATTACCGCTCACCCTCCCCTCCCCCCTCTCCCCCTCCCTGCCCCCAGGTCTTGCATGGATGGCCGCCGGCTCCACCCGCTCCGTGTTCCACCTCAGTTTCGCGCGCGACAACAACATAGCGGATGTGACGGCAAAGGGTGAGTGGGTGAGCGGGTGTGGGGGTGTGTGGGTGGGTGCGGGGACGGCAGAGGATCATGCCGGGAGGTTGTAGCAACTGCAGATAACTCTTCGGAGAGCCCAGGTTGAGGTTCAGGTTAAGGTGAAGGTTGTTGGCTACCGCTATGGTTACCAGTCTTACTCCAAAACCTCCCTCCCGCCAGCTCCCGACACGCCGCCCTCTGGCCTCTCTTTGCTCGCTGACGCCTCCGAGCACCCCACCTGCTCCAAAACCAAACCCCATCTTCCCTTCCGCCCCCCCCCCCCCCCCAAAACCCATCTTCCCCTCCCCCTCCGCCGCCCCCCACCCCTTCCCCCCTTCCCCTCCCCCCCCAGGCACCTCGCAGTACATCTTCGCCTCGCTGGTCGGTACGGCAGGCGGGGCGGTCATGTGCGCTGCGGTGGGGCAGAGCGGGGCGGCGGCGGGCGGCTGCTTCGGGCTGCTGGCGGCAGCGGCACTGGCATCAGCGTACATGGCGGTGCAGGTGGGTGGTCGGGAGGTGGTGGTTGGGGGTGGTGGTGGGAGGTGGGGCGACCCGTGGGTCATGGTGAGGGTCATCATGTCCCTGTTTTATCCATGTACCCGTGTAGTCACACGCACATGCGCGCGTGGCACACATGCAGTTACGCTACTCGTACATCGCCGTTGAATGACGCTTTGCGGCTCCGTTGGCTAGTCAGGACGAGCTCGTGCTCGTGGCTGGCTTCCTTAAAGCACACGACTCCTCCCAACCCCGCCCCCTCCTCCCCGGCTTCTCCCCCGGTGCAGGTCATCCCGCTCTCCACCCTCAATGCCACGCGGCTGCAGCTGCTGATAGAGGCCTTCCTCTCCTCCATCACACCCTCCTCCTCCACAGCAGCAGCAGCAGGGGGGGCAGCAGGGGCAGCCAATGGGACAGGAGCAGCAGCAGGGGAGGCCGGAGGACCGGGAGCAGGGCCAGCAGCAGCAGCAGGAGCAGCAGGATTAAGAGGCAGCAGCGACCCGTACCACCCCTACCACTACCTGGACAACCAACATGAGTACGGCAACCATGATGGAACCAACCACCATAACCACAGCAACCACCAACCAACGCAGTACGGTTACAATTACCAGTACCCGTCAGCTAGCAGCAGCAATGGTGGCGGTGGTGGTGTTGGTGGCGGTGTGGGTAGCGGTAGCGGTGCCCCCCACACGTCTACAGGGGGGGAATGGGGAGGTGGGGGAGACAGCAGCAGCAGCAGCACGGGGTTTCGGAGGTATGGGGCTGCCATGGGCGATAGCAGCGGCAGCGGCAGCAATGGCGGCAGGAGCAGGAGCCGAGACGCACGTTCGAAGAACGACGATGAGGATGATGACGAGGATGATGATGATGGTTATTACAGTTACGGACGTCACGGGTACGACATTGATGGGTTTGGCATCGGCAGCAGCAGTGGCAGTAATGTTGGTGGCTTCGCAAAACAACAGCAGGAGCATCAACAGCAACAGCAGCAGCAGCTTGATAAGCAACGACATCAGCAGGGGCAGCAGCAAGATGAGCAGCAGCAGCAGGGGTCGGGTCGGGTGGTTGACCGTTGCTACATCGGGCCCTCCATCCACGAGTACGACATGATGTACGATGACAGCATGGAGCCCAAGGTGGGAGTAGTACGGCATAATATATACAGCGACTGTGTTAACTGCTGTGCTCTTGGTGTGCTCTTGTGTTTTGCATGCGGGTATGTTACCCAACTGCGGAGACCCCAACTGTGCACCTCTTACCTGGTCAGACGCCCTCAAGCTCGCCGTGTGCCGTATGCCATGTGGCATTACAGTACCAACTTCGCCACCTACCTTCCCCTTTCCTCTGCATTCCCCTTCTTCCCTCTCCCCGAAGATTGCTCCTTTCCCTCCAACTCCTGTCCTGCACCCCCTCCCCTCTCACCCTGCCTCCCCCTCCCACCCCTCCCCAGATCCCCACCCCCCTGGAGCTCTCCCCGCTGGACCCTCCGCTGCCGTACTTTTCCCGCAGCGCCCACCGCCTGTCACCTCCCATCCACGTTGGCAGCAGGCTGGAGCACGTGGTGGATGGTGGGTGGGAGCTGGGGGGAGGTGGGGGGAGCCGGGGGGGGGGCTGGGGGTAAATAGACCAAACCCGCTTTACCCTAACCCTTGCAACAACAGCCCATTATCCTGGTCTTCTTCTTCCAGGCTTTTCTTCTCCTGCTTTTCCCCCTACCTGCCACATCTGCCCACTTCATACCTTACATGGAATGCCTGCCCCCCCCCCCCTCCTCCCTCACTGCATGAGTCGGGATATGGGTTTGGGACTTGTTTTTGCATTATTTAACTTTTCCCCCCTCCTCCCTCTGTCCCAGGTAACGCCAACCTGCTTGTGATGCTGCTGAACACCTACAAGTACGCGCACTTCATGGTGCTGCCGCTGAGGGGCGGGCTGCACGTGGTGCTGCATGAGCGGGCCGACCCGCGGGACATGGTGCAGGTGTGGTGGGGGGGGGGAGGGGGTTGGAGAGGAACGGTCAGGTAGAATCCCTAGAATGATTATGTGACAAGTCGTCATCATGGTTTGCAACATGGGGGGTAGGGCTGGGCGAGGGAATAGGTGGCGTTTCTTGTGTGTGCCTCTCTGGTCGCCGCCCCCCCCCCTTCCCGTCCCCTGCCCTTCCCTTCAATCTCGCACGCGTAACGGGCGGCGGGCTATCCTCGTTACCTGCGCCTCCGCCTGCACACTCACTCACTCCGTTTACGCTTCAGATGCAATCGCGTTCCCTCAACCCCCCACCACCTATCCCATTGCTTTGCTCTATCCTGTGGTTTGGCATGCCTCTGACCCTTCCCCCCCATTGGGTATTCCCCTCCCCCCCTGTCCCCCCTAGGCCTACCTGCAGGCCTGCATCCTGCGGCGGCGCATGCAGGCGCTGCAGGGAGGGCTGCCCGATCCGGATGAGTGCACGGCGGAGCTGCGATTGGAGCTGCAGGTTGGGGGGAAGGGGGGAGGTCGGGGGGTAGGAGCAGGGCCGGGGGCAAACACCCGTCCAAGGCTCCCTTTGGTTGGGTAACACAACATTCCATTATAATGTAGGCATTAACGCGTGCATGCATGCATGCTTGACGTGGCTTTCAAGATGAGGACGCATGCATGCATGTGGTGCGACGGGTTTCTTGTCGCCACGACTCCTTCATGCACACACCCAGGCGTGCATGCGGCCAGGTTCGCGCAATTCCGGTACCACCCCTTCCCCCTCCAGTCCCGTACGACAGCGGTTGGGTGTAGCATGGGTCCCCCCTCACCATGCCCCCCGCCGGTCCCCCCCTTGCCGTACGCCCCTCCTTGCCGTACGCTCCCCCTTGCCGTACGCCCGCCTCCCTTCCGCCGTACAGGAGAGTCTTGCGGCTGCGGAGCGGCTGACCACCATCTTCATGTCGGCACTGGAGGTAAGACGTAAGAGGGCGGGAGGTGTGTCGTAGGGGGGGGGTGACCCATGGGTCATCACTCGACTACTGGTCCTGCTGAAACACACAACGAACTGCAAGGGCGGCAGTTAGTCCCGAGCCGCTGCTCTTGCCATCATGCACCACTCGGTGCCGCCAGCGCCACCCGCCATCTTACCCGCAAACACTGATCCACCCACCCACCCACCCCACCCGCCTGCTCCTACCTCAGGCGAGCGGTTGGACCATTTGCAAGGTGGTGGTGGAGGCACAGCGGCGGAGGGCCAAGTGGTGAGGGCAGGAAAGGTGTTCCACCAACCCCCTCCCACACCGCCGCGTGATGCGCCCACAGTCGAACGGATGTTGCGTGGAGAGAGTGACTCAGGAGCGTTGTAGAAGTGCGTCGAAGTGCATAGGAAGGAGGGAGAGCGAGAGGAAGAGGGAGGAGGGAGGGGACAAGTCGTGTGCGGAGAAAGCCGTAGAGAGAGGAAGTGCGTGGGGAGGTACATGGGAATTTTTGTAGTAGGCTCGAAACCGAGCCACGGGTGTATGATCTCAACACAGCTTTCTGGTCGGGAGCAGCCTGCAGTTCATCATCTTGGAATGCCGGGTACGAATGGAGTGCCGGCTGGGCGATGCCGTCGGCAGGTTGTGGGGTGGCCTAACCTCGAAAGAGGACATGGTGCACAAGCCCCTGTAGTAATACCACCAATTTGCTAGCTGGCTTTTCTTCTGCTTTTCTTTTAGGGAGAGGGTTTGTCCATGCATGTCATAGTGCGCTCCATTCTGGGAGAGCATGGGGCAGCATTGGGTTGTGAGATGTAGGAGCAAAAGACTAGGAGGTGCGTTTGCAGGCGGTTGTACGATTCGTGTACGGAAAAGAGACAGAGCCTACAGTGTCCAGTTTCGGTTCGGAAGAGAGAGAGGGAGAGCCGGAGAGAGAGAGAGGAGGGTAAAGAGGAACCTGACAACAAGCTGTACGACAGGGTTTCGGAGAAGGGAGAGAGAGGAGCAGTAGTGCTTGGAAGCAATTGAGATGCACGCAGAGTAGGGGCCGTGTGTTAAAAGAAAACTGGCCGCGAGTAGGAACGTACTGGATTGTCGGCAGTGCGTGTCTGTGTGTTAAGAAAGCTAAGCGCGAGTGTGTGTGCGGTCGCTCTGCATGCGCTTTGACCCCCCCCAGTCGCATGTGAGCAGCATCGGCTGGTGTGTGGGAGGGGATGCAGGGCGTCCATGGGGTGCGCTTGCCCCTGGGCTCGCGTTGGGGGCCTCCGCTTTGCCCGCCTACCGCCCAGTTCCCACACCCGCAAGAGACTACAGGTGCATGGGGCTTACGGCTACAAGCAAGAAAGGCTTGGCTAGCCTGAACCCTAGCCCGCCTGCCTAGGATGTAGAATAGTTGACCGTTGACTGGAGGAGGGGTGCGTTGACCGTTGGTTGCTGGGCTGGCCGTACAGGTTGTGAATGGAGTCGTCCTTCTTCTGAGATGCCTTGCGTTGACTGGCTGGTTTTGTATGCTAAGGAGGGGGGGGGGAGAGGTCTAGCGCTGCGCGGCGGGGATTCCGGCGGTAATGCAGGGGGCGTGGAAGGCCTTGGTCATGTGAAAGCGCGTGCGGGTTGGCTCGCCCCTGTATGGGGCGTATTTGATCAGAGGACTGTACGAATGCTAGCGGCTGATGTGGGTGATGTCTTGATACGGCAAACGAGTACGGAATGAGCTCCATGGCACGCGATTCCAATTTATATCTTTCTCAGTGCTGCTGCTTGCTGCGCACCTACGTTTTGTGTTGCTATGTGTTAACACAGGTGGCATGGTGCAAATTCCTAGCTGTAACGACTGGGCTTATGATAGCGAGAAGAGAGAAGAAGGAGAAAGGCAGGTAACCCTTCTTCAATGTGCAAAACGATTACACGTTCGAAAGGTGCATGCATGCATGAGGCACATACGCTTGCGGCGGGAGGGCCCTCGCGAATCTTACAAGCCACAGAAACGACACGTAATCCCCCTACCGGTCTTTCTTGATTCCCCCTACCAGTATACAAACCATATCCCCACCCCTGTCCCTGTGGCCCATTCTTCTACACTTCAGGTCCTTCATCCGTTCGTTCCTACCCAACCCACAAGTCGTCCGTTCATGCCACCAACGGGATTGCTTGGCTTCTTACAAACGTTAGACTCAAGCTGATGACTCGGCTACCGTAGCTTACCGTACCCAAAAGATCTATAACCCCTCACACTGTTTACTTGCCTGCAAACGCTCCTTCTGCGTGCATCAAATACTGATTACTAACACCAGCTCATGCGATACATCTTGTAGTACCTTCGACCCCTTATCACGTACACCCTAACCGAGTTAAGCAGGAACGTTAATACGTTATTATTTACCCAAAAGGTACTCAGCACCGTCCGCAGCTATTAGATCCAGATCAGGAGGGTCGTACAGCAGACCTCCAACAATACCATCATTAACACTCACCGCCCTTTTGACCAGCCACCCCATAGAACTCGCCCACGCCACAAACCCCATCATCTTACCCAACATGCTCCCAACCCAAGCACGTTGCGCCGGTTGCGGTTAGGCAGTACACAACGCGCTGGGGCCTGCTGGGAGGCTCAACGCCATCCCAAGCGGCCAGCGCCCTCCCCCACCCCACACAACAGCGGACCAGCGCTGAAGGCCCCCACAGAATTGTAGTGTTCCTGTGATTGTGTTTATCAAAAACTAACGCACGAACGGACGCGCGCGTGCAAGCCAAGTTTGGACACAGAAACCCCACGTTCGCTCCCGGATAAGCCGAACACCGACACGAGGGCGCCACCAAGCCAACTGAACGGCAACACACAGCGCTCGCGGGCTGTCCTCTTCTCCTCTTGGAAAGACCTCACAGCCCTTCTCATTGCCAGCAGCTAATACTCACAAGCAGCTCTCGGCTGGGCCCCCCAACCCCATCCCCCATACAAAGCCACAAGGGGCCCAACTCTCCCTCTTGTTTTAGTATGGCACGAGAAGCTCCTCCTTCCTATATGTACAGGACAGTGACTAACGAGCGCGGATAGCGAGCAACGCCAACATGAGACCAACAGAAAATGAAGTGTTTAGCGCCCGAAACAAACCGCGTGCGCATTGGATAAGTGTCGTCTTGTTGTCAACCGCACTTCAAGGAACAAGGGTTGCGCACACGCCAGGAGGACCAAGGCACGGACTGCCAAACGACCCATGGGCCAGAAGGGCCGATTAAAACAAGCAGGGAAAAACAAAACCCGCTACACACCCGCGCACATGAAAACAAAACGGGTGGCGAACCACCAGAGGCGTCTCTCCTGCCTCGATTCATATGGTTGTAGTACCCACCTATGCAGATTCTATTGCTCCTTTGCATTGCTTTCTGCACGCAACGAATATCGCAAAAGCTCGCGCGAGGACCAAGATTAACCAAGTATAACCGCTAACCGCCTGCGCAGCTGCCACCTAAGATAGATTTAAGGATATAGGTATAACTGGCGGCTTGCATACATGTCACCCTCTTCTTCTCATCCCAATAAGGTTCACTTAGCACCCGGTCTCGGCACCGCACGATAGTGTAGCACAAGGGATGGAAACGGATTCAGTGCAACTGTACGACGGATTCTTGTTCCTCGCCCGAAATCAAACTCAAATCCTTAGACAACCTCTTTTGCCTTTGCCGTACCGTACTGCTATCAACCAACGGCCGGCCTGTACGGATAATCCCTATTGGGACCTAGCCCAGCAACCCGAACAAACGCGATCCATGTAGATTGGCTTTTCCCCTATCTTGTTTATAAAGCGGATACTTTAATAAAGTTTTACTACCGATACGTCGTATAAAGCCGAAAGAAAAATGCCAAACCCACGTTTACCCAGCGCGCTTAGAACACAAGGAACCGCCAGCAAAACACGCTTTCCAGCAATTGTGCACCGTATGTCCCAACAACTGTACGTTCGTGCGTTCGTACGCCCCTCTGCACGCCTTCACCATACTATGCCGCACAAAGTACGACAGAAACCGCTGCTGTACATCCATCACTACCTCCAATATATGCCAACACCGTCGCAGAGCCCGTCGGACAAGCGATCTCTCCTCTTTCTCTTCAACCCATTTCAAGCAATTCCGGCTGCGCCCGCACAAGTAGCAACAGCAGCAGCAGCAGCAGCGTGGTCGCTAGCCAAGCATGCACCGCTACCGTTGCGGGTGCTGCTGCCCCCGCTGCTGCTGCCCCCGCTGCTCATGCTGGCACTGCTAGAGGCCGTGATGCTGCCGCTGGCGGACGTCTTACCGCTGAAGCCGCTGATGCTGCAATCAGCAGCCATCGCCGTCACCACCGCCGTCGCCGTCGCCGCAGCAGCGGGAGCTACGTGACATGCACCATCCAGCTCGGCAACATCCCCGCCGCCGGACTTGACTCGCAGCATTCCGTCCACTAGCTGTAGCTGTCCGGACGCCAGGCCCTCCGTCAACACGGTTTGCAGGAGCGGCAGGAGCAGCTGCTCAACACCGGGGACAGCGGCGGTCGTGGCACTAGCGCCGGGGGTGGCGGCAGCAGCAGTAGCACTATCGCCACCAGGATCGGAGTTGCGGCCAGCGGCGGTTTCCGAACTGCCGTACTCGTTAGACAGGCGCCGCATGGCAGCATGGACGTTGCTGCGGGGGCCTGGGTCCGACGCACGTTCCAGGAACGCGATGTCATTGCAGGCGGTGGCGTCGCAGTCCGGAAGGTCGTTTGAGCCGTCAGCGGTGACGGAGGCGCCGCCGCCGCCGCTGGCGAGGGCGGCAAGGAAGGCAGCCGGCTGGGGGACGCTGTGGCCGTTAGCGGCGGCGACAGACACCAGCACATGCTGCAGAAGTGCCGCCGTTGCGGCTGCCGCCGAGGCATCCTCGACGTGAGCACTCTCCGTTGTTGACGGGCCGACCGCCGACGTTGGAAGGGCTTGAGGCAGCATGGCGGAGGCAGACGGCGGCGACCTCGATTTGCCGTCAGTCGCTGCGCTGTTGGGGCTGATAGCGGCGGGTGGCGAGGTCGGGACTGGGAGCGACGTCGTCGGCGATTGGATCACAGACAGCTTGCTGAAGGCGGCGTCAATCTGTTGCGCGTCGGACATGTCAGCAGCAGCGCTGTTGCCGCCGTCGCTGCCCCTGCTGCTGCCGCTTCCAATGAACACCGACGGCGCCTCGGGATACCGCAACGCCGCCGCCGCCGCGGCAGCAGCGGCCGCGGCCACAGCAGCGGCATCAGCGGCAGGGGGAGATGAAGGCGTTGAGATGCGCCGCACGGCCGCGCCGGCACGGTTCGTTGGCGCGGGCATGTGTCTCGGAACAGGGGCGCTTCCACCGCCAACCCCGCCGCCAACGCCGCCGCGTTGTCCGTTAGGAACAACCGGCGCCGACGCCGAGACGTACATCAGCCCATTGGCGGCCGCCGGCCGCTGGCCAGACCCGTGGGTCTGGAACTGCTGCGAAGGATGATGCCTATAACCATGACCGCCTCCCCCGCCACGCGACTGGGTCGGCCTCATCGTCGCCGCCGCCGCCGCGGCGGCGGCGGCGGTAGCAGCGGCTCCCTCCCCAAAGGGCGACACCTCTCCCGAGTGCGATGAGGAACGAGTGCAACCGTCAGCCTGGTGACCGGCGCCAGCGATGCTGCTGCCGCCGCCCTGCAGCTGCAGCTGCGGCTGCTGCTGAGCTGGGTAGTAGCAGCCGACGGTGCCGTACGGAGCAATGTGGTAGAGGTGCGGCAGGAGCGTGGCCCCTGCCGCAACGTGTCCCATGGGGCCAGCCAAAGGGCGAGAAAGATGGTTCGGGTGCTGGTGCGGGCCGGCGTTCATGCCTGGCATCTGTTGCGGCTGGGGGCCAGCGTGGAGGTAGACGGTCGTCCCCATAGCAGTCGGCTGGAGGGGATGGGGAAGCGCGTGCATGGGCCGGATCGCCATGGGCACCGCGTACGGCATGCCTGGGATAGGCACCATTCCAGCAGCGCCAGGTGGCCCATGGGTCAGGCAGGGCTGCATGGGCGCCAGGGCCATGATTTGGTGGTGGGGCAGGTGTTGCTGTGGCGGTTGTTGCGGCTGGGGTTGGGGCGCAGTTGGCTTGGCCCGGGGGTAGGGCTGCGGCTGCCGCTGCTGCGGCTGTTGCTGTGAGGCACTGGGCGGGTGCGGAGCGTCGTGCGGTGCCTGCACTGACGGCGGCTGAACCATGTGTTGTTGCAGGCTCACAGGCACATACACAGCCGGCGTTACGGGCTGCACATGGCAAACCGGAGACAGCCCTGAAACCGTCGGGATAGCCGCCGTCCTTGCTGTTGTCGTAGGCGGCGGCGGCGACGGCACCGCCGAAGGCATCGGCACCGCGGCTACCGGCGACGTCGCCGTCGACTGAACCTTTGCAGTTACAGCCGCCGCGGCCGCCGTCAGTAGTGGCGCCGAGTCTGGCGTCAACGGAGCAAACTCACCGCTAGCGCCGCTGCCGCCAGCAAAAGCGGCTCCGCTGCAACCGCTGCCGCCGCCAGCCCCTCCGTAACAACCAGCGCCGCCGCTGGCACCGTCAGGCAGGTTTGACAGGCCGCATGACGACGAAAGCGGCAGCGGCGGCGGGAAGGAAATCGCCGGCACCGCCGTTACGGTGTTGTTATTGTTGCCGGCGAAGCACCCGCTCTCGCCCTCCTCCACGCTTCGCAGCTCGTCCACGCTGTGCGCGAAGAAGCATGTGGGTCGGCGGCAGTTGGCTCCCAGGTAGCACAGCCGTGTGCGGTACCTGCGCGGTACGGAGACACACAGGGGGCAGCGGCAATGCGGGGGGCGGGGGTTACAGATCCTCTTGCTAGCATTAGGATGGGTGAGAACCAACCCTGCGGAGCTGCAAGGCTAAGAAAGCTGGACTGAACTGTGACGACAACAGCCACCTCGCTGCAGGGACAAAATCCAAATACTAAACTTTGCTGAAGCAAACTCAAGCTCCTGAATCCCGGTTTTCCTGGGTCGAATCATCCCACCTAACCGTTAAGACTCCTAGACGTTCCTCCCGCAAAACCGACCAACCTGGCAGGATGAAGCCATTGCTCGAATGTGTTGTGGGAGTAGGGGCACGCATCTCCGTTGGGACACTGCCGCTTATTGCGCACATTGACGCAGGGATCTGGCAGGTAGTGGTAGTTCCGAGGGCACCTGCGTCGCGCGGTCTCTCCCGTGTGGCTGAAGGGGCAGTGGGTCCAGCTGTGGCGGTAGCCGTGGGGACAGGGCAGCACCCTGCGCATTGAGTGGCAAGGCGCGTGTGGGGAGGGAGTTCGTGAGAAAACAGGAGAAGGTTTGGGAGCAAGGTTGTGCAACAGGGATTGGTGGTAAAAAGGGAAGGAGAGGTGAGGAAAGGTGCAAGTAAGGCACTGGGAGAAGCAAATTGCGGGGTCGGAGTTGGGTTGCGGCAGGAAGGTGGGGATAGAAGCACTCGGCATATACAAGTATGGTACTAAAGAAATATAAATGTAATTCAATGTAGGTCACGTGGACGCAAAAAACACGCCGACGTCGCGTGATGGCGCAACACCACTAACTCTTGAGGTATATGAAAAGCATAAGGCCAGGCCGTTGGTACAAAATATACAGCTAGTCACAGCGATTTGGCAGTAAGCTGTAATACGAAAGCCTCTTCTAACGCGAAGCTGAGGCGAAACGGTTGTCGTAGCCATGGCAGACTGCCAGACATCTTGCGCAAGACAGGAGAAACATAAAACAATTGGGCGTGCTGAGTAATCAGGGCTTGCAGTCTGTGCAAGCAACTGGTCCGGCGCAGCGGCCGAGGACTTATCGGGAAGGAAGCTGCTACAACGGAAGTTAAGAAGAAGCACACACACCACAAACGCGATCACAACCTAACACCTACTTGTAGTTGTACATCCAGAAATCATCTGGGAGGCAAGCGCTGCGCAGCGCTTGCAACGCGTCGGCATTACCGGGAGGTCCATCGAAGTCGCCAAGCTCCATTCCTATGTCCCGGTAATGCGAAATGTTAACAGGTTGGTTTAACAGGGGCAGCGTCTGGTGAAAGCACGTCTGTCCAGGGCCTCAGCGTTGCACGTCCCAGACTTACTTGGAGACCGTTGTCTTAAACACTTGCCGCGAAGACAAGCCCCTAAGTACTGATCCTTAAAACTTCACCCTATGAACAGGGGGCTCAACCCTTAGAGAGAAGGCACTGTATCCCCAGTTTGCAATGATATATAGTAGTAACTGCTTCACAGTGACTCGATATCTTGACTTTAGATGCCCATAGGCAATAGTAGACGAATGCTGGAGACAGTGATTTGTTTGACACACGGTTAGTACTTCCCTGTACGGCTGGTTTACGTGATACTACGCAGTTAGCGAGCTGAGCCCCCAGCGCAGAGGTAAGTACCTTGGTGGAAGTCCGAGGCTACTCAGGGGCGTACTAGAATTTTGCTATTGGCAACAATTAACGCAAGTATAAGAACCGAATGCGTCAGCTGCGAACTTCTGTTGGGAAGTTAGCCGACAGTACACTAGCGCAATCGTGAATGCGAACGGACTACAACCTACTACGCTGCTCTCTATGAGCAGTTAGAAATAGGAAAGAGGTATGAACAGCTCGCGTCAGCGTCAATAGGAAGTACACTGGAGCACCACTGGAGTAAGCCCACGGGCGGCTTTCTATTACGCTGGATTTTTATTTGCACGCAAGACAAGGTTTTATTCCTACGAGTTATTATTATCAACAGAGTGAGTCGATAAAGCCTAGGGTGGCATTCCCGGCCGAGGCTTGAGGCAAGCTTCAGCAACACGTCCCACTTGGCCTGCCCCTAAGCAAATGTTGTCAGACCACTGCACCTTCCGTGGCTGCCAGCGCTAAGACTGTATCCCGATAAGCAGCTAGCCAGCAGCTCCATGCCGTAACTGTCGGGCCACAGTTAGGGAAATTACGAGCGTCTACGGACGTTTGCTACTCCAGGAAGCTTTGGGATTTGCTTTTACTCGTCTTCTACACTCACGCAAGGTACAATTGGTATACTGCATAGGCTATTGCTCGGTTGTAGCCATTCATGGATTCCTATTAAACGCCCAAATGGGTCACTCCCCATCCCATCAGCAGCTCAGAATGTATGCAACCTTTCGCTCCCGCCCATGCAAGAAAGCAGAAAGTGTTAGCTGAGCGCACCACGACTTTGCACGAGTCATGCCTGGGCTCGTGCCCCTTAACTCGCCTTAACTGGTGCCCGTTAACCCAGCGCCTTGTTACGGGCCGTGTTACGGGCCGTGTACCCCTTACAAAAAGAGGTATTGTTAAGAGCAGCAGCGTAATCTGACGTAGACTACGAGCATACGAACTAGTACGAGTGTACAAGGCGATCCAAATTCCAAATCAGTACTATCGTCCATGGGCCGGCCATACTCCATTCCGTTCTATAGTCCCAATAAGCTGGATCGACCGCGGCTTATCGCCGCCAAGCAATGTGTCCGCACCCCCATCCAACCGGGCTCATGACCCTCTTCTTCTTCTCCATTGGCCCTTCCCGCCTCAACCCCCCACTCCTCTTCTCCATACACCCCCACTCCAACCCCACTCCCACCGCCTCCTCCTACCACAAGCCCACCTCCGCTCCCTCACCCCCTACCCGCCTGCCACCCAACCTCACGGCCGCCTCCTCTTCTCCGGCCGCCTGCTCACCGCCCGCTCGTCCGCATTCAGTCGGTTGGCCAGGTTCCTCCGCGTCTCGTGCAGCGCAATCACCTCAGAGCGCAGCGCCAGCCAGGCCCCCGTGGTGGCGCGGGTCATGACCCGCGGGCCGTACAGCGCGGCGGGGCACTGCAGCTCGGTGAGGGTGGTCTCCACGGCCTTGAAGGCCCTGAAGGGGGGGGGCAGGGGGCCGCATGGCGGCATGGGTGTCAGGGGAGGGAGGGGCGGTGCATGGTGGAGGGCAAGGTGCGTGGATGGTGTCGCTACGGATTGGGGATCTGGGCGGAACCAACCCTACAGTGAAACCAATCCTAAAGAACTCCTATATGTTGTTTAAGAAAGGGGGCCAGAAAAATGCATTAGTCCACCTGAGTCCACAACCTCCGCATGGGGTGCCCCATGGCCCCCCATGCCGCCACCCGCCCACCGCCCGCCGCCGCACCTGGATCCCCCCGTCATGGCCGCCGCCTGCTGCGCCGCCATGGCCTGCGTGTGACCCCCGCGCAGGTACACGCCGGGCTTCTGTGGGGCGCACGGAGGGATCAGGGCCAAGCGGGGGTCAGGGGAGGGACCAGACGGCACAACAGAGGGACAAGCTGGCCTGCAACTACCTCTTCTGCAACTCCGGTCGAGACGCTGAACCAGACCGACTCCTCGCTCCCTCACACCCCCAGCCCTTCCCAACCCAACACTCACCGGCTTGTAGGGCTTCACGTCCGCGTCAAACAGCGACGGAGTGCCGGGCGGCGGCGCCGACTCAAACTCCACCGGGTGCCGCAGCTCCGAAACCACTCCGCCAGGAAGCCCGGGCACCCCTGCTGCCGCCCCTGCTCCTCCGAAACTGCCACCCATCCCGCCTGCTCCGGCTCCCCCTGCGGACCCAGCGGCTCCGTAACCGCCCATGCCCGGCACCGGACTGAGCGCCCGGGGAGCTCCAGGGGCAGCCACCGCCCCGCCCGCGCCGCCCATGCTGCCGCCAGCAGCAGCAGCAGCCCCTGGTGCCATGCCGGCAGCCGTACCGCCCGCCGCTGAAGCAGCGGCGCCCATGTGGGGCCCGGGCTGCATGCCGGGGGCCGCCGCCGCGAGGCCGCCGGTGTGGGGCGTGGTGAGGGAGGGCGGGGCGCCGGGCACGGGTGTGGGTCGGCCGGAGGGCTGGGAGGGCGAGGTGGTGCGTGGGGGGGCGGCAGTGGGAGCGGAGGGGGCGCTGGCCGGGGCGGCGGTTGCTGCAGCGGCCGCTGCGGCGCGTTTGGCGGCTCCGGCCTCGGCTTTGCGCTTTTCCTCGATGGCGCGAGCCTCCGCCAGAATCTGTGGGTTGCAACAGGGTGAGGAAGGTGGAGCGGAAGGGAATAGGAAGGATTGTTATGGTTAGCCGGTGCTAGGCCTGCCGGCTCGCGCTTGGCAGGAAGGTGAAGGAGGCGAGCAGCTGCCACGTAGAAGCATGTCCTCTCCCCACCTTAACCCCCACAAGCGTGCCTGCATCATACCCAGCCATCCCCCACACGAACAAGACTCCCTCCCGTCTCTTCCCTCCTCCCCGAACCATCCTCCCAAGATCCAGCCAGACCCTCGCAACCAGATCCTCCCCCCCACCACACACACTTCCTCCCCCCACCCACCGCATGCTCCTCCGCTATCTGCTGCGGCGTCCTGGCCAGCAGCGCCGCCAGCGCCCGCTTGCGGTCCTGCTCCACCTGCGCTTGGGGAGGAGGCATAAGGCGCATGAGGGGCAGATTCCACCAGCACAGCGCACGTAGAACACAAGAAGACGCTCGCCACGCGTTGTTGCGCTAAGCGTATCGAGCGGTACCGATGAGCGGCACCACAGTTACGGATCGCCCCCTCATCACTGAGCAGCCACACAACATACAGGTAACTTGCGCACACCCTCGGCTTCTTTCTCAACCCCCCTGCGGCGCCCTTCCTGACTGCCTTCCCTTCCCCCCCCCCCCCCATCATATACCACCACTTTGCCTTGTCTCTTGTGGCACCCTGCCGCCGCCTACCCCCATTGCTTTGCCCTAACCTGTAGTCTCCTATGGTTTGGTATGGTCCTTGACCCCCCCAACATAAACGTACCTGCTTGTTGAATGGCTGTTTGACGAGCGGGTGGTTAGCCACGGGCGCCTCCCGCCCCTGCCGCGACACCAGCAGCTTGCGGGCCACGGCGAAGTAGCGCTCCTTGAGGTCCTCCAGGGAGCGGGGGGTGGGCGGGCAGGAGGGGCCGCCGGGCCACTGCGGGGGAGAGGGGGAGACGCATGTGGGCGAATTACGGTACGGCAGGGCTACCGGTATGTACGTATGTTCCCATTACTCGGGTGCCGCCCTTGCTGTCCCTTTCTTAACGCGAGGGTGAGGGTCTGTCCTACTCCCGCCCCACCTCACGTCCCGTGCCGCGATGACACCCCATGACCCCCGTCCTCACATCGTATCTGTCGCTGATGACGTGCCACCTCAGGTCCAGCAGCTCGCACATGTCGTACAGGTAGTCCGTCTCCGCACGGCTCCAGTTGCCGCTTTCCGGCTTTATGAGGCTGTCGTACTCCTCGTCGTTGTACTTGTACAGCTGAACCTGTACGGCAGAGGGGGATGAGGTGGAGGAAGGCGGGGGAGGCAGGAGGGTAAGGATAGAAGGAAAGGTGGGGTTGCATTCAACGTGCGCAGCGTGTGGACCCCTTTCATCGCCTCCCGCCCTCGCACAAGCGGGACGTGGGCTGCCGCCTACCTTCTTGTTGTACTTCGCGTAGGGGTACTCCGTGTCTTCGGGTTCCCGGATGACTCCATTTGCGCCCTTGGAGCACTTAAGCCAGTGGAACAGCTCTAGTCCATCCGTCCTTGCTGAATTCTTAAATGGCCGGTATTGGTAGGTAATAATACCCTTGGTGGATGGTTTGGGCTTCTTGAGCATATCATTTTTCTTAAGATTGCTGGCAAACTGGCTGGATAGAATTGGATGCGAGGCTCCAAGCAGCGCGAACGCTTCTCTTGACATTCCCTCTGGCCGCTTTATTTTCTCCTTCTTCTCCTTCGGCGCTGGTGCCTTTTCCTCCGCCTGGGCAGGCCCCGACCGGGACATGCCCAGAATATCCTTAACATCCGCCATTTTCTTCTATATACTTAATAGGATTAAGTCAACAGTCTATGCCGGCGGGAGGACCCGCCCCACAGCGGTTCAATCGTTCTTCAAGTCATCACGACAGCCATAGACATTTGCCAGGGAAAGTACCGCTCCAAGTTAACCTGAATAAACTCAACAAGTGAAGACAACCCTCCGAAGTGGCGCCAACGGGGTAACCTCTGGTTCCTATCCGTACAGCTAAACTCACACGGCAGGATAGGCACCCACCCTCGCACCTTTAATCAATCCTCTCCTTCCAGTTGTTTACGTGGCATATAATAGGAGGGACCTTACCACGGCCTGCCTTAGTGCTCCCTTAGCTTTCGCCAGCTACATTAGCCAACCCTAGTCCTTCTCCGTCGTGAAGCTTTACAGTTTCGGCGCCGTGGCACGCTTATGCTCCCTGCCAAATTTGGAAAAGATCAATCGCTTCCGCGTGAGGCCTTAGGCTACCCTTAGGGCATACCTACACCTGCTAGAGCTCTCAAGGAGAAGGACCGCGAGAGCCCTGTTGTTGCATCTGATTGTTTCAACACGTACAAGCAACCCTCATAGAGACACCTATCTGCGCCAGGCTTGCTTTTTCGTAGCGCATACCAACCGCTCTGTCCACAGCATCCATGGTGGACACGCTTGAGGGCCCGCTGCTGCGGGTTCCTTTTGAGAGCCTGAAGCGCGCAGCAAAGGATCGCAAAGCACTCATCGATGAGGCTGCTGACTGCGTGGCCGCTCTGAAGAACCCTCACCCAACACCATCAGCTCCTCCAACCGGCGATGCCTCGGGCGACACAGAAATGGCAGACGCAGACGCAGCTGCCGCCGCAGCTCAACCCTCCACCTCAACCGCCGCGCCCGAATCCTCTTCACCTTCTTTCGCTGCACGTCGTGAAGCCTCCCTGGAGCGCGTCCGCCTACTGCTCTCCCAGCTCCAGGGCGTCAAACGCAAACTCGTGGATGTTTCGCGCACCGAAGCCGACGACTGCCAGCGAGTCCGAGCCCGCCTAGAGCACCTCTCCTGCTCCTCCGCCTCCTCCTCCTCCCAAGACCCGACCTCCACCGCGGCCGCCTCCAACCCCACCTCCGCCACACCCGCAACCAGCAGCATCCTCCCCTGGCCACGGCAACGCCTGGACGTCCTCCTCACCGACCACCTCCTCCGCGCCGGCCACCACAACACCGCCTGCCGCCTCGCCTCCGAATCCGACATCGCCCTCCTCACCGACGCGCACATCTTCCAAGGCGCCCGTCGCATCCTGTCCGCGCTCCTCGAGTCCCACGATGTCCTGCCAGCCCTCGCCTGGTGCGCCCACAACCGCAGCCGCCTGACTAAAGCCAAGAGCGCGCTTGAGTTCAGGCTGCACGTGCAGCAGTTCATTGAGCTGGTGCGCCGAGGTGAGCGTCTGGCCGCCATCGCCTACGCCCGCAAGCAGCTGGCGCCCTGGGCGGCGACCCACATGACGGACTTCCAACGCGCCGTCGCCACGCTGGTCTTCCACAAGCCGGCATCGTCCTCATCAGCATCTCCTGCTGCTGCTGCCGCATCGCAGCAGCGGGGGCCGTCTGGAGGCAGCAGCAGCAGCGGTGCCGCCGCCTACGCCGCCCTGTTCTCCGAGACCCAGTGGCGCTCCCTGGCCGACCTCTTCCTGCGCGACCTCTACCGCCTGCACGCCCTCACGCCCGAGTCGCTGCTCAATGTCTACCTGCAGGCGGGCCTCTCCGCGCTCAAAACCCCCGCCGCCGCCAGCAGCAGCAGCACCGGTGCCGCATCGAAGGAGCCGGGCGGAGGCAGCACCACCGAAGGCGGCTGTCGTGACGACCCCATGCGCGTTCCTGCCTTCCAGCGCCTGGCCGAGTCGCTGCCGTACGCCAAGCACACGCACTCCAAGCTGCTGTGTGCGGTGACCAAGGAGCTCATGAGTGACGCCAACCCGCCCATGGTGCTGCCCAGCGGCATGGTATACAGCCAGAGGGGCGTGGAGGCGCTGATTGCGCAGGCGGCAGCAGGGCAGACGCAGCAGGGGGGAGGGCAGGGACAGGGAGGGCAGGGGCAGGTGGCGGGGGGTGCTGGAGGAGGAGGAGGGGCAGGGGCGGCGGGGCAGGGGGGGACGGTGGGACTCCCGCCGGGGAGCTGGGGTGTGTGTCCGGCGACGGGGCAGGTGTTCAGGCGGGAGGAGCTGCGGCGCGCTTACATTGTGTAGGCAAGGCTGGGTACACATGCGGTGGCACGAGGGGTGCGAGGATTGTGTGGTAGGCCGGTAGTGCTGCTGTTGTCAGCGGAGCGTAAGAGATGGCCGCCCGGAGGCGGTAGGCGCGCTGTTGGGCGTGTAGGGTCGTGGGCGTTGCAGGTGGGTTTGTCTGTTGCAACCTATGATTGTGTACTTCGATTGTGTACCTGCAAGGTCTGTACATTAGCATGTTTTCAGGTGCCCCAAGGTTGGTTGGATGTCTTAACGGTGCGCGCACGCAGTGGAGGAGTAAGTCGAGAGGTTTGCGACGAGGATGGACCGAGCATCTGTCTGAAGAATAGCAGGCAAGGCGGCCTGGGTAGTGCAACTACCGGTATGCAAGGGAGTCGAGTGAGTCAGATGCAGGCCGGGCAGAAGGATGCTGGGCAGCAGGAGCACGTCGCCAGGTAGTCCAGTCCAGACAGTTGACGGCTGGTGCTGCATATGGACCGCATGTGTGCCTGTGTGCCCATGGAGTTGGGGAGGTGGCCACTAAGTACGTAGGCCGGTAGGGTTACAGGCGGTTGTGCGGCGCTGGACGGAGACGACTGAAGATGGCACCACCCATGTGAGTCAACAAACATGGGGGGGTTTCCTCCGTTAAGCAGCCCCGTGTAGATCACACGCTAGGCCCTTCCCGGCAGTATGCGACACAGGAATGGAACCGCATGCTGCTACCGGTGTAGGAAGGCACATAACACGCCCCATGACCCACCAGGGAAAACACGCCCTGTCCACAAGATGCAGTACTTCGGCTCTCTTCCTGGGTCGTGCTTCATGCGTGTTCCCAGGCGCATCTGCTACGTTGCTACCTGCTGAGACGCCAAGCCGCCAAGCCTGCCTTGTGGCTAACTGGCGGGCCCAGCAATGAACTGTCGCCTATATACGGCACCTCCATGCGTGCCTTCCTGGTGTGTACACAGTTAAGGGAAAGTGCATGGGGGAAAAGAAGTGCATGAGGGCCGGCTGGGAGCCGCTGTAGGCCTGGACAACGGTCTTAGGATATCAGAGAGGGCTTTCTGGTCCCATGGGTCAAACAGTCCTAATAAGTACTTCAGCCCAGTGTAGGCTACCAAAGCCTTTCCAGCCTCGCCCGAAGTTGCTGTTGAGATTCAAGGTGGCAACAGCTAATGGAGATTGGAGGAGTAGCAGCCCGAACCCTAGCGAGTCGCTTGCATCCCTCGACATGTGCACTTCGCCCGCGTTCTGTAACAAGGCCACGTTACAGAGGGCTGTGTCAACTGCTTCCATTTCCCTCACTCTAATAGAGCTAAAGCTACCTAGAGCTACATAAGTTTAACGCGATAGGTCGAAACCCAGCCATGCAGTGTCAAACCTCTTACGCTGCCAGTAGTGTTGTACCCGCCCTACACATATCTGCCGGCAACAGGCGACACGTGTCAGTACTTCCTATTCGTCAATTCAGCTTTGAGATGTGCTCGGTGGCTGTGGTCGTTGCCGTACAGCGTGAGGCGAATATCGACGGTGGCCACGACGATTTCCATAACTGGTATCCAGTAGAAGTCCAGGTCTTGCATCTGCATTTACTTGCTACGTCTTAGTTAACAAGCGAACTAGCAACTATGCAGTTGAGCGCACGTTGCCAGCTTTCGGCCAAGTGCCATACAGCCAGGCCTTCTTCTCGCAAGGGACTGGTTGTGCGCGCACAATACTTCGACAATGCTTCCGGTGAGTAAAACGTTTTGGAGAGAACAAGGGTGTTTCGATTTACGCTCGACCTAAACACTGTCCGTTGCTGCTCCCAAAGTGGAGGTTTATCTGTCGTCACCTTTATTTTCTTCAATTGGCTGGCAGCGTTGCTCCCGGTGTGCCAGGGGGCTCGGCAGGATTTTAAGAGATGACCCTTTGCTTGTTCCTATCCCCGCAGTCGGCTCCAAGGTGGAGCGCTGGCTAAAGACGCCGTTTGACGTTTTGGCATTTGGGCCCAGGGCTGGAGCAGGGGCTCTTCTCTCCATGCCCGAGCGCTTGCAAACTTTGTAAGTAGAACTGGAATCATCGTCACTCCATAGCTCAAACGGTAAAGGGCAAATGTCACATACATAATCGTTTTTTCCCTAATTAAGGCAAGCGGACGTCGAGAAGGCCGTGGAGCTGCTTCAGGACCCGCGTCCTCTGGAGGAGAAGCAAGCGGTCTTGCTGAAGGTATGCGGATGGGGGCATTCACAGCAGCAAATATGGGACTCCTAGTCTCTCTGTGAAAGGGTTTCGTCTTTCGTTTATACCTTGCCCGACAGCTGCCAGCAGCTGCTGCCACCTGTGTGCCTCGTGGATGCCTTTCATAGCAAACTTTGGTGCTCTTTTGACCTCCTTCTCGCCTACCGTGTTTCTTTGACTGTCGTAGGAAGTCGAGGAGACGCTGGTTGGCTTTCTAGAGAAGGGTGCCACGGTTGAGTCCGACGTCCTTGCGAACGTCAAGACGATTCTGCCTCCTGAGGCGGCCAGTCTTCTAAATGAGCTCATTCCGGAGCCGCCCAGCAAGCAGCCCAATGTGGTGTCCGTGGAGCCGATGGATGTCGCCTCGCAGCCGCCTGTTACCTACTACCAGGCGGATGTGATGGCCAACCAAGTAGGTAAGAAGACCAACGGGTGGGTGGAAGGCGAGTGACTGGATGCTGATTATAACGTAATGCAGAGGTTGGAAATACGGGGAGGAAGGGGAAGGGAAGGGCGATGAGTTTGACCGGGATCAGTGGTCAGGCAAGTAGGTAAGCAGGCCAACAACACGAACGGGGAACCGTAGAAGGGCAGGGAGGCTGCCAAGGCTGGGGTGGCGTGGAGCTAGCCCTTGACCTCACGCTCATTTTGCACCAAATGGGTCGACGTACAACGTACATGTGTTAACCATAACGACCCCTCGCACCCTCCTCCTCTTCCTCCTCCTCCGCCTCTTCCAGCCGCCGAGATGACGGAGATCAAGAACGCGGTGTCGGGCCTCAAAGCCGCCCTGGACGCGGTGCGCAACAACACCGAGGCGGCCAACACCAACATCATGCGGCTCAACCTGAAGGAGGCGCGGGACCAGCTGGCTCGCCGGGTGTCGGAGGTGTCGACGCAGACCGAGTCGGACCCCTCCATCAGCGCCGCCACGCGGGAGGCGCGGATCCTGCTGGAGGAGGTGGACAGCTGCTTCTTCTCGTGAAGAGGAGGGGGAGGAGGACGAAAGGGAGGAGCGAGCCATGGTTTCACGGCTGCTTGAACACGGGCACGAAGGAGGTGGATAGTCGGCTCCGCCTCCAACTCGGATGACCCATGGGTCGCCACTTGGTTGCTTGAGGATGATGGCTGGGTTGCTTGCAGTCCGCCTTTGCGTGCATGATTCTTCCTAGTGACGGGGATGCAAAACGTTGGGTGGTGGCTCCAGGCGTGAGCATACGTTTGGCGAGGAGCTAAGGGGCTTGTGATACTGGGTGGTTGTTTAGGTATGTTTCGTTGCGCCTGTGGATGGGCAATAATCAGGCGGGTGTATGGAGTGCCGTACACATTGCCTGCGAACATGTGCGCATTGCACACACCATGTGTTACTCGGGATACAGAGATGTTTGACAAAGAGGCGCTTGTCCCAAGGTCTCTGGTGATGCTGTGGTAGATGGATAAAACTTGAACAAAGGAGCTTGGTCCGTATATGCCGGTCGGCCCGTATATGCCGGTCGGCTTTATTCGTATAATTTGCGAGGAGAGACAATCAGTTGGTTAGTTGTGTGTGTACATTACATACATGAAATATGATAATGTTCATCACATCGCCGGGCATTCCCTGGCGAGGTGAGTGGTTGCTGGCATGCTGCCTGGGCCCATCTTGGCCTCTGTGGTGCAGCAGCAGCACCGCAAGCGCGCATGCATGCTCCCCAGATAAATCTGGTAACCTGCCGTAGCTACCTTCCCGTGTCGCCTCTTGCTCCCATGCGCACCTCTTGCACGCAACCATGAGGCTTCGTCTCCTTCGGCTGTCGGTTCCTGCCCGCATGTGACACACCAGCACGTGATGTCAAACGAAGGCTTGTTGAGCACGTGTGTGTGGGGGGTGGGTGGGCTGTGCATCGCGCCATAGCCGTCCTTTGCCGACTGGGTTGTTTGGGACGGCTGGCTGGTATTGCTGGCGTTGGAATGGAAGCAGATGTGTCGGGAATTAGGGAGGCGCTGCTTGGATGCGGACTAGACATTCCGGGCTTGGTTCGTGTATGGCTGTGGATGAGGAGGTCGCGTGTATGGTATAGCTACAAACGCGCGCTGCTGTGTTCCAAGGTCGTACGCGTCAAGTCACTACTCGATATCGTACCTGGGATCCCCTCTATAGCCCACATGCATTGGCACCTTTACAGGACTTGACCCTTGAGAGTTTTGCGAACGCCCCCTTAAGAGAGCGAAACTGGATGTGAAAGGAAAGATATCAACTACCTCGTCGCAGAGAAGAAGAGATATGTCGTACATCGCACCAAGAGATGTGCTGTATCCTATTTGCCTTGGCCGTTTGCACTCCAGAATCAGCCAGAATGTCACTTAAATTACGCAGTTACGCAGCCGCAACCATATTGGCCAAAGCGCTATTGTCCTAAACTTCTTAATTGGCACGCTGCCTCCTTCACAAAGCACTACTGCACAGCTGCTACTGGTATCGTACCGGATACTGCCGGATTAGTCAGTCAAAGTAACAGGAATACCCCAAACAGTCCACCATAAGCAAAGCATGAGAGCGTGCGTAGCAAGGACCGCCTTCAAGAATAAAAGAGTAAACACAGGTAAACACGTGCACCAGCGCACGCAAGAGAACTGAAGACAGTAATGTTGCATAACCCTCCACCGCCTCACATCACCACAACAGCCGTATATAGCCTCTTCATTCGTTAATGGGTAATACCGGTTCGAGTTTGTGTCTTATATATAAAAGGTGTTTCGCGCTTCACGCAATCACGACGTCACATTCCTAAATGGCAGCTGGGTCGAGTAATGGACTGCTGTTAGGACGTCCACACGAGAGCAGAGGCCGCAGTTGGGATTGCCTCCGATTGCAGATGCACATGCATGCAGGAGGCAGGTAAGCCGTTGATGCCACAGGTGGGCACGGCACCGGTACCAACGGTAAAAAACAACCAACGAACCCCAACGCAACCGGCCACGTAAACCCATACATACCTTGTCGGCTCCCTGAACTTAGGTAGCAATCATCAAACATAGGTTCATGCATTCGCAAACATAACCCGCCCCTCCATCCCTGTCCCGTACACCGCCCCCACGGACACACCCCCATTAGTTCCGCAAACACCACCCATGCCATTACCAACCGGTACTTTTGTTAACTTGTTTGTCACGATTACCAGCAGCCATGACCCATACAGCCTCTCTATAGGAAGTCAGGAAGTCAGGAACAGCCACCCTGAGCCACCACAAAAGGTATCATCAACTACCAATACACCCGCATCCCACCAACACCACCATTATACCTCCCACACGCGCCTCTTGAGTCTGGCAGTCTGGCATACACGCCTCACTTCACCTCACTTAACAACCACCAATCAGCATTGCCACACTACCCTCCCTCACCCTAACAACATGTTCGGTAGCACTCCTTCTCCTAAGAGGTAACACTGACCGCCGAGGATCATGACGCGGAGGAGGAGGAAGAACCCAATCCCCCTCCAATGCCGCTGACACCACTGCTACTGCTGCTGCTGCTGTCGCCGCCGCCGCTGCTGATGCCGGTGGCCAGGTTGCAGTAGGTATCGCACCACTGTTGGATGAGCAGGGAGGAGATGTCCGTGCGATTCACTACTCCCATACCCACCACTTGGCCCTGTGGGGGTGTGGGGTGAGTGGAGTCGAGCGCAGGGGATGGGGGCGAAGACGTGGGGGGCATTGGCGAAGGGTTACCGGTAGGTGGGACGATTAGGATAAAGTAGGCAGCAATAAGAAAAGAGGCCCCTAGCCCGCCTCCTGCTGGCCCGTAAGCAAGGCCACCCCCACCCCCCCACCTTGGGGCATGTGAGGGTGGCGGTGGAGTTGAGGTAGGTTGTGAAGGCGCACGAGGAGGGCCAGATGCGGCTGGCGTCGCAGTCCCACCAGGCGCTGCCGGTGCACACCCACTGGGGGGGAGGGGAGGGGGGGGGAGGGGGGGGAGGGGGGGGGGGGGAGGGAAGGGAGGATATAGATAAGTGCAACAACACACAGGGGGGAGGGAGGTCAAAGACCATACCAAACCATAGGAGACCACAAGTTAGGGCAAACCAATGGGGGTTGGTTGGGGGTTGGAGGGAGGGGGGGAGGGGGGAGGGAGGGGGGAAAGGATAGATTTAACGAAATTGACGAGGCATTTAACGAGCTGTGTGACAAGGCTTCACCATGGGGTGAAGGGAAAAGGGGGAGGCAGGGGAGGAGGGACAAGAAAGCGGTAAGTGGGAGCGTCGCAAGGTGGGGCGCGGTGCTACCCCACCCCCACCCCCCATAAGCCATTACACATGCATGCATGCACGCCGCCAACACCCCTACTCTCAAGCCCCAACCATCTTCTCCTGTAAACCCCCTCCCCTCACATCCTTCCCTCCTCCTCCCCCTCCTCACCCCCCTCGCCACCCCGCTCACCGGGTTGCAGCAGCCTGCCACGGGCGCATTGTACTGCAGCCCCACAAGCCCCACCACCACCGCCGCCAGCACTCCCACCATGGCGGCGGCGGCCAGCAGGTGCAGCAGCGCCTCGCGGACCCGGCTGCGGGTCTTCTGGGGGTTGGAAGGGGGTGGGAGGGGGTGGGTGGGGATGAGGGGGAGAGAGGCCGGATGAGATAGGGGGGTGAGATGCATGGGTCGCTCAAGCGTTCTCGTGGCAGCGGGGCTCGTGTGTAGCTGTAGGGGCTCGTACTTGTGCTGCTGAGACATCAGTACGGCTGCCAGGTCGGATCACACCTCACGGGGCTGACCCAGGGCCCAGCTCTTGGCATGTTCAAAATCCAACCTGCTAACCCCCTCCCCCTCCCCACCCAAACACCCCCCCCTCACCTCCTTCCTCACCAGCACCCAGCCCAGTCCCATCACTGCCCCCGCCACCAGCCCCCCGCTGTTGCCGCTGTTGTCCACAAAGGGAGTGGCGCCCAGGAAGGCGTTGGCAGCCAGCATGAAGCCCAGCAGCGCCAGTGTCACGGGCCGCCAGGCGTAGCGGCGCCAGTCGAGGAGAAGCTTGGAGCAGGCAGCGCCTGCACCGGAGGGGGGGAGGGAGGGGGGACGAAGAGGGATGACGGGGTAAAGAGGGCAGTGGAAAGTGGATCAACCCGTTTCGCCCCCTCCTCGCCTCCTTCCCTGCCCGCCTCCACCTCCCTCCTCCACTCCCCCGACTCCACAAAGAGAACAACCCATGTTGAAGCCTCGTCATCCAGAGTTCGTCAGTTTTCCTTAGTTTTACCCCCCCCCCGCCCCTACCTGCCAGCCCAAACGCGGGTATGGATGCTGCCGCGCTCATGTACTGCGCGCCCACATTGGCAGACACCAGCACTCCCGCCAGACCGGAACACAGGAAGGTGGCGGCTGGGCGGGGGTGGGGTGCGGGGCGGGGGGTGGGTTGGGTTGGGTTGGGGGGGTTGGGGGGCGGTGGAGGGATGAGGGCAGGGGGGCAACGAGGGGACAACTGAGCGGCTGAGGTTGGTGAGGAGCAAGCGGGACTCGCGGATCCCTGCGGACATCACCCGGTCTGGCTCCCCTCCCCACCCCTCCCCACCCACCCACGGCCCACGGGCTGATGTCCCGGACCAGGAAGTGTCCGAACGCCCACACCAGGCCCAGGTTTGACACCAGGTGGATGGCGCCTGGGGGGGAGGGGGAGGGGGGAGGAGGGGGAGGAGGGAGGGGAGGAGGGGGGAGAGGAGGGAGGGGAGGAGGGGGGAGAGGAGGGAGGGGAGGAGGGGGGAGAGGAGGGAGGGGAGGAGGGGAGGGGTTACAGGAGAGGCTGGGCGGAGCGCAGCGCAGGCGTAACAGAGGCGGATGAGGTGGACGAGGAGCACGACAGGAGGAGGGGAGAGCGACTTAGCCAGGAGGAGCCCACAGACCTTCCAGTTCCCCACCCCCTTCCAATGGCCTCCAGTCCCCATGCACGCAACCCCCCCACCTGCGTTGTGGAAGAGCGAGCTGACGAGGCGCCAGTACTGGTGCCGCTCGATGATGCGCTGCGTGTGAGTGCCGCTGGGGGGGCGCGGGAGGGAGACGGGGGAAAAAAGAAATTCCAATGTGTGGTATGATAGTGGTAAAGGAGGGAAAGGCGCTCAACGTGACTCAGCAGCCAGGGCAGCAGCAGCACTCCAGGGGAAAGCATCCCCGCCCCCTGAAGGGAGTGCGAACACCCCTTCCCCCCCAGCCTTGCGGGTGTGCCGCCTCTGCCGATCATCATCTGGTAACCTGGTATGCAGCTCCCAACCCGCAACTAACCCCGCCACGGCATTACCACAGCTGAGCTCTCCTATACTACACATGCAGATGGCGCCCCCCCCCTGACCCATGCGCCGCTCCCCTCCCCTCCCCTGCCCCGCCCTCCTCCTCCTCCTCCCCCCCTCCCCCTGCTCCTCACCCCAGCTTGACGATCCCCAGCGCCCCCGGACCCAGCAGCGGGTTATCCCGCAGGTCCGCAACCTGACGGCGGGGTGGGGGTGGGGGAGAAGAACACCGGTACCCGGGGAGGAGGGGGCGGTCACGGGGGGTTGGCTGCGGCGGTCATGCCAGTAAGTCCTGGTACCTCCTGTGGCAGGGTGGCGCCATTACTCGGGTTCCTATATATATATATATATATATATATATATATATATATACCCGGATGAGTGGCCAGGGAATTGGTGTGCAGTCTGTGCACAGTGCAGCAACTGGTGGTTTCTAATGGATGTGTTCGGTCGGTCTACCGGTACCTCCGACCCCCCCCCACCCCCTCCTCCTCCCCCACCTGCCAGTCAATCAGGTACAGCCCCACAATGAAGTACACCAGCTCCCCAACCGCCAACATGTTGTACAGCAGCGTGAAGACGCGCTGCCGCCGCCGCAGCGCAGCCGCGGCCCTGTGGAGGAGGGGTGAGGAAGGGAGGGGTAAAGAGGAAACAACTAACTGACTGAGGAATAAGGCGAGGGAGGTCAAAGACCGTACCGGTTGGGGCAAGGTGATGGGGATAGGAGCGGAGGGAGGGGGAGAGTTGGGATCAGGGGGGGAAAGGAAATTCCAAAGTATGGTGTGGTAATGATACACACCCCTCCTCAGGGAGGGGAGGGGACGAAGCAGGGGGGAAGAGGGAGAGGAAGGACCATGCGTTGAGTAATGCGTTGGAGAGTGGGGAGGGGGACAGGGAAGGTGGGTCCTGGCTCAATGTAGCGGTGGCGGAGGGCGAGGGCGTGGGAGGGGATGGTTGATGACAGGATGGTAGGGGTAAGAGGAGCTGGGAGGAGCAGGGGGAAGGATGAATTGGGATTTGGGGCTTGTGGCCAAATGCGTGTGAAGGAGGGGTCCTGTCGGGGGTGGGGCTGTTGGGGCCCCTGGGAAAGTGGGGTGTAACGGGCCCCAACTCCTTGCGGTTGAGGGCGTGTTGGCTGCGAGTGTGTAGGATGTGTTGCTGGCAAATTGATCAGGAAAGGCTGGCGTGAAGGAAAGGGGCTGGGTCAGGGTTGTATGGAGGACCCAACCCGGCACACAGCGCCATGTCGGTCTGGCCTCTTCGTGTCCGGTTGTATCCCCCAACTGGTGCACCCGACAAGGCAAAAAACAACCCAAGGGAGCTTACATTTGGGTTCTTTGATAACGCTCAGCGTCCTGCTGCTGGGCTGCCACAATCGCCCTGAGCGTACAATACCGGTATACGATTTAGGGATTTGAGAGCAGCTGCGGAGGAAAGGGCGACAGGGCCCAATCCTAGACTTCCAGAAGGCCCAATAAGCTCCCTCCTTTACCAGTATTCGGTGCTTGACCCTGTGAATGCGAGAGTCCCAGCTGCTGCGCTAGGGCCCAAGGGCACCATAGCTACCGCTGGCGCTGCCATTCTCTAGGATCAATTGGCTAATGCAGGAGATGTAAAGTGTTACAGGTGGGCAAACATATAATACTTGTAGGGGCGTTGACCCGTGGGGAAGTCATGCGCAGGAGATAGGGACCGCAAAATGTACGCGTTTCATAAAGTAAATAGAGCAAACGTTTAGTAGGGTAAATGCGGGTGTATAGTTTGCCCAAGTGCGCCCAGCGCTTTAACCGCATAATTATTGGTAAACCGACTGTACGACCCTTCGCGCGCTTTGGGCATCGCTCGCATGAAGGTATTTTATACTAGGAGAGGTGTTGTTAAGTTCTTGACATAGGTTCTCAACCCCCACTACTGAACGTACTAGCGTCTGTGAGGACTAGTGAAGTTCCGATCGGAGGCGACCGCGCGCCAGCTTACTGACTTGCACGCAATGGTAGCCACAGGGACCGCGGCCTCAACGGCCCACGGATTCGATGTTGTAGCCTATGTAGAGGCGCACTGGCCCGTGGCGCTGGTGGTACTTGTGATGTTGGTACAGGTGCGTGGCTTTAGGTGCACCGTTGCCCTGAAAGAGTAAGCCAATTCTTACCATCTAATACCTCGGACTTGTTATTTGGTTGACCGGGCGTATTTTGCTCCAATACCGGCCTTCAGGTACTAATTATGGTACGCCGGAAACCTCTGAAGCCATTCCTCGACCCGAATGCATTCAAGCCGTTGCCCCTTGCGGCGAAAAAGTACATCACACACAACACCGTGCTTATGCGGTTTACGCTGCCGGGTCCTAGCCAGCGTTTGGGCCTGCCCATCGGCCAGCACATCACGTTCCTTGCAAAGGGCGATGATGGCAAGGACATCTACCGGCCCTACACCCCTGTCTCCGACGACGAACAGCTTGGCTGCGTGGATTTTGTCATCAAGCTGTACCCGCAAGGGAAGATGTCGCAGGTGCTTGCCAACATGCAAGTGGGCGACACCATGCTCATGAAGGGCCCTAAGGGCCGCTTCACCTACACCCCCAACATGGTCAAGCACTTTGGTGAGGCGATGTTATATAAGGTGTCTGGGTCGGGTAGCGGCAAAACGCCCTTGTGTCTTTGCTAAGACCGGACTCCATGTCCCCTAAACATGGCTTCAGACACCGCCCTCAGTCCTCAGAGGCCAACACCGTCTACAAGCTATCTAACCACCACTTCCTGCTGTATTAAATGCTTTAATACGACTGCGTCCCGCTGTCTCCTCACCTGCCGCCCAACCCCCCCACCTCCCAGGCATGTTGGCGGGCGGCACCGGCGTGACGCCCATGTTCCAGGTGCTCAACGCCATCTTGAAGAACCCCGAGGACCGCACGCGCGTCACCCTGCTGTACGGCAGCCTCACGCAGGAGGACATCCTGCTGCGCCAGGTGAGGGGGCGGGGGGGGGGGAGAAAGGTGGAGGAGGGTGGGGGGTGGGGTTACACCGTGGAGGAGGAGGGGGTCCGAGGTGTGGGGAACAACGAGACAACCAACTACGCTGACCCCGCACCCCCCCTCCATCCTTCCACCCGCACCCCGCACCACCTCAATCCTTGCATCTGCGCCCGCACCCCAAACCCCCCACCCGCACCACCTCAGGAGCTGGACCAGCTTGCCGCCATGTACGGCAACCGCCTCACGCTGCTGCACGTGCTCACCACGCCGCCTGCCTCGGGCGAGTGGCGCGGGGCCAGCGGCTTCATTACGAAGGAGATGATCCAGAAGCACCTGCCGCCGCCGGGTGAGGGGGGGGAGGGGGGGTAGAGGACGTGGGGTGGTGTAGGGCGTGGTGTAGGAAAGGAGAGGAGGCGAGGTCATGGCCGTGTTGACATGGTCAGGGCGTTGAAAGGGAAAAGGTGGGAACGAAGAAATACCAGGTGAAGCGCTGGAAGAGGAGAGGGTAAGGGTGCCGCCATGTTTCCACCGCCTCGTACACCCGTGTGTGTTTGTGTGACCCTCTCTACCCCCCAACACCCTCACTCGCCCTCTTCCCCTGCTCCCCTGATCACCCCATCCACGTGTTGTCTTACACCCCTGCCGCAACACATTGGGCCTTCTTCTTTACCCATCCCCCACCTCCCCGCCTCCCCCCCAGGCCCGGGTGTCATGGTGCTCCGCTGCGGCCCCACCCCCATGTGCGCCGCCATGAAGACCTACCTGGACGAGCTGGGGTATGCGGAGGAGGCGCAGTTCCAGTTCTAAGCAGCTGCTGCGCAGGTGGTGCTTCGGATTGGGATCGAGACGTGGGACATTGGGAGGGAACGGCGTTGTAGCTCTCGGTGATTCTGATTGCGTTTTGTGTTAAGAAAACTGGCCGCGAGTAAGAACGTACTGCACGTTGTGTGCGTGTTTTTGGGATGTCGCTTGTGTGTTGTGGGGCCCAGGCAGCTAGGCAGCAGGGGGCCCCTTTTGGGGCAAACAAACATCAAATCGAGGGTTACCCTCTTTGGGGGCCTTTTCTGGGAGACGTTTCGCAGGCGTGCCAGGGCCCTCCTTGCTGGCGAGGGTGGTAAGGCTGCTGGTGACGGATGTGGGGGTTGCAAAGGGGGTGTAAGGTCGCGTGCTGTGTGACATTCAAACAGCTTTACGGTATGTGTTTCAGTAAAAGGGCGGCGTGGTGCGCTCTTCTGTTGTCTAAGATGACCCCCCTCCTCTGCTATGTAAGTCGTATTCCTTGGGTGGGTTGCACAGCACTTCATACAGGGGAACTCCGTTGTTACGGATACTGACTTGTTCTGTAGTAGCCACCAGGTCTTGGTCTGGTGTCCTGCTGTCAGGTGCCGCTCGTTCCCCAGTGCTTTGCCTGGGGCAAGCCTCAAATTAAGGTATAACGTGAGAGGCCTGAGAAGTTGGTTATGAGGACGGCATAATGGTGGGAAAAGGACGGCAGTGGGTTCGTTTGTGGGTCCGGATGCTGTTATCGTGTATCTAATGGTGCTCTGGTATGATGGCAAAATGTCGCTGCTGCTGTTATATGGGACTCTTTTTCCAGTGGGAGATGAAATGCTGGGGACTATCGTAATGCACAGGGTTTGCTATTCTCTTGTGTATTTACCGGTATTGCCTTGATCACGTATCTCCCAACTCTTCATGCCGTGCTCCATGCTGTGAGCCGGGTAAGGGATGCTTTGCTTCCGCTACCTGCCGTGTGGCTCAGAGTGAGGAGCTTGGTTCTCGACCGACTTGGAAGACCCGTGCAGCGTACGATATGTGGTACAAGGTGTAACGAGCCCCCATACCTAGATGTCTTACACGGCTGCCCACGGGGAGTCAGCGCACTACAAAGCGAACAAGGAGCCCGCAGACGTGGACAGTAGAACCGCTCTTATAGATGTTGATTGATGGTAACATTGTTTCAGCGCTTGGCACGAATAGGGATAGCTGTCGTAGCATGCGTGTAGACATGTATGCGCAAGCGCAACCCGTTGAGCAGTTTTGTGGACACCTGATTCGGGGAACTGAAGGTCGCAGCTGTGCATAACTTAGATGTCCTCCAGGTATCCCAAGAAAGGCCCCCTTGCGTACGCTGCAATCCTGCGTACGGCACAGTTTAAACTCCCCTCACCGATAACAGCAGTTATTGACGTAGATACTGTTTCCAAACATATACTTGTCAGAAGGCCTAAAGGTTTACCTAAAAGGGCACCAAACTTCTCGTAAAGCCGGTAATCGGCGGGACTCCGAGTCTAGTAGCTGCCTTTGGCTTAGCTAGGCAACCATGCAAACCTGTATAGCGTTTCGAGGAACTAGGGTGGCAATCCCGCGCCATGGGCGTGTACCTGCGTGCCGTCTGCCGCACAAGCTGCTGCGCCCTAGCACAACCTCCAGCAGGTCAGGCCTTTCAAGTAACCTGTTGACAGCATATAACGATCCTTAATTGATTAATATTTACTCTTTGCCTTGTTCGCCTGCTTGCCTTTTAGCAAATTGCCGGCATCGGCTGAGCGTGAGCAAGAGCCCGTCGAGAAGCCCCAGGAGCAGCAGCCCGAGCAGCAGCAGGATGTTGAATCTCCAGTAGCCGTAGAGGTTATCAACTCTGTGGAGGGCGCGTCTGAGGCGGCCCCTGTCGCAGCTCTGGAAGTGACCTCCCAGTCGAGTACTAGCGAGTCATCTGTGGAGGAGGAAGCGGAGTCGCAAGGCGAGGCGGCCCCTGTGCAGGAGGAGGCGGAGGAGGCGGGCCCCGCGTCACACCCCTTGGAGGACGTGCCCGAGGAGGTGCAGGAGGACCTCATTGCGTCCAAAGTGAGGGTGCCAGGACTTCATTAGGGGTTTTGCTGGCTAGCAGGACAAATGGTTACAGATAATGTCTGGAGGGAAACAAAACTTCATGCTGGGAGCAACCTACCACACAGACAAGGCAGGAGTGTTGCAGACGACCCAGATGCTTCCAGACCACCCGCAAGCATGGCCGCTCCCGCATGCAATTGGCTTCTCTTCCCCTGCCTGTCAGCCCCTTCCCCATAGGATGCACATACTCCGCATGGCGCTATGCCATGGACGCCAAGGGCTTGGCAGCTTTCCTTCTCTACTGATCCTGGGTTCAGTACCGCAGCACTCAACGTTCCTGACGTGTCACCCTTACGTGTTACCTCATAACGTCATACATGTCGTACCGCCCTGCCTTGCAGGAGCTGGTTTCGGAGATGCTGGATGGCAACTCCTTCGGCAAGCGCGGCGAGCAGTGGCTGTTTGCGCAGCTGGCAGCGATCGCAATGCTGCTGTTCCCGCCTCTCACGCTCAAGGTAAGCCTCCTGCCCCAGGTGGAGGTGTTTGCCTTGGTGAAATCACGCAAAGCAACCCCCCTGTGTAGGATGCTTGCTATACGCCATTACGCATGCTGTCACGGCCCCGCAGCTCCGTGCGCTTGCCTTTTTGTTGTTTACTTGATTTGGGTCGGCACGTGCATCCATGTTTTAGTTTTGTTCACGCATGCACCTGCGCACGTCTGCAGGGTCTAGTGGACTTCTGCGCCACGTTGGCGCTCACTGCGGGTGTCGTGTTCATGGGCACGGCATTCCTGCACCTGGGTCGCAACCTGAGCCCCCTGCCCGAGCCGCGCAAGAAGCACCAGCTGGTGGTGCAGGGCATCTACGGTAGGCACGGGGATCGAACTGGGCTGGAGGGAAAAAAGAAATTCCAAAGTGTGGTATGATAAAGAGGGCTGGAGGGGGGAGTGAAATCCTGGTTAGGTTACAAGGTGTCGGGCAATGCCGCGACGGGCAGTGCGATGGGTGGGCAAGGTGCTAGATGGAGCCCGATGGAGCAGATGCCACTGCTGCTGGACCCCGCCGGGTGCTATTGCCTTCGTAAACAATGATGTCAACAGTCGCTACAACCGCACATCCCTTCCATGCTGCCGTCCCTTTCCGTGCTCATGCACTGTACTGCAGGCTATGTACGGCACCCCATGTATGGCGGGCTGCTGCTGGCGGCGCTGGGTATCGCGGTTCTCACACGCAATGAGACGCGGCTGGCGATTGCGGGGCTGCTGTGGTGGGTCCTGGAGAACAAGGTGGGTGCGCAGCCGCGCAAAGCTGGTAACAAAGGGTGAGGGCTGCGGACGCTGAAGGGCTGTGCTTGTTCAGCCGCAGTTGGGATGTCCTTTGCACTCATGGCACGGGTGAAGGGTAGCTGTTGGGAAGGCCTTCTGACCCTGTGCCCTGGGGTCCTGCACCTGGCGCCGTGCTTGGCGCTGGCCCTCAAGAGCGTGCAATGGTGGCGCGTCTAGGCATCCTATTTGCTGAGGGAAAGTAGAGGCAGTGGTGATACATCTAAACACTGGGCTTTCCTGGCTTTGCTCTGCTCTGCTCTTCTTCACGCGTTCTCTGTACGCCACGCTGCAGCATGCTACACGATATGGGTCACTGGGTACCGGTCATGCCCTGGTTGTCATGGTCACCTGTCCGTGTGGGCGCCTGGGATGTTGTTGTGGCTGCAGGTGAACGCTGAGGAGCGGGCCCTGTCTGAGCGCTACCCGGAGTATGCGGAGTACAAGGCCAAGGTCAAGAAGGTACGGATTATGGGGAGGAAAAGGTGGAAGGGGGCATGAGAGGTGGGAGCAGGAAAGACGCGGGTAGAGGTTTGGGCACCGGAATCGCGGGTGGAGCATGGCATAGCCATGCGAGTACATGACATGGCATCGCTCCTCGCCGCCTTCCCGGTGAACTTTCCCCTTGCGCGGCTGGTTCGCCACAATGCTAACCAAGGCTGCTGGTCCCCCTTCCGTGTTTCATCTCTTCAGTTCTTCCCCTTCCTCTACTGAGACGGTAGTGATGGAGAGGGTGCTGTGGCGCAGCCTTCGCAAAAAGCTGGTCTTGTTCCTGCATACGTTTGCAGCGCGGCCCACCGCCAGTAGCAGCAAGTGTTGCAGCGGCCTTGTTGTGACAGCTGCCTTGTGCCGACACAGCAGCGTCGCACGACAGGAAAGAAGGCAGAAGGCTTTGGCTGGGAATTTTATGAGGCTGGACATTCTTGGTTTGCGTGCTATCGTCAGCTGGGGCTGCTGTTGGTGCCCCTCTGTGCTGCCGTGAGGAGAACGGTTGTGTCGCCACGTTCTGACGGATTAGCCCATGGCGAGTACCGTGAAAAGGCGGCATGCATTTAGGGGTGTATTGGGATACACTATTGAGCTGCAGGCTGTGCGCTTAGGTTGTTGCGCAACCTGGCATGTGTTTTGAAGACGGCTTGCATGGCTCCAGATGGACGCGAATCGCAACACCCACACTTTTGAGGAGACTAAAAGCAATAGTAGTTGTTTTGCCTTTTCGTTCCTAATTATTTTCCACAGCACTTGGGCGTGTTCTGGATGGCTGACTTTGACTGCTGCCATGCTCGGCCCTGCGACGTAAGGGTCGGGCGGCAATGGTGGGATATGAATTTTGCATCGTAGCTGATGAGTTTTGTTTGGCCCGGATGTGGCTTCTTGCATCCTGTGAGGGCATCCTGAGGACATGAGGTTCGACGTTGGGCTGCCTACGTACAAGCGCAGCAACGAGAAAAGGGTTACCTTCTCTTGCTACAAGCGCTGGCATGCTTACACGACGAACAACGATATGCACGCAACAACGCCTGTTGTATGGTTTATATCGGCGCCCCGCTTCTGCGACAGGCAGGCCTGCCAAAGTGTCATCACTTCACCACACAGTCGCACCCCCAAGTATCTCCGTCGACAAACCAAACACTGCAATGCCGTGTGCAGATGACACTACACATGCTTTCCGTGCAAGGAGCAACAGCGTCTCAATTTTCGTACGAAGCCTCTCGTACGGTACCACATCGCCTGCGATCCCATGAGTCCCTCCCTCTCTGCCACTCAATAACAGAAAGACACATCTGATCACAGCAATGCACCGGCCAGATCGTCCTTTTGGCCGGCCAGATCTCTCCTTTCTTCGCTGTCTCCCCACTTCCTCCACCACGACTCCCTCCACACTGCACTCCATGCCCAACCAATCTAAGCTGACTCAACACCGCTTCTGCTGACGTTGGACAACACAGGTAGCAGGGCCGTCCTTGCACTCCTGGTTGCATGGGCAAGAAACATATAACCGGCAGCAAGGAAACGCGATCAGGCTTAGCGCCGTCTGCACATGTCTCGCCCGGCATTAACTATCTTCCCAACACCACCGCCCCGACCCGTGCAACCGCAAGCCATGAAAGCGTCTCACATGGTAAGACGGTTGCCCTTTCTCGACGGCCTTGGCAGGACAATCATGCCTACGAGGCCTGGGGGCCTTGTTCCTTTTGCTTTCCGCTGCTCCTTTTTAACAGGCACTGCACTGCACACCCAAAAATAGCAAAACAAAACAAGGCGAGGGTGCGCAGAGCAAGTAAGGGTTGCACTGGGCCACTGGACATACCGGCCGCAACCCACAAACATTGGAAAATAACGGCTTCTTCATGACGGCTCATAGCCAACCGCAATTATAGCCCAACGCAGCATCGTCTCCCCCCCACATTCTAACCCTTAACAAACATAAACAGCACCAAAGCGGGGCCTGCAGCTGGGCAGCATGCGAGCAGCCGCTGAACGTACGTTCTTACTACCCAGCCTCTCCGGGATTTGGAGGCACACGGCACAAGCATCAAGTCTAAGTTTTTAGGCACACACGCAAAGGCAAAGACATTTTTAATAGGCTCATTATTGCCAAAAGAACACAAAAACACACAGCAATGGGTTTACCTTTTAGCCTACTGATAGGACAATTGACATCCCTCCCACACGACGTTTTCCCCCGGACATCCACGGCCGCAGCTCTTCAAAAGACGGGGGTGTTCCTTGTCTCTGCGACGCCTTTCTTACTACGCACGCAATCTAGCTTTACCTACTTAGCTAAGGAGCGAGCCCTAATGTGGCGTTGTGACACCGAACCGATTAAACCGCGTTCGTTGTAAAGAAAGCGCATACGAGGAACAACACAAAGCACAGGTCATTCGTTGGAAAGGCAGGTAAACCCTGCCCAAAGGGCGCCATGTGAACGTGCCCAAGGGACGATTCATATGGGCCGGGGTGCAAACCACGCTCTTCATGCTTCACGGCAGCACCTGAGCTGCAGCCCTCTGCCCGGCCCCATCCTCTGCCCCAACACATGTGCCCGTGCCCGTGCCCTGCAACAAACATGCATCTATTGGACCTCTATTCACTCATCTCCAGCTCCACACCCACACCTTAAAGAATGTCTTCAGGAGGATCATGCACGCTTGCGCATTCCTCCACAGCTTTGAAAACGTACCCACGACGCGGACATGTCAGCAACGCTTCCCAGCAAGCACATGTATCGTATCGTGTGCATACCCCCAACTGCAAATGAAGGCAGATAGACGCACCAGTTCCCAGCTCCCAGCTCAAATCTTCCGTCCAAACCGCCAAACAACAGATGCCTGCACAGCACAATGCACACCCCAATGCGCACTTTTCTTTGCCGTACATCCAACATTTGAACCCAGCCCAGTCCAACCACACCACAAGACCACCATCATCGCCATGGTAGCAAAGGTCCCACCCAAAGGCTCCCACCCTCGCCTGATCTAACCAAACAATTACTCACTCCATGTTCCTCTACTCCCGGGCAGCCAAACCGCCTCATGCCGCAACACGTCCCCCTCGGCGTCAACTCGTTAGGTATGGTAGGTTTCAAACGTCTCCCAACGGCTGGCGTCCATGCAGCAGCTTTCTCTCCCTGCCCCATACGCTATAGTAACTGCTAACCAGCTAACAACCACCACAAACCCAAGCCACCTCTCCTCTCCCTCCTCCTTGCCCTGAACATCATCTTCCAGGTCAACCGCTCCCACTGCCCGGTTCCTGTCAGACGGCACTTGCCGGGTTTCAATTCCTGCCGCAGTGTCAGTCTTCTCCTCACTGGCTTCACTGCCGCAGTACCTGTCTTCTCCTCACTTCCTGGCAGATCCCAACCCAGATCGCGGGCTGTGCGCAGCCGGGTTGGAAGGAGGCGGCGGCGAGAACGTCAGGTCATCCGGCAGGGACAGAAGCAGCGGCTGCGGCGCCTGCGACCCCGCGAGTGGCGCCTGGATGCTGCTGCCAGCGGCTGCCGACGTGGGTCCGCCTGCTGCTGCCGCGGAGGAGTTGGCGGAGGACGCTGGCACTGCCAGGACGGCCGAGTAGGTGGCGCCTGTGGTGTTGTCTCGTAGCTGAACCTGCTGCAGCTGCTGCTGCTGCGGGATGTGGTGAGCTTGGTGGTGGTGGAGGGGGTGAGGCTGGGGGTGGTGGGAATGCATGTTGGCGTGCGGGTGAAGGAGGTATTGCTGCTGCTGAGGGCTAAGCAGGCCGCCGTCGGGCCCTCCGCTGCCTCCGGACAGCGTTACCGTCAGCTGGGTGGGTGGCGGCGACGGCGCCGCCATGCTCAGGGTCTGTGACCCCAGCTGACTCCGATCCACTAGGGCGAGGCCCGTCGGCAGGACAGCCAAGCTGCTGCTGCCGCCGCCGCCGCCGACGGCGGCGGCGCCGAAGCCGCCTGGACTCTGGCGAAGTTGCAGACCGCCGCCGCCACCGCCAGCACCCCCGCCCAGGGGGCCCTTTGGACCCCCGGCGCCGACGATACCCTGAAGCAAGTCAGCTGTAACCAGCATGTCACCTCCAGAAGCGGTGGCGGCGTTAGGTCCCGCGCCGCCTCGACCCATCGGCGGGAAGGCCTCCGCACCCGGGGCTCCAAAGGCGAAGCTGCCGACAGCGCTGCTTTGCGACATGCTAGCGGCGGAAGCTTGACCCGCGGAGTTGAAGGCGCCGCTGGCGGCAACGCCGGCAGCGGCGGCACCTCCCATGCCCTGCTGCTGCTGCTGTTGGAGTAGCATGGGGTGTTGTGCATGCTGCGACGACGGCGCGGAGCCGACGGAGGAAAGGTGTAGCAGCTGCATGGCACCGCTGTTCATCTGCGGGGGCGAGGGCACCTGTGAGCCGGCAGCACCGCTGCCGATGAGGCCAATGGTGTGCGCGAATCGGCACCGCTCGCCGTCACGACAAAAGCCCTGCAGATGGAAGCGGCATATGCGGTTCCCAGCCGCTGCTGCAGCAGCGGCAGATGCGGCATTCGACGCGGCAGCGCCCACCGCACGGTGGCTTGTCACTACTCCCGCGCCGCCGCCGCCGCTGGCTGCGAGCTGTAGCTGCAGCAACTGCAGACCTCCCGTCATGTCGGCCGGGTGACCCTGCCAATCTAGGGTTTGCAGCACGCCGCTGCCTACACCGCCAGCCTGCCTAGGCGGACTGCATGCCAGACCGTTGCTGGCGCCGCCACCGCCGCCGCCAGCATCACCAGCGACGGCCTCCATGTGCTGTTGCTGCTGCTGCTGAGGCTGGAAGGAAGGGGGCGTCCAAAAGCTAGTACGACCCAGCATACCACCACTGACCTGCGTTTGCAGGTGTTGTTGTTGCTGCTGCTGTTGGTGTTGCATGGACCCAGCCTGCTGAAGCTGTAGGCTGTGTCGGTTGCCGCTACCAGGCATGACCGTTGCCATGCTGTTTCCCATCAACGGCGGCGACAGGCCTGGTGGTTGACCGTTGCCGCCTGGCATGCCACCACTGCCCAACTGTCGTACATGCAGCAGCCCATGGCCATTTGCCCCGACGCTAGCGGCCGTTCCCATGGACGTACGCGGGGAACCCAACACGCCCGCTGCCGCCGCCGCCAGCGCCGACATAGAGTTGTCCCCTGCGCCACCATGGACGTGCAGGCCCACATGCAGGCCTCCAGCTTGCATGGGTGCGGCTTGCATGGAACCTGTGGAGGCATGATGCATCAACACCTGCTGACCGTGCCGGCCACCCATGCTCATGAGGGCTGAGGCGGCACCGTCAGCAGACAAGCTGCTGCCGCCACCACCACCGCCAGCACCGCCTCCGATAGGCATTCCGCCGAACGCCCCACCAGCATGACCTCCGGGGAAGGGCATCGTGCCAGCAGCGCCGCTACCGCCAGGGGGTCCGTTGACCAGTCCCGACGCCGCCGCCGGTGGCGACATCGCCGGCGCCACCGTCCCCCAGCCGCCAGCGACGACTCCGCCGCTGCCGTCAGACTTCAGGGCTGCGCCGCCGCCAGCGTTGGGTCCCATCATTGAGCCATACTCATGGGACATGGGAGTCTGCAGTGAGGGGAAGAGCGCCGCAGAGGGGCCAGAGGAGGACAGAAGCGGGCTATCCAGGCCCCAACTGGCTCCGCCGAGGTCCACAAAGCCGAAGCGGGGCTTAGCCGCCGCCGCCGGAGCGGCGCCGCCGCCGCTACCTCCACTGCTCGCCACGCCGCTGCTACCATCAGATGCCGCTGCTGGCGCGGTGTCAGACAGTGCCGTGGCAACAGTGCCACCGGCGGCGTGGCCAGAGGATATGGTCGACAAGGATGCCGTACCACACATCCTGCCAAACCCCGTCATGGCACCAGCAGGACCACCAAACCCCGTCATGGCACCGCTGCCGCCGCCGCCGGCCGCCGTCCCAGAGCCGCCGGCGCTCTGTAGAATGATGTCATCAGCCGAGGCGACTGAGCTCATTATGGAAGAGGTGCGCTGGCTTGCGGCTCGGTCCATCAACCCGCCTAATGCTGCGTCCGCACGGAGTAAGGCAGCAGCACCGGAACCCGCACGCTCGAAAATGACACCGCCGCTGCTACTGCCGCCGCCGCCGGCTACGGCGCCGCTGCCGGCAACGTAGCAACCAATAAGGGCCCCGTTAGTACCGTTGCCTCCGGCACCGCCGTTAACACCGCCGATACGAGACTGCGCATAGTCCTGCAACAAGAACTGTTGTTGCTGCTGTAGCTGTGATGCGGGCGCTGCGATGACCTCACCGTCCAAGTCCAGGGCGTTGATAACGTCGCGATTCAAGTTGTGCACAACCTCTCCAAGGCTATCCACAGAATCGTTGCGTGTGTGTACGACAGCGGAGCGTACGACCGCCGCCATTGCAAGAGCTGACGACGACGCAGCCGCCGTTGCAGCAGCAGCCGGCGGCGGCAGCGAAGGCTGCGACTCGCATGCGGATGATGCAGCGCCCGCAGCGACATCAGTGCCATGCGTTGCGGCGGCGCTACCTGGGGTGCCCTCGCTAGCCGGCGGCGGCAATGCAGAGTGCAATGCAGGGGGCTGCTGGGAACCATGCATGTGACCTGGACCTGACGGCTCCGTTGGGATCGGAATGGGCACCCTAGGAGTTACCCCAGCCGCAGCAGCACCAGTAGACGCACGTGCTACTGCTATTGCTGCTGCGGACGCGGGAGCTGTGGAGGCCGGGCCGGCCGAGGGAGGCTGGGAGGAGGACGGGGAAGAGGCAGGCGGCGGCCGTGCGGGGGAGCGGTGTCCCGGACCTCCGGTGCCTGGGGGCTGTGGCTGGTGGGCTGAGCTGGGGCCGCCCTGCTGCTGCTGTTGGTGGTGGGCTTGAGCCGCATGGGGTGCGGAGGCTGGGGGGGATGGGGTGTTGTTGTCGCGGGAGGCCTTGTCAGCGCTGCCCTTACTAGCCGGCGCGGCAGCAGCGGCAGCTGCTGCAACCGCAGGTGCAGCGGAATTTGTGGCCGCCTTGGCTGCCGTACCCTTGCCGCTACCGCCACCCTTGCCGCCTCCGTTGGCGTTACTGCCGCCTTTATCGGATGCGGCAGATGAGGCAAATTCACTGCCAGCGGCAGCTGACTTGCCGCCGTTCCTATGCTGCTGCTGTTGTTGCTGCTGACGTGTCTTCTCCGCCCTTGCTCGCTCACGCTTCTCAGCTAGGGCTCTCTCACGCTCCGCTGCTTCGGCCTTCTCTCGCTTCTGCCGCTCCTGTCACACACGCACACAAACATCGGTCGATGTGTCGATCAGAGGTTAGTCCATAATGCGCATGCGGTTATAAATGAGGTGCATCATGCTACCAGCTTCCATGTCAGGGGTGCAGGTGGAGGGCATGGGGGCGGGCTGTTAATAGGGACACAACAACGGGTGCCTATCACAACCCTTTCCCCAACTGGCACATTCCTTCAACAGCTACAGTTGCGATTGCTTGTAACCACCATTGGCTCCCACATATAATCACACACCCATGCCCATACCCAAGCCCAACCAACCCCGGTTCGTTAGTCGTTTCCTCTTTACCCCTCCCCCACCTGCTCCAGCCGCAGTCTCTCCTGCCGCTCCCGCTCCTGCGCCTCCCGCCGCGCCCGCTCCGCCTCCTGCCGCTCCCTCTCCACTCGAGCCAGCTCCGCCTCATCCTCCGCCAACACCTGACGAGCCCGCCGGATCAGGTGCCGTACCTGTACCCCGGTGCGGTGCGTAACAGAATAATGACGGTGGGTGTGGAATGGAAAGCGAGGAGGCGCGTGAGCCTAGAGGTGCACACGTAGTGTTGGGTCTGAAGCAGGCACAATGACTGCATTGCCGACGACAGTGGACAGCGGCATCTAGCGGCTTTAAAAGGGGGGACAGCAAACAAGGGCATGCTGTTTCCTGGGGTCCTTCTGCCCGGGAGTACCCTGCCCTCGGACCCCAGTACCCACCGCAACGACCACCTCATCCTCCGCGGCCCCAGACGCACTCGTCCCACCACTGCTGCTGCTACTGCCGCTGCTACTGCTACTACTGCTGCTGCTGGCAGCAGTTCCGGTACTGCTCGTCACACTGCTATTGCTACTAGCTACGCCTGACGGCGCCGAAGACGACAGCGACGAGGCCGCTGCGTCGTCTTGCGGCGGCACGGCTGCTGCAGTTGCCGTACCCTCGCCAACAGCGTCTGTCGTACTCGCAGCTGTAGCGCCAGCACCGCCGCCGCTATTGCTGTTGGTGCTGCTGCCGCCGCTACTGCGCTTGCCTCGTGACGTTTTACCCGCTGCCGACCCATTCCCCAACTTGGGCTGCTGCTGCTGCGGCGGCGGCTGCTGCGGAGGTTGCGGTTGTGGCAACTGCTGTGCACGATTGCTGCTGCCGCCGCCACCGCTACCATCTCCACCATCCACACTTGTGCTGCTGCTACAGCTGCTGCTGTTGCCGCCTACAGCAGCAGCACCCATGATCTCCTCCGCCCGCTCCAACGCCTCCCGTAGCGTATCGATCCGCTGTGCTACCGACCGATTATCCGAGTGCGGCTTCAGCGCCGCCTCCAGCGCCTCGCGTGCCGTTAGCGCCGCCAGTCGCGCCAATGTACGGCGAGCCGCCTCCACCAATGGGCCCTGAGTGACGCCGCCCTGTTCCGCCGCGTCGAGACGCGACTTGACGAGCGAGTAGCGGTCGGCGGCGGAGCCGCCGCCGCCGATGTCGCCACAGGCGACGCCGGCGGCGAAGCCGCCGGCACTGCCGCCGCCGCCTGAGGCGGCGGCGGCTGCGCCGCCGCTGCCCCCCAGCGCCGTCTCTAGCGCCTGCATGAGCTTCAGAACGCGCTTCGCCTGCTGTACCTTGACGCCAGCAGCTGCTGCCTCCTGTATTGCGCGTGCTAGCGCACCCGTGGTGGTCCCCTCCCGCAGCAGCCGGGTCAGTTTGGCCTCGCACAGCGTCATGTTGCGCCACTGCTCCAGCGCCTTGCGAGCTCGGGCCATGTCGGCGGACAAGAGCTCCTCCCAGCGGCTGGCATCCTGTGGTGCGGGGCGAGGATGGGAGGTTGGCAACAAGAGGTAGGGCCGGTGTAGGAAACCCCATGACTCTTGTTAAAGAAGTCTGGCATGGATAAAAGCCTTAGGAGCATACACACACACCGACACACGCCATGCTGCTCCTCCCCCTCCTCCCTCTCCCCCCTCATTTCCACCCCCCCCACCTGCAGCGCCCGCTCCAGCCCCTCCGCGTCCTCCCCCCGACAGTGGCTCTGCAGCGCCCGCAGCGCGCCCTCCAGCGCCCCCCGCACCCGCGCCGCCTCCTGCAGCTGCGACCTCAGCTCCAGGGAGGTGCGGTAGGACTCGGGGTCCAGCTCCTCAGCGCCGATCTGGAGGGAGGGGGGGGGGGGAAGGAGGGGTGAGAGGAGAGAAGGGGTGGGGATGGGTGGGGAAAGAAGAGAGGTGGATGTGGGATCCATTTCTGGATGGGATTAAACACCACCGCGTATTAAGAGGGGAGAGAGGGGAGAGGGACATGAGTGTTGACCTCAGACACTAATGGAGACCCCTGAACAGGGCTGTCCACGCACTAAACAGGGCAAAATGGATAATCCATGCTCATATCCATACACAGCTGTGTCCTTCCGCAGTGACCTGCCTTTTTCGCATTATAAATCGCCGCTTCCAGACGACCCAAATCAGCCAGCGTGCGGTACGACGCAGCCGCCTTGGACAGCGCCTCCGCTGCCCTTTCCGTGTCCAGTCGCCTCCTCGCCGACGCCACCAACGGCCCCAGCACCTCCACCAAGCCCGGCACCGGCGTCCCGCCACCCACCATGCCGCTAAGCGAGCTGGCAGCGGCTTCCGCCTTGTTTAGGGCCAGTTTGAGCTGCTGTGGGCCCGAGGGTCTTCGCGCCATGACGGCCTCCAGCTGCCTGGACGCCTCCGCGGCGGCTGCCACGGCTGCCATTTCCTTGAAAAGGCGTTTGGCCTGGGGTGGTGGAGGTTTGGGGCAGGGGCGCTGGAGGAGACGGATAGTGGAGTTGAGGTTGCAATGGCATAGGAAAAAGGGCTTGGTACAGTAACCCTCAAAGCGCGGCCCCTCTGCGGTTGATCAAGGTACAGTTCCTGGCGTCATCAGCCCATTCCCGCTGCAAAAACAAAAAATTGCCGCCGTACCTTTGTGACGCTAACATTGGCGTCTTTTGCTTCGTTCATTGCTTGCTCCAGCTGCTTCATCCGCCGCTCCCACTCGATAAAATCCGGCGCCGACGAGGGCCCTTCATTCGACGGCCCCCCTCCCCCTCGCCCTCCTCCCCCGCCTTCACCACCAGAGCCCGCCCCCGACGCTGCCCCAGGCGACCCTCCAACTGCTGCCTCTCCGCTGCCGGCACCACCGCCGGCGCCAGATCGTATCCCCGCGGACGATAACACCCCTGCAGCCGCCGCTGCCGCCAGCGAAAAGCTCAGCGGACGAGCCACCGTGTACGATCGGACCTCCTCAACCGCCGCCTCCAGCTTCTCAACCGCCGTCGCCCGCTGAATCCACTTGTTCCGCAACTCCTCCGCCGCCTCGTACTCCGGACCCAGCCGGCTGCGAAAGGGCTCAGCTGCACGCAGGGCCTCCGAAAGCGCCGCCACGGCGTCATTCGTACCTCCTCCGCCGCCGCCAACCGCCACCGCCGCGGCGGCGGCGGCGCCCTTGGCGCTTACGAGCTCCCGAAGCCTGGCGGCTGCTGCCAGCTCGGCCGCAGCGTTGGCCAGCACGCTGCGAACAATGTGGGCTAGGAGGGAGCTGGGCAGGGAGGCGAGGGTGAGCGCCTGATCCAGCGCCGAAACCACGTCAGGACTGACGGGACGAGCCAGGATGGGTAGGCCGTCGGGGGTGTATGTGACGGCTGCCTGGACTACTTCCTGCAGGGTCTTGCTGGGCGGCAGGGGCTGCCCGTGCAGGGCCTCCGCGAGGTAGAGGTCCGCGTCCGCCGTCTTGGCCCACCGCTGAGGGAGGGATGGGTGAGGGAGGGAACAGAAGGATACCAATGTGTTGTGATGAAGGAGAGCAGCAGCAGCAGTGGGAAAGGCAGGGGGAGAGCGGTGTGGGGTGACACACAAGACCACCATGGTCGCATTGAAAGCGCGTGACCGGCAAAGCACACTGGGCCGCCCCTCCGCACCCTCTCCCCTATAAACACACAACCTCAACGTCAAGCTAGCAGCGTCGCCTCCCCCTCTCCAACACACAACACCCTCCTCCCTGTCGAAGCCTCGCCCCACAGCCCCTCAGCCTCCCTTCCTCTCATCCCCCTCCCCTCCCCCACCTGCAACGCTGCCACATGCCGCGGGTCCAGCACCCCCGCCCCCGCCGTCAGCCCCGCCCGCTCCAGCCGGTCCCACTCCCGCAGGCACTGCTCCGCCCGCCACACCAGCGAGCGGGTGGGCGGCGACTGCGCCTCCGTCTCCAGCAGCAGGCACACATGCACGTACACCACCCGCGCCAGCGCCTGCCCCACCGCCCGCCAGCGCTCCGGCTGCGACTGCTTCACGCGGTCCACCTTGCCGAACAGGCGGGTGGCCTGGATGTGCGCCATGCGGACCGCCTGCGAGGGAGGGGGGGGGCGGGTGGAAAGGGAGAATGTTAGGGCAAAGTTTGGCCTTACAGGAGGCGCATGTAGGGTGAGGCGGGGGGGCAGCACCAGGGGCTTCTATTTCTGTATGCGCGGTGTGCGTGGTCCATAGGTGGCCTGTGGACTGGAAGCACAAGCACTTCTACGCACAGCACGTCTTAGGCTTTCCGGAGTACCCGAGCAACAAAACATTGACCCCCCTTTTGCCCCCGACCCGTGCCCCTCCCGCAGTGTTACCTGCACCGCGAGTGCCGCGCAGCCGGGGCAGGTGCAGCCCCGGAACTTGAGCAGCACGCTCTCAGCCCAGCAGGAGTAGAGGTCCGCCTGGGGGAGGGGGGTGGGGCGTAGGATGGTTCAACACAACGGGCGAGCATGGGGTATTCGGCCAGTGCACGTGGGAACGGCTACAGAGGGAAAAGAGTATGCTTCCTGCATGTAACCCATGCAGGTTGCTTTCCTCGCTACCACCTCGTCACAGCCCCACATGCGCCACGTTCCCGCCTCCCTCCCTCCCTCTCTCTCTCCCTGACTCCCACCTGCTCGTCCTCCAGCACATGCGTCTCCCGGCTCTCCGCACCGCCCGCCCCCACCAGCTCGGCAAACACCTGCGCCAACACCAGGGAGGTTACGGTAATGTGCAGCAGGTAGTTAGCAGCCACAGAATTGAAGCATTTGGCACGGTTCCAAGCCGGGACGGCAAAATCGTGCTTCACATGTGATACCTCGTGTCACCCAGCGACACACGCCCAGTGATTACAGCACTTGCAAGCCCACTGCCCACTGCCCAGCGCAACCCAAGGGGGCCACGAGGGACCCGTGGGTCGGCTAGCAGCTCCCAGGGCCCTACCTGCGGCACCGTGTCTCCATGCAGGTCCAGTGACTGCAGCGCATGCACACTGCGAACAAAGCACTTGAAGGCCTTTTCGGAGGGGAGCTCCTCGCCACTGCTGCTGGTGCCGCTCTCCTGGAGAGGGGGGTGGCAGGGTTTGGGTTTGGGATTGTACATGGAGTTGGGTCAGTGGCTGTATAGATGAGAAAGCATGCAGTGCATAACTGACATGGCTTTGTGTAGAGGCAACCTGTTTAGGCTTTCATATTTTATACCAGTTGGCGTCATGGACTAGATAGCAATTTGGGATGCCAGGGACACTATGCTAGCGACGCAAATGCGTTCATCCCATATGCGCTCTCACCTGTAAGTGAAAGTTTATATCGTTTAGCTGACTAATCTGCGGCGGCGGCGGTGGCGGCGACTTGTTCGAGTAGGAGGATTCCGTGAAGCACATTTGCGATATATCTGGGGGGCCTTTCTGGAATGCAGGCGACGCCATGCACTCCCGCTTGGCCTGCGCTAGGTGTTCGTGCCCCGCTGCGGCTTCGGAGCGCATGCGGGTGACCAGCGCATGAGCTCTTGCGCGCGCGGCTGCGATCTTCTGCTGCCGCCGCGTCTCTATGTGCCGCTCCACGACAGGCCTGAGGTCGCAGGTGGAGAGGCAGTGGGGGTGCGGGGTGGAGGAACGGGGTGAACGGGCTTGGGTACGCGGGCTTGGGCGGAATGTGACGCGTCGGGATGCCGGGATATTGGGTCACGAGAAAGTCGCATGGACGAGAAAGTCGATGCTCAGGTTAAGAAGCCGGGCCCCTTCAGCCTCAGCTATCGCTCTTCTCCGTCGCACCCACATGCGCTAAACCGTTGAGGGTGCACCGCCACCAACACCAGGTCCCACGTGCATGGAAACCTCTCCAACCCCCCCCGTCGCCGCCACACCCTCCTTTCTCCCTCCCCCACCCATGTGACGAGCCCCTCCCAGGTCACCTGCCCTCACTCACCTGCTAACGCTGGTGTAGCACCCCGCCTGGCCCAGCAGACACAGCAGGCAAAACACCACCAGCCGCAGCCACGAGAACAGCCCCACACCAAAGCTGAAGAAGCACCGCCGCGCAATGAGACTGCGAGCCAGCCGGCTGCGGCACTCCCACACCTCCTGGTCGTGCGGCCCCATGCACCTGCACACCGTCCTGTGCTGCCCCTGCTGTCCCTGCTGCTGGGACCCCTGTTGCTGCTGCATGCCACCTCCGCATGCCGCTCCGGAGCTGTTACTGTTGCTGCCGCTGCCGCCACTGCCACCACCGATGCTGCCATTACAGCAGCTCGACGTGGCAGCCGAGGCCGCGGCTGCTGCTGCCGAGGAGGAGGCGGGCGCCGCAGCCGACCCAGCCCCCGCACCCGCTGGCACTCGGTCCCCGCACACGGGCACCAGCTCGATGGGCAGCTCCCCTGCCGCCGTCTTGAGGGTGGGGTCCGCCCCGCAGTACAGCAGGTGGTCCACCTGGGCGGGGTTGCCGCGCAGGGCGGCGCAGTGCAGCGGCGTGGCGCCGTCCAGGAGCGCAGCCACCGTCTCGCGACCCACGATGGGCGCGGACTTGTCATCCTGGAGGGGGCAGGGGGGCGGGGAGGGGGAAGGAGATGAAGACATAGGCAAGAGGTGCGTTGGAATTGGCTAGGAGCATTTCATTGAAGAGGCCCCCAAGGGGTAAACGTCCATTGGGATTACCCCTGCCCCCACATCCGCTTCATGCGCCGCATCCCCGCGTCCTCCCACCTCCCTCCCTGCTCCAGTTCAACCACCCCAACCAGGCACCCACCGGCTGCAGCGGGTTAACCGGCGTCAGCTGCAGCATGGGCGGCACACTGTCCGCGTGCTTCTCCTTGTAGAGGAAGTCCAGCACGGCACCCATGAGCGCGGGGTCGATCCGCGTGTTGACCAGCTTGCGCCGCTCCTCATCTGTCACTTGCAGGTTTGAAACCAGCTTGTCGATTGGATCCGACCTGCGTGGCATGGGCGTTGCATGGTTGCATGGACGTGAAAGGGTGCACTTCGTGGCGTCGTGCGATTTGGGTCGGTGGGTTAGCCTCATGTGATATCAGCAGGTTCGGGGATAGAAAGCACAGATGTGCCCTTTGACAAGGGGCCTAGGGCGGGACACGGATTACATGGCTTTCCGTATGCCGCATCGGAGGAAGGGGGCCAAACGGGGATCCAGATGGACAAAAGGGCTAGGCTACATGCTGGACCGAAGGCATGCCGACTCTTTCGCATGCGTGGAATGGGGGGGGAGGGCTACAAAGCTGTGAAGGCCTCAAGTTAACGTTGGCGACACCCCAGGACCAACAGACGTCCCGTAACAGCCCTGCCTGCAGTCCGAACCTACTTTGGGTAAAGCTGCGACAGCTTTCGCCACGGCACGCACAGCAGGAACTCGAGGAACCCCGGTGGTGCGTTCATGAGCGCGGACACCGCCAGTGCTGCGCTCGCCACCGCCTGCAATGGGGAAAGAGATGCTTGATGCTTGTGTTTGACAAACAGCTAAGCGTTCGCACGGTGAACATGATCTATTTAACAGCGCAGGAGCTGTCCAACTAGAACGCAGTCAAGGAGTACACATATACGCATCGTGCGTCTTACCCGGCAGCGATCCGCGTCCAGCTCCTGCAGCATATCCTCGCAGCGCGGAAGCATTACGTTTAATGCAGCTGGAAGAAAGTCGTAAAGTATCCCCTCTGTCAGTTCCTTCACACGCCTGTCCTCGGAGTCCATGTGCGCAGAAAGTTTGCTTTCAATTTTCTGCAGCCTAGACCTGCGGCTCCTGCAAATCACCGAGAGAAACATGCACGTTATCAGATGAAAGACTTATCGCTGGCTGGACTGGCCCTATCGCGTTGCAGGGCAAATACTGGCTGCTTTCGCAAAGGGCCTTGGCCACACAGGTCTCTGAAATGGTCTCTTTGCGGTTTGCGCTTACCCATACATTCCATCTTGGGAAAGGGTCTGGGCCCCCAAGACCGGGGCCTCCATCTTTTTCGCCCGGCAGGCCTTTAGGGCCTTGGTGTCAAAGAAGGCTGCGTCATCAACCTGCGCTGCACTATCCAGTAAAGATGTTGCGTGCCGTTGTTCGGAAAAGTATTTGCTGCGTGACGCAAAACCAAACAACTTTAGCCCGCAAGGCAGCCTAAGATCAGCATCCCGACTAACAATACGGTTATAATGGGTTAATTATAAAGGATAAGCAACGCATAACAGCAGACCGCATCACCTAAGGACAAGCAACACTTCACACGGGAAATATTCATGGCAGCATTTGATGGTCGATCATTGCCGTTTTGCTGAAGAAATAAAATGACGCAAACTTCCTGCACGATGCTCACTCCTCTATAACATACCTGTTGTGCCACTTGCCACCAGCACAGCGGACTCGGCACACGTATGTAATAATGAACAGTTATGATGTGGGGGGTTTGGTACCCTTTTGCGTATGATCAATGCTAGCTATGTCCTGAGGGCCTTGGAAGCGGCCCTGCTACTTCTTGTGCTGAAAATATTGCGTTGGAATACTCGTAACATTGGTGCGTGGCTTCACCTCCTACCTATTACGTTAGGCACGGTACACACCTCCCAGCTGACCTTTGGGGACTGCGGTTGTACGGGAGTTTGGAGGTACGGCTGTTTTGCATTGTTCAGGCTGTCACCGGAAAGCATACCTAATTTTTAAGCGGCATCCCGGCAACTATGCCTTTCTCGAGGCTCACCTCAACGTAACTGCATCTACCGCAGCTCTAAGCTATTGTATACACGCAACCCAAAAGAATTCTAGTGATTTGCGTATTTTGGGACGCGTCAGGAAAAGAACATGACTTCACATCCACTCATCGGACAGCGTAACGTCACAGAACGTGTACGAGTCTACGCATCACCGGGCTTGGTGCAAGAGCTTGTCCAGGAAGGCAACACTCTTGCACAGACGCTGAAGGAAGAGGTGGTAGGTGAACCTGTTGTTCAGGCTAATAGATGATAAGGCGCCTCCGTTGGTTGGGACGCGCGCTGCCGATGCTCTGTGGCCATGCGACTGGTTCATAGGTCGCAGCGTCCTGGCCCCAGGACATGCAACGCATACGGTGTTAGAGCTCAATTACATTAGGATGCCTCGGGTATCCCTTAACATCTGCTAAACTCTTGTTTGGAACAGCACATTCTCGACATCGCGGCAGGAAGGTTGAGGCCATCTCGCAACTGCCCCTCCTTGCAGAATCGCGCGTCGTCGGCTCCAACTCTAGGGACCAGGAGGTGGGTCACTGCATCCATGCTACCGCGGTGTCACAAAAAACACAGGCCGCCCTCACCAACATGCCGACATGCCTGCTGGACATGCCCGCCAGCCTTCCCCCGCCCTTCCCGCCCCCACCTCTGCATGGCGCACCCCGCCATCACCTCCCTCCCACCCTGTTAGCCTCCCTCCCACCGGGCGGCTAGTCAATCATCCCACCCCTCCCGCCCACCCCTCCAACTCCCCCTCCTCCTCCCGCCCCCCGCAGGTCCCTGCCCAGCCTATGGGTGCCCGAGGATGACCCCGAGGTGGGCGCGCTGCGGGAGCGTGTACGGCAGCAGCGAGCCATCCGGGAGGCGGAGATGGCGCGGCAGGAGGCGGCGTTCCAGGCCTCCTTCCAGGTGGGTGCATGGAGCGAGGAGGTGCATGGGGGAGGGGCGATGGGGCCAACAAGACGCGAGTAAGAAAGCGGCTTCTTCACTTACGCGGGGGGTGTGGGCATGGCTATGGGCATTGTCCTCCTTCCTCCTCGCTGCCAGCCCGACCCAGGCGAGCCCAGCACGGGAAGCAACAGAACAGCAGGAACATCCAGAAGCCTCAACCATGTTGCCTTCCTAAGCCCCCCTTCCCACTTGTCATCCCCCTTTTCTCACACCCACCCACCCCCCGCCCATCCCGCCCTGCACAGCGCCGGCGGGAGGCTGCTTCCCAGCGCCGGGACGCGCAGCTGGGCTCGCTGCTGGGGGAGGTGTTGGGCGGCATGGCGTCACCGGAGGGGCCGGTGGCGGAGGCGGAAGCGGCTCTGGCGCATGCGGACAAGGTGGGGGAAAATATAGATGGGGTGATGGGCGGGTGATTGTGAAGGACGCTGGCCGCGAGTAGGAACGTATTGTGGGTGCGTGGGTAGGAAAGAAGGGGGCTTGGCAATCGCCCCTCCGCCTCCGTCCCGCCCTGTCAGCCCCCTCCTTGTGACACGCACACACCCCCAGGTCCGTCAGAAGAAGAAGGAGGACCTGCATGCGGAGTGGAGCACCGCTGTGTTTGACACGCTGCAGGGGCGGCTGCATGCAAAGCTGGACGCGCGCGACCCACGGGTCATCGAGCGCCGCCTGAAGACGCAGTACGACCAGTACCTGCACACCACCAACACCAAGGTGAGGGAAGAGGGAAGTAGAAGGAATGCCGTGTTGGCGATGAAAGGGAATGAGGGAAAGGCATGGAGGGAGACGGAGGAAAGGGATTCCTGGGGAAGGGAAGGGTGAAGTTAGTGACTTGGGGGGGCTGGGATTGATACGAGGGAGTGAAAAGGGACCTGGGAGGGTATTTGTACATGGCAAGGGGCGAGGGGGAAGCAGGGAATGAATGATGGTGAGGTGCACTGGCCTCCTCCTCAACACAACTACACTCGTCCTCCTCCTGTCCCTCATCCCTGCGTGCTCCTGCCCTTCCCCTTCCTCTCCCCAACCCCGCCCCCTACCCAAGGTCGGAGTGTTCCGGGATGTGATCATCGAGCAGGACTACGACCCGCTCAAGGCCGCCAGCGCCAACATCCGCATCCCAGCGGGTAAGTAGGGCTGGTCGGAGCGCGGATGCTCGAGGGGTGGTGGTGGGGGGGGAGTTTATAGATAGGTGCATCAACTCGAGTGCTCGAGGGTTGGGGGGGGGGTTGCTGGCGCTGGTGGGTGTTTAATTAGTCGGGATTGGCAGGGACTGGGCATCCTGTTCAGCAGATCAAAGGAGGTAATACGGGAAGAGCACAAATCACATCCACATGTCATCATTCTGTCTTGTCTGTGTCGCATTGCAGCATTCCCACTTCTCATGCCCTCGTGGCCGCTGTTCCCATCCTTTTCGGCTCCGCCTCCCCCGCACAGGTGATATCCGCGACCCCCTGAAACGCGACGTCCTAAAGGGCGAGTACGAGCGCCGCATGATGCTCAGCACCGGACGATTGGAACACGTGCCAGGCGCCAACAACCCCCCCGGATCCGGTTCAGTTACCGCCCGAAGCGGCGGGGGAGGTGGAGGCGGCAGTACGGCAAGGAGTACGGGACGCAGCCATGACGGCGGTGTCGTATTCGTGGGCGCCGGCGCCACTGCCGGTGTCGTCAGCATGGGGGGCAGCACGGGCATGGGTATGGGCATGGGCGGTGGGATTAACACCGGCCACAGCGCCTCAGCCTTCGGCGCCAGCACCCACCGTTCCGGTGGCGCCGACGCGTATAACGGCTACAATTGTGGCAGTTATGGAGGTGGTTACGGCGGTTTCGTGGACAAGGAGAATCCATGGGGCAAGGAGACGCTGGATATACGGCAATGGGGCGGGTTGGCGGTTGGTGCGACGCCGTACGGGCACTGCAACGATGGGATGGGAGAGTACGTCGTACGGCCGCACGCGGAGGACATTGAGGTACGTCCCAGGGGCTGGGAGAGTTTGTTATTGGGTGGGCGTCTCAGATCCCATGTGCCGATGGGATGCACAGACATTCCATACATCCTTTCCTCCAGTTCTCGCTCAGATGCCAATCCATCCGGATCCCTTTTCTCTACTTTTCTTCTCCTCACCTACGTTGGTCTAACTTCCCTCCCCTCCCTTCTCCTGCCGTACACCCTTAGCTCCGCAAGAGCAGCGTGCCCATGGATCACTACACCTACCCGCGCGGCAATGAAGCAGCCGCAGCGGAGGTGGGCCCCGGCAAGCGCCGCGTGCCGGGTCCGGAGGAGCGGCGCGGCCGGACAGATCTCTTCGATGTCGTGCACCACACCTGCCATCTCAAACCCCAAGAATACACGGGTGGAGACCGGTGGCTGGAGGCGCGCGGCAAGGCGCATGCACCGGGGCCGGAGCAACGACGGGGCCGGCGGGACCTGTCCGATGTGCTGTTGTTGAAAGCACGCGCGGGATCTGCGGAGGGATCCGGAGGGGCGGGGGCTGTTGCCGGAAAGGGCGCGAGGGCTGGGGCCGCGGCAGTTGGAGATATGTGGTTGGATGCGAAGGGCAAGGCGCATGCAGAGGGTCCGGAGGTACGACGGGGACGTGCGGGTTTGTACGATACGCTGCATCAGACGAGTAATCCGTACGAGGGGGGAAGCAAGGTGGGAGATGCGTGGTTGGAGCACAAGGGCAAGAAGGTGCTGCCGCAGCTGCCGCCGGAGGCTGGAGCAGCGCTGGCGGGCATTCCGGCGCCGGTGGTTGTACGGCGGTTACCGGATGAGCGAGTGTACGGCACACATCTGACGACGATTCAGGGACAGTTGACGGTTAAGCAATAGTAGCTGGTTAATAGAAGGTTACTGTGGCGGGGAATGGAGGTAGAGGGCAGCGTAGTAGGGGGGAGGAGGAGGCCTGGAGGGTTTTAGGTACAGGAGCCTGGAGGACACGGGCTGTGCGATTGGTCCTGGTTGTGGCTTCGTTGTTATTATGGTGTGGTGGTATATAGTATGCATGGTCTGCGGGTTGTGTGTATCTGGAGCGGGGAAACACGGTACCCAGCGAATGCGTGCATGGGGCTCACGGCGGGTGCTCACAGCTGTGGGGGGGGGCGGGTTGCAGGAAATGCGTGTTGCTATGCACTTGGCGGGGAAAGACGTAGTACTATTAGATGTGTTGGACATGGGAGGAAACAGACTTTAGGCCGTCGGTTTGCATGTGCGTGGTGAGGAACGAGATGAGTCTCCACGGGGGGCTTGGGGAAAGATGAATGTACGGGGTAACGTGAGTGTCTGACATGGACGTTGTGGCAGCTGGTTGTTAGCCGCTTGTTAGTTTGACCCTTAGTAATTGGGAACCTGTGTTTATGCATGCAAAATGTCATCGACCTAGCATCCAAGGCCTTCCGTGCAACGGGAGTTTCGTACATTGATATCGGCTCCTTACTCTTTTTCTGCCGCTCTGCCTAAAGAGCTAAGCTGCATGATGGCCGATGACATGTTAACTGGGAATGCTGGAGCCCATTAAGACTTGTTCTTATCTCAATACTCGGTGGTAAAAACTCACGCCGATTGACCAACCAGCGGCAGCGACAACGTACATTTCACGTACGCACGCTCGGCTGCTGCAGAAGCAGTCCACATGCAAACCCACATGCACTGTAAATCCTGTAATGCCCGCCTGCCTACAAACATGCAATTCCGACAGTTCCTTCCCCACACCATCCTCACACCTGCGCCCACATCAGCAGCTTCTCATCCACCGGTAGTTTGCTCACCCGTGCTCCTCCTGCTCGTACACAGCAGGTCGGGCACGCTTCCGGCCCACACTAGCCACACCGCCAGCACTGCAAACCCCGCGCTAAACGCGCCACCGCAGCCCCGCAGCTAAAATCCCCAGTAACACGTTGTGGTGCCGTCTTTCCGGCGTGTTCCGTCTCTCTTGCAGTGTAGGGTTGGGTTCATCACCCGTGTTCCCTTTTATGGAGCCAGTGTAACGGTCATTCATTCAGTCACTCAACGTGAGTCAACGCCAGCACCTACTACTCTACTGTGTGCAGTCCGCGCAGCAGCCCTCCTCCGTACTCCATCCTCCGGAGTTTGTTCCTCCTGGCTTCCCAACCTCTGCAAATGCGACCCTGTTGCACATGCCGGTATGCTCAGTAAACACGCCCCCAAACCACATGTTATGAACCCCTCTCAGCATCCCCTCTCCTCACTTCTTCTTTTCACGCCGGCGTTTACAATAAGCCCTGCGGGCCCCACCCCGTCATCTTGACACCGCCTCCGGAACCCACTTCAGGAGCTCGTATTCACATCTCCTCACCCGCCCCCTGCCCTCCTTCCGCTGCTGCCTCTTTAGCCCCTGCGTATCCTGGTCCCGCTGTTGTTGCCACTGCTGTTCCTGCCGCTGCAGCTGCTGCTGTCGTCGCTCCTCCTGCGCCACCTTTGGAGGCTTACCAGGCTTTCGGCCCACCAACCACATGACTACTACCGCGAACCCCACGTTAAACAACCCCCAGCCTCCGCCCAGGGCCGCAGCCAAAAACCAGTCCGCAACACCCGCTCGTGAGCCGCCTAGCCGCGACACGAGGGCTGTCTCCGCAGTAAGCGCTGTCAGCATGCCGAAACACACCAGCACGTAAATGTCCAGCAGCGTTAGGTAGTTCACAGCGGGAAGGCCGGCGGATACGACATTCTTGTAGGCTGCGGCCGTGAGGAGGATTGTGACTTGCAGACTCAGACGATCGCCGGTGCTTGTGACGGGGTCGACAACAAAGCCGCAGAAGCCGAGGCAGGTAAACAGGAAGAGGGGCAGGAGGACGTTCCAGACTTGGTACGATGGGCGACGGCTGAAGTGCAGGCTGAATTGGAGGTTGCGGTACTGCTTGCCGTATCTTGAAAGTTTGGGGTCGGAGAGCCAGCGTTGGATGGAAAAGCCGCGATAGCGCCAGGAGGAGCTCTATAGGGTTTAGGCAGGATGGATGGAAGGGAGCGGGAGTGTAAGGAAGGGAAGCCGACGGGAAGGATAGGTGTGTGGGCATAATTTGCCATCGTCACAAAGATAGAGATGCTGGCCATGCGGGTTATAGCATTAAAGTACTTGTTTGTGAATGGAAGGAAAGAACATCCTGTCACCGGGTCACACGCACCAGGGTGAAGTCATCCTGGAGAAATATTAGGGGCTCCCATCACAGCCTTCCTGTGTTGGCGTCAGCTTGTCTACCGTAACGGCAACTGAGGGAGCAGGCTTTGCGGTTAGGTGGGCGTCAGGCTCCATAGCTGTCGAACACAAACCCACTCGCACGGGAGCAGGTTGGTCCCATTTGATAGGATACATGGAGGACAGCGTCATTGAAAGAGACTGCCAGTCAAAGGGGAAATGCTGTAGCTCAAACTTCTCATTAAACTTGATAATTGCTCTCTGGCACCATTCCACATTATCGTCGCGATTAAATCGCTTCCACCCAGGTGAAATTGACTCCACGACACTGGAGTCCAGCCACTCTAAGTAAGGGTTGAATGTTTCATACACCCCAGCTTTCTCCAGTTTTTCGCGTATGCCTCGCCCCGTCACGCACGTATAAATATTCACTATGAAACTCTGGTTCGGAGTGTCAATGGTGTTTACCGCAAGGACTGTGAGGCGAGCAACAAGCTGCACTTCAAGGTTCATCTTCTGTGAAACTTGCTGTCGTTCTTACTGCCCAACTGCATAACAGGCCTTGAGCACAGCTTCTCTCAGCACATCACGCAGGCTTGCGGCGTCTTGCGCGTTTTGAGTCAGCCGCCAACGGCAAATTGATAAGTCGTACAAGTCCGCCTGCACGGCTCGCGCTGATAAAGTGAATCCGGCTTATATAGGGAATCTGTGCATATGTTACAATATACGGAAAAGATCCGTGCCTTTGTCAGGAACCTCTGTCTGCCCTGCCTGCTTGCTTGCCGTACATTGCATACCTGTCCTACCTGCGCGCCTGCCCCATGCATCTGCCTGCCCTACCTGCCTGCTAGTCCTCCATTCCTCCTGTTCAGCCACTGCCTACTCGCAGCAGCATCCTTGCAGCTAGCATATGTCTCTTCCTACGCCGCCTCTATTCATAAAAACACAATTGCCAGCTCACGGCACACTTCAACGCACGAGAGCCCCCTGCCTTGCCTGGGATTCCCTCTCGAAAAACCCAACAATGAAGCGCGTCTGTGTATAGTTTCATGGGGCATGGGGAACCCGTGCGACAGCCTCACAGCAATTTTACTATCAACCTCAGCACTATAGTTGCAGGATTCGATATACTGCTGCTACTGCTACTGCTACTGCTACTGCCACTGCCTATGCCCATACCTCTCCTGTCCTTACTTCTACTGCAGCTACTGCCAATGCTGCTGGCGCTACGCACACCTAGGAATTAGACATGAGGCAACATCACTGCGTACGTACGCTTGTCTTAAGTCTACCGATTCAATGCAGTACATAGAGTATCATTGCCAATTTTGCCATCAGGGTAAAGCCTGCATGCCAAAGCATTGCCCTCAGTTCGCCTGTTCACGCCGCCGGTCACTGCTCTACCATAATTAAACCACAAACACAAACCACGATCCCCGGACTTGGCCGTTGTCTTATAACTGCCGTACAAACACCCCCGTGAACTGCGGCACGAAAGCAGCGCATTACGGCCAAACAAACGACACCTTCCTCCTCCTCCTCCTCTTACCCCCTACACTGACCGTTGCTCGGCAACCAAATCACATATGCGCTTGTGTCCCGCGTTCCAGTCCTTTCGTTGGCAAGCCGCGCTGCAGTAGTGCTGACCGCAGCGCGAGCATACCTTCTTCGCGCCCATCTTGCTGCAGTGCCCGCACATGAAACCCGGACCCTTACTGCTGCTGCCCTTGCCGCCCTTGCCCCCCTTGCCGCTGCTCTCGCCGCCGCTGCAGACCATTGTGCTGCTGTCTTCAGCGTTGCTACCGCTGCTGCTGCCGGCTGTGCCCGTCCCAACAGCGCTGCTACCGCTGCTGCAACCCATACCAGCATCCTCACCGCTGCCAGCGTTACTGCTGCTGTTGTTGCTGTTCTTCTTCCCCGCTCCGCTGCTTGTGCTAGGGGCAGCGGTGCGGCCGCCGCCGCCATCGCCTGACTTCGCCCCAGCCTGGGTGCCGCCACTGCCAGCAGCAGCGGAGGCAGCAGTACAGGTAGCAGCAGCGCGCGTGGTGTGCTTGGATGTGTTTGGGGAGAGCTCGTCAGCCTCCTCCGCGTCCGCTGCTGCTGCTCCTGCCTCCTCCTGACCTTGCTCCTGAACAACAAGAGGGCAACGGCGCAGGCGTTGGTTTCACTTGTACCGGGTAAGTCGATGTGAGGGGACATCTGCCGTTCTACAATTCACGCTCCTTGCACGAAGTTGTCCGGATGCCATCATGTTGCAGGTTTAAGTTGAACGCATGCTGATGAAAACAGACTATAGCCGCAAGTGCATGCAAAGAAACATCTTCCGTACACACATTCCTCACACCTGTTCGTACTTGAAGCCCGGAATGAGGCGCCAGGAGCCGGAGGCTTGTACGAATTGGGCTGTACGGTGTTTGAGGGGTGAGCGGTGGCGTGGAAGGGGAGCCAGTGGGCGAGATGCGGACATGACAATCCAACTTCAATCAGACAGCTTGACATAACGAAGGCTAAGGCAGTTCCTAAAGGCACGTCATAGCAAGACCGCACACCGCGTGGGCTTACTACGTTAGCATTCAGCAGGCCGGCTCTCATCCCGCTCGTCTTAGGGTTAAGACAGGACAAGAAGTACGCGCAGACCCACCAAGGACACCACAGCAGAATCCAGAAACCCATACCAACCTACCCCAGTTGCACTTTTTGTTGCGCTTCTTTGCTAGCCGCTGCTCCTCCACCAACTGGAATCCGTACCGCCGTAACGCCTCTTCGTACTCGCCGTACGTGCCGGGTTGCTGATCGCGCGGCAGTTGGTCAAGTTCGTACGCCATTCTGTCGTACCGGCGATCCGTCTCCGCCTGGGTGGTCTCCGGGATTACCAGGAAGCGATACATCTTGAGCATCTGCAGCGAGGGGAAGCAGGCGTGGAGCGGGAGCCAAGTCGGCATGCAGACGCCCTTTTCCACACAACCGACTGCTGCACCCCTCCGCTGCTGCACCTCTCCTCCCAACAACAATCGCAAACCGCACCCTACCTCCTGCCCTCCTGCACCCTACCTCCTGCCCTCCTGCATCCTGCACCCCCCCCACACCTCGCTGGTCGCCTCGCCCCCTCTCCGCATCATCTTCCTCTCCCCCTCCGGCCCCTCAATCAGCGCCAGGTACTCCAGGCAGCGCAACGCCGCCCGCTTGTTGGCAGCGGGGGCCCCCGGGCGGCCGCCGTGGTGCACCCGGAAGAGCACCCAGAAGGAGATGGCTAGGCTGCGGGGGGGGAGGGAGGGATATCAGGGAGGAATGCGCAACCGCATGTGGCCCGTGGGTCGGGTCGCTCGCAAGTCAAACCGGAATACCGGTACTACTAGAACTTAGGGATCTAGAGGATGGCGGAGAGGGCGGCGCAGCGCACCTGTCGTTGGTATGGCGGTCGTCATCGATGGCGTCACGAGCTCTGTGGGCGCAGCAACGCAAGGGGGGGAGTAACAGCAAGTAGGAAATAGCAGGTGCCCAAATCAGGTGAAGTAAGAAACTGAAAGTGTCGTGGCAGCGGGGAGGGGGGCAGCGACACCCCTGTCCTGTCCCAGCGACCCATATCGCCATGGTTCACTCTCACAGCTTGTACGCCCGGTCCAGGTCCTTCTTCATTCCGTGCGCGCCCAGCAGCGCGAACTCGGCTAGGTTGGCCAGCGCCATGCCGACCCCTGGGTGTGTGTTGGGAGGCGGGAAAGGAAAGGGGCCTAGGTAAGCACCATAGCACCTGCTGTAGTTGCCGTACAAGCCACCTGCCGTACAAGCCACCTGCCGTACCTTGCTTGGCGGCCTGCTCAAAGAGCTCCACGGCCTTTGGTGGGTCGGCGGGGACTCCGGGGCGGCCCTGGAGGTACCTGGGGGCGGCGAGGAAAGCAAGGACGAAGTGGGAAGGGAAACCAAGGAACCAAAACATCAGGTGGTGGGCTGGCGGCAGGGATAATGGCCTTAGTGTGGCATGTTGGGCGCGTTGTTAGACCTTATGTAACGTTTGTCCCAGTCCATGGTAAAGGGGTTGTCATACGTGAGCATCTTGAGTTCCCAAGTCGACCGCACCCCGGCGCATGCGCACCATATCGGTACCCAAAGCGCGGCAAGGAGAGAACAAGAAAACTAGCTTCGCATGATACATGGCCCAATCCCCCTGGTTTCGATGGCCCCATCACTAAAACGGGATCCGCTGCTGCGTTTGCAACGCCAAAACCAGCAGCACATGTTGCGATGACTGGTGCGGCTGGGTCTTAGCCTTCGTTAAAAGCTCCAACCCAATACGCGATGAATATACACTATGTAGAGATGTGTCCGCGTTCCAGCTTGGGGCTCAACCCTGCTCACCAAAGCGCTAAGTTGCAAGTCGCCAGTTCATGATTATCCTTCGCGATGGCGAGCTTGTAGAGCCTATGAGCTTCGATGAAGTCATACTTCTCGTATTCCGCATCCGATGCATCAACAGCAAGCCGGTTGCGCTTGTCATATTTATACATCAATCCGTCCGTGGCAGACTTTACCCTCATCATCTTACGCATCAAGTTCATCCGCTGTTGGTACGTCAAGGTACATTTGCCTGTGCCACCAAACATTGTGATAAGCGCCGTCTACCGAGGAATCGGGCTACACCGCGGACACCGCAGATGTGTAATTTCCACTGCGCAAACCTCTACAGCATAACGAAAGACACTGTGCGAAAAAGTAGTTGCCGATGTGGACAGTGCGTTAGGGAGGGTGGTAGTTGTACATTAGTTAAGCGGTTTGCCGTACCGTACAGTACGAAGGCGAGTAAGATTTCCGGCTACCCCAGTACGGCGAACCCGCGGCACGGTCCAGGTACTTTCGCAATGCCGTAGGGCGGTGCTCCTTTTCCCCATGCAAGCGCGGAAAGCGGCCCAAAGCAGGACACACGCCGTGCGCTGATCGCCGGTTGGGCCTATTCGCTGTTCTTTGACTGGCGGGCAACAGTGCAGAGAAAATTAACACTGACTGGAATACCTCAACAACTGTGAATTTCGGCCACACATGGTTAACCGCCACCATTTGTTCACTCAAAACCGGAAACTGTAGGCAGGGTACTTTCAGCGTTCTCAACAACGTCTCTCTCCCAGCTCGCCATACGCCCCTGCTTATGTGCTTACGCTTACAGGACCAACTTCCTCGACAACATGGCACCTAGTACCCTTAGAACATTGAGCAATATTTCATTCCAGAGCGGCCACGTTGCCCAGTGCAGAACCTTCCCCCTCCACGTCCCCCTCCTCGTCCCCCAGCAGAGGGCAGCGTAGCCTCCAGCACAAACCTCTTGCCACCCCGTGTGCAACGTAACCGGCATTGCCAGGACCTCCCGACAGCTACTTTACCGCAGCTATGCCGTGTTCTGTTCATGTTGCAAACAGCTTGGCACATCAAGGGTTCCTGGTTTCTCACACAGCACACACAGGTGGCATATGTGCAAGCCTGTGCTCACCCCTGTCAACCATGAAGCGTCAACACTTCAAGCCCACCTTTACTACACCCCTTCTACTCCTGCTCTACCACTCCCCTCCATATACCGATGTGTCAGTAGCTGGCAAAGGGCCGTGCGACGTGGCACAGGTCTCCAATGGTCTACACTTTCCAGGCATCACTCGAACTGAGAGCATACTTCAGTCCGTGGAAACCTCCGGCAGCCTCCATCACCTCCGGCCTTATCACAAGCCCTGCTGCTGTGAAGCTGCTAGCGCGCCAGGCCGCCAGGTCCGAGATGCTTGACAAACTCTTGATGCCCAATAGCCAAGCACATGAGGCTTGCGCAGTAGTTCACAAGTAGTCCGGCTTGCCACCAGGCACCAGGATGGCAATGTTGTTCCCGTTCAGGAGGATCTGGTCCAACTTCGTCAGCTTCTTGCCCTCCGGGGTATCCTCAATTTCCGTTACATCCTCCAATACCATGTTGACGTAGACATCAAAGCCTCTAAGAGTGCCGACAATCTCCTTGTCGCCCTTCATAATTACCCACATTCGCGAGCCTATGCAGCGGTCAATCAGCTCTGATGGTAACAAGTGGCTAGGGTTGCCCTGATAATTTCCTTTCTTTGGTGCAATCATTTTTGCAAACTGCGTATAGAAGCTCCTGAGATTGTATCGTCCCCAGTTCAGCGCATTCTTACAGCACAGTGGTATCCAGCTAATATAACGCAACAAATACTCTTGGATATGGTACAATATCAGTTTGCCCGCCACAACGACGGGTGTTAACAGTAAACCATCTCCTATCGTACAGTCGTGTGCCTTGCCGGGCTTGGCCGGCTTGCTTGGTGGCCAATCCCATATGCGAAGGGACCATCGTTCCTGACAGCACCCTGCTAGATGGTCCCATACATTTGAAAACACATAAGAAAGAGACATGCCTTAAGGGTTCGCTCCCAAGGCCCTTTCAACTGTCGGGAATAACCAGATGTAGTCACGACGTCAAGCCGCATACGGAACAGAAACCAGCTCCATTGTACATTCCAAATAACCCCCTAACGATGCCTTAGGACATGGAAATATACCAACAGCCGACCCACATACCGCACAGTGTCCTTATAAGCCTATGAACACCGCCAAAGCCGACGACACAGGTTGCATAAGCGAGCAGAACGGAAGGCCGTAAAAAATGCCCAAAACTCTCCGTGTATGAAAATGTTGCAAATGATACATTACGCATGACATGGCTGTGCATAGGCATGCAGGATTCATGCCAGCACGTCACGATACACCACATCAGCAAAGCGAACCACATCAGCAAAGCGATGTGCTGGCCTCGACGCCTTCGTACTTCATCTTCCCCTATTGTAGATGTTTGTCCTTAGCTGGCCCTGTAGTTATCCATGCAACTGCCCCAGCGCGTCCATTTTCGCTCCCCTCCTCCTCCTCCAATCCGTATCTCCCAAGTCCTATCATCCCCAGCTAACAACAGTCACCGCACCAGCCCGGGGCCGGCCACGACACAGGGGGAAGCTTTCAGCCCACCCATCCCACCTCATTTTCACACCGCGCTCCCCAGCTCCCCCCAGACCTCTGACGCGCTTGAACACCTCCAACCTAGCAATCCTTCCCTCCCATCATTTTCCATGACGGCAAAACCCTCATGATAAACCCGCCCGCAGAACCCCCATGCAGTTCCCATGCACATGCCCCCTTCCTTAAGCCGCCAAGCTCCTGCGTCCTGCCCTATCGCGTTCGCACCCCCTTCCCCACCATTCTCATGCCGCCACTCGCACCGGCACCGCTGCTGCCGGCTCCTCCTCCTCCACCTCCTCTTCCTCTTCCTCCGCCACCTCCCACTGCTTGCCCTCCAGCGCGCCTGCCTCCACAGCCATCAGGAACTCCTCGTACGTGACGGAGGCGATGGTGGACTGGTAGCGCTCCAACGTGAGAGAATCGCGGAGGGAGGTGCCTGTGCGGGGGCAGGAGGTGACCCACGGGTCGTGACCCTCGTGAGGGATTCCAATAAGCATTATCCGGATAAGTACTCGCACGTGAGCCATCACTTCCCGGGTAACGCGGGTATTTCATCAGTTTATGGACACAACCCAATCGCGGGCGCGCAGTCGGTTCCCTAGTATTCACCACCAGTATCAGCAATGCTGCAAGCTGCTGCAGGGCATACCGGTACGTCCCCTACCCGGCCACGCACGCACCTATGGGTCCGCTGTAGCCCGCCTTGCGGATGAGCGCGTCTACGGCCTGCTGCTGGTTCCAGCCCTGCTCCGGTGCCACGTCGGGCAGGAAGGTGGCTGTACGGCGGGATCCCTGATCTGGGTCGGCGAAGTGGATGATGATGCCGTGCTGCCCAACCACCCAGTCGCGCCAGCCGGCGGCCTTCTCGAAGCGGGCTAGGAGGGACACCTGGAGGGGCGGGGAGAGGAAGGACAAGGAGGTTGGGGGGAGGGAGCGGAAAAGGGCGCATGAGTAGGAGGAGTAAAAGAAAGGGAGCGACGGTCAACTGCTTGTTGTGGCTTCTTTGCGCAAGGGACAATGTTGATGTCTGCGCTTGCAAAAAGCAATGTTACTGCTACTAGGCATCACGTCTCGGCATGGCGGGGGTATTCGGCAGGATGCGGAGAGGGAGGGCGCAGGACTGCAAATCTACTGCAGCGAGGTGAGGAGCAATGGGGGTGGTTGATCTGGGTCGCCACTGGGTCGGCGCGGATTGATACCGGAGCACGTTAAGACAGGAGCGCGTGTTGGAAGGTGAGTTACGGAAACAAAATGCGGAGGGGTCAGCAGCCATACTACAGGGGAGACGTGGAGCAATTGCGGTTTAGAAGGAATGGGTTAAGGGAAGGAGCTGCTGTTAGGGTCCCCTCCTAAGCAGGCATATTGGGGCGGAGGGCAACTATTGTTCACCAGGCGTGGAAGTGGAATAGAATGACGCCAATCCGCTTCAGACATTAGATTACTACTAAATTCTGGTGTAAGCTACCGAAAATACGGCGTGCCCCGTGACACAGGACAGCCCCTTGATAGCCTTTGCGACAATAGGGTGCGTGGGACTAGCATGCGACGACATCCATGTGGCCAGCTGACCTTGCACTGCAGCGACGGCAACTCCTTGAGCCTGATGGGCGAGAAGCGGTGGTCTCGAAGGGCGCTGGTAAGCGTATAGTCGTGAAGCGCCCGGTGCAGCGGCTTAGGCTCCAGCGTCCCAATGCATCCGCGCAACCTCCAATGGTCATCTCCGCTATGAGTATTCCAGGTAACAAAGAGCGCGCAGCGTCCCTCAGGGAAGGTAGGCACTGGAGTAGGGTTGCCGGTAAGGTGGGACTGCAGCACAGCAAAAGCGTAGACGCAATGGTCGCGGGTAGCCACGTTAGGGTCACGTTGGCCGTCCTGTGCCTTCGACAGCATCATTGCGCAAAGTTAAAGCCTTCTACGCTAATCGTAAAGCGCTATCGGTGTGGCAGGCCCCGCTGTGCTTCACCGGCCACGGACAGGTCAAGAAGTGAAGGCAACCTCAGCACCAAAGGACCTAATGGATGCGATATGTCCACGAAATGCACTGCAGTACAATGCCTCGCATGCATTTCGCTCCTTGACTCGCGTAAAGATATGTGTCGTAGTCGTTCGCGCCCTTGCCGTACCGGTACTCCTTGTTCTGTGCAACGCAAGTACGCGACCCAATTATCCGCCTCAAGCTGATTGCAAAGCCATATTGAGCGTTGAGAATATGTCTGCTCCGTATTACCATGTAAGCTCTTGCACGTCGCAAGGAGCCCACGGGCGTCGTGTTCGTCGGAGGTGTCAGTTGACGTCTGGGCCCATCTGTGCAGGAGACGCAACGGCGGCAAATGTGCCTCAAGCATACTCTTAATAACTTACTTCAATCCGAAGCCTTTACTGCGACGGACCTAGACCGCATGGCGGACGGCATGACACCTCCAACCTTGCTAGGATTAAGAAGTCCGCACAGGTGCGTTGCTCTGAATACGGGGGTCTTGAGTAGGCGTTGTATCCTGAAGGCTGCGGAAATCAGCAGACAGTAGATCACTTGGGTAACTAGGGCTTGCAGCACTGTAGGGTATCCAACATGTGCTGCTGTTCACCACCCACCTCCGTTCCACCATGCATTCCCCAATACCTCCCTTAACACTTCGATCCAACAGGACGCCACTATTTGGAAACTACGACGTCAACGTACTTGAACTGGCTTTACAGCAGCATGGCAAGGTGCGGATCCTCATTTGCATTTGCTTGCGTCCTCCTGCCAGGCTTGGCAGCTAGGGGATAAGCACCGCCAAGTGCGGTGGCAGCCAGGGGGTGGCCGCGAGCCCGTTTAAAGCAAGCAGAGCGGCCGTAGGCGGTGTGTGTTTAAGGTAACCAGCTAGGAGAGGGGCGCAAGAAGTGTCTTCCAGCTATGGCAGCTTACCCCTTGCTGCTGTTGCTGCGGTTAACCGCGTACCGCTTACCCGTGCAGGTCCTCACCTGGTTCCCTCGTAACGCCCTCCAGCAGCTCGCGCAACATCACCCACATCAACGTGAAGCGCAGCAACCGCAGCAACTGCACTCGCGGCATGAGCAGCAGCAGCAGAAGCAAACATCAGCAGCGACCGGCATGCAGCGCTCCGGGCGCCAACACAAGAATCAGCACGAAAAGTCAGACCAACAGCCGCAGCAGCAGCAGCGTCAACAAGGGCAGCAACATACCAACGTAGCAGCCCGTGCCGATGCAAACCCAGACACCGGTGTCTGCGTACCAACATCCTGCTTGCCCCCACCAAGAGCAGCAGCAGCAGCACTTGCTGCGTCCGCCGCCTGCGCTGAGGTTTCGGGGCCAGTATCTGCTGCCTCATCAGGACCAACCCGCCCCGCTCCTGTAGGCCGCTGCAGCGGCTGCGGTAGCCCCCTTGACACACACCTGCACCTGCTGCTATCCCGACCAAACCTCTGGGCTGTGATAGTCAACGTGCCGAGTCACTGTTCTCATTCCTCCAAACCCTCCTCCTCCTCCACCCTCGCTCCCTCTCCTTCCTCACCACCACCTGCAGCCGCCGCTGCACCCAGCCTCCTCGCCCCCATGTGGCGGCTGCTTGCGGGGGTGGCGGAGGCGACTGGGTGGGGCGGCAGGCACTGGGTGGGGCTGCGGCGCTTTGGGGGTGTCTGGTGCGTGTCTGGGTGTCCAGGGAGGGAGGGAGGGGGGGAGGCAGGAGTTGGCGGCCGCGGGTTGCCTGTGCCGCATGCATGCGGGGGGGGGGGGGCAATTTTGGGACCAACTAGAATATGGGGGGGTGGTGGATGCTCGGGTGGGGGTCTGGTGTTGCTGCCTTGCTGGGGTCGGCATGGTGAGCTGGGGGCATGGATGGAGTTTGTGTCGCATGGTGCATACCGGAAAGGACGTGGCTATGCTGGTTGCGGCTACGAGCGGGCCTGGTTGGGGTCATCATATGGCTCCCCGTGACCAGCCGTAACGGGGCGGCTTCGAGGCGCTTGCAGTGGTGCCATTCCCCGCTCCTCCACCCAACCCCGCTACTGTCCTTTTACCCTTGAACCCAGACGCAACCTGAACAGCTACCAGGCAGCTCAGGACCCCCAACCCGCGTTGACGCTCTCATCGGCCTGCCGCTAACTAACTGCTAGGCAGCTGCACATTCCCTTAACCCGCTTCGCCTCCCCGTGCAGGTACAACCTAGACAGCCACCTACCTGCTCCCGAGCCGCTGGGGGACGTTCAAGCGCTGTGCGGCTTCCTGCACCGCGCAGTGCAGCAGCAGCAGGCAACCCTGCTGCTGGTGACTGAGGGTACGGCCGGTACGCAGGACAGGAGGGACTAGTGTGGGAGGAGCAGCAGCTGGAGACACCCTGCTGCTGCTGCTGATTGAGATGAGGAGAAGGAGGAGGTTGAAGCGGGTCCAGGCGCTCGGGGTGATTTGTATGTGGCCCACGCAACCAGACCGCTTGGTTGGAGCGGCCAGCAACCTTAGATGGCTATGCGCTTGGGATTGATGTCGTGCCCTGCCTGCTACCGGCACGAGTGTACACCGACCGAAATTATCGGCGGGAACTTGCCGCTGGCACAAAGCAGAACGGCCAGCAAATGGAGTACTGAACACCACATGGACGTGCAATGCATGTAGCCTTAGGTTGCCGTAACTGTTATTCTAAGTCTATGATAGCGCCAGTGCTTGCTTTGGCATGTAAACCCAGGGCAGACCCACTTACCGCTCTGAATACCACATTACCCATCTCGGGTGGAGCGCGTGACACAAAGCAGTTGCAGGCCTTGCAGTGCGTCCGTTATGCTGTTTACTTGTAGGGGCAGATGAGAAAAGTGAGCCGCCCTGCCAGTTAGAAGGGCACATGGGACAGAGGTGCATGCTCCCCTGCCAAGTTGGATGAATCATTTAGGCTGGCTTGCTGACACAGCCTAAGGCTATCTGACCCGCTACGTAACAAGGATGGATGGGCGCCCCGCTGAACATCCTGAAGTATGGCTAACTCTTGGCTCTACTGGCGCGCGATGGTCAAGCTTTAATTGCCGCTCCCAAGGCATCATTTGTTGAAGGCCTCCACGAACGTTGCCACACGTCCAAACTGCAACGGCACAGCATATATGTATTACACGCTTCATTTTCCAGCTAAGCGTGATGGTATCGGAGAGGATAGATGCAGTGGCTTGCATGTCATTGTACGAGGGGATGCCGGTGAAGAGCCCCGCAGCGCATTGAGCATGGGTGCATACACCTAGGAGTAGACGGCTTCATTTGCTCGCGGTAGCTGGTTCACAGTCTTTACCCTGGTCAGTCCATTGTCAGAATCCAGAAAACGCCGTACATGTTTGAACTTGTTGAACTCGGTTCCGAAAGGTCGCCATCAACTACAATCATGCAACCAGCCGACGTGGCCCACACACGCAATCGACCCATCTTTCTCCTCATCATAGCTCCATACATGTTACACATTTTTCATACATTTCACGTTTTGAAGGGCACTGACGCTGCCCATCAAATTCAAATAACTGCCACATCGGCCTCAGTAGCACGCACAACTTCAGGGACCTTTGTTTGCTGGGCGTGCTTACACAAACAACATGGGGAATTCTGGAGCCACATGAAGCATGCACGGTGCGGCACTGTTGTCTCCTGGGTGTTCCTCCATTTTGCTGCCCAAGAACTGCTTCCTTACGGCTGCCTTGATCCGCCCCCCTCACTTGTCTTGATCCGCCCCCCTCACTTGTCTCCATCCTAAACCCTCGCCGGCCACCTACGTACGCTGCACCACTCCTGTGGTTAGGGTACTGCCGAGCTTCACGGCTGCTTGTACAGCTGTCGTCGACGTAAAGCAGAGCAAGCACCTACTATCTATCGAATAGTATGCAAAGCTACCGTTAAGCACTATCAATATAATTCCTGAACCTGTTTTGTGCAATATCAATACAAACACGTCAACAGTGAAAGCGGGACACATGATGATGTTATGTACGTGCACTAAGGCGTACGCGCCAGCAACGGCCTGCCGCAACTCCAACACACAGCCCTACACGCTTCTGAGAGAACATAGCTGTTTCTAGGCTTCAGACTGGTATCTACAGCCGCTTCTGCAAGGTTGCTTGCTTCTAAGAGGACTTCTTACACTCAGCGGTGCTGCCGCCTTCGCCTTCACGGCCTGCCTCATAGGAGCCAGGGCGGCTTGCATTCCGGCGCAAGAAACACCAGCGTGTTTGCAGGTCGGTTGCAGAAGAGACCAGCATGCAGCACAGGGCGTTGCCCACAGTGAAGACCAGCGCAGAGCCCCAGCGACCGTCATGGACCTGACGCACCAACAGCGCCAATGGCAACAGGTACGCCAGCACTGCCCGAGCCTGGAGGTACGGTGACACCTGCGGTAATAGCGCATGGCCGCTACGTTTCTGGGCAACCCCTTCGTACATGTGAAGCGTACAGTGTGTGCGCACACCACTGGGTATATTTGTTTGCCCCAGCTTACCCACTACCCGGTATGGGCACAGAAGCCAGGAGGGGGAGAAACTGCTGTTCTGCTTCACTCAGGGCTAACATGGTGTGGCAGCTTACCTGCAGTGTTGCTGGCCTCCAAAGGCTGAAGAAGATCCAGTGCATGCCGTTGCGACGGTTCGCCTCGAGCCAGGCGTCAGGCACCCGCAGCAGCAGCACCATGAATAGCAGTACCGCCGCGTCCAGGTACAGTGCGAACAGCACCACTGCATTGCGGTTCCTGTTCGAAAGGAGCCATGCGCGTTAGGGCCAATCGAATGCATGGTGCTCCTTATAGATTCGGTGACGCCGAAGATATGGCACGGACGTCCACTTTTGGGCAGTTCTATATACATTAAAAACATATGCATGCAAACGGTACGCCCGGGCAATGAAGGTGTACCAGGATGAGGTACCCTGGGCACACACTGAACGCCACAACGCCTTGCCTTGCTATGTTCTCTCCCCCTAGCCTGTTCCTAGCCCCCATCAACGCACCTGACTTGCAGGGATGTAAGGCACACAAGCAGCAGGAGCAGGGCGTCAGATGCCGTGGCAAGAAGCTGTGAAGCCAGCTGCATCCGCGCATGCACCATCCCGTCATCTGCTGGGAGCGCCGGGGGCCCGCCAGCCACACTCCGGTAAGTGCGCATCGTCGACATGAGGCGGATGCCCACCGTCGCCACCAGCCCCAACCTATCCAGGCAGAAGCACTGCGCCGCCTTGAAGTCCTGGTAGGATCGCTCCAGGGCGGGCGGGGAGAAGCCCAGCAGCAGCGCGTGGAGCCACCAGGCGAGCAGGGACCGGCGGGAGGCGTCAGGGCGGGGAGGGGTGGCAGTGCTCGCTGCACGACCAGCTGGGGCTGCGGACTTTGAGCCGCTGCCAGCGGAAGGGCCGCCTTCCCCGGTGACACTGCCACCGCTGGCGGTGTGCCGGAGGGCCACGGAAGGCGTCCCCGCTGGCGCCTGACCCTCATCGGCCGCCTCAGCCACGGCCATTGCCGCAATGCGCTTTTGCTTTTCCTCAGCAGCCTCCGCAGGCCGCCTGTGTGCTGTTGGCCCCTCCAGTGCCGGCTGCTGCGCACTACCCCGCAACTCCTCGGCAGCCTCCTCACGAGCCTCCTTCAACTGCCCCAGCTGCCGCACCACCCCCTGCAGCCACTCGCCGCCTCCCTTCCCGCCCTCCTCGGCCGCAGCGACCAGCTCCCGGACCACATCCCGCACCTCCACACCCGCACTGCCCAGCGCCCGAAGACCCTCCAGCAGGCAGGCGGACATGCGCTGTGAGGCGAAGAAGCGCAGGAGGTGCATGTCGAAGACCCGTGGGTCGGCTGGTTGCTCATCAGCAGCACCGTACGGCAGCTGAAGCATGTCACCCATGTCGTACACCAGGTCCGTCAGGCCGCTGTCATGGATCGCGGTTGTGGCAGCTGCCAGTCCTCCCACTGGTTCCCTCATCAGCAGCATCTGCTCCAGCTGCCGTACCATGTCGCACCCAAGCACACTGCCGTACAGCTGCCGTACCTCCTGGGCTGCGGCGGCGGGCAGCACCAGCAGCGGCAGGGTGGCCAGCGGCGCCGTCGCAGCCGCTGAGGCCGCCGCGTCAGGCCCCGGCTGCTGCTGCTGCTGCTGCGGGTCCGGCGGCGGCGCAGTGTTGCGCGGCGGCAGCAGGTGCAGCGTCAGGGCTCCGGGGGTGCGCAGGGCGGCGGGGGGGAGGGACAGCCTGCAGAGATAAGAAGGACATGTTCCATGTTTAGCTAGGCAGACAAGTGCAGGACACAGCATAATGCTTGCCAAGTCCGCTTGCTGCCAAGGCGTAACCATGATCCAGATCCAAACTCTGAGCAATGTTAAACGCTTAAGCTCATTCTTGTGCAGTTCACCGCAACGCAGTTGGCCAAACGGAAGTCCAAAGACTCACATGACTGGTATGTACTTGTCTTCGCCTTCGGCCTCCGCACCCTCGGGCCCCATGTCGACCTCCACCACCTCATCCAGGTGCACCGCCGCGTCCAGGTGCTGCTGCCCTCCTCCTCCCTCATCTGCCGCCCCCATGCGCCCAGCCACCACGCAGCGCACGGACGCAAGCCCGCGCAGCGACAGGGAGGGGGCAAGCACCAGCACCTTTGCTCCAGCGACCCTTGCGTTGCCCACTTCCTCCGCAGCTTGTGCCAGGGCTGCCGGCCAGGACAAGCCGCCAGCAGATGCGCCGCCACCACCACCGTCGTCGCCTTCCCCATTGACAGCAGCTGCCAGGAGCAGCAGAACCTGTTCTTCAACGGCCGACGTGTCAACGCTCCCATCGGCTGTGATCACCTCAAGACACAAATGCTGCACGCTGGCTGCGTCCCGTGGCCAGCCACCTGCCACATCCCTTGCCGGCCACCGAACCGACATCAGCAGCTGCACACAGCCCTGCACGCACACCGACGACAGCAGCCGCAGCGGCGCGTGCATGCTTGTCAAGTCGCCGCCGCCGCCGCCACTGAGAGCTTTTGCGGTGGCGGCGTTATGTGCATGCAGGGCCGAGGTTGCGGCCTTGGAAATGTGTGGTGCCGCCGCTGCAATGCTAGGGCCCCCATTGCGTTCTTGCGGTAACGGGATTTTAAGGCTTATGGTCGCTGTCCGCTCATGGCGTGGGGACTTGTAGAATGTCGGCACCTCAAAAGGGCAAGCAGTAAACGGAGGATCTCTGCACGCCTTTGGTCGTACGACGTGTTTGGAGGCGCGCTGTGCAGGCGTGGCCTGCGTTTCGCCTGGGAACTGGGACTGCGTTTGGGACGAAAGAAATGGGAAAGTAATACAGAGCTTCCGGACGTGACAGCTGTAGCGCGCGTCGGCGTTGCTGTCCGCTGTACCCCTGCTGCTGTTCAATCTGAGCAGATACGCGCGATAACGCGGCAGCAGGTAGGCCTGCTCCCATGTACGCCGAGCCAGGTAGGGTAGTACGGCCATCACGATGAAGAGCAGGGCTGCCTGGGCGGGTGTGAGGTACTGCGGCTGGGAGGCCCCCGGGGGCAGCAGCTGGCGGTCCACGGCGCGGCTGATGGCGATGAACAGCAGCCACATGACGGGGCCCAGCCGCAGCTGAACCGTCGAGGGGAGCTGCGTCGGCAAGGTATGCACGAAAGCCGTTGTTACTTATTAAATGCTTTGACATATGCATATACATAGAGCTTGATATTCCATCTTGAAGTTGAATCAATGCTACCAATAGC